CAGGCTCTCATCATCACGAAAGCGAAAGAGAGCTAACGTTATGTACGGGGGTAGCTGGCCCCTCGCTTCTTCCATGTCGATGTCTCACATAAGCGGGTCTCGCGCTACCCCTGGCTAGCAGCAGCACGCTAGTTAGCCCAGGGACACCGACGATGGATGTCCCACGAGGCGGACCAGGGGCAGCCCCGAGTTCCCGAGGAAACAAGAGCAAAGAGAGAGAAGGAAAAAGCAAAGAGAGAAGATCCGACTTGGCTTTGTTGATGAGAAATCCCCCGCCGCCGCGCCGAAGCGCGTGAAATGAAGTTGTAATGACCTCGCGTCGCCAAGCCAATGTCCAAAACCAAAAAAATTCAGCAGATCGGGAAGGGCTAACGGCTTTCGGTTCGATCCTCCGAGTTATAGGGCGCTGCTGTACACATTATGTATTGTATGTATTGTACCAACGAGTCCGGGTGATCATATGTAAACGACTTGATTCTTCGAGACCACTCTGCGTAATGCGGGGCTGTTTCGACCGTCGATGGGACCGCTGTCCGTTGTGATGTTGCCGCCGCTGCTCAGTCCATTGTCTTGATTTTGTTGGGTTCCCAAGGTCGGTAGTTAGTCCCAACAGTTCGCGCGATGCTACACGTACATACGAATACATAAGGCGATCTGCAGAGACGGAACAGGTATATCAGCAACGCGTCCGCGGGACGGTCGGGTAACACACAGCATAGGCAAATCTCACAGTCTGTGCTTTAAGACCTCGCGTGACAATCCGGCCAACGTACTCCGTAGCCGTTCTTTGGAACCGGGAATCGACTCGTTCGGGCGGCACAAGAACTGATGGTGTACACACCTTCATAATCAGCTCCCAGGGTCGTTTCCGTGGGAGTGACAGCTCTCATCAACGCTCCCGACGACGGGCCGAACCAGTGGGCCTGGATACCTGTAAACCGTTGCAATGTCCCCCTTGGCCCCTGCAGGCTAATATGCGCTTGTATGATTAAAACAGTATGTCAGATTGTCAGCGCAGGGCTATTGTTGTAGTTTGATGTGAAGTTCCTGCAAGTGCCGCAACTCGCATTGCAATATCACTTCGGTTCCAGAGGCGCATTTCTCGAGGTTGACGGGGTCTTGAAAAGAGCCCGAGACACTGTGTTCTTAATATTTTTCCTCTGTCGTGCGACAGTCGGGAAGGCTGTAATGAACGACAGTTCCATCGTTTGGGAATTCGCTTAGAACCAGTTCATTGGCGGGTTCGGGTGCAAGATGAAGGTAATCTTGAGTTTAGCCTAGGGCGCTCGCCTGGAGATGCCGACTTCCTTCGTGCGGAGACTCGGGAGCGATGGCGTCCGCCACGTTTTCTAGAAGCCCGTGGGTGGTAGGGCTGCCCGGAACACCGACAGCCCGCTCCATACGCCTGGGTCGTGCGCCCGGCCATCTCCCGGGTCAGTGGCGTCTGTGGTGGAGGGAAGGCCGCAAATGTTGTGTTGTCGCAGAGGCGGCGCGATAATCCACTACCGCGGGCTTTGTAAAGCCTGAGCAGGCGGCATTGCTGGCCCCCAATAGCCATGGTGACGTGATAATTATGTCGTGCAGGCATCGCCTCGTCCTTGCGGCGCGGTGCCTGGCCGTCGGGCCTCCTGGGGCGCATTGCTCGTTGGTTGAGGGCTCCGATCTGCCTCTCATTTCAATGCACCATATCATGTCGTTCGCTCTCCGGGACCTCTTCAGTGGCTCAATATCTAAGACCCGAGCTGATGGTTATGTCTCAGACAGGAGACTCCTCCCATCCCGTCCGGCCGTCTCCGTGTTCAATTTTTCTTGAAGCCAGACCGATTTATTGGCAAGTGCGGCGCCGATGTGGTACCAAGCCTGAAGGCGTGCTGGCTGTACGAAAGGGCTGATAGTTTGGTGAACTTGGGAATGGGAACCGAAGACGGTAGGTATTGTACCGTACCATACGGCCGCTTCAGAGCCAAGAGAGTCCGGTCTGGCCGTGTGCAGGGCGTCACACTACATAGAAGCCATGATCTCTACCACAGTAGGGAGGCTAAGATTGATCGCCTGCAGGGTTTCGGCTCGATAGCAGTTTGCCCAGAGATTCTGTATCTTGGTCAGGTGTTGGCAAGTAACAATCGGGCACGCACTGATGAGGCAGCTAACTAGAGGCCTGAGTCTCGAATTCGGCGACACAATGGGCATCCAATCGAGCGGACTGGCACTGGCGAACAGTGTGTAGCCTGGCCCAAGACCTGCCGCTGCCGAATATCGACGATGCGAAAGCGACCCGAATCACACTTTCAATGTAGCGCCATCATGCCATCCAGCCCCTATGAAGCAAGATCTGCATCGGTGTGATTTGCCGGGATGCTGGACACCAAATCTCCCAATCACGCCATTGGCAGGACTCCTTGCTTTCGCCGTTGGCAACTGTCGGCCGCGTGACTGGACCTTGTCACCTGAGCGTGGTAAATATCGCCGTATGACTGGCTGAGCTTTCGTTAGTTGTTTGAACCAGTTGAAACCTCAGAAGCGTTTCTCTTTCCTGCTAGAGGCTCGGCAGGTGTGCGAGCTGAGAGATCATTGCAGGTGCCAGGGAGGTCGACAAGAGGCAGTGTGCCGATTGGCGAATTACAGTTAGCTTCGTCGATGGCAGACAGTGCGTAGGATGGAAAAGCGACACAGTAGGCTATGGACTTGGGACATTCCCAGCGTGATGACAGGACGAAAACCGACACTTATTAGCATGAGAAACGCATTCAATCTTCCGACATGAGCTGGAGTCCACCAGAGATGTCTTTTTGGACCATGATTGCATGGCTTACAGGTCTGGCTCCGGAAATCGTCCCTGGGCGCTATTGTGTGTATGTAATAAGCTAGGCTATCCCGCCTTCGGCAGAGGTTCAAGTTTATCGGTCTGAACTCATGCGACTTTGGAAAAGCCGCCATCCTTGGACGGCGCTTTCCGATACAGTTAAGATCCACTCATCCGTGGAGACATACTATTGTCCCAACTGCGCTACTTCTAGTGATTTACATTGTTGATTCCGGAGAGAGTCTGAGACGGTCTTCCGGACCCTCCAGTCGCGGCCAGAGGGACACCGTCCCGTATCGTCGACATCCTAGGTGACTCTCATATTCGACGCCCCAGCGGAAGATATCGCACACTCTCCAGTTCCTGGTCGTACACAGCTGGCGCTCCTGCAACGGACGGAAGTCTCTGCTGCCCTGTGTTATGATGGTTTGTCTGCAAGAGGATGCACTAAGTAGATGTATTGTACGTACATGCGTAGATAGAAGTTGATGCAACTGTCGATACCGTCATACCCTCTGGATGAATTACGGTTTGTATCCGTATACAACACAGTACATAGCAAAGTACACTAGAGGTCCGAGCACAAGAGCCGGACTCCACCGGGTCGCGCATTGCGTTGGTTTTCCTGTCCATGGGCCAACTCGAACTGCATCATGGTCCCGGCAACTCTCGATACACGGCCACACAGAATCGTTCAGGACTCTACTGCGTAGGCCCGTTTTCCGTCACGGCGCCGAATAATTCGTGTGGCGGCTCTGTATGCCTTGGCAATCGATGGCTCCTGACGCATTACTGGCCCCTAGGCCGACGACCGCGGACCCTTCCGCATGAGATGCGGATTGTAACTATTGGGGTTGGAGTTCTTTCCAGCCGCGTGACAATGGCCTACTCATGCTTGGGTCAGATCTGCGAGCACCAGCTGTGGAATGTCGGCTCGATTACAAACTTGGACCAGGAAGTTGACGAAGGTACGGATCCGTATTGTATGTACGGATACAACCTGAAAGTCTCATCAGACAGTGTGCGCGGCCGTGTCGAAGTGCTCTGTTCCAGACTTGCCAAGCCGCGAGCCTGCAAGAAAGCCGAGCAGGCACCATCCCTGCAGAAGCGGGCAAACCGGCCCACCAAGCACGCCAAGGCATGAGCACCCCGGCCGCCAGGAACGAGTGAAGTTCGTGCCTTCCAAACCCGGCCGCTTCCTGCGGGTCTTGGCCTCCCCCCGTCAGCCCCGCCCTCCCGTTCATGGCTGGGACCTTGGCGGGCCCGGTACCATCAACTGGGAAGTGCTGCCTCCCAATGGGAGTCCGCCGTCGCCGGTGCCATCCTCGGAAGATTGCACGTTTTGGACAATGACCGTCGCAGGGCAGCTGCTCCGCACCTGCCACCCAGGACTCGATGGGCCAGGGTCCTTGTTGCCATCTCCGAAGCAAACTGGCTAAACTGGTTGGTCCGTTGCCTGGCAGTCGGCCCACCTTGCGAAATGGTCGCGAAATGTCCGTGTTCTGTAACAACGGGCCGTTCAACAGAGTTCTCGTCCCTCCTCCCCCCGGCGGTGCCTCGCTTCCCCTGGGACCCCAGATTGAAGGAGGGCAGATCTTGACAGGATCTGTTCTACATATTGTTCCACACCCCCTCCATTCCCTTCCTTGCCACCCGTTCCCTCTCTTTGGAGATTTCCCTTCTGTTCTCTTCGCATGTCTTGAGGCCAAAGTCCCCAATCCCCTCCTTGTTTGAGACTTGGCTCGCCTGTTGACTACACGCCAACGAACGATCATTTACGCCCCCAGACCCCGTTGGAAAGGAAACTGGAGCTTTCTCGACGATTGCCCCTCCGTTACAGCAGACTCGAGACACCAGTTCACCACTTGTACTCGTTTTGTATCATAGGTATCACACAAAAATCGATCTGAGCCCCGCAGGACTGGTATCCGAAGCTCGATGGGTCCATAGACGTATGTGTGTTCCCGCACACCCGACCAACACGCAATCGACCGAACACTGCGCCGCTTGAGGGCAACGCGCGGTCCAAGTTCTCACAGAGTCCCGAGAGCTGGAGACCTAGGGGCTGTGAAGCGATTGGACCGAACTTTCCACTGGGCCCTGACCGTGGGCGTCGAGCGAACGGGGTCAAACAAATCATCATTCGGCAGAGGCGGTTCTGAACTTGAAGGGGAGGATTGTTCGAACCGAAAACAAGATGGAGTGCCCGAAGCCTTTCCTCCAAGACATCTATTATACAGATGGAGGGTGTGAGTTGATAGTTGTCGATCGTTCGCCTATATATCAGACGCTAACACCACGGCTTAGTCGTGGAAGGGAGAATATGTCAGGCGCTCGGAGACCTCACTTGCTGCTTGCCATGCCCATTGACGGATTGGGCGTACCCTGATAACTTCCAGACCATGAACGCGGCAGCCAATTGGGTGGCAGTGGCAAGCACACTCTGCTGCGTCTTTCTCTTGGTATCGTGGGCTGTTCTTCCGGTCGACAAGACGTATAGGCATTATCTGAGCATCTGCCTCACCATGGGGGTCATGTTCATGAATGTAAGCTCTGGCACCCCTCGCGGTGTCCCGTTCGGTGTGAGATTATTGACCCGTTGCACAGCTCGGTTTTGTCATTCCACTCGCCGGAAACCCAGATCAATGCTACGACGCGATCACGCCCAACTCGATGAAAACGAACTCGATGTGCGCCGCCTCCGGCTTCTTCCTCATCTTGGGGGGCTGGGCAGGCGTGATGTGGGTCTTCTTACGAGCTCTATCTCTGCACCTCCAGATCTGCTGGCAACTGGTCGTTGGGCGCAACTTTATGTGGTTCTCCCAGGCTCTGGGCTGGGGCATTCCCGTCATCGGCGTCGTTATTGCCTTCATCTTGAGCGGCGTGTCGTTCCGATTCGGGCAGACATGCCACATCAACCACAAGAACAGCCTCGCCGACCTGTGGATTCCGTTGCTGGTATTTGCGGGCCTGACCATTATCATCCAATTCGCCACGTTCGGCTACTGCATCAAGGTTTACCTTGCCTCGCTTGCCGACAACAGCGCCTCGACCGAAGGCTCTGGTCTGCCCTCGTACACGAACAGTATCCGCACCATGACCCCGAAGCAGGCCTACCGCCGAGTACGACGAGTCATCGCACTTCAATGGAGAGGCATCGCCATTGTCCTGATCATCATTGCCGACGTCATCTTCTTCTCCGTGGTGTTCGTCTTTCAGGACAATACAGTCGAGGCAGTGAAGCGCGATCAGAGCATCGCAACCCCCTGGGTTCGTTGCCTCCTCGCTAAGAATGGAGATAAGACAGCGTGCCTAGATGAGGCCAGCATGCTTGCGGTTAGCATGCCAACCGTCGGCGCCGTTCTTTTCCTGCTAGGGGTAAACCACGGGCCCCTCCTGCTTACCGACAAGTTTCTCTGGCTAACGTATCGCGCACTTAGATGAATGGCATTTGGCTGCTTTTCCTTCTCGGCCGCTGGTCCATGATCACCGGCTGGCGCGACATGTTTATGTCAGTTCCAAATCGGAACAAGAGGGAGTTCGTCTCAGTCGATGCGCGGCTGGATGATCTCAAGAAAGACACACGTTCGTACGAGATGCTGTCCCGGGACACCGGGAAGACCATGGACGAGTCAGTAACACCCTCCGCAGTGACCCCCGTCTCCCCGACACAAGCTCGGTCGCCAGTGGGGAGCCCGAATTTCCATGATTACGCGCAGAATTACGCACAGAATCACACGCAAACCAACGACGGGCGCCGGACCCCCGACTACTTCGGAAACACTGCCCGGTACCATACCCCGGCGAGGTCGTTTTCGAGCCCACGACCGCCTCAGACAGTGACGTGGGATGCGCGGGAGACGTATGCAAGATCGACGTCGCCGTACGCACAGCAGGACAGATACGTCAACCCGCTGGGCATGAACAGGATATGAAGTTATGACAACCACGGAACAATAACACAACAAAATTCACTCCTTTTTATTTATTTTTTTACTTTACCTTCCGATAATAAAATCAACTAAGATTCCGCCGATGTCGCTTCCATTCGGGCTGAATCTCGGCGACGAGAGCCTCGCGGCCATTGTTGCATATAAAGACGCGTCCCAGCGGACGGCGATGTTGGCAGGAGCCGCCCACATACTTGCCATCGCCATCAGTCGGACAACCCGCTGCGATCCCCTATTCTCGGCTAATCTCGAGGAATCTTGTCGTCGCATGTGGTGGAGGTGTTTTAAGAGGGATAGATTCGGGTCGGCGTCAGGAATTCTCTCAGGCAATGTCTGTGGCGCAAAGTGCGGGGTATATCAGTCCTCAGTGGGAGTTGGATCGGGCATCAAGGCACAAGGTGCACCGTGCAGCGCCCTGGGACGGCCAGATGTAGGATGAGAGACGGGTAAACCGGAAGCCGACTCGCGTGACCAATGTATATTTCACGTTAGATTGGATTGGAAGCTTGCAAACCTGCAGGCTTTTGAAGTCCTAAATGCCAGCGTGTCTCGGGACTGCCGGATGCTCATCATGGTGCGGGTGGGGCGGTAGGGTACGGTGTCCGTCTGAGTGCCCGCCCAACCTCCTGCTGGCGTGATTCTCCGATAACTAAGAATCTTCCGGCTGTTAACGTGAGTGCCGCCTGCGGCATTGTCAATGTCTCCCATGCCGATCGCTGATTGGGGTATCGGACGGAACAGAAATCGCAACATCCGATGATTCCGGTCCTGATGGTGCCATACCGCAAATCCCACGATGTTTCTGGAATGGAAAGTAAGACAAAGCCCGGACGCGCCGGAAGAGGGGGCCTTCGGGCTCGGGGTCTCGTCGGCGCCGCTTTTGCTGTGGACCCTCTTCTGCACTTAATAAAGAGCCCGGGCGGGTTGCTTTACATAAGAGAATAGCGACAGTGAGAGCTTGAGCAGAAGGCGGTGGCTAGTGCATTCCAGGAACATCAGATCGATATCTCTAACTCGGCCTTCTCTGGGCCTGAGACTTGTTCTCCCAAGCATCACATTTCGGCCACCAAAGAACCTGGAAGCGTTTGTCTCGTGCCCTGTTACGAAATTCGGGAACGGCCTTCAGCACACGGCCGACTATTCGACCGGCCCAGTTAACTCGCGCGCCAAGAAATCCCAGGGCTCACACGCCGCCTGCAGCCCTGTGGGGGAAGCGAATCCGCTGCTCCCGGACCTAAGCAATGTGAAGGCAGTCATCTGGCCTCGCGCTGTCGGCATTGAGTAAGCGGCTACTCTCATAAAACCATATTTCTGGGTTTCCTTGCCCGTCCAAGTGGTTCTCCAACCATGGAGATGCCGGTTTTCTTTTCTACTTCGTTCGACTACATATCGGGCGCCCGGCCCTCGGAATGGCCAATTGATGGGTTTGCGAGGGCCTCTGTGGTTTATAGGATCCGAGTGGGATGAAACAAACTGCGGCGACGACAACAGGCTCTGACCTTAAAATGGGTGAATGAATACTGATGCCTGGTTGACCGAAGCATACATTACATATACGCTAGAGTTCAAGCTCGCGAATTCCCCTCTTCATCGTTCTTCGTCATCATAACCAACCTTAGCTATCGCCTAGCGGCTCGGGACCTACGCTTCAGCCCCGTCTCAAACTGACAGCCGCAGCCGCTCGGGATCGGGCTCCTCACCGCCCCCCAGTACCCACTTCTTTTTAGGTCGCTCCCGCCTCACGGGAGCCGGTCTTCCCCCAATGCTCTGCCTACCAGCACCACGCGGGAAACGAATAGCCCTGCCAACCTCATCACCACACCTATCATCCTCACCAGGACCAGAAAGCCGCTACTACCGGCCCGTATTACGACGAATACTACCGCAAAAACGGTCAATGTTCTGCCTCCTGCTCGGCTTCTTCCTGGCCGGCGCCATCTACGTAGCCTACCTGTTCGCGGCCGAAGCGGAGCTGAACATCCCATGGGTGCCCGACGCCTCGGCCCGGCTCTTTGCGCAGCGGCCCCTGCCGCCGCCGCTCGAGGACACGTTCCTCTCGTCGCCGCGGTACACGCTGCCGCTGCGCGCTAGCGGCCGCGACATTGTCGACGCCAACGGTCGCCGCTTCAAGCTGGCCAGCGTCAACTGGTACGGCGCGTCCGACGAGCTGTTCGTGCCCGGCGGGCTGGACGTGCGGCACCGGGATGACATCGCCAAGACGATCCGCCGGATGGGGTTCAATTCCGTGCGGATGCCGTACGCGGATGAGCTGGTGATCGCCAACCCCGTGATCATGCCGCACCTGCTGAGCGCGAACCCGGATCTAGTGGGCAAGCGGGCCATGGATGTGCTGCAGGCGGTCGTGGAGGCGCTGACGGCGCAGGGGATTGCGGTTATCATGAATAACCACATCACCAGCGCGACGTGGTGCTGCGGCGCGGATCCGTGCGATGCCGGGTGGGCGAACGACCACTTGCCCGGGGCGATGTGCCGGGTGCGGCAGACGGAGGAGCAGTGGATCGAGCACTGGGAGGAGGTCATGGCGCGGTTCTCGAACAACAGCTTGGTGATCGGGGCGGATCTCCGGAATGAGGTGAGGGGGTTGTGGGGGACCATGCCCTGGGAGCGGTGGGCCGCCGCGGCGGAAAAGGCGGGGAATCGGCTGCTGAAGATGAACCCGGACTGGCTGATCATCGTCGGCGGGACCGAGTCCGGGAACGATCTCTCCGGCGTTGGGAGGCGGCCGGTGGTGCTGGACGTGCCCGGCCGGGTGGTCTACTCGGCGCACGTGTACGCCTGGAGCGGCTGGGGCAGCCTGGAAGGGCGATACTCGAAACGGTCGTACCCGAGCTTCGTCCAGTCGATGCGCCACAACTGGGCGTATCTGGTGGAGGGCGACATCGCGCCCGTGTGGATTGGGGAGTTCGGCGCGCCACAGAGGCCCGGCGTGGGGGACGCCAATTACTGGGATAACCTGTTGCGCTATCTCAAGACGATTGATGCCGATTTTGGATACTGGGCACTCAATCCGCGGAAACCGAAGGATAATGAGACGGAGGGCTACAGGCTTCTAGAGGACGACTGGACCACGCCGGTGCTAGATTACAGGATGAAGGACATGACTCAGTTGATGCGGGCTGGCAGCAGGAAGTGACCAGGGTGACTGGCTCTCTTTCTGTGCCCGGGATGGGATATAATGGTGTTTGGGTCTCGTTTTGCACCTCTGGCGTCGTGGTTGGGTTATCTTCGAAACAACATTGTTTCAAAGCATCAATAGCGTCGGTTCGAGTTGGCTGCTCTGTGGATATGGATTGGGCACTTTGGCGTTGCTCGGTGGGCTTGGCACTGTGCGCGATTCCGGTGGCGGCGAGGGTTTCAAGGCGTTGTTGGGAGGAAAACTGGTCGTGAATGCTGGGTGACGCATCTTGATACCATCAACGCCCGAGGTGTTACCATTTTATGAATTGACCTGAATGTTCGGTTGCATCGCCAGACGTCATCTGATTGTATGTAAGGTAGTATCTACCTGAAGGAAGCGTCCGCCGGAATTAAGCTAGAGTGCTTGATAGGTATCGTATATTTGGAGCGACGATCAAGGAAGTCCCTTATGCACAAGTTGGCATGGTTTTCTGCTAGCAGTCGTCTTATAGCTTAAAAGGCTTTACCATACCTACAACATCAACTTGCCGTAGGCAGTACCGTTATCTCACGTCCCAGAACCGATGCGTGGTGCGTGCACCGGTGACGTCTTGGATCACCCGATCTTTCGCTACCTCGTTATCGATAAGCCCGATAGGGTATGTAGCTCGAGTCGGTACCTTACCCAATGCCCCTCAACGTCGCGCCCCGCCTTATCCAACTTACAACAACAACTCGCCAACCTCTCTCCACAAACGATGTACCGCGCTCTCTTCGTAAAACTCAGATCGGTTGACGGAACGTGACAAATGGCTAACGACGGCCACGAAGGCCGCGAAGACCTCTACGTCAGCCGGACCTGCTATGTCCAGACAGCTGAGAGCAGGGTGAGCACATTGTCGTCTTGCAAATCATGGCTCAATGACAGCGAGATTTCCAACTCCATCCTGGAGGAAAGGGGGGAAGGTGGAAGCTTGTTGTGTCCCGGACCACTCATCCATGGTTTATGGGCCAATTTTAGCTAACCTAACCTGCTCCCGTCCTAGTTCGGGAAAGATGTTCTCGACGAGATAGAGACGTTTGTCTTTGAGCTCCCACACGTATCCAACGTCATTGTGGAGGACGACGTCGGAAGTGAGTCTGAGGATGAAGAAGAGGATACTGAGATGTACGATGTCGAGACCTCCTCCGACTTGGGGGAGGAGACAGATTCGAACCACGCCCAGCACGGATTCCCTAAGATTGCGACGACGAGGAACAATCTGACGGCCCTCTCGCAACGGTACAATGTAGGGACAACCCGGCCGCGAGAAACAGTAATGGAGAGTTGTACTGACCATAAGTCGATGGGACAGTTGTACTTCGCAGCCTATCAAGACAGAATTTATGTCTACCAGCCCCAGAGGACCGGGCCACGGATCTTGCCCGCCCCGTCACTCATCCTCCACCCGCCGCGATCCCCGCTTGGGACATCCTGTCCCGGAGCCATCGACACATACTTCCCGCATCAAATCAACCACATAATCGTGGGCAATCTGGGGAATATGGAAATTGTCCTGTTTGCCTACGATGATGGCGACGTGGCGGCTTACTACACATATGCGATCGCCCACTGCATCAAGGCTAACAGCGATGCGGGCCGCAGCCCTGGATCTCGCAGCCGTCAAGCAGCGCACCCGAAACTCTGCTTCCAGGACAATGTCGGTAGCTCGGCATGGGGACTTGCTATCCACGAGCAATCCCGCCTGATTGCCGTCGGCTCGAACTTGCGCATGGTTGTTGTGTTTGCTTTTGCACTCAGCCGCCCCTCCGCCGCCGCCGTCAAATTCTCTACGGATGGGAAGAAGCCCGACGAAATAGAGCTTGAAAAGCACGTGCGATCCAGGACTAGGACTTGGCGGATCGTCCTACCGCTTGGCTATGAAGGGCACAACATCCCCAACGTCACCTTCATGGATGACGAAGCGGGAGAGGCAGACAAGGTTGTCGCCATCGACATTCGTGGCAACGTATGGCTTCTCGACATCTGGAATGTGGGCCAGGCGCCCGTCCGATGGCCAAAGGCTGTTTCAAGGGGACGTCGTACGCCAGCGTATGAAGTTGTCAAGGCTATGTTTTCCGAACCCGAGATGTGCTGACAGTTCTGCAGGGTTGTGGGCTGGGGCGTGCTGGTTCTTCCGGATAGGTGTTTCAAGCGGACCCAGACGGTGCGCGAATGTCTCGGGGTCCCGGGAAACGAGGTCATTGCCGTCACGAAGCTCGAACAGACGGGTCCTGCATTATCGCAGAACAACACAGTTTGGCTGGATACGACATGTAGCCTGTATTATATCCGGGAGCTGTCGCTACCCGCCGAAGCCGTGTTCCGGCGGCGCCAGAACACCGCCGAGTATGCGGTGACCCACGCCTGCAAGTCGGTATTCGTGGAACAAGATCTCTCGGACTCATGGGAGACCGATTCCGATTCTGAAGATGGGGCCGTGAACCTTCCTTCAGCGCCGGACCCTTTTCACAACAAAGCGGTACCCTCCGGGTCGAAAACCGGCACCGAGAAACAGGGGCGTAAAGTACTGCCGCCCTCCACCACCGACTGCCCGTGGTATCTCAAGTCCGGCGATACGACAGACGGCGCCCAGATGCTTGGAGTCATTAATCCCACCTCTAAGAATGTGGCATCGATCGACAGCCTTGCCGGCGACGGGATGTACCATAAAAAGCTCGGAAGCTATAGCCTCCGTCAGACTAGGGATGGAAGCCAGATCGAGTTCTCCAAAGCCGATCTGCCGGAGCACGCCGTCAAGGATTACTGCCTCCTCCGCACTTCCTTGACCGACATCGAGCTCCAGCCCTTTAACAAAGACGCGCCCTGCATCGACTGCAAGTATGTCCTCCCGCACCACACCAACGCCCCGAGCACCCCCTGGGATCTCCACCCGACCTACTCGGAGCGCGTGAGCATGCTCATCCATATCCCGCAGCTGAACCTGGTCGCCGCCGGCTCGCCCACCGGTCGCGTCGCCCTCATCACGCTGACCAAGACGGCCAAGAGGCTGCACATGACCAAACTGCGGCACGGCTTCCGCGTCGACTACGTCCTGCCCCGCAGATCAGAGGACGACAGAAAGCTGCGGCCGGGGTGTACGTTGATCGGCATTGCCATGTCGCCGGTGCCGTACCGGCCCGGAGTCGACCTCGAGCTGCGTCCGCGCGGGGAGAGGCCGTCGCCGACCATGTACAGACTTATCCTGCATTATAAGGATCATACGATTCTCATGTATGATATTGCGCGGAGTGGGGATGATGGCAGTTTGACGGTGTTTTAAACTGGAGCCGAGGGTCTGAGGGGGCTATCGGCTCGAAATGACGGGCATCTGGGGGGTGGCACTGGCTATGGGAATTGTGAGGATAATGGCAACGGAACCGGCTTTCGCTAAGGCGTTAGGTTCTGGTCTTGGAGGCTAGGGTCGCTCGCGGAGTTACACGGTACGGTAGATACCCGCCATCCATACCGGTCTGCGTGGATTTGCTTTCAGTTCCTTTGATGCTTGTATCTTTACCTTCCCCTCCTCTCTGTTTTCGTTGCTGGTTTACTGGAGCGCATCGGGAAAATAGGGTTTATTTTCCAGCGGCGGGTGAAGGGTAGACTAAGACCGTTGAGGTGGCCTGGGGACAGAGAGGAGGCAGCGCGAGCAGCATGAAGAATAGAATGATGGACTTTTGCCCTGAGGTTATGACCGTAATGTTCTCTCTTCTACTATGCCCATATAATAAGGAGTATCTTGATTGCAGCATGATGGGCCCTGCGGCTTAGATGCAAGTATCTGGGTCTGGAATGCGGGTCGGCGCTGATATGGAATCTCGACGTGTTTTCAGGGTTCACACACGCTCTGCCGAAGGTAGCGCACCGTTGCACCTAAGCTCTAAATTAGAAAATGAATATATCGAGCTGTCGATGGCTTTTTGAACCACAATGGCCTGTCATCATGTTATCTTTATTAGCGGTTAGCTGCCTTCAGCTGCACCATGAAGGAACCCTGCCAGTTGTCGGCGTCCATTATTACGTTGCAAGTTGCAATCATCTGCAAATCGAACCTCGAGCACTGCATCTCAACATTTGTATCTTCGGCCGTCCCAGGCCTCCCCGCAATATGTCGATCAGCGGGGACCTCACCCGTGTGAACATGCTGTGATACTTGAACTCGTGGATGGTGATGTAATCAGTGTTGAGGCAACCATGGAAGCATGGTTGGTCCGCTTGGTGTCAGTCGGGAACGTATCCTACCACGCCTACCTATGTGTTTCAGAGATTCACGTTGGTGCAACGCAATCATGGTGCATTCAAGGGTCCAGTTCAGGCTTGAAGAAGAAAGTATACACGTGCGCCTGATCACTTCGTAGCTTCCAAACAGGACAGCATTGAGGACTCCGAGAGTGTGGTTCAAATGGTTCAAGCAGCTCCGCCGGCATCGGCAATACGGGGGAGTCGGGACAGAAGATGCCACCACAGTGTGGGGTATTATCGGAATGGACCGTATCTCTCAAGACTTAGCTTGCCTTATCTTGCTACATAATAAGGCGGAGGAGAGTGAAAATGAAAAGGAATATAAATAATAACGAGGAGTCCAAACTAGATCCAGACAGCAGCCGTCCGCCAGAGAACTGCTGGCTCTCATGCGATGCCTCATGCCGTCCAAGCACAACTGTAAAGTCGTGACGTCGAAGCACTTATCAACAGCTTTCAGGTTGATTGACGTTTGGCTTTTGTTCAATCCCGCGTGTTGTCATTGGCTCCTCTCGACCGATAAGCTGCCTATCTCTTGGCAGACTTAGCATCCGCTTTCACATGGAATTCGCCCCGCTTCAGTGGGACGTCCTCTCATGGCAACAACAACCCAGAATCTCACTTCACGTGAGCCTGAGTACAAGTGTTTAGCATCAGTAGGGAAGCCCAAGGTTGTGGGAATCAGACATCAAGGCTCAATGAGATGGGTATCGGATATGCCGTAATTTCCATGGTTGAAATTCGGCCCGGCACATCGGGAGGTCCTCGCTTACGGTTCAGGGTCCGGCCGTCAGAGCATCGATCCTCGGTTTGATAGCGACCGCGGCATTTGAGTCTGCAATGGCTGGGGGAGCGGGTATGAAATGCGTATTCTGCCCATGAGAGGCAGCCTAGATATGACATACATTCGTGAAGAAACTGCTGATATCTCCGTTCAATCATGAACGATCTGGCGAATATTTGTCAGTCAGCGTGATGATTGACGGTTAGGCTCCACAGGATAAAGGCAGCAGGGTTACCCCGGTGTGAAACGCTGTGGAAGATCTCTGGAAAAGAGTGGGTACACAGATAAGGAAGCAATTGAGACTTTGATTGGCCAGCTTGACCCGACGACTGGTTCAGCTTTGGGTCCAGGCCGGAGAACTGAGCCTCAACATAAACTATTTGGTAACAGAAACTTGCGGCCCCACGCTTCCCGACTTGGCCATGATTGTGGCTTTTCTGGCTCGGGAAGAGTCGCCTTCCTGCATGAGCATTTCTTGTGGTCTTCGGGGGAGGCGGTTCTGCTCACGTTGGCGGCAGTGGCATGCCGTTATAGCTGCAGAGGTTCAGCTTCGACGGGTGCGTGAAGTGAAGCATCAGATAACCAGAGCGAGCTCAATTGGGCGGCGCTGTCCGGCTCCATGCATGAGAGAATGAGTTGCAGCTGAAAGGTGCGCCAAGAGTACGGCAAGGCGAGTTTGCCCACCAGCGGGTGCCGAGCCCTGCATCAGGCACAGTTGAACCCGATCGCCAAGCTCATTGGCCAGTGGGGACGCTTTGAGGTCCATTTATGGATGTCCATTTTTCTGGGACGACTAGCCGGGAAAGGTATTCCCCAACCCGTCATCTGTGTTCCGCCGACGATGCAAGAATTGTGATGGTGCTCTTCGGTTTGCCCGTCAGGTTGTGATTGACGGGTGACGACATTGACCTGAAAAGGAAACGCCAGCCCTGTGCCCCGCAGACACGGGAAGATTCACGCCCTCGCACAGAGCTTGCATGAACTCCCGGCACCGCGGGGAGCCTGCAGCTTTGCCGACATTCTTCACTACAGAGCTTTATTATGAAGGAGGGAAACCGACCCGCAAATGCAATCATTCAGCTTGGAGAAGGTAACCCCCTCCTTTATCCGCTGTCGTGTGCCTGCACCCCCACCTAAACCCGGGACTTTGGAACTCATAAGTTCATCGTTTTAGACATCCCGATAGGAATCTGAGCCCCCATGAAGTGACAGTGTACTGATGATCTAGACATGCCCTACCACCTCGAGATGCTCGCCATAAGAAGGATTTCATAACACGGTTTGAATCTAGTAGTGCTCATTGACGGTCATACGGAGTCCAGGTTGGGCACTCCATTGATCATGCCCGCCTTTCACCTCATCACGATGTGATCCCCTCTATATGTCATCTTTGACGATCGAGGGTAATGGAATCCAGTTTTGATGCTAGGCGAGCACAACCAAACCTAGGATACTCCTGCGTCCGCGGCGCGGAATGCGGAGGTGCAGTGCAGTGGTAGCTTGCGGCAAAGTTGAGAAGAGTATCCGGAGCGCGGGGATCCTCCTCCACATGTTGGATGCCACCCATCAGGCGTCGTCCGCTAACTCTTTTAGGTAGCCCTTCGAGAAATTTAATGTTTTTACAGTTGATCCTCGCTTCCATCCATGAACTGGGGCCACACTCCGTACAGCCACGCCCTTCAAACCCAGCATCAGAGATTTTGCCGCGCCTATGTATTCCACACGATCGAAACCGGGCGACAAGACGGCCTGATTGCACACCGATCTAAGCCCAATGGCAGGGGAGGAGCGGAACCCACGCACCCTTTTCGGGCTCCCACGCCAAGGTAAGGAAAGACAGTCGACGACTCGACACGCCTGCAGCGCTCACCCGCACCCGCAATCGCAACCCGCATGGGGCGCGTTTCCCTTGTGCCTGCCGAATTGCCCCGGCCTGCTGTTACTGCTCCCCACTTTGAACTGATAGGGCATTGACGAGGTCCCAGTAGTAATCTGGTGCAGGGTTCCTTTCGGCCCTCATTTATATACTCGTGCTCTTGTCTCACCTTGAATCATGCTTGTTCACTTCTCAGTCTTGTTGTTCTTGTGCCTTCCGATCTCGTCCCCGGCCCTCATGCCGCATCGGCCCCATTTGCTCCCGGCCATCCATCCCATCACCTGAATCTACAGTCCCTCGGTCGCAGTCCTCTTTCCTGGCACAATAGCAAACTCCCTAACACCCGAAGCCCCGTCCGCAACGGACTTCCTCCGCCCGCCATGTCGACCACCGACGAGAGCAGCGGCAATGCCGGCACTAACTCAGGTAAGTTACCACACGACACCTCCCGACACACCCAGTAGCTCCATACCGGTCTCAAGACAAACCCCCCGGAGAGACTTTTCGACGATCACTGACATCGCCACCGCTCTTCCAGCCGACGATAACTTGAACCTGCCGTTCAATGCAGGCGACCAGGCCTTCATCATCGTGGCCTCGGCCATGGTCTTGCTTATGATACCGGGCATCGCTTTCCTGTACTCGGGTCTCGCACGGAGAAAATCGGCGCTCTCGCTCATCTGGGTCGTCATGATGTCCTTCAGCGTCATCGTCTTCCAGTGGTACTTCTGGGGGTACTCGCTCGCACTCAGCAGCACGGCGACCAACGGTTTCATCGGGAATCTCGACAAGTTTGGGCTGAGGAATACGCTGGGTGACCCGTCGCCCGGCTCGCCGCTTATTCCAGAACTCCTGTATTCTTTCTATCAGGTGGGTGGGAGAGAAAAGCACTCGAGAATCCTAATGTACTCCGACAGGGGGCTAATAAGCGTACACAGATGCAATTCTGCGCCGTCACTGCCGCCCTGGTTGTCGGAGCGACCGCCGAGCGTGGCCGCGTCGTCCCCGCCATGGTCTTTACCTTCTTCTGGGCCACGCTGGTCTACTGCCCGGTCGCGTATTGGGCCTGGGGCGCGAACGGGTGGGGGTTCAAGTACGGCGTGCTCGACTATGCCGGCGGTGGACCTGTCGAGATTGGATCCGGTTGCTCGGCGCTGGCGTATTCCTGGGTACTCGGTCGCCGCAACGAGAAGATGATGCTCAACTTCCGCCCGCACAACATTTCGCTGATCACGCTCGGCACTATCCTGCTGTGGTTTGGCTGGTTGGGATTCAACGGCGGTTCGGCGTTCGGAGCCAACCTGCGTGCCACGATGGCTTGCTGGAACAGCTGCCTCACGGCCATGTTTGCCGCCATGACTTGGTGTCTGCTCGATTTCCGTCTCGCGAAGAAGTGGTCGCTGGTTGGCTGGTGTTCCGGCACCATTTCCGGCCTCGTGGCAGCCACCCCGGCCTCGGGTGTGATCACCCCCTGGGCAAGCATCATTCTGGGCGTCGTCGCGGGTATTGCCTGCAACTTCGGCACCAAAGTCAAATTCATCATTGGCATGGACGACGCACTCGATGTCTTTGCGGAACACGCCATCGGTGGGATGGTCGGGCTCGTCTTCAACGGCTTCTTCGCGGCTGACTACATCATCGGCCTCGACGGTGTCAACATGGAGGCCACGGGTGGGTTCCTCAACCACAACTGGCGCCAGCTTTACGTTCAGATCGCCTACGTCGTGGCCGCGACCGCGTATACTTTCGTTGTGTCCGCCGCCATTGCGAAGGTGATCGACCTCATCCCCGGGCTTCACCTGCGTGCAACATCCGAGGCGGAGCTGCTCGGTATGGACGACGATCAGCACGGCGAGTTTGCTTACGACTACGTCGAGGTACGGGACCATATCCACTTTTCTCTCCTGATACCCCTACTGACATGGTATTTGCTACAGGTCCGTCGTGACTACCTGGCCTGGACGCCCGCTGAGAGGGAACCCAAGGAAGACGGCGTGGTTGTGATCCCTCAACATGGCATCGAGGGGCACCAACACCTTGTCGACAACGCCCGCCTCCGCGCCCCGAACAGTTCCAAGGGTGGGAGTAGTAGTGGCGCTGTTACGCCGCCGCTGGAGAGGGAGCCGGAGCACTCCTTGGCGAAGAGCCCATCAGATTTGCCGGCGGTGAACGAGAAGCCGGATGAGCCTACACAATAACATATTACCCGCTTTTAATACTGCGTGCTTGGTTGGCTTGGGTCGGTTAGCGCTGTTTTGGTTCTGGTCGTTTGGGATTTCTGGGTTTTGCTTGGGCTAGGTTATGTTTGCCTGAGAAGCAAAAAATGCGGTCATGGTTTCGGGATACAAGATGGTACGAGTCGTCTTTTGACGCACGAGTCATCCGGGGGCTGCTCTTCCTTTTTCCCTCTTCCACTTCTACTTGTCTTTGTTACCATCTCATATGAGCTGACATCTTTTTGTATAATACCCCATGGTTACTGCCGCTACCTGCTCGCTCGTGAAATTGAAGTTGGATTCTTCATCTTACCCTTGCGCCGGCAACAGTGTGAACTTTGACTGCACATGGTGGGCGTTCGATGTCTAGTCGGGACGACTGATATCTAGTACTTTTGCGCGGCATCTGTCGTCGGAGCTAATACAGCTAAGCGGTTTTGCCTGTGCCAGAGGGAGGCAGAATGGAGGGTACCGGGGAAGCGGGAGGGAGGTGGGATTGAAGCTGGCTAGCCAGGCACAGCCGGGTTCTTGCACGGTTACACAACATCGGTACCTAGGTAGGCAAGCGTCTCGGTGAGTAGTAAGGTATGAGGCCTCAGGAGGCCGACACGGTGTTGGATAGCTTGAAAGGCGGCAGGAAAGGGAGATCCGTTCCGGGTTAGGGGTGCGTTTGGTTTGACGTCTAATAGAACGGCTGCGCTGACGGGCCCTTGGACAGCCTCCTGTCGATAGAACGAAGAAGTTTGCGGATTCGAGGTCTCGGAAGGCTGGCTCGCCACATCCCGTCGAGTGTTCCGAGCCGAATGCCCTCTCGACAGGACGGCATAGTGGGGCCGTCCGGTGCCGGCGTCGGGTCTGCGTTCCGGCTGGGGCGTCCCGTCCGTTCCTCCGAATTGCCGGGGCGGAATCGGCACGTATACCTGAAACCATCCAAAGGTGGTCTTAAGTTCTGGTGTTTCTCAGCCGATTATCAGGATAAGGCCACTGACTGCCTACCTTATGTGCTTTAGTTGTGCGGTAAATCAAGCCAGAGCACTCACGACCCTAACACCGAACCAATCATTCCCTGTACCGAGGCTCACCGTCGCTGACTTGGGACCTGATCACACCTGTCCATCCGAAATGGTGTGGTAATCAAATCGCATTGCCAGAGGTGTGCTTTCGGACCTGAAACTGCCACTTCCGGCAAGGCTCAGCCAGGTATCCGGATTTCATAGAGACCGGGGCGTACGGGAGACACCTAACACTGGGTCGTGCCCGACAGTCAGCCGCGTTGAACGCCACGTGGGCGCAGCCGGCCTCAGTCGACGCGCCGCTCATCTAATTTGGTTCTGCCTGGAACAACTGAGCTTTTGGTAGCCGTGATTGTATGCTCAGCGAGGCTACTTAGTCCTCTTACATATCTGAAGGTAGTTCTTGAAAGAACAACTCTGTTCTTTTTTTATTTTGTCGCCGCTCATCTCTCACTCCGCCATCTATTCATATTGTTCACTCACCACGACGAGCCCACCAAAACCATGAGCCCCATCCAGACCGAGGCCGACAACAAAGGCCTCGTAATCGCAGGAACTGCCATCGCGACTGCGGCGTTGTTCTCGGTCTTCCGTGCCTATTTGTGGCCGACGCCCCCGAGGATTGATCGCTCCCCTCTTCGCACCGTCCTGCCCAGGTTATCTCCAGATGAGCTTGAGAACCTCGAGTACAAGCCAGACGACCTTCCCGGCGGAAGAGATGTCGAAACACCGGTATGCCGCCAATATATCCTGTTACAAACGGCCTATGCTAACTTCCCTGCGTCTTCAGTATGGCTCCATCCGGGTGTACGAATGGGGCCCGTTAACCGGCGAGAAGGTTCTCTTCGTCCATGGCATCAGCACCTCGTGCCTGACCCTGACCAAGCTCGCCGACGCGCTGGTCCGGGATAAAGGCTGCCGCGTCATGCTGTTCGACCTCTTCGGGCGCGGCTTCTCCGACAACCCGTCCGACCTGCCGCACGATGCGCGCCTCTACACGACCCAGATACTCATGGCGCTGGCCTCGTCCCCGGGCCTGTCCTGGACTGGGCCCCAAGCCTTCAAGCTGGTAGGCTACTCCCTAGGCGGCGGCATTGCCGTCCACTTCGCGGCCTCCTTTCCGCACCTGGTCTCCTCGCTCGTGCTGCTCGCGCCCGCGGGGCTAATCCGCCCGGAATCGTTCGGCGTCCTCACCCGCGCCGTCTTCACCTCCGGTCTGGTCCCACCACGCTTGCTGGCCTGGATCACCCGCCACCGGCTCAAAAAGCCCATCCGCTCCAGCGGCAAGCGCGGGAACAACAGCAGCCCCCTCCCCGCATCCAACAATCACGACGCCACATCAACAACAACAACAACAACAACAACAACAACAACAACAACAACAACAACAACAACCGCGAAACCAGATCCCGTAGCCGCCTCGCTCTCCGAAACCACCCCCCTCCTCCCGGGCTCCTCAACCCCGTCAGAGCCGCGCAACGCGCTCGAACAGCGCGTGTTGCGCGCCGTGCACTGGCAGCTAGCGCACCACACGGGCTTCGTGCCGGCCTTCATGTCGTGCATCCGCGACGGCCCGATGATGGGGCAGCACGCCGTGTGGCGCAAGCTAGCCGACCGCGCACCGGGCACGACCGCCATAATCCTGGGCGAGGGCGACGAGATCATCGACCCGGAGGAGTACGCCGCCGACGCGCTGCCGCTGCTGGGCGGGCGGGAGAACGTGCGGTGGGTGCTGGTGCCGGGCGGCCACGATTTCCCCATGACCTTTGCGGAGGAGGCGCTGGGGGAGGTCTACAAGGCTTGGGGGTGGGCCTGAAGTCATGTTTAGGGGTGGGAAAGGGGTTGGAAGAGAACATTTATTATAGAGCGTGGGAGCCACTTTGATACCAGATTCTGCTCACTCTGTTTAATCACTGTGTGTGGGAAGCTCGTCCGTTTGAGCTAGACCCAAGACCGAAGATTGCGGAGTAAAGCATGTGCAGATGGAAATGCCGACGCCTCCCAATCCCGAAGCGGAGAGAAAACTGTAGCCATTTGCAAGGTATCATCTCTACTAAATCCACCGGACCGGAGCGCCCTTCCGAGTCGGCACACAAACGCACACCTGACGCGATTATCATCCCATTCCGGACTACCTATCCAACCTCCGAAGTTGGGTCTATGGAACTCGCAACGCAAAAGCTGCAATGAAGGATGGCTCGAGGGACGAGCGCCGTCGTTGAGCGATTTCTAGCCTTGGGCGTCAACGAACACGTCTTCCGACTCGGCCGTGTTGGTCCGCTTGATGCCGCCAGGTAGGTCCTTCTTCATATCCTCATGAAAGTCGACCAAGGGACCCTCTTTGGTACGGCTCCCTGTCGAGGAAAGCATCTCTTGAATCTCGCTCGTGCTGTTGTGAGAGGGGTCAATGGGTGGCCGGTATCCTTGATCTTGCTCCTGGCTTTGCTCCCCATTCGATGGCTGCGGCGATACTGATGATTTCTCGTCACCAAAGTCTATTAGATTGCCGTCCTCGCTATTTGGCTCCTTCTGCTGGTCTTCCGCGTCAGACGGCGGCGCTCGGGGCGGAATCGCGTTTTCATGACGGAACTGTTGGCCCTTGAGGATCGGGTAGATGGCCAGTATCTGCTCCGCTTGCTTCTCGGGTGTAGATCCGTCTCTGTCACCGCGTTAGCCCATGCCTTGCTGCACAGAACGGGAGTGTTGTCCAACATTTGGGCGTTGATGATCCACTCGAGATCTTCCTCGCCCTCTTCCGACCCACCAGGGCCGCCTCTGACCCTCCTGAATAACCTGGGGTGCCACTCCACGCCGTCCGCGGCTCGCTTGGCGGCTTCCTCGCGCTGCCTGTCTTCGATCTTTGTCTTTTCCTCGGTTGCAAGCTCGTGGTTGCGTTTCTTCACAGCTCGTGCCGTCTTGGCCCATAGTCGCTGCGATTCCCTCTCCTCTTGTTCCTCCAGGGGTCGACAGATGGGAGGACTGGGTTTCGCTTCCTGGGCATTGAAGAACATCTCCTTGCGTCCGGTCTTCCTCCAAGTTAGTTTGATGCGGCTGGAAACTCCTCTGTAGACATACCTTCACGTCCTTGATAAACATTTCCTCGCTCCAGAGACCTGAGAGTTCGTAGAGTATCTCCCCTGTGTGGTCGTTCTTGATCACGCCACCAATAGCGTTGTATGTGCCACTAACCCAACCCTTGGTCTTGAACTCGATATCGGCCGATAGTCCCGTACCCGGACACCGCACGTAACTGTGGTCTCCGAGCTCATACTTCATTTTGCCGAATAAGATACCCCTGGCGTACATGTTCGGTTGCGTGAGGATGCTAAGACACAGCGCATCAGCCAAATGGCCGCCAAAGTCTATCAGAAGGGGCCTTGCTCACTATCGTTCGCCTTTTACCGGATCTTTCCCCCTGTTTAAAATCGACAAGATGGCGATACCCTCCATCATACTGGCGGCAGAATTCCCCAGGAACTTGCTCCTGGGCTTGAGCGTCCCGTCGACTCTAATGTGATGTCCCGGAACCATGTAGAAATAGCTTGATTTCGGTGGGTGATGCGAGGTCTGCTCGGAGATGTAATAGGCCCTTGTGTCGTCGGGGAATTCCCAGCTGCAGGTGAAGATCTCGCCGAGGATAGGGTTGAGGGGCTTCTTTACTCCCCTAACGCTCTGTCAGGACTTAATACTCAGGGTGTTTCCGGGCGAGCGAGGACTCACGGAGGACGGAGATGCCAGCCACTGAGGTAGAATTTTACCACGGCGACGAATCTTTCAACGGGGTCGTCGATTTCGGGAATCGGCAATAGCATCTCGGGGTGGCACATGAAGCTTTCGCCTGTTCGTTAGCTCACTGAGCATTGTACCCTCCACGGCACTGAGTTCAACAGGCACATAGGCATACTTGGTGATCCTTTCAAGCATACTGCGTGGTTCCAGGATGAAGGTTGGCAGTACCACTCTGCTGAGGTCGGCGCCCGGTCTCAACTGGGAGATAATGTGCGAGAGGACTACGTCGATGTCAGCTCCTCCTGCCCATCGACGTTCTTGGCGCGACTGTTCACAGACCATTTCCTTGATCGGGCTCGACCACGAGTGTGTCATCTTCTTCCGTTGCTTCCCCAGAGGATCGACTGCCTGGATCGCAAATCTCATGTTAGCGCAAGCAACTCGTCTCTGGCATGCGTTTCCCCCCGGGACGCCTCAACCGGACTGCCTCCACCTGATCTTGGTGTTCGCAGTATCGCTTGCAGAAGAACGGGATTGTTCGCTACTCACTCGCATTCGAGGTCGCCCGGCGGCGCCCAGGGACAAGGTGGCCCACCATTTTCAAGCTGTCGGTAGGCATGATCGCCCTTCTCTTCGTTCAAGCCGTTGGCAGAAGAACAAGAAAAGGTGGGGTAGGGGGGCTCGAAGGGGGTTTTGTTGGGATCAGGAGAATGTCACAACTGGAATATGCCCTACAACCTGCCACCGGTGTCTTATTAACAGACGTGAACCCGGAGTTCGGATGCCTAGAGCGTCTATCCAGGGGATACCTACGTCAACAGACAGGCAGCAACTAGGTCCACGGGTTGGCCGGGAAAGTTTTACTGGATGGTTTTGTAGCCGCAAGCATTGAGCGAAGTCGGGCGGGGTCTCGGGGAGGGGCAGAAGAGCGATGACGTGGGTCTCCCGGAACCCTACATCATGTGCCGGAAAGCAGCCCGAGCATAACTGAAATGTGATCAATCAGGGCGTAGTGTACTAATAATAATAATAATGAACAAACAATGAGACAAGCCTCCGGAATTCCAGGATTAAGATCAATTGTGCTGCCCTGGCCGACTAGTCAAAGCTGCCATAACCACAGTTGCTCTCGAGAGTATCTTGCTCGAAAATGCTCCCTTTAGGTACTCCGTACGAAGTTCTTTCCATCTTTTAACCCCACGTGGGGCGGGCCCACCGTAGCTCTCCGTCCCAGTTCTGCAAGGGGTGACATCCGATCTCCGCCTCCACAATTCAATTAACCCTCAAGAACGGGAGGTCTGGGTGTTGAGAGACCGTATCAATATTCCGGACGAAGAAGGAGCCAACAACTTCTCTTTGGCAGAGTTCTTGAAACATGTTAGAATTGGTCCATCTCTTGTTGCTGATCGGGTGTGTGAAGGACGGCGTCAGTTGAATGCGCTCACGCTTTGCGTTTTCCACTGGCATTGAGCCCATCGATGCCATTTACGCTGTACTGCATTCTGTACTGTACAACCTCTCCTGCACACAACCTAGAAACAACAATACTACAAACGGCACAGTATGTGCTGACCAAACAAACTCGCTAACAAACTGACTGCTAAACACTCAACCAGACCTGCATAGAGAACAAGCGCTGACTACGTAGGAGCTGAGTGAGCTGGTTGATTGGGCCTCATTCTCTAACTATCTAGGTACCTACATGTAGTCTGGAAGGGCGATGTAGGCTGCCGTGGGCATGGAATTCCAGGGTCGCAACTCCCGAATAGGTATGTCTCTGCTTGAAGTTGAGAGCCGCCTTGCATGTGGATAGTAGTTAACTATTAGGGGACACGTGGGCGCTGCTGTCTCGATTGACGCTTCGGCATCAGGGCTATTGTTGCAACAAATCCTGCTGTTTCTGAAAATCGAAAGGGATCTTCACTTCACGAGCACCCAGGCTCATGCCGGGCTTTATTGCAGTGATTTTCCCTACGCACCACTGCAGGGTAACATGAAGAGCCTTATATAGATCTGCATAGACAATCGGCCCCAGCGGTTTCAGGTGTGCTGCCGTCAAGTGGCATCGTGTCGGGCCGCATAGGTTTGCACCTCGGATCTGAATGGCACCCTTCAGAAATAGCAGGACCGCATGAGTCGGTGAGCTCGTACACTAGTCCCCGGGCCATTGGGTTGCAATACGAGCTTCAGCTGTCTCCAAACCATGATGGTGATGGAGGAATGCGCTGGACGACACGAGTGGGGCCAGAGAAACGAGATACGTATTAAGGGTTCGCCAACCGAACACTGGCATGTTGGCTAACGGTCACTGCCGCCCGACTTGTGGAGAAACCCTGAGGCCGTACCTTGATTCTGAAACATAAACTCTCGAGACCCGTCAGTTTGGTCTGCTGGTTCAGATGCGAGCTAGTCCGCTTTTCAAAAAAAAAAAAAACAAAAGGGGAAAAGGGGTCGGAAACGGATCTTTTCGAAGACTCTTGGCTTTTTGCACCTGCCCAAAGTTGCGACGTTCGAGTCCGAGTGTGAACTGGAACCGCTGGCGTCCAATACCGATTCAGCACAGGGCGCTTTGGAATCCTGTTTAGGAAGTCGATCCCTTCGCTTTGCTTGCGTTGCCCCGCCTGGGTAACACGGCCGACTGTCCACCGTTGCTGCAGCAAGGTAGCGCACAAGTTTGTGCCGGTCGAGAACGACGCCCTCGAGCCCTCCCTCTTTCCCGCCGTGCAATTCCAATTTACCACCAAACAACAACCTTCCGTCCGCCTCTCGGTCGAGCGACCCGCCTTTCCTTGCCTTGATCGAGTCACATGCGACATCCAAAGCCCAACAACACCAAGCCTGTTTGGCAACTCTGCAGTCAATCGTTGGGCTGCCAAGTGGTGGACGGCGGTGACGGGCACATGCTCCCTTTCCATTTCGGTCAAGGGAGCAACGTCTCTTTTCGGCCAGTGCCTCACCAGCGTTGAACGCCAGAGAACACTCATGAAGACGTCGCCCGCTCGATAGCGTTGCATACCGATCGAAAATGACCGAGAACGAGCCGCCCGCCGTTGCGATGCACGATGATGGGCGAAAGGGGAGAAGGGACCGCATCATGGGGAAGCTGTTCGGCCGCGATCGCGAACGAAGGGCAACCAACGAAGGCGACCTGAATGATTTCCTGCATGGAAACACCGACAAGCTGCAAGTTGCTCATGCAAGCCCACCCGTCCTCGCCAAGATCGACACCAAGACCGCCAGCCGATATCCAAATGCCGACCAGTTCAAGGGGCCTAGTGAGCCCACGACACAGGAGTATGCCCTGCGGCCACGCAACACGGTCAAGAAACCCAAGAAAGGCCTGGCCGTGAAATTTGTGGAGACATACCCGGAGATCATCGGCGATGGCGGCGATGAGTGTGATGTTCCCACAGTCGAGGTGTCGAAACGCAAGAAGCAGAGACCCCAACCTACGCCTAGCAGCACTCCGGGCACTGCTCGAAACCCGTTTGGAGACGAGAATGCAATGGATGCACCAGTTGGCCCGGGGTTCCTTCGGCGCACCCAGACAGGCCTCCCGGCAGGTTCGGGCGCCCCAGCATCCGCCCCGGCCGCAGGAGCCACGGGCAACACTAGTGGCCGTTTTCTAGGCGCCCCGACGACTTCCCAAGACGAGAAGCGAAAGTCGTTCATTGAGATACAACAGGCCCAGATGCGGGAGGCCGAGGGACGGGCCTTTGCCAATGCTGTAAGATCAGCCTCGGGAGATCAGTCGAAGCGCGAGCGGGGGGATTCTTCGCCTACCTTGACCGATCGTTGGGAGACAGAGTCGCCCACCACTTCTTCGCCAGACTCAGTACAACCCCCGCAGCTTCAATCGCCGGGCCAGCCTGTGAAGCCTCCCCCAATCCCCGCAAAGGCTCAACGGCCGCAGCTACATCAAATCCCGCCCTTGCCGTTTGAATCACGAGAATCACCTCCATCCCAGAATTCTTACACCACGACGAGCCAACAATCAGATCCATCACCCGAGAGACTGAGGAGGACCCAGACACTTGAGAGTAGCCCAAAAACGCTCCAGTCGGCGGTTTCCACTTTCCAGCACCCATTCGCATCATTAAGACAGGGAAGCAGGATTTCGGAGAAGGATATCACGTCTCCCGTTCAGCAACAAGGAATCGCATCGTTCCAAGATGTTGTGGCGGCTGCATCAGACGACGCTATGAACGCGTTTGTTAACCGCACACGTCACTTGTTCGAACTTTTCCGTCTCCATGCCGAGAGCGTGCGGCCGCTGATCTCTTCCCTACCCCAGGACCTGGCAAGGGCGGCCCTGTGGTGGTTTCTAAAGGGGCGGACAGCACTCGAGGTCGCCATCCGAGACCGCCCTTCCACCCCTGAATCACAGAGGAAAAATGAAATCACCAAACAGCAGGCTTACGCCGACTTGGCAAAGGCCTACTGGCTTATGGAAGAAGTTGTGCCCGAGATAGCCAGCAGCGGGCGAAGTCGAATTGACAGTGAGACGGAAACTGTCCGGGCCACACTCACCTCCAGCCTAAAGAAACTAGCTGTGTCCATGAAGAGAAACGGATTCCTGCCCCCTGAGGAGCCGTTCTTGCCTCAGATAGTCGACAGGTCAATCTGGCTCGAGTATCCCTCACTATCTCAAGATATTAAGTCTCTGCTCTGGGGCTCCAGTTCTGCTCTTTCCCAGAGCCAGGCCACTTCTGGAATGACGGTACTGGAATCCCTGCCACTAGGCGATTCCGCAACCACCTTCTGTTTTGCCCGCTTCCAGGTCGACGTGTACTTGATGGAGCAAGGAGGCAGGGAATCACAGCGGCTTTACCTCCCGTGCTTCTTATCCACCGTCCGACCACAAACACAGTCAGACATGGCGTTCGTCCTCGCAAGCCAGAACGGGGTGGTGCAGCTTCGGATCTCCGGCAACAAGAACACCGGCCCGGTCTGGGAAGATGTGCGGTGGCGGTCCGAGAACTTCAACTTTGAGGTAAAGTTGCCTCGTGGTTTCATGCTCATGGTGCAGTGCACTCAGCAGGCATACACGACATTGCGGAACATGTACGAGTTCAGCGCAAAGGTACATTCCAGCCTTTACCCGAGACAAGACGAAGCCTGCATTTTCAGGTCGACCCTGCGTGCGTTCCAGTATTTCGACAACGACCCGCAAGCAAGACAGTTTCCCAAAGAATCTACGCCCAGTTGTGAAATCGCCTTGTTCGAGCGTCTCTTTCGTGAGGGGGCAGCAACAGGTCCAAGGACCTATCACAGAGGATACCGGATCGCGGTTGTCACAGGCCCCCGGACCAAGACCCTGAGCGGCGTCAACCAGTCATACTCCCCCCAAACACCGATTCAGTTTGGATTCTTGCGGAGTGAGGCCAATGACCCTGCGCTCTCCCTCAAGTTCGACAACGGTCGGTTCAAAGGGAACATGGTCTTGTCGTTTGCGGATGAGAAGGAAAGGCTGCGTATGCACAGTCTACTGATCGGAACTGCCCTGGACCGGGGCGAAAGCGTCTTTGGCGAAGCACCTCTACAGGGACTCTGGTTCTCCGAGAGATACGGTGATGCGCGCGATAAGGGGTTGCAGGCGCTCTCCAGCATGGCATGGAACAAGGTCAGGGTCATCAACTACGACAACGATGGTGACAAGCCGGCATGCGTCCTGGCCGACAAACTGCGCGTTGTCTACGAATTCAAAGACGGCACCTTGACCGACCGCATCAACGTCGCACCTGGCGAGCTCAAGCTACGGCTCGACGTGCAGAATCCGACCTGCCTCATGGTCTTCCGCCAGCCCCAGTGCGACCTCACCCTCGCTGTTACCGAAGCCGCCAAATCCTCGCAGGACCTGACGAGCGGGCTCTCCCGGGCACTGGAGAGTCTCAAGCAGTCCGCCACGATCCGCACTTTCAAGTTCCCCAACCTCGGCGCACTGCACGCCTTTGAGACAGCCATCACAGGCTTCAAAGTCCTCTTTGACGGCGTGGCCTCTGCATTCGCCATCTCACGCCGCCGCATGGTGGTGCCCATCCACAAGAAGTGGGAGGCGGGTGCGACGAGGATACAGGTGGTGCAGCAGGACGGTGTGGCCCAGCTGCTGGCATTCTTTGAGGACTTCAGTCACGGGCAGTGCATGGGGTTCCATCTCAAGGGCACTGACGTGTTTGAAGCCTTCAATAGAGGCGGGAAGGCAGGGCTGAAGATCGACGATGCCAAGTTTCCGCTGCCAAAGGTCCTGGCGCCCGAGGCGGACGGCGCGCAGCAGGCGGCGGACGCGGCCTTCTTGTGTCTGGATCTACCTGAGTTGCCGGGGGAGCATGACGATATTTCCATACTGTTTGACAACGAGGCGGGTAAGTGCATGCATGAATAAAGAACCCTTAGGTGATTTCGGGTGTGAGGGCATGGCTGACAAGGAACATTGAACAGAGCGCGACAAACTTGTAGCTTGCCTCCCGGCACCGGTCAAGGCCCAGCGGCTACCCAAGATCAAGGGCATTACTTGAGGGGTTGCCGACGATTAGAGGCCCAGGGAGAGGAGCATGCCATTTCAGGAGATGTATCCTGCGTTGGTAGCATGAGATACCCCCTCTGAAATCTACCATGTTTTCTTGAAGTTCATGGTGGTTCGTTTTCTTTTTTCATGTCACATCATGTCAAGCATGGCTGCGTAGTGGTTTATGCATTGCTTGGACGTCGGTTCTCTATAGCTAAGTACAGGTCAAAACCCCCAAACCCTCAACGCAAGGACAATTACCATCCATCAACGCCTCAACTCCATTTGCAAGACTGTGCGTGAATTTTGACCGCTCCTTGCCCAACCACAGATGTGGCATCAGTCGTCTTGTGTAATGTTTCAACCTCCACTACCCCAAGAGAAAACCATCAGTGACGTTTCCGCATGAAAATTAGTCCCCTCCAGAAAGTATCAACCCCTCCGTCCTGGCACACGTCTCCCCTAATACCTCCTCCTTGTCGGTTCTGGGCTGGGCGACCGGGTGGGGCTGCGTGACCGCGGCCTCATCTTGAGCCACTTCTTGGTCGACAGCTCCAGCTCCCTCTCCAATTCGGGGCTCGGGTTCTTGCGGTGGATGAAGTTGCAGAAGCCGCCGCGCACGCAGCCCTCGCCGCTATTAAGCCGGCAGCAGGCTTCGCGGAAGTCGGTCACGGGGCTGAGCTCGCAGTAGATGGGGCGGGCGGCGTACCAGCGCGAGTTGAGCGCGTCACAGGCCTTCTGCGCGCTGTCCTCGTACTTGAAGCGCGCGTACACATTGCCGATCAGGTGGTCGTTGTTGTTGTCGCACACGACGAGCTCCTCGAGCTCGCCGTACTTGCACATCTCGCACCAGATGTCCTCGTAGAAGGCGTCGAAGTGGTTCTGCAGCTGCGACGCGTTCATGCGGTTCTTGGGATCGAACGCCGGGTTCTGGTACAGGTTCGGCATCAGAATCGTCTGGCTGTACGACGGCTTGACGTGCTTCCTGCTGCATCTATCGCCGTGCCGGCACGCGCCGATCTTGTAGTAGAAGGAGCAGTTGACCTTGTCTTGCTCGGTGCCGAAGATGGAGGCGAGGAAGTTGGCCATGTTGAGGCTCTGTTCTCTCGTTCGGCCGGTATGGTGTGTCAGATTATTTCTTTTGCAAGGTCGGGAGCGCTATTGATGTTTTCGCTGTACTTGCTGGATGATGTTCGAGTTTGGTGTTGAATGTTCAACCGCGATTGCTGCACTCTAAGACCGGCAGAAATGGTCTGGTTTGGATTCTGTCAGCCCTTTTGCCACAAGTGGCTGGAACAGGGCCTGATTGGCTGAAAATAGGTGCCAAGAAGCAAGGCTGAGAGTGTGGCTGAACATTCCAGAACATCCAAAGTACACAATCGCCCTGCCTCGGACTGGAACCGAAGGTTAGCCTTGTGGTTAGAGTGCCTAGAGACATTTTACATCACCTTTAGCTTTATCTGTACGCCTTGTCTACCATCTAGCTTGTTCCGCCTGGATATTACATTTTACACTTCCGCCGTACACCATTCATCATCGTCAACCCTAGAGTCCTAGATTTGGGGGTTCCGGTCTCTCCGAGTCTTGAGAGGACCGTAGAGCGGGACTGGGGATGACTCGACCAGTAGAGTCCATCGAATCCCCAGACAAAATGTGAGAGCTGTGAAATATGTTGCGGCGTCGTTGCTTGGGACTCTACCTACGTATGCTAAAATCTCGAGAGCTGTCTGTTGCACGCTGCTTTGAATAGGTAACGTGCTCCCAGCGGGCCTTGCGGTAGTGTTGTTGGTCTAGACCTTCCAGTGAATATAGAACCCCTGCCCTCCCTAGATCATACCAGCGAAGGTAAGCCTGAACGTTCATAGGGCTGCCGTCAAGTTTCCCTGAGATTGTACCCATAGACAAAAATTTTCGCTTACAAAGAAGGAACCATGGCTAACGCCCAACAATCTAGTACATACCTTCCCATTCGTCTTCCGGCATCTCGGCATGGAATAGTGGCAGCCCGTCCAAGTCCATGGCGTAGTACTTGTGGTAGAGCATCATGCAGCTTATCGTAAAAGGAGTCACCCACGACACCATGTCGTTGTGTGTGTGGCCGGTCGGTCCACAGTCTGGCACATGCCGGAAGGGACAAGTGGTCCTGGTACTGTCATCCGTGCTTCCATGAAGAACGTAATCTTTGAAATCAAGCATCATTTCAAACTCTTCCTGTGGGAGGGCTCGAAGAGCCGTGTGCTGTGCGTGCCAGAGCAACGCCTTCAGGATCTCCAGGACGGAGCGAAGTGGCGCAGGTTCGCCGAAACGAGGGTGATGGAACCGCCCGTACCTCAAAATATGGAGTTCCGCAATGTCGTGGTCTGGAATGTGATAGAGATCACAGTCAAATGCTGAACCTCGGACGCCGGAATCTGTAGCCGCATCTGGGAGTGAAGCGGCCGTGGATCCGGACCAAAAGCAAAGAACGAACACTTTGCGTAAGCTAGGTAGGGACTTAAGGTCTAGCTTGATAGCGGCCTCGACAACAAGTTCGGAACCCTCGCCAATAGCAATTTGCTGAAGACGACTGCGATCCAAACTCAGGAATGGATCAAAGACTATACCGTAGCGATCAACGCCGGTACGGCGCAGTCCTCCAATGTCGACATCGGCTTGTGCCCATGGTTGGAAGAGAGTGAATACATCCGTCTCGTAACTGATGAAGGGAACATCAACTCGTATGTTGTATGAGGGCAGTCCGCTACACTCGTCGGGCTCATATCCATAGTCGCGCAGGCTTAAATAACGTGGAGGCCGGAAGTAACGAGGAAGCCAAACGCCGCGCGACTCGCGGCAAGCGTGTAATGGCGGGAAGATGGCGTGCTCCGGCGATAAGACAATATACCGAAGCCGCCAGTCAGGGTGCCGGGTATCTACGCACAGCCGTCTTCCGACCTGGGTAAGGGCGGGCTTGCAGATGTTGCCGCCGGAGCATGCAGAACATGGCGTCTGGCCGATGAGGCATGTTGGCTGCGGTACGCTCTCCCAGATCATGAGGCGGAGTTCCACAGGAAGCTCCGTGAATAGGGAGAAAGGCGTTGAAGAGTCCTGAGACATTGCAGAGGTGCACTAGGACAGCAGCACGAGCTTGACAAGATGATCTCGATAGGTGAGTGCGTGGCTAACACGTTCAGTGTCAAAGCCGTATCCGGGCCGGTTCGCGCGATGGTAACCTGGAATTCTATCGGGTCCGTGGAAGAGAAGGAAGTGAATGGTTCGGCTGCAAACTACCTAAACACCATATTGGGCCTGAGTTTTTCAAACTAGCCCAGTTCAAAACTGGCCAATTCGTGACTTTCTGAACCATCTCAGTCTCTCTCAGATGCTCATCATCATCAGACCAGCTGTGGCGCAGGCTGCCGTGATGTACTGGAGAGACCCACTACCATTCTCAGCCAATTTCAACCAATATGAGCGAATATGAGTGCCGTGGAGCAGTCTCTCTACCTGTAGTTAGGCTGTGTAGAAAATGAAGGCCGCCCTTCGGTTCTGCGGCTGGCAGCTGCCACATCTCCGGTATATGTACCAGGCGAGCCAGGTACGTTTGTATCACCTTAGGTAGCAACAAAGCCGTTCAACGTTGTCCCATTCACCGCAGCCTAGCCGACAGTGATGTCTCACGTTCTAACAGAATATCTAGAACGGAGGGCACCTCTGCTGACAAAAGCGTTTGTCTCTCGCAGCCCAACCGCCGTCAGTCATTTCATCCCAGCGTAACATCGAAATCGAGGTCGCAATTCGCTTCCCTCATAGGGGCCGATCCACAGTTCCACTCGGCTCACGTGGTTCAAGAACAAATTAATTGCGACTAGCGTTAAGGAGATTCTAGCTTAACAATGGTCATTTTGTTAATCGCCATTCGTTGTCCTCGATCCCGTTGAATCAATCGCTCGCCCTAGGTTCAGCGAAAGTTGCCATTAGCTCCATGTATCGCAACTTGCTGCTACTAGTATCTAAACGTGTGCCGTTTCACGAGTCCGTGTCGCAACCTGGAAATCAAGGTTGCGGGAACCAAAACCTGCCGGGTGGCCGGTGCCGAGATTTTCGGCAGGGATCCTTGCCATGGCAGGCCCACACCGGACTCTGGGGTCGGAGCGACAGCCCACTCGCGGTAATGCAATTTGAAGGTTTGATCCGGACGAAACTGCGCAGGACACGTCGGCAGGAGCGAAACATAGCAGCAAATACGCTCAGTACTGGAATCAGAATACAAGGAGAGCACCGACTGCAGCTTTGGCGTAACAATACCAACCAGACACAAGTTTCCCAAGGTTACGGGATACATGTAGCTCTCCTCTTACATCACACATTAGCGCGGCAGCGCCAGCTGTGCCGGGGTGCATCACCTCCGTGATAGTTTCCTATGTAACTACTGTACGGATACTGACTGGCGTTCTCATGCTCCGCTCTCCGCCATTCAGCTGTGGAGGTCCCTAAAAGACGCATTCGAGTGGTGGTGGGAGCACCAGCCACATCTATCAAAGCTCAGAGTGTCTCAAATGCCTGCCCTGCACTACCTTAGGTTGGCTTAGCCGACACCGGTACCCAACCGCAGCCGCAACGGGGCAGCTGCATCACAATGGACGGCCCCGCCCTGTCCCAGACCCTCCTGACGTACCTACTGTAGGTACGGAAGTTACGTAGTGTATGTACCGTAGTACTCCGATCTCTGCTGATCTCCATCGGCCCAGCTGGACCTGGTTCTTGCTGGTATTGTGCCAAGACCAACCGCTGCATCTTGACACCTTGTAAGCCAGTGTGCTTGCGACGCTATTCATCTTGGTTTTGCCCTTCTTATCCCCCCTTACTCAACTTAATGTTAAGGCTTTTGCACGGTTCCAAAGGTCCAGTTCCTAAGACACGTTCCCACTGAACAGGCGTCTGCATCCATTTCCTCCGTTTCTCACACTCTCCCTTCCGCATTCGACTGTCTTGATCTGATGCCCTTTGTGCCGCATTCGCCGTCATAACGGAGCTCCAGACCCAGCTCGTCCAGCCAAGACAATCTGGCCCGACCCAGTTGCTGTCGCCAACAGACTCTCTCCGTGACGCTCTCCAACGCCGCCAATTGAGCCAATTGAGGAATTCAGCTACAGCTGCATGCGCAGCGTTGACCTCTGGTCATCATGGCGACCGCAAAAGCCGCCAATGAGCTCAAGCAGCAGGGGGTCCTGGAAGCTGCCCGTGACCCCAACAGCAACGTCACCGCGGAAGATGCCGAACGGAAGATCGTTGAGGACAGCAGGCAAGCGGGCGTGACGGCATTCACATTTAACCCTGATGCCAGTCCAGAGGAGAAGCGGGCTCAAGCCGAAGCTGTATGTCGTAGCCCTGCCTCCCCGCGCATCCCCTTTCCTTGCTCACGGCGGGTTCTGACTGTTCATTGTGGACAGGCAATTCCGGAGGGGTTCCACCGCAGACCCAAGGGCGTTGCTGTCGTAACCGATATCGATGACGGGACGAAAGCCGATGTCGATCTTCCCTCGCCCTCCAAAGCCGGGGCAATCGAAGTTGTCAAGCGCGAAGACGGAAAGAAGACGCTCGTAAATGGGCAAGTTGTCGAGGCCGAGGAGGAGGACGACTGGAGCAAGACAGGCTGGGCCCCGAGGTTTGGTTGGCCTACCGAACCCATACCAGAGGGCGAGGATATGCTAGACCATACGACGTGGGCTGAGTCGCAATTGCCTGAACAGTACTTTGGAGGTAAGGAATACCGTTCGCATGCCAGGAACTTGCATGCAGGCGGACGGCAGCTGACATTGCGCGTCATGTAGACTGGTACCACAATGCGGCCGTCATTGCGTTCGCCTGCCTCGCCTCGTGGCTAGTAGCTGTGCTTGGCGGAGGCCTGGCTTGGGTGTTTATTGTCATGGCCATCTGCTCGACCTACTACCGTACCTCGATTCGTCGTGTGCGCCGGAACTTCAGGGACGATATCACACGAGAGATGGCCCTCAAGAAGCTGGAGACCGACAACGAGTCTGTGGAGTGGATCAACTCTTTCCTGGTCAAATTCTGGCCCATCTATCAACCTGTCCTCGCGAAAACCGTCATCAACTCGGTCGACCAGGTCCTGAGCTCGGCCACGCCGTCTTTCTTGGACAGCCTGAGGCTGAAGACCTTCACCCTCGGTTCGAAACCCCCCAGGATGGAACATGTCAAGACGTACCCCAAAGCCGATGACGACGTAGTCATCATGGATTGGATGTTCAGCTTTACCCCCAACGACACGGCGGATATGACAGCTCGCCAGCTGAAGAGCAAGGTCAATCCCAAGGTCATCCTGGAAATCAGAGTCGGTAAGGCTATGGTGAGCAAGGGCCTTGATGTGATTGTTGAGGACATGGCCTTCACCGGCCTGATGCGCCTTAAGATCAAATTGCAGATGCCATTCCCACACGTTGAGAAGATCGAGATGTCTTTCCTGGAACGGCCGACCATCGACTATGTCTGCAAGCCGCTCGGGGGTGAGACGTTCGGTTTCGATATCAACTTCATCCCCGGGTTGGAGAGTTTCATCATGGAGCAGATCCACGGCACACTTGCTCCCATGATGTATGCACCAAACGTGTTCCCGATCGAGGTTGCGAAGATGCTCGCGGGCACCCCAGTCGACCAGGCCATCGGTGTGGTTGCCATCACGCTGCATGGCGCCCAGGGCCTGAAGAACAGTGACAAATTCTCGGGCACACCGGATCCCTATGCTGTGGTTTCTCTTAACCGGAGGCAACCACTCGCGCAGACCAAGGTGATCAGGGAAAACGCCAACCCCCGCTGGAACGAGACGCACTATGTCATCATTACTTCCATAAACGATTCTCTCGACATCGACATCTACGATTCCAACGATATTAGGAAGGACAAGAAGCTCGGTTCCGCATCCTTCCCGCTGGAGCACCTCGAGGAGGTCTACGAGCATGAGAACGAGAGGCTTGAACTTACCCACGACGGCAAGGCGAGAGGTGTGCTCCTCTGCGATGTCCGCTTCTTCCCGGTCCTGGAGCCAACGAAGCTCGACGATGGAACAACTGAACCGCCTCCTGACTCGAACCAGGGCATTCTGCGGTTCACTGTCGAGCAGGCCAAGGAGCTCGACGGTACTAAGAGTATGGTCGGGTTACTCAATCCTTACGCAATGCTTCTCTTGAACGGCAAGGAGGTCCATACCACCAAGAAGCTCAAGCGGACCAACGACCCGATCTGGGACAATGGATCCAAGGAGATTCTGATCACGGACAAAAAGAACGCCAAACTTGGCGTCGCAATCAAGGATGACCGTGACATAGCCGGAGATCAGCTCATTGGAACGTATCAGATCAAACTGGAGGACATGCTTGAATTCATGGCCAAGGGGCAAGAGTGGTACACTCTTGCTGGCGCCAAAACCGGTCGCGTCAAGATGATGGCTCAGTGGAGGCCGGTAGCCATCTCTGGAGTCGCTACCGGCACCGGAGGGTATGTGACGCCTGTCGGCGTCCTGCGGTTCCACATGAAGTATGCCAGGCAGCTACGGAACGTGGAGGCGCTGGGCAAGTCGGACCCGTACGTACGAGTGGTCATGTCGGGCATTGAGAGAGCACGCACCGTCACTTTCAAGAACAACCTCGATCCGGACTGGGACGAGGTTCTCTACGTGCCTGTGCATTCCCCCAGGGAGCGCCTCCAGCTGGAGGTCATGGATGCCGAGAACGTGGGCAAAGACCGCAGTCTCGGTCTCACTGAGATTTACTCTGGCGATTACATGGCGCAAGATGAGAACGGTGAATGGCTTGTACACGACGAAAAGAAAGAACGCCAGGACGGCCTGCGCATGCATGGCAAGGGAACCTCCAAGGGTACTCTTGCGTATACTGTGGCCTTTTACCCTACACTCAACATCGCCGATCCCGAGGAGGTGGAGGAGAAAGAAAAAGAGGAACAGAAGGAGGAGGAAGCGAAGGAAGCCGAGATGGAGAAAGACAAGAGCTCCTCGTTGAGCAGGCCATCGTTCGATGCGAAGTCATCCACCAGGCCATCTCTGGATGTGAGGCCCGGCGACGGAAAGGAGCCCGGGACACCCTTGACGCCGAAGACGCCGACCAGCCCTTCGTCCGCCATCTTCGCCAGGAAGTCGCGGGATGAGAGGGAGCCACCGAAGGTCTATCTTACACCTCAGGAGCTGCTCCGATACGAATCCGGCTTGGTTATCTTCAGACTGATGGAGGCAGAATTGCCCAAGAGTCAGAGCCGCGTCGAAGTCTTCGTAGACGACATGGCCTTCCCGTCCTACGTTTCCTCGGTGGCGAGGTCAAGGCACCACAAGTTTGATGAGATCGGTGACTGCTTCATTCGCGAGCTAGAGTTCTCAAGGTTGACAATCAAAGTCTCGGAGAGGAACGACAAGCGCGAAGAGGGAAGCAAGGAGCACACACTGGCCCGCCTGTCGGGCAACACACTGGATACCCTCAAACAGTGCCTGGTACGTGACAGCCTCCCATGTCTATAACCTTTTCGTGGAAAGCTAACCCAAGCCAGAACAATCCCACGATACTCAAGATGAAGGACGACGACGGCAATATGTACTCGATCAGGGTCAGCCTCAAGTACGTCCCGGTCAAGATGAAGCTCGATCCCAGCGAGAGCATCAACAACATGGGCAACCTCCGAGTCGACGTTCTGGACGCTCAAGACCTGCCGTCGGCGGACTCCAATGGCAAGAGCGACCCATACACCAAGTTCGAGCTCAATGGCCAGGAGGTGTTCAAGACCAAGGTGCAAAAGAAGACACTGAACCCGACGTGGAACGAGTTCTTCACTGTCCCGGTTCCTTCCAGGACCGCAGCCAGGTTCAGGGCCACCGTCTGGGACTGGGATTTTGCCGACAAGCCCGATTTCTTGGGCGGCACCGACATCAATCTGGAGCAGCTCGAGCCTTTCCGGGCGCAGGAGTTCCGGTACCCGCTCGACGGCAAGTCAGGTGTGCTCCGTTTGCGCATGCTCTTCACGCCAGACTATGTCACACGCACTAGACAGGGCACATCGACCCTGGCGGGCACCTTCTCGGTGCCAGGCAAGATTGTGACGGGCGTCGCCGGCATCCCGATCAAAGGTGGCACGATGGTCGGTCACGGGGTCGGCAAGGGCGCCTCCTTCCTCATCCGCGGATTCCGCAGCAAGAAGGGGGACGACGACAGCAGCAGCATTTCATCCAAGAGCTCTGTCGACATCCCACGGATCACCATGGAGGGCCCAGCCGAGAGCAGCCAGACTGCCGCTGCCGCCAACGGTGGCCCTTCGCCGCACCACAGCCGGACCAAGAGCATCGGCGCCTCGTCTGTCCACAGCGCCATCATCCCTGGCGCTGCATCCGGCACGGCATCCTTCACCGTCGTCTCGGCCTCGGGCTTCCCGCCGTCGGCCGACGTCTATGTCACCATCACGCAGGTCAGGGACGGCAAGGCGAAGCAGGTCGGCAAGACCAAGCACCGCAAGCAGTCGTCCAGCGGCACCGTCCGATTCGACGAGACCTTCCGCATCCAGTGCACGCCCGACGCGCAGTTCAAGGTCGAGGCCAAGGAGCACCACACCTTTGGCAGTGACGATCCGCTGGGCGAGACGCTGTATTTTGTGGATGACTCGGGTTCCGGAGCGGAGAAGGCGCTGCCCGTCGGCAGCGGTACGGTGGTCATCAAGAGCTCGTTCGTGCCGGCAGCGGGAGGGAGTGGGAGTGAGGGAGGAGATCGGTTAGGCCTGTCGGATAGTCCTAAGTCGACTAAGTCGGCCAGGAGGAGCTTCTTGGGGAAGAGGGAGTTGAGGTTGCCTAGTCGGGACGGGACGCCTTGATGTTGATGCAAACGCAGTGGGAGGGTACCTTAGTTTCATTATTCTAGCTGGGAGAAAACATGGCGGTGCGGGGAGTATGGAGCGCCCTTGGGAGTTTTCATGGGTGGAAAATCGTTAGTTGGTCACACATTATAATATCTCACTACCTATTATACTACAATGGTATTTGATGCCGTGCTTTGGTCGGCGGTCGCTTTCAAGCCTTTTTTGGTGGTTTCCCCTCTATATAGGGCTGTGGGCCGGGCCCTATGAATTGTTAGCCGAGGTCTCTCCGTCATCGGGGCTGCGGAGTACAGTCCGAATGATGGTCATGGAATGGGACACTGAAAAGCAAACGCTCAAACATTGAGGACGTCGTCAAATTGCACCATTTTCCAGGAAAGCATTGGCCGCTGAGAACCGCCCGGCTCACACATAACAGATACAAATCGGTAAGAAGAAAGGGTTATCATCGACATCTTTATGTCGGGCATGGGAAGGCCAGCAGCTTGAGCATATACATGGGTAAGTAGACGGCTAATCTGAATTATCACTACCATTGAGAGAGTAACGGTTACTACTACGATGGCTCGGAGTTGACGAGAGCCCCAGCTGCGCCAATTCTCGAACCATTGGCCAATGACCCCGATGCTCCACTCTTTGAGCCATGTAACCTGATTGCCTATCAAGGTATGTAATTACCCCTGGGCATCTCTCGAGCAGATCGATTTCATCAACCTTCCCGGTGCGCATCGGCGGTCGCAGCAGCATTCGCACATGGATCTCAGACCTTCCTTTCCACAACAAACACGAATACCGACCTAGCGTTCAATACGACCCAGTGCAATCAGCTTAGAACCCCGGCGCCCAGGGGCCCGTTCCACCATTCTTGGCCTCGAGCACCCGACCCGATTTTCGCCTGAGAAACACAGAACAAAGGAATCCCCTACAGTACCCGCCCCCCGAAACCGTGCCGACTCGGTTCGAGTCGAGTCGGCCCCGAGCTCCGCACACAACAATGGACCAAGCCGACATCCCCGCGCTGCTCTCGCGGCTCGCGTCCGACGAGGACGCGGCCCGCAAGATGGCCGTCTTCAAGCTGCAGTCGTCCATCAACGACCCCGCCTTCGCCGACGTCTTCATCTCCTCGGGCGGGCTCGTCGTACTGCGCCGCCTAATCATGGCCACGGGCGGCAACACGCTCGCCTACTCGCTGCAGAGCCTGACGCGGCTGCTGGAGGTCGACATGGGCTGGGACATCTTCGAGGGCCCCGCGTCGAGCGACCTGGTCGAGCGCATCGTCGAGCTGATCGTCACCAACCCGCTGGTGAACATCCTGCGCGGGGCCATGTCGATTTTGGTTGCGCTCGTCGGGAGGTCGCAGTCGTCTTCTTCGTCAGCCGCCGGCGGCGGTCCGCCTGGGTCATCCAAAGGAGGGCTTTCTTCTCCCCGCACCCCGACGACGAACGCGCTTCGCACGCCCGGCACGTTTGGCTTCCGCGCGCTCAAGCCGGCCGTGGCGGTGTACCCGCAGTTCTTTGAGCTGGTTATTCAACAGCTGCAGAGCGCTGACCACGCGCTGTGCGCCAATGCCTTGATGCTGATCAATGCACTGATCCGGGACGCGGTGTCGAGCGACGGGAGCGGCGTGGGAGGGATACAGGCCAAGGGTTCTGTGTCCGCTGCCGGCGAGGAGTGGAGCAAGTTTATCAAGCGCCTGCAGGACCTGGGTCTGATCCGGGCGGTGTATAACCTGCTGCAGAGCTCGGCGCTGCAGGACCTGGCTCATCCGCTGTTGGAGTTCCAATCATTGACCAAAGTGCTGTTGAGGAAGTGGAGGGAGGTGAGGGTTGACTTGGAACGACCGGAACACAGGAGAGCGCTGAAGGGGCTGCATCTTGCCAGTGCGCCCGACAGGAGGTATGCGAACGGTGTTGCTGCGACCGCCGCTGCCGCCGCGGAGGATGGGGACGCCGGCAAGAAGGGAAGCAGGAAACACAACCCGGAGAAATGGCGGCGGTTGGGCTTCGAGACAGAGTCGCCTGCGCTCGAATTCGAAACGGCCGGATTCTTGGGGATGATGGATCTGACCGACTACGTGAGGAAGAATGAGGATGGTTTCCAGAAGCTGCTACTGGAGCAGTCAAGTCGACCGTTAAATGAGCGCTGTCCCGTGGCCAGGGCAAGCCTTGCCGTCACGATGATTCTCTACGACCACTTCGAGGTGGATAAGACGGATCTGGAGGACATCAGGGGCTACCACGCTCTCAACGACGCCAAGACCCACGACAAGCTGTTCCACCCGCTGCTGTTACAATGGTCTCGGTTACACACCGCCGGTCTTCACGCCTTCTTCCGTCTGTGGAAATCCACCGGAGCGCAGCGCGACGACTTTGACAAGGTGGCCGAGTTGGTGCGTGTCCTGGTAGAGCAGGTGGTAGGGCAAGCGAGCAGGACTAAAGATGTGCTCGAGGTGGAGGACGAGCTGCAAGAGTATGACGCGGCAAGGTTAAGGGAGATACAAATGGAGCTGCTGGAACTGTCGTTCGAAGATCAGTGGGCCCCGCATCTCTTCCAAGTGCGCGAGGAGCTCAAGCACGAGGCGCTGCAGTTTGTCAAAGAACAGCGGGTCCGCTGTCTGCTGCAGGGCAGCTGGTTCACGAAGCCGATGCTGCATACCCGACAGGAGAGCTATACCAAGCGGCGGCTATACCAGCCATGGCGCTATGCCAAACTTTCCCACAACCGTCGCTACCTCCACTACGCCGACTTCCCCGAGAAGCTACCCTACGACCCCGGGCTCGAAGCCCTAACCGAGAAGGTAGACCTCGGAACAATTAGCTCAGTCGTCTCCAACGTCTCGGCAACGCCCGAGTCACCGGAGGCCTCCGGCGACAACAACGAAACCGACCAGTCCCCGGACTCCAGCACGCCAACCCTCCGCACCTTCCGCGACAACGCGGCGGCCGCAAAACCAACCACCAAGATCACAATCTACTCCTTTGCCGGCGACTACATGGCGAACACAAGCACCAACCCCAACGCCAGCCCCGACGCCTCCACAACAACAACGACGACGACACCAGGCGCCGTCAGCAGTAGCGATACAGAGCCCAAAGAACAGCCCGTGCTGACTCTGTACCCGCTCAACCACAGCCTGGCGTCCGAGTGGCTGGATGGCTTGCTCATGCTGCTCAACCAGGCGCCCATCACGGCCGAGACGAACAAGCTTGTTACGCTGGTCAGCGAGTACGGGCTGAAGATCAGGCTGCTGAATGTCAGGTTGGAGCAGATGTACGCCCATCCTGGGGCGCAGGGCGCTGGGGTTGTTCCTAGTCGGGAGGGGCTGGACGAGGATTATTTCTATGAGATTTGAGGGTTGTTTTCTCGTTACGTTTTGCCTTTCCCTTGCATTTTGACGGCGGGTCTGGTGCTGCTTCAGTTGAGCGCAGGCTGGCTCTCCCTCTGATTCTCGGATTCGTTGCTCTGGCAGGTTCTTCAGCGTTCATTTGGCTGGTTGCGGATACCCTGTGCCTGTACTGTACATACCATAACCATGTTTATACCCTTTGTCTTTTTTTCGAAGATCTTCCTGGTGCCATACTTCGCTGGTTTCGCTTGTACTATTTCATTTGCTTCTGCACTCGTAGCAAGCAAGGCTAGAGGACACTAGAGCTACTCTATGAGAAACAGACAGTAGTACAGCCTTTGACCCCTTTCTTCCGCTTATATGGTACCCTACATGGAAGAAGGGTGTTAAACTTGACCTGCGTGTCATCCAATTCCCAGCAATGAGGACGGCACGTTGGGAGACCGCATCTTGCCGTGCGGCCCGCTTTTGACACTTATCACCAGATATGTTTTAAGACCCTGTCGCTCATCCAAAGTCTGGGGTAAGGTACTCATGCCAAGAGCAGCGGTGGGTCACTGCTTCTTATAGGCGGGGCGGTAAGGCCCACCACTCCTGTCAGCCAAAAGCCGCAAGGCTCCCAAGGCGCAACCGGATGGCCCCGAGGCCCTCATTTCATCCGACATAGCTGGAAAATCGATGCGTCGTGGTCGTGTCGCAGAGTTCTTCCCACAAACATCCTCGTTTCAGCGCATGAATCTGTGATAAATCCCAATCAAGCACTTCTCAATCCACTCATCTCACTTTATATCTTGCACGGTGCACCATCCATCATTCATCGATACTAACAATATACGGCGACCTGCGACGATAACAGTGAGTTGGGACGACAAGACTGCGATTCCACATTATTTCATGTGTTTTCCCACGACCTGACTTGTGTCGGCATATAAAACCCCTCACTTCAGTCGCCCGCTGGGCCAATTTCTTAGAACTCTATCCCGCACTTCACGATTTCACCCCTCGTACTGTACTTGTACATTATTCGCACGGTGCACTATCACCCCTCAACACCAATTATCCCGAGAGTTGTGATGATAACGGCGAGTTGCGACGGCAGCACGGAGATCAGACAATACTGTCTGGTTCGGACGACCTAAATTGCGATGGCATAATATGGCTTCGCCGGTGCATACATCGCCCAGCCAGTCCGGGCGCGAACTGGGCAAGTACGAGAATGGGAAGTGGTATTGTATGTTGCTCGTTCTCAACTACAGTGTCCCTAGGCATCGTCAGTCTGATATATCATCAATTATAGGTTGCTGCAACCTTGAAGCAGCTTTCTATACGGTGAAAAAGGAAGGCTCGAACAAGGGGAGGCGCTTCCACAGGTGCCCGAAATGGGACGACCAACAATGTCGTTTTTACCTGTTCGAGGATGATGCAAAGGTGCATGAGCAGCAGGCCTGAGGCCAAAACTCGAACAGCCCCGCTGGATTGAACCAGAACTCGCCTTCCACAAGGAGCCCGAACTCGGTTCCCAACTCCCGCGTCCAAGTTAAAAGGAACAGCTTAATTCAGGCTATCCGTAATCGTCGCGCTCGTCGCGACTTGCCAGACTCCGAGGGCGCGTCCACCATCACCGAGGGGCCAATTTATTCGCCGGCGAGTAGCAGATTTCACACCCCGGCCTCCCATCGGTCCTTTCTCAGGACGCCTCACCTATCAGAGCCAGATTGGGGTTCTGAGGAAGACGAAGGTACTAGCGGCACGGCGGACGGATGGCGTCAGCCTAGTCGCAACAGGTACGCCGATCTGCCGACTCCTACACCAAAGAGAAAGCGACCAGAAACAGAGGGCACGAACGCTGGAGCGGATGCCGGGGGTCCCGCAGGCGACGCCGAGTTTTCGCAGATCGATGTCGACGAGGAGGAGTTAGCGGAAATGGCGGGTGAAGCTGCTAACCAAGGTCGACCAGCGGCACCGGCCCAGCCGCCGCGACCATCCCAGGGAAGCGACTTTCGCGTTACCCCCAGCCGAATAGGCATGCGTGCGGCCTCGGGCGGGCTGCAGACTCCCAGCTCTCGTAGCAATGTCACTAACCCCGCATCCGGTAATAATGGACTCAACCCGGGGTCCGGCAATAGCTTCACTTCTTTGGTATCCGGAACCACGGCCGTCGAAGCGTCGCAGCCAGGATCCAAGCGGCGCAGAACCACTCAGCGATTTGCAATATCAACACCGACAGCGTCCCGAAGTAGTAGTCAGGGTGACGCCGAGACAACCACAACAATAATGGACCTGCTGAAGGTGGGAGAGCGCATATCGCCGTTGCTCCGCGAGAAGGTGCTTGAGTGCCACAGGCGGGTTCAAAACAAGCGGCTTCAAACAATCGAAGCTCAGCTGAGGTTTGCCCTGGATGCCGCGGAGGAGAAGGAGGTGCAGAATGCTAGGCTGGTTCGGGAGATTGCCATGCAGCGTATGGAGATCTCGGGGCTGAAGGACGAGTTGCAGGCCTTGTTCGGTCTCGTTGCAGCACGGTACCAGAATGACCAGAACGACGATGACATTGGGCACTGAACGTCGGGTGGCCTGTGTGGTTCGCACAGGTGCGAGATCATGGACAGCATCTCGAATAGCCGGTCATTGAATCCATCGGTCTCTGGACGAGAAATGTCCAACTGCGACCCAAGGTGCTACAGCCCCATCAGGGCTGAGGGTCCTGCTGGTATCCGTAACACGGGACTGCAACGCGGATCACCTCCGAGCCGTCAGGCGAGGACTGGGGAGGTATGCACTGGCTGAACTCTAGCGTGAGGTCAGACAGTAGTATGATGGATGCCCTTCCTAAGATGAGAGTAGGAGGAGTGTCTGACTTAAGTACATGAACGCGATGGTGACCCCTATCACTGTAGGGGTCAGTTCTGACCACGATATGGTTAGCACTGACGCGCTCCTCCTGTAACACAAGGCAAGAAATGACCGAAAGGAGGGGCGAAGTGTTGTTGGCTTTGAGACGCCCCCTTAGGAGCGATCCATTGTCTGGTGTCACGATCCAGATGTCATTTAGCGTCGCGCATACACCACTCAACTCTTGAATTGGAAGCCAACGTTGAACTCGTCCGTACTACCCACGTCGAACTTGGCCTCCTTGACACTACCTTTGCCGTCCGGCTCCGGGTAGCACAGGACAAGGGTCTTGTGGGAGCAGGTAGACGTGAAGCGAACCTTAGTCGGGTTGCCGCGGATATTCTCGAGCGAGCCAAGCGAGTGCTGGGAGGCAACACTACGGTCATTTTCGTAGGCGTTCACGCACCAACTGGGGTTTGTTGATCCCCTCGTGTAGGTAGCGGCAGGACCACTCGTGTTAGTGGCAGGCATCTTGATATAGAAACGGGGTATAGGTATGAAACTAGTAATATAACTATAATAGCCAAAGAACAAAGTAGATGGTTAGGTAAGTAGCGGGAGTTAATTAATATAATGATCCAAGGGGAGAGGTGGATAATGAGAGAGGGTTTAGCTCTCTTATACTTCAGTAAGCTTAGTTGCCAAGACCCGGCTAGTATTATTATCATTTAGATATATACTTCGAAGCTATATACAGCACCTGAAACAGCAACCGGATCAGGCCTGGGTCCCGGATGGTTGCGAGTCCGAGGGACCTCGCAATTGCGATACCCGTTTGGGAAGTATAGCAAGTCGAGTGGATCAGATTTGCGCTCGCCGTCATAGAGCTCGGAGGAAGGCTTGGGATTGCCCATTATCTTGTCAGGGCTAACGAATTCCTTGAAGTTTCGCGGTGGTAACCCTCCGTTTCCCAACTTGGTCACACACAGTATGGGAGGCCCGGAACCCTGGCGAGATCGGTGACGGGAAACATGGTCGGGTTGAGGACATCATTTATTAATGTATATACACCGTATGGCTGGACCACTGGAACAGGACGGACGGCTCATGAACCAAGATAACTCACCTTGATAGTCTAACAATCGCGAGATAGACTAACACTTTTTTAAGTGCCATCGAGAGCCTTTGCCATGCATCCGGAAGCCGGCAAACAGGAAGTCAACGCAAGAAGACGGCCTCAAAGGTTACTCGAACGTTGTTATGGTGTTGAAATCTTGAAAGCGCGCCTGTGGCGTGTGGACCACCCGCAGGAAGGGTGCTGCAGAGCTAGATGAATTTTGAGAGGCTTGGCATTGCGTTGCCCGGGCCGTCTGTTGACATCATCTCCCGATTGGGGTGAGAGTCACTTCTGCAGGCGCGCTGATAGGTCAGAGCTTAAACGCGCGTAGGCGCGCGACCTCAAGCTCGCAACACGACGTGGGTCCATGCGAATTGATTGTGGGTGCTGCACCACACGTCAACCCCCCCAGCTGCGCGGTGTATGTACTGTCCCGGACGTATTCCGTGCAGACAGCAGCGCCTCCCAATCCACCTACAACTATCTACACGTTGTTCCTGTCACGCCTTTGTCTCTTGCCTGTCGGATGCACAGATTCTCATGGCCGGTGTAGTATTCTCTTAGCACGTCCTCTCACCATGGAACCCCGCGCGCCGTCCTCTTCGTCTGCCAAGGCCGCCACCTCTTGCGCGTCGTCTTCTGGCGGTTCGCCTCCTCCTGCTTCATTATCGCCCTGCAGCGCCTGCAATGGACATTCTGGTTCCATTACAAGTAGCAGTCCAGCCCGAGAGGGAGCCTCGGCGCCAGGAGATTCTACACAAGATATTGGCAAGGTTGCTGCGGAGGGGGAGCGTCATCCCAAGGGCAAGAGGAAACGAACCCAGTATGCTTCCCGAAGCTGCCCTTGACACCGATCCGATTGGCCGTCGAGACTAACGCGCTCGCCCTTTCAGAGCCAAAGACAAGCAGATCCTCGAAGAGGAATACCAGAAGAACTCGAAGCCGGACAAGGCGGCACGTCTCGAGATCGTAAAACGCGTGTCGCTTACCGAGAAGGAGGTGCAGGTCGGTTCTGTCCACCCCACGCGTCCATATCGGCGTGGTATGCATTCCCACTAACGTCGTGCCTAGATCTGGTTTCAAAACCGGCGTCAAAATGACCGGCGAAGGACGCGAACATATTCGGCCGAGGAGGTGGAAGCTATGACAGGCGGTCGTATCAGACTTCTCGCTTCCCAACCTATTACCCCCAACACTGTCCTCGGCTTAAACGATATGAATTCCATCCAGTACACGCCCGCACAGGAGCACGGGGCAACAACCTCGCTCGCGTCGGACCCCGCCAGCTCCCAGTCTCGCGACGAGCCCGGAAAGGCACAGGGTGTATCGCACGAGGCCACCTTGGTGGGGCATGGACACGTCGAGCGCGAACCTCGAAGACTCAGTGAGCCCTGGCAGCCGCGTTCCCAATTCTTCTCGGGTTCAGTAGGCTACCTCTCCAACCGATGGAATGCCCCGAATTCCTCGTTCACGTCTGCTCCCTCCTCCCATCTCGTTAGGTCTGTAATCCATCCGATACTCTTGCCGCGTCCGCGCCTAACAGAACCCGTAGGTCTCACTCTTTCTCGTCGGCCTTGCCGCCCGCAACAGCGCCCAGTCTGGTTCCTTCCCCACCGAACCCTCTCCGTCTGTCCACATCCATAGACGGCAAGGCTGAGGTTGTTCCCGCAAATGCCTCGCCGGCGCACCCTAATGTCGCGCCGCCTTCACCAGGAACCCTGCACCGGCAAGGCCCCGGGCGCCGACTAGATTTCCGACGTAGCCACAGTACAACGTCTCTTCCCCTCCCCCCAATCTCGACGCTTACCAGGTCCTTGTCGCCAGCACCCACCGGCCCACTGCCTCCTCGTCTCACGCGCGGCCGTTCCCGCGATGTCAACGCCTGGGAATACTGCTGCGGCTCCGAGAACACCGAGGATCTTCTGACCATGCAAGCCCAGCACGAGAGCAGCGGCTCAGCCGCCGCCGCTATCCACTTGATCAGGTCGACGAGCTCGCCCGGCGGTATTCCACCCCCGCTTAGCGCCGGTACAAAACGCAACGCAGCCGTAACCAGGACCGCTCGACGCGCAGATCCCGCTAAGAAGCCCAGGCTAAGCACACAGGCGAGCAGTCTGGGGAGGATGGAAACAACAGTATTCAGTCGCGGCCAGCGACACAATATCAAGCGGCCTGTGGCCCCGGCCACGCAGTTGGACAAGCCAAAGACGACCTCACATGCACCTCTGCTCCTGTCAGGCAATGATTCGGACAAGGAGAACTGGGACCCCGAGGAGGACGCCACCAGCCCGCGCGCTTTCCGCCGTCTATCTCCCTACCGTCCGAGGCTGCCAACCAACGCCAACAACAGACGGCCGCTTCCCACCAGTCCGTCAAGACGACGGATGCTCCACCACGACAAGTCGCGCAGCCCGCATCGCTTCCTCTCCCGGGCCAGCACGATGCCCGCCGCACGTGGGCGGGGCCGCTCGCCGCCGCTCAGGATATTTGAGGACGCTGATGACAAGAGCGTGGCGTCTGGTGGTAGCCAGGGCAGTGGTCCAGAAGAAGAAGGCGTGGATGACGAAGTGGAGCGCTTCATGCGCGGCGCTGTCATCAGCCCGAGCAAGAAAGGCGATGCCGACGCTGCTGCGAGCTTGCTCTCCCTTTGTCGGGGTAAGTGGCGATGACATCCATAATAGAGACATCACATTGTGTAAGGGACTGGGTGGGGGACGATGTGGAGTTCGTCTGGTTGATGGATGGGTGCGTTTTGGGAAACCACTTATTGGCAGTCCTCGAAAGGGGATACTATACCTCTGCGGAGGGCCGTAGTGAGGCTGATCTTTGTCGAAGATGTCTGAGGACGTTTGTTTGTATGGCGTTCGTTACGTGTTGGAAGTTTCCTTTGTAGGTAATCATGTGGACGGAGGATGGTTTGGGGTGGTTGATCTGATTTTCTGTAGGGTGTCTAAAGTACTGTAGGTAGCGTGCAGGAGCCAAGTTGAACGAGGACTTCCGAGTTCGCAAAAAAGGGCCGAATCCTTGCGTGGTGTGGAAGACCGATACACTGACTGACCAGATCGCGTCGTAGCCCATGTGTTAAGCTGTCTCAACTGCTCGTATAGGTACCTTAGTATTGAGCTGCTATATCTTCGGAATACCTTCCCAACCTCGATAGTTGTTTCCTACTAACATAAGCCCGGGCCTTGTACAATACATAATGGTATTGTGCCCAACTCCTTTGAAATGTGATTCGATTATCGTTCGACTCGGCTCGACGGATCGGTCGATTGATTTGCGGGGTAGCCGCCTAATAAGGGGCGCTTGAACGTTTTGATCTGGGGGAATGACATCAAAGGGGGGGTTGAATCATTCATTAGAAGACCATTTCTCAGTCGTCCCAGGGCCGTAAAAACTGACAGCAAAAGAGGAGCCTGATGCTGCATTATCTGTACTTGTAGCTATGGTCGCGCTACGGTAAGTGATTTCCCCGATTTCCTAATAATCCCCATCAACCCAAAGAAAAAGAAAAAGCCAACAGCCTCCTTGCAACGCCTCTCCGAGTCCCTGCGTTCTTGATGCCCCAATTCTCACACAATTATAGGTACTTAGTTCATGGTGTGGGGCTGCCACATGCCATGCCATGCCATCACGCACTCCCGTGCTCTGGCTCTAATGATGCTCTTCGAGAAACAAGCAATCCAAAAAGAAGGCCATCTCTGGGCAGCCTTGAAACAAGGAATGAAGGGAACTACAACCCCAACATGCTCATCTGTCTCCTCAGCGGGCTCGCAGCAATGCTGGACTCCTCGCTGGTATAGTACGCCGAGTCGGTATCGAGATCCCATCCGTCGCCATCCTCGCTCCCATCCGAAGCAGCCGCACTGCCGCCATTCCCGCCGTTGCTGCCGTTGACAGCGCCGAGGTCAAACGCCTTTTGCGTCGCCGCGCGGACGTTCCACCTCAGCGTGCGCGAGACGCTGTCGAACCACTCGGTATCGGTGCGGACGACGGTGGGGAAGGGGTACTGCGACGCCGTGATGGTGACGTGGTCACCCTGCTTCAGCTCGATGCGGCCTTTGCCGTCGAAGGCGCAGTACGCGGTGGCGCGGCTGTTGCGCGGGACAGATACCCGCAGGAGCATCGTGTCCGAGAGGACCATGGGGCGGAAGGACAGGGTGTGTGGGCAGATGGGGGTGAGCAGGATGGCGGGGATGTCTGGGTGGACGAGCGAGCCGCCCGCGGAGAGGGAGTAGGCTGTGGATCCTGGATTGCCGCCGAGTCAGCACTTCATCCGAAGTAATATTTCACGGTGGGGTCAGAGTGAAAACTCACCAGTCGGCGTCGAAAAGATGCAGCCGTCCGCCTGGACTACCGTCAGGAGCTCGTTGTCGCCGTACAGCTCCAGGTTGGAGACATAAGGTGACGGCCCGCGGTCGATGACGAGCTCGTTGAGCACCTCGAATTGCTCGCCCTCTTCCATCTCATGGCCGGTTGGCCCGTCGCGGTACACGGTGCAGGTGAAGCGCATGCGGAGGTTCACCCGCATACCGTCCTCGCCCATGACACGGTTCAGGTGGTCCTTGTACCGCTCAAACTCGAAACTCGTCAGGAAGCCGAGACTACCCAGGCTGAAGGATAACACGGGAGGCACAATGCGCTGGAAGAGCCAGGAGGTGAAGAGGACGGTGCCATCGCCACCGAGAGTGAGCACCAGGTCGAACTTCTCCGGTTGGATCCAGCACAGGTCGGGGGTCCAGTACTTGAGCATGTCGTGAAAGCGTGGGTTCTCGTCCGTTATCCCGGGCGCGTTAAAGCGTTTCGAATGGCGCAGTTTGGCGTCCACATATACGTTCACGCCTAGGTCGGATCCATATCGCGGGGTTCGAAGCAACCACAGTGTGAGCTCCCGGGTGAGTAGCACGAGCTGGTTGTCACGCGCCTTGGTCACAATCATGACGTTCTTGACGGCGCGCTTGATGGGCCGACGCTGGAGCTGCTTGGATACCTCCCGGACGCCGGTGGCGGTCTGCACCAGGCGCGAATGCGACATCCACTCGTCATTCTTGATCTCCTCGAGTACCTTGTCGATGTCGACCGCATCGTCGAAGCGATTGTGGTAGAAGCACGGCGACTGGAGCGAGGGGAAACCGGTGGTCGGCGTGACCGTCGTATTAGAGCGGGCGTTCTGTGCCTGCGCAAGACCGTTGAGGGCGTCGCAAAGTTGTTGCGAAGAAGAGGAGGCGGGCCGGTTGTCGCCGCCATTCGGGGCGCCGGTTGCTGACAGCATGTCGGTAAGGGACAGGGCCTGGGGTTTGTTGTTTCGGGCAACCGAGGCCAATGCCTTCATAATAGTCTGTCGAGGCACAGACTCGATCGAGAGGGCGTTCCTGCGGTGCCCGTGGCCACCGGCGGGAACAGAGCGGGAAGGAACGGCGCCGCTACTGCGTTGTAGGAAATCGAAATCCGGTGATGCAGAGGCGCCTACTGCAGGCAAAGCGGGTTGAGGCTCGGCGACAGGTGCATCATTCCGGGTTGGTGTTGTCGTTGTTGATGCTGAAGGTGGCGCGGTCAAGGAAGTGGGCGTAACAGATGCAGAGGGTATGACAACGCTCGGATCCCCGTTGTCCGGAGGGGACAGGAACAGATCTAAAGCGACATTGCAATTCTTGGGGCGGCCGGAGTTGGCGGGCGATGGGTTATTAACTGCGTCCGAGAAGTTGCACCGCTCTTGCCGAAGTGGGAGCGGCGGGAGGTCAGCGGGGTGACCAAGGGCTGGGTGAAATGAACCGGGCATGGTTGAATCAGCTGTGGGGGTGCTATTTCAGGCCGGGCTTAAATCCTGGTCCACTCTGGGGTTCGTAGTAAGAACCCTTACTGTGTGTACTGTGCAGATCAGGGTCTGGTGCCTTTGGAAACAAGGCACTCCCGTCAGGTGGCGAGTGGGAGGTTTATAGTACAGTATGTACTGTACAGTACTGTACGAATCTGTCTGGTAGCGAACCTTCTGGTGAGGTCAGGTCGCAGGACCGGATCTCAGTGAACCGCTGCAATGGAGCTTCCGGCCTGAGGTGTGTATAACCTTCGAGATGCTGCAGGGGTGCGAGAAAAACGCCCGGGCGACCCAATACTGTACACGGTTCCGTGCGTTCCGTCGATGTCACGCCGTAAAAACCAGCTGCGATGTCCGTCGGCGTTAGCTTCTTCCCTCTCTTTCCTTCGGTCGTTTATTATTATTACCCTCTTGGCTTGGAATATCTCCCACTATAACTCTCGAGGGATCAGAATCCGGCCAAAGGAGATACGGTCGGCTGCTGGAAACCAAGAGTCAGCGGGCCTGTCCTGAGCTAAGGTGGCCGTTGCAGGGGTCAAACAACCGTGACCGGGGCCTTCTCGACCTGGCAACTCGGGTTCCCAAAGACAGTACTGTGTAACACAGAAAGGTTAGGGTGCTCACCTCGGAGTCCGCAGATCCCCCAGGTTCGGTAGTAGATCCTGCTTCCCAGTGGTCGTACGGATAGCCTACTGCTCGGGAATTTGAAGGTGGTTGTGTGGTCTCGGGGACTCGATGCCGAGCAGTAGCGGGAATGGCTTTTGTCGGGGGAGCCGGTGGCGGGTCCGTCGGGTGGAGTTCAGTCCTGGAACAATAGCCCCGCCGTGGTCGAAAGTTATCTCCGGCCGGCTAGCTTATAATCGCGTTGGCCGTGTACGGTATTTACTGAAGTGCTTCAATTGGCGCCGGACTGATGACGCTTGTGACCCCAAGAGATGGCAGCTTGTCCTCCAGGTGGGTGCGTTGCTTAGGCGGGGATGGCAGTAGTGTCTCCGTATTGCGTACGTGATGCCGGGCTTGATTCGTCTGTCGCTGTGACCGGCCGGCCGCGCGCACAGGATAGGTGACTGGAAGGAGCCAATGCACGTTCGTTGGAGTGATTAGAAGGCGATTGGGTGCAGTTGGTTGAACAGAATCGAGCGAAGATGAACCAGCAACGCAACACTCTCTAGGAGCAAGCCGAATATTAAAAATAGTATATGCGAAAGAAGCGAGACCAATCGACAAAGCCAAAGTATAAGGTAGAAGTGATTAGAAGAGCTACCAGAGCCCGCTCCTTGAGGTGCTCCCGGAGCCAAAGAAGTAAACTGGGATGGCGATAAAAGAATGGTTGCTTGGCTTCGCGGTCAAGAGAGCATCACGGCATGCGTTCTGGCGGTTTAATATCCATCTCATGGCCAAAGAATAATACTGGAAACCTTGCGAACTCAGGGACACTGTCAGGAGCGCGGTTACAAGGGGGCCGTTTGGAGTTACCTGGGGATTTCTGGGAGCCGCAGTTAGCCCCGCGAGCCCCGTTGTCTCGGCTGGTAAGATCTGCAAGGAGTATAGACACCTTGAGCATAGCAAAGAGTACATTTCATTATATACGTACACTAAATCGAAGAACGTACCCATGCATACGAAATACTGCAATACTTACACAGGGCTTTGATGTGCTATGGAGGAGCACGAGCCACGGCTTAAGCATATAGTAATATGCTACATTGCGCGGAATATAGAGGCAATGGTGTTGTCCAAGCCCGTTGCTGCGGACTCTCGGCATATTCTGACAAAACCACAGGATTCCATTTCCCGTGCCCCAGCAATGTAGGGTCGCCCAATGTAGTCCTGAGAGTCGGAGGTTTCTTACAGTGTAACTGTCTCACTGAACCTGAGAGGGAATCCCCCACGTAATAGGAACCAGCAAAAGTAATCCGTAGGTATGTTGGATGGTTTTCCCCTAGAGAAACAACAGGCTTCTGTCTTGGCGGCCGGAAATGCCAGCCGTCTCATCAGGTTGTCCCCTCGAAACTAGGGTCTGGAGGCGAGAGGCTGGGGGTTGACAGCACTCAGCGTAGCATCGCCGTGTGCATCTCCAGCAGCATGAGCGGGAAGCGCTGTACATCTGCCGCCGCTTCAGCTCGCCCAAGCAGCCGCATGAAGGCGATCCTTTTGTGCGGCCGAGAATGTTTGAAAGCTCTCGCGGTGAGCTTGTACATACAATACGATACAGGACAGTACAGCCCCGTGGCTGTCCTACGCTAGCTGCAAGGCTGCGCTGCCATCGTTCTGGGACTTCCCCCTACCTTAGACCCCGCAAAATCCGCCACCAAGCGCCGAGTTTCGAGTATCAATACCAAATCTAAGCCTGCAGCATCCAACCTCGACTTTCAGACGCCTGTCACTGTCAGACTGCCCAGACAAGGTATTTCCGCCTAAGGGGAGCAATGCTGAGATGAAACAGGGCCTCGGCCCGCTAATGGAGTAATTTCAAACATGGCCGTTGCAGGCGGGCCCACCAACGTTTGAGATGGTGAGTCGTGACACCTTGCTTCCAGCGCAACACTGACCCCGAGCGGAACATCGCAAAGTCGGCAAAGCTCCGAGTCTCAGGCATTGATTCTCTTCGTTCCTTAGTGACAGCTTCAAAAAAACTGGCTGCCGATAACCGAGCTGTCGTGTCACTGCGCAGCACTTCAAGTCGCCCTTGGAGCGCCGCACCCATGCTTTACCCGCCTCTTTCCCCTGTTCTGGCACACCATCCATGACCGTTGTGACGGTTTTGAAGGCCGAAGCCGCGATGCGAGCGCTACCTCGAACAGCTTCCGCTTGAACCCGCCTCATCCTCATCCTCTTGAGCATCGGACTGACTTCGGCGTTCGGTATGGAGAGTCAAAACAAGCCCATAGCGAATCCCGCATCACTTCCAATGCAGGTCCGTAGCCACTTTTGATTCCATTGTTGACCTCACAAAGTGCCGCATATCCGGCCCGCTGGCATCCTCATCGTCGAGTACCATGGCAATACCCTCCTTTTGTGTCGTAGGTCGACAGCAAACTTTCCTGGCAGTTTCGTAGACGTCGTCCCATTCATTGACCGTAAAGTGGCCCTCGCTCTCAGCAAGAAGCAGCTCGTCATGAGACGTGAAAGCCAGGACGTGCACTGACTGGGCGGTCTCAACCTCCCTCGGCGAGGGATCAACTATCGTTTGTTTTGTGCCATTTTGATGACTTAGCGCTACAGCAGTAGCAGTTGCTATTGCTTTCATCGGCACGCCGGCTGAGAGAAGCGCTAACACAGAAGTCTGGAATAGTGCAGGCATGATGGAGATGTTCTGTCATAGGGATTAGTGTACCGGTGTTGACCTAATCCGTCTTCAGCAGCCTCACGCACCAGGTTAGCCTGAACCAACTTTGTGTTCACATAGTCATTCTCTGGCGAGTGCTCGATCTGTAGAACTATTTGGATGAGAGATCGCGGGAAGTTCTTGACAAGGATGATCTGGGCGAGTGAGGATTGTAGAATCGACTCGAGGTGCCGCTCCCGGGTTCCTATATAGTCGATTCAGTCATGAGGTGCCCTTCCGACATGAGAATTAGTGCGGTGCCTCTCACCCCCGATCCCTGCTGCTGGTCGTACGATGACATCGACGTGTGCCTCATATGGGTGCTCATCCCGCCGCTGCGCTTCAATGGGCCCATTCACCGAGCCTGTCACGATGTAACCCGCGTGAGAGTACTTGGCAGACCCGTCCGCACGCGGAAGAACGCCAGTGGCGGCTTCTGGTACTGTTGTTGCTGTCATTGTAGAGGCAAATCGAATAGTATCGGCGTGCAGAATTCAGGGTTCTCGACGTTCCCTAGTGTAGTTGGAATTTGAGCCTTTTGAGGTAACAATCGGGTTGGTGGAGTTTGCACCCAGACTTCTGGGCTGAGCTCCGTACAGCAACAGGCGGATAGCCCCGCATCTCCGGAAGTTGCTTGCAGGCGAGCAAGCCACTTGCAGGGATTAGGGCTCTTCTTGCCTCAACCAAAGAGACGGAACCACATTCGAACCTCCTTCGAGAAACCCTCTTGGAAGGTGCAACACACACACCCGGGGTATGAAGGCATTTTACAGGCACTGGCCGGGCTCTGAGAAACGGACTCCTCTTACCAATCCACCAACCAACACAAATACAACCACATTTTGACTCTGTTCATCCCTCCCATCCAACACCCAACAGCAGAAAGGACGGAGCTTCTCAAATATGACATCGCCATCAAACACACCCCTTGGCCACGCAGCTAATGGTGCCGGACCTGCACAGGTGCCGCCGGGGCCAGCCCAGGGATTACTGAACCTGAAAGACCGGATCCCTAAACTGGAACCTCGGCGGAGGAGGGCCGAGCCGACCAACCCGATACCTGTCCCGGAGACACCGCCTGCCCCTCCCCGTCCGGACCCGGCAACTGTTGCCTTCACTGTTCCCAGGCGCAGAATACTTTCACCCTCGGATCACCAGCTGTTCCTATCTTCACCAACCTACAAATTAATCCTCTCCTTCATCTTTGGCCTCTCCGAGTCCGTCCTCGACAAGCCCATCTCCTCCGTCAAAGAGAACGACCTCTCGCCCACAGTCAGGTCCATCCTTTCGATCTTAGAAGAGATAGACTACCTTTGCCGGGACTCGCCGCCGGATGACCAAGGCGGCTCCCGCTTCGGCAACAAAGTCTTCCGAGTCTTCCTCGACAAAGTCAAGCAGCGCTCTCCTACATGGCATACCACCTTGTTCAACCTCCCTGACTCCTCCTCCTCCTCCTCCTCCTCCTCCTCATCATCATCATCACCCTCCGCGACTGCAACAGCATCCGAGGAGCTGTCGGCATACCTAACCCACTCCTTCGGCAACCGCAGCCGCATCGACTATGGCTCGGGCCACGAGCTCAACTTCTTGATGTGGCTGCTCTGCCTGTACCAGCTGTCGCTGCTCGAGCGGGGCGACTTCCCCGCGCTCGTGCTGCACGTCTTCACCCGCTACCTGGCCGTCATGCGCCGCGTGCAGAGCACCTACTACCTGGAACCGGCGGGCTCGCACGGCGTGTGGGGGCTGGACGACTACCAGTTCTTGCCGTTTCTGTTCGGCGCCAGCCAGCTGGTCCACCACCCGTTCATCACGCCCCGCGCAATCCACCAGGAGCTGACCCTAGAAGAGTTCGGTGGCGAGTTCCTGTACCTGAGCCAGGTGGCGTTTGTGAACAGCACCAAGACGGTCAAGGGGTTGCGGTGGCACAGTCCGATGCTGGACGATATCAGCAGCGCGAAGAACTGGGCTAAGATTGAGGGGGGCATGAGGCGCATGTTTGTGTCGGAGGTATTGGGGAAGCTACCGGTTATGCAGCATTTCTTGTTTGGGGGTCTGATTCCCGCAGCTGAGGGGATGAGTGACCCAGCGGAGATGGGGCTGAAGAGTGAGGAAGAGGAGGAGGAAGAGGGCGGCGAGGTGCAGGTGTTTGATGATCAGGAGGGGGTGAGGCATGTGCATCAGCCGAGCGGATGGGGGGATTGTTGTGGGATCAAGGTGCCGAGTAGTATTGCAGCGGCCGAGGAAATGAAGAAGAGGGGAGCCGGAGAGCAGTTGAGGAGGATACCGTTCGACTGACTGGGCCTGAAATGTCTTTATGGTATCATTACTTCCCTAGTCGTTGTCTGATTGAACAGCGGATAAGCCGCGGCATGATGAAATTAATGGCCGTGTTTGGATCGTCAATCTAGCTATAGTATACCGCAGGGCGTGTGAAAATGACGATTGAGAACATCCTGCGGATACCTTATATCGCTAGAGAGGAAACCGTACTTAATGAATGTCCATTTGGGACAGATCGTAAGCATCATCGACCATCTGCCGTACGGGATGATCAGACAAGCATGGATCTGAGAAGTGACTTGGTGTCCCACGGCCCTTTGACGGACGCCGCTATATTTGATGGGCTATGATTCCCATTGAAGCTGGAATACGTGCCTTAGATGATAAGAGGGATGCTAACCGCTCAGACTGAGGCTCCTAAATACGATACAGCTGTGGCAACCGCTCACGGCGCCTGGGGGAATACCAATGGAGAAGGGTATCAAAATGACGACAATTCCGCTGAACGCCTGCTAATGTGACCCTTACCGTGATGCCGGATGAAGAAACTGAAAAAAAAAGGGAAGAGAAACCAACATGCCTGCTAAACCGGCAAGAGCCGCGCCAATGATGTCCCGTCCCATGCTGCGTTCCAATCTGTGGAAAATGAGAAGAAGCTGCCACCATGCTGTGTTGCCGAAGTAATTCGCGACTCGCAATATCAATGGGGGGCGTCAGTCCTCCCATATCGTCTCCAAGTCCAGATCCTGCCTTCTCTCGGCACCACACACACTCCATCGCTTCCGCTTGTCCCGGGAGCTGAAGCCGGTCAATGTCCGGCCGCGGATAGGCATATCCAGGCTGCTTCTGCCCTTGGCATCGCCGCCTTCGGCAGCGTCCGCCGCAGCTTTCAGCTGGGCTATTCTCTCGGCTTCCAAGGCAGCCTCTTCAGCATCGGGGGAGTCGGGTATAGTCTCGAGACTAGAGATGCTGGGGCTCCTCGACCTGGCAGAGGTGGGAGTCGAAGGCACAGAGGACGAGGGGTATATTGCAGAAGAGGCGTAGCTGCCAGAAAACGAATCGTATGATCGGTATGATGGGGAATTGCCAATCGAAGAGGGTGTGGTTGGGATTGCGCCGGGAATTGAGCCGTTGCTGACATGAGCAACCTGGAAGAGCGGTGATGACGGTCGCCGCACTTTGGGCATTGTTGTGGGAGGTGCGATGCCCAGCGCTAGGTTTGGCGAACTGCTCCTCTCGGACAGTTTCCGCTGGGGGTCTAGGACAGAGACGCGGGTCGGCGAGGAAGGGAAGCCCTCGTCTATCGGCTTTCGCGGGATGCGGATTCGGCTGGGGGAACCGGCGGGACTCTGCGGGCGGAGCTGAGGAGAGTAGAGGAGGTGCCCAGTAGCATTTGTACTGGGCATGGACTGAGTCCGAGCCATGGGCGGAGCCAAGCTCGCGGCCGATCGCGACCTGACGTGGTTGCTAGACAACGGCGAGGATGCGCGGGGTCGATACGGGAGAGCAGGCGGCATCCAAGACGGCGATATGGGAGAGGACGGTGAAGGGTCGGTAGATCGGCGGATAGTGGGAGGTTTTCTCAGGAAGTCGTTTTCGTGAGAGCCGCCAGACGCTGTTCCCTGAAGCCTCAAGCTGGGAAGTGGTGATGGCCGGAACTCCTCCATCCTCTCTGTTTCGGGAACCGGCTCCATGTTGACCGAGTTATGTTGACCGAGTTATGTGCTGCAGTCGGGATACCGTGCTGATGGCTGAATAGAGGGCATACGGGACCAAGAGCAGCGGATTGCTGCGGCGGAACCAGCGCTAGGCGAGGCGAGGGAAATTGGACGGACAATCACCGCAAACAAAGTCCGTTTGCAACTTGAGTCGGTATCGCGGCTCGTCGTGGCCAGAACCGCATGCGGTTTCAGGTTGAAGAACCCACCTGTCGGTTTTACAGGGTCCACGGTCAGCCGCTTCTTATGCAGACGCCGTAATCATGACCGATGGGAAGCCGGGAAAAGCTTGCTCTGTGGGAGCGACTTGAACTTGATGTTGTTGAGTCGAGACCTTGCAGGCCAGGCAGGCGCTCCTGCCGTATGACCAGAAGGGAGAGACACACCAAGTGAAGGACCGGACCGGGAAGAGAAGGATCGATGTGGGGGTTCTTTTATCCGGCGAAAAGGCGCCAATAACAGTTGCCAGGCAGCGTGAGAGTTTGCCGAGGCGGGACATCTGTGGAGAGCCGGGTGCTGATTGGACGCTAACCATGCGCCGTCGCGCGTTTTGCATGCGGACCTGTTAGGGGCGCCAGGAACCGCGCTTGGTCACCTGGAAGTTACCGGTGTCTTCTGGCCAGTGGCCACCGCAGTCAATAATTGGTGCCTACCGGGCTGTCTCAGTGCCATGGAGTACCTAGGCTCAGTTAGTTAGGTGGTTCAACTCATTGATGGCTGGCGAGAAAATAATCACCCATTATACCAACATTATCCGTATTTCCGTGTGAACTAGGTTCCTGGCTGAGCCTGGTTATGGCTTCAGTACGGGTCCTCAACACTCCAGCTTCACTGATGTTTCTCCTCAAATAAACCACTTTACCTAGTACCTTAGATGTTGCTTCATCAAATCGAATTGGGTGAAGGCCATAAGATTGATGGGTCGGGGCCAACTTGAATTCACAGGTTTCTCTTCACTGTTGCCACCTGCGGGCACTGTATTACTCATCCGGCAAAGCTCTGCTAACTTTATTTGCCTCCGTCCTTTTAACAGATAACTTCGGCCTTGACATCTCCAGTCAACGCTTTCCTTCCGCCTGCGTCACTGCGGGTTCTATTTGCCCCTTCTCTGTCACTTCTCATTTTCTTGCACTTTCCGAAGTCGCTGTATTTCAAAAAGCGCACCATAAAGAACCTCTCTTGAGGACCGTTCACAAGTTGCCCCACCTGTATGTCCTTAGTTTGCCCACACCTAACTACTTCCCATCATGTTGGAAACAGCACCGGCGACTCGTTCACAGACTGGTCGTCACCGAGGAAGAGGCAGGAATCGGGGCTCGGGGAGAGGCCGTCACAATGCGCCCAGACATTCAGATGCCGCCACGGAGAGAAACCAGGCCGCGCGGCCATCACCGTCTCCGAGTCGACCTGAACCAGTTGTCGCGGCTTCGAGTGGAATCGAACAGGCAGCGCCTCCACGGGATGGGCAATCCTCGAGGGAACGAGGGCGAGGCAGGGGCAGGCAGGGCGGCGGGAGGCGTGGAAGGGGCGGTACCGGTCAACGATCCATGGTGGTCTCCCACCGGGGAGGGCGAGGGCCGCCCCAGGTCCCAGGTCCGGGAGGCAGCGGCTCGTCAGAACCAGGATTGCGCGTTACTGCGCCCGAGTTCGTGCCGGGGCAACCGGTGGCAGTGGCTGGGTTGACCACCTCTTCAGCATCGACTACTGCCACGGCTCTCGGTGATCGAAGCTCCCGGCGACAAGCCGCTGCTCCGGCGCAGAAGCAACGAGCAGGACCTCCAAGCAGAGTGCCGAAATCCACGGCACCAGACCTGACCACTCGTATCCACGAGGACATCAATAATCACGAGTACGAGTGCGTCATCTGCACGAACGAGGTGCTTCGAAACTCAAAGGTGTGGGCCTGTCCCATCTGCTGGACAGTCACCCACCTCCACTGCGTGAAGAAATGGCACGCAAATCAAGCGAAGGAGAAGCAGGAAGACCAGGAGAGAGGGCAAAACCAGGAGATCAAGGACTGCTGGCGGTGTCCGGGTTGCAATTCTACCCTGATCGAGCAGCCTGGGCCATATCGCTGCTGGTGTGGCAAGGATACCGACCCGAAGCCCATTGCAGGGCTTCCTCCCCATTCCTGCGGCCAAACTTGCTCGAAATCGAGGGATACGTGCCCGCACAGATGCTCGCTAATGTGCCACGCCGGGCCTTGCCCACCATGTACGTTGATGGGCCCGACTCAGGCCTGCTTCTGCGGCAAGAACACCTCAACCAAACGTTGCAGCGAGACCGACTACGGAAAGGGATGGAGCTGTCAAGAGCCTTGCGGCGATTTACTTCCTTGTGGCCAGCACACGTGCACTCAGCCATGCCACGCCGGACTTTGCGGAGCGTGCGAGATCCCGATGCTCTCCGCCTGTTATTGTGGCAAGGAACAGCGGGAGATGCCCTGTAGTCAGCGCGACGACGTCCTGGAGTCCTTCGACCATGGGCAACGGAAGTCGACATCACCCAGCCCTGAATCGGACTCGGGCCGGTGGTTCGAAGGCTCATTCCGCTGCAGCAATCTTTGCAGCAGGCCATACGACTGCGGGCTTCATACCTGCCAAAAGCCCTGTCACCCGCAGGACGAAGCAACAGCCCACTGCCCGTTCTCCCCCGACGTAGTGACCCACTGTCCTTGCGGCAAAACCACACTCGAGTCGATGTCTGTGGCACCAAGACAGGCCTGCCAAGATCCCGTCCCTCATTGCGACAAGCCATGCAATAAGGTTCTGGCTTGTGGTCACCGGTGCCCGGACCGATGTCATACCGGTTCTTGCGCGCCTTGCACCCAACATGTCGACGTAACGTGCCGATGCGGGAGAACAACGGGGCGCTCCATGTGCCATCAGGGGCATGTGGAGCACCCACTCTGCTTCCGGGTTTGCAGAACCAAGCTCAACTGCGGGAGACACGAATGTAGCGAGCGCTGCTGCTCCGGCGAAAGGAAGGCGGCGGAGAGGCGGAAACAGAAACGGACTAGCGCCGACGAGAACTACGAGCCGGAACACATCTGTCTGCAGGTTTGCGGTCGGCCGTTGAAGTGTGGCATGCACACTTGCCAGCAGCTATGCCACAAGGGCCCATGCATGTCATGCCCTGAAGCTATCTTCGACGAGATCAGCTGCTCCTGCGGCCGGACTGTGCTCCAGCCCCCGCAGCCATGCGGGACGAAGGTGCCCGAGTGCCGATTCCCGTGCACCAGACCTCGTCCTTGTGGCCACCCGGCTGTACAGCATCAATGTCACTCCGACGACACACCCTGCCCTAAATGCCCCTTCCTGGTGGAGAGGCCTTGTATTTGCGGCAAACAAACGCTCAGGAACCAGCCCTGCTGGTTCGAGGACGCGAGGTGTGGTCTACCTTGCGGTAAAAAGCTCAAGTGCGGAGCTCACGAATGCAGGAAGCCATGCCACAAGCCCGGGGAGTGCGAAGACGCCGAATTCTCGGGCTCACATTGTCCCCAGCGGTGTGGCAAGACCCGGAAATCCTGCGAACATGCCTGCGAGGAGCAGTGCCATGCTCCTTATCCGTGCAAAGAGGATAAGCCATGTCAATATAAGACCTTCATCACTTGCCCTTGCCAGCGCCGCAAACAGGAGGTCCGGTGCCAGGCTACAAAGTTGAGCCCATGGTCTACCAGAGAGACGACTTTGGAGTGCGACGACGAGTGCCTGCGGCTCCAGCGGAATCGGAAGCTAGCTGAGGCTCTAGATATCGACCCCGACGCACACAGCGATGACCACATCCCATATGGTGATTTCACGCTCAAGTTCTTCCGTGACAACACCAAGTGGGCACAGGAGAAAGAGCGCGAATTCCGCGACTTCGCTGCTGCACCGGAGGAGAAGCGCCTGCGGTTCAGGCCGATGCCATCCCACCAGCGGGCGTTCCTGCATGCCCTCGCTGAGGATTTCGGTCTCGACTCGGAGAGCCAGGACCCGGAGCCGCATCGCCACGTCTGCATCTTCAAGACCCCGCGGTTCGTGTCCGCGCCGCACAAGACGCTGGCGCAGTGTCTCCGCATCGCCAAAGCAGCCTCCACCCTCGCCGCCGGCGCTTCGTCGCTGCGGCCTGCCGCTGCTGTTGAGAAGCAAGCTCCCCAGCAAGCCTTCAACGCGCTGCTGCTCAGGAACCCGCGCTTTGGCCTGACGATCGACGAGCTCAACGCAGCCTTGTCCACGCATCTTGCCTCCTCCTCCCGCAGCACGGGGCCGGCGCTGACCTACACAACCAGCTTCCTCCCTTCCTCGGAGAAAGTGCTCATCAAGGCGACCCCGGTCCTCACAGCCGCCGCCGTCGCGACCTCACTCGCGCCCACTCCGCAGGAGGTCGAGTCGATCCTGTCGAAGCTCAAGGTTGCTGTTGCGCAGACCGTGTCCCGCCTGGGTTTGGCCGGCGCCGTGTCGCTGTGCCACGTTGATACTGTCTTGGGACAGCATGTCATTACACGGGGGGAAGATCAGCCTGCGGCTGGCGATGCTAGTGGGTGGAGCGCAGTTGCTAGTCGCGGGTCGTGGAAGAAGGTGGCGAGGATGCGGGCGCCGGCGGCCGCTGCGCTGCAGCCGGCTGTTGCGAGCGGGTTTGTGGCGCTGAGGAAGTTGGAGGTGAAGAAAAAGAACAAGAAGGAAGAGGCGGCGCCGCAAGAGAAGGAGGAGGCAAAGGAGGAGACGGTGGTGGATGATTGGCGTGCTGCGGCGGAAGAGGAAGAAGAGAAGGGCAAGACTGATGGATCAGAGAGCGGTGGCCAGGGGAGTGCCAGTGAAGATGGGTCCGTTGAGAACGGGAGAAATGATAGTAGTGCTGCTACTGTTCAGAGAGCGGAAGGAGGAGAAGGGCAAGATGAGACTAGACAAGGGGGGCTGAAGCAGGTCGAACCGGAAAATGCTGTTCCTGGCGTTGCTATGGATGTATAGACCTCCGCAGAGAAGGTTTGGGGCATATTAGACTGCAAATCCCGATAGTCGTGTTTGTCTTCGGCATGCCGGGACAAGCGAGCATACCTTAGATAGCCCCCCTGATGCAATGTCATGGTGATAATAACAACTGGTGGGTTATCCCGGTGAAGACATGTAACCCACTTGGATATTGTTATTCCCGACTTCGGTATCAGCGCGGGTGAGCTGGAGCAGAAATTTGCCTCGACATTTAAGACGGTGGGCTAAGGTACCTACTTTTAAGACAGCAGGTGGCCCGCGTTTGGGGGAGAGGGGTTGTTAGGGCGGACCAGCATCTGAATATAGCGAGACATACTGAACGTATCTCGATCTGATCGCCAACGGAATCAGTTGGGGGTATCTGGTGTCTAATCAACCACAACTCATACATTCATACTATAGTGCAGTCCTGTACAACAAGACATCACTATCACTCAACTTCTGCACTAGAAGCCGCGACAGATGTCCTGCCCCTCCCCTGCTCCTGCTGACCCTGTTCCAGCTCCGGAACCCGCTTCCCACCAGCAGCAGCCAGCCCGACCACATTCCTCAAGTTTCCAAAGCTGAGACAGTCGCTGATCCGCCTGGTCCCCGCAAACAGCATCACAAGCCTCTCCACGCCACAACCCCACCCACCCGTAGGCGGCAGCCCGGACCCGAGCGCATGCACATAGCTCTCGTCGATCTCGACTGACCCGTCGTCCCCTTCCCCATCCGCGTTGCGTGTCGCCGCCTGGAGGAGGAACTTGCGCCGCTGCTCGAACGGGTCGTTCTCCTCCTCGTACATGTTGGCGATCTCTCGCCCGCCCATGAACAGCTCTGTTCGCGCGGAGACGGTCTGGCCCGTCTTGGGGCAGACAAAGCTCTTGGCGAGCGGGGACATGCACACCGGGTGGTGGGTGAGGAAGAGAGGCGCGGTAGAGGACAGCGGCTCGATGTACGTTGCCGCGAGGCGGTCGAGGAGCTGCGGGAGGGAGGTTGCGGGCGCGTTGTTGTCGTTGTCAGCGCTTAGGGCGTCTAGGGATATGTTATGCTCTTTGAGTAAGGCGACGAGGTCGGATAGGGCGGTTGGGGAGGTGAGATCGGGGAGTGTGAAATTGAGGGCTGCTTCGAGGGTGGGGATGAACTCGGCCTGTTTGAAGGGGCTTTGGTACGTTGAGAGATCGATGGGCGGGAGGGAGGTGAGTTTGGTCGAGATGAGGGATTGGCAGTGGGCAGCTGCGCCGCGGATCAAGTCTTCGGTGAGGGAGATGAGGTCGGATAGATTGGCGTAGGCGTGGTAGAACTCGCAGATGGTGAACTCCGGGTTGTGGGTCTGATCGATGCCTTCGTTGCGGAAGGCGGGGCCGAGTTCAAAAACGCGGTCCACGCCTCCCACGACGAGCCGTTTGAGCCACAGTTCCGGGGCGATTCGCAGGGAGATATCCCTGGATACCGTCTTGGCAGAGACGGTGAAGGGGCGGGCATTCGCACCGCCGGCGTCTCCAGCTAGAATAGGGGTCTGGAATTCGAGGAAACCTCGGTCGTGCAGGAAGTCGCGGAGGTACTTTATGAGGTAGGACCGCAGCCGCAGGATGTCTGTCGTCCGGCGGTTAACGAGCATGTCGAGGTGGCGGTGCTGCGTCCGCGACTCCTCGTCCACTAGCTTTGTCGGTAGGGGGACAAGGCTTGGGGTCAGCAGCTCGGGGAGGTAGGTCGCCTGGATGGTCAGCTCGCCAGCCGGCGTGCGCGTGGCCTTCCCGGTCACAGAGATGATGTCGCCCCTGGTGAGCAGCCTGGCAAGCTCCTTCAGCCCATCTATGGTCGTGTCGTCTACGAGCTTCCCAAAATTACAGATGCCCTGCACACGCTCAAACTCGCCCTTCATATCCAAGAAGATGAGCTTGGACCCGGCACGCCGGACAGATTCGATACGGCCGTGCAGGGTGACCTCCTCCTCGGCAACCTCGCCCTGCTGGATGCGGGCATACTTCTCCCGGAAGTCCGGGATCCGCATAGGCGGGCCATTATGGCGGAGGCGGGGATATTTCAGGGCGTTGGCTTGCTCCAGCTCCTGCTGCCGGGCTAGGTGGAAGAAGCGTAGGTAGGCCCGGTTAGGCGGACCGACAGACTTCCAGGTGTACGGCCGCAGGAACTGGAGACTTGGTGTTGGCCTCATTGCATTGTCTAGAGAGGAAGTCAGCGCCTGATCCCCGGACTCGAAATTCTGTAAAGTCTTTGCAGAGGAAGACGGATATCAGAAGAATGGTTTAAGTTTGTGATCATACACGCATAGCGCGTCAGTCGCAACGGTTCTTTGATATGTTGTTCATCATTGCGCGTCAAGCAAATCTAGCTAGTCAAGGGCTCCTCTTACTCACAATTGGATTGCTGGACTCCGGGGATGTCGTTTGTCCCAGGTTGAGTTCACAGATCCAACTCGTGAGCCGTGAACCTCAAGCCTCAACTTTTTTGCAGCACATACCGGGATCCACAATAACGTTACTGCAGCAAATCAGAGATCAAGATGCTCCTTAGCTCCCCTCTTGGCTGCCGGTCAGAGAGGCCCGATGTTCTGCCGCCAGCTCTTGGCATGACGAGCAAAACAGTTCAATCGCTTGGTCGTGCTGGTGTACAAGTACAATACCTGAAAGCCGAAGAACAAGACGACCACGACGAAGAAGACGGCCATCGACCAAACCCCCAGCAGGCCAACACAGCCGATTCCATTCCTCCATCGGCAATCCAATCCGCCGCAACCTGCCAAAATGTCTTTCCTCGGCTTCGGCCAACCCAAGCCCACCTCAGCCGAGAAGATCGCGGCCGTGGAGAACGAGCTCAAGGTTGTGGCCGAGATGCACTCACGGTAATTCTCCCTTTTCCACACGGCGGCCGTCACCCTACCCCCCATGTACACCCACCCGATCAACAGCTGACCAAAGGGTGAACCTGGCGTCAAATAGTATGATCAAGGTCTGCACAGCGAAGTGCATCGACCGCACGTACCGCGAGGGCGAGCTGTCCAAGGGCGAAGCGGTCTGCTTGGACCGGTGCTCGGCCAAGTTCTTTGATGCCCACCAGACTATTTCGGAGCAACTACAGAGGGAAGGGGCGGCGCGCGGGCTCGGTGGGGGGATGTAGAGACCTACATCCACCTAAGGTACCTTAGCTGGACAACTCGGGATGGCTATTCATTTGAACAGGTGGGTATCTTTGAGAAGAAGTCGGTTTTTGGCGTCATGTATGATAACTTGCTCGGGAAGCGCAACATCCATGTTGGGGCGCATGTACAACACGAGATGGGATCGAGGGGACCGGGGAAGGCATATCTCGGTTTCCTCAGGCACAGGTTTTGGTTGGGTCGTGGGTTAGATGGGAGCTGTTTAAAACCACGAAACAAGTTGGGCCAGATGTACTGCGACATGTACAGTGGACATCAACCAGTGCCCGGTGAACGGATAAAATAGTGTGATCAGGCGCAACTATGGACCTAGGTTAGTATGTAATGATGGCATCTCCTCCCTGCTGGCCTAATTCATTACCCATAGCCCATGTGAATGCGATCAGGCCTGTAATGCTGGCGGTGTTATGCTAAATGCTCTTCCGAAACTCCCAACGCCGTTCAACTCCAAGATACCCAAGACTTCACCATTCAATGCGGAACACAAGCGTAATTCCCTTCCTCTCTACGTGCGATGTCGCACGACCTCCTGACTCTCACTCGGCCCCCTGGTGATGTTCGGCCCCGTCCCGATGCCCGTCAGGGTCCGAACAAACCAGTGCACCCAGCTCTCCGTCTCCAGCACAATCTTTAGATCCTCGGCCCTCCTCTCGACGTCCTCGACCTGCGCCTCGAACTGCGCGACCCCGTCCTCGACCTCGTTGACCCGTGACACGAGCGCGCCAATCTCGTACTCGAGCTTCGCCGCCAACCCCTCGACATCCTTGACCGCCTCACCAAGGCGTGCCCGCTCCGCGGCCAACAGCTCGCTGCTGCTGTGTCGCATGCGCTGGTACGTTTCGTCTACATCGCTGTGTAAAGAATGGAGGTCGGTTTGTTGGGCGTCAAGGGTCTGCTCGAGGGTTGAAGCGTCTGACACCCCCTTCGACACCCAGGGCACAAGGTCAGTTTTGATCAACTGGAGGCGGTTGTACAGGTTGTAGGACAGCTCTGCTTGTGATTGTAAGGGTAGCAGATCGCTTGTGCTAGTGCCCGCAGACACGTCGGTGAGGCTGATCAGCTCGACCCAGGAGAGGATGGCGTCCTCGGCCGCGCTGAAGGAGAGCCGTCGCGGATAACGGGCCTCGTTGAGACGGTGGCTCAAGGAGGAGACCATGCCGTCAACGCTGTGGCGACGCTGTAGAGCCAAGAGTGGTCCGTCAGAACACCGCTCGAGGGCGAGAACAGGCCCTTGGAGGTCCCCGTCGACTACGACGGAACCACGCGCCGAGACATTGGTGCTGCGGACCTCCTTTGCCATTTCAGTGACTGTAACCTCTAACGTCTCTTTCGCACCGAGTGTTGTGCTGGCAGCTGACAAGTGCTCCTCCGCTCTGTCCGCGCTCGTGACAGACATAGGAGGTGCCGACTCGTCTCCCTCCCTTTCTTTCAGGGCAGCAAGGTACTCTTCCGGCTTGGCCTTCCATGTGAATGCCCTGCCGACCGCGACTGGGCTTGTCACAGCGGCTGACGACTGGGCCAGCGTCGCAATACTGGGGGTCGAGTATCCGCTCATGCCTGTGTCCGGACTTTCGTCCTTTGACGGCCGGCTGACGTGCCCTCTGAGGCCGCCTCCCACGGCATCTCTAATACGTCCCAGCCCCGAACGGGCGTCATTCACCTTGTCCGCAACGCTTTTGAAGACCGTCTTGCGCAGGGCGTCTCGGTCGCCGCCAGGCGTGTCCGTCGTCATCGGCGCAGAGTTTGATGCCTGGAGAGGGGAAGAGGTTGCAGGTGACTCTTCCTTCTTCTTGGCCTCTAGCTCGTCCTCGACTGGTGCGGACTGCGCCCTCCTGTTTCCTAGCTGAGAACCAATCTCGTCTCCGAGCTCCTTTCCAAACGCTGAAACGGGATGTTCGGGCTCCTGATGCTGGTCCTGCAGCGTCCTCCTCGGCTTTCCGTGCCAGAGCCATTTGGCCCGTTCACCAGATGCAAGATTGATGAACTTGCCTAGGTCTAGTGTCTCAATATCGCCGATGTTGGCCTTATCCCGGCCACCTACCATGCCGATGACAAGTTCGCCTCGCTTCCCACCAATCTCGGCAACTGTAGACTTGACCGCCTTCTGCACGCCCCAACCGCCTTCCCCGGCTGCCGCCTTGGCGGTTACGCTGTGCAGTTTGAGAAGGGTCTGCCGATCAAGCCGCCGTGTCTTTTCCAGCCTTACGGATTTCTGGAATGTCCCGATGCCCTTCTTCGTGCTCTCTATGTCGAACGCGTCTTTGGATACCGGAGCGCCATAGTAGCTGAGCCGGTTCCTCGCTCCTAGAAACGTGCCTAGGAGAGCAGCGACCGTTGTTGGCCCAAGGATACCGTCCGTGGGCTCAATGTTGAAATATTCCGAGCCAATCTCGATCCACCAGTCGTTGATGGCCTTTTCCGTGACGTCACAAAGCAGGCCATCTATGTACACCTCCTCGAGCATGCCAAACATGAAGAGGGCCAGCTGGCAGAGCTTGACAAGCTCGACGACGGCCTGAACGAATGATATCCTGTCGCTCGTCTTGTACGTCTGCATGAATTTGGCTTGTGTTGCCGGTGTCGGTTCTGTAAGCGTGAGTCCTGACCGCCCAGAGCAGCCCAGCCGCTTCAGATTCTCGTTGACAATGAAAAGCTGGCGGTGCTTGCGTATGTCCCCTTCCGGGACCGGAATCACGGTGAGTGCCGAGGGGAAGCTGCTGAGGTTGGTGACCATAAGCTCCCCGATCTCCGTCTCCTTCGGCCGCGCATGATACTGATGGATGGCCCTGAAGTAGGCCCGCAGCATCGGCGACCAGTCCTTGCTGTCGGCGGGCACTTCCAAGACGCCGACAACAACCGAGTGTCTCGGGTCCCCAGTGTAGGTTGCGATAACGAGGGTGGGCGATTGGCGCGAGCAAGCCCACTGCTCGACCAGGTAGAGCTCATAGCCGGGAAGGACATGTCTACGTTCGACAACGGAGACCAAGGGATCGCTTTCTAGGAACCTGCACAGCGCACGTTAGCAGATGTGGTTGCTGGAACTGCAGCTTCGCGCAGTGGCCTGGCCCTACTTGAAAGCAACGGGGTCTGGGAGGACCACGCGACGCCGGTTGGGGTTGAAAGGGGCAGCAGCGCCAGCCGCCGCAGCGTCGGATCTCTGCTGCTGCGAGGCTGTCCGCGCCAGCGACAGGTCCTCCTCCCGATGCACCCTCGGGTCAAGGGCTACGGTCGGAAATCCGAGTCGCCGGGACATTGGATAGGCGGTGCTAGGACGTCAATGTCAACAGCCCAGCTGCGCATTGCTAGGGACCCAATAATGTTGGGTTCGTTCACCGGGCGGCCTCCATGCCAACAGCAGGGAAACAAGGCCAAGCGAGACAAGACGCCCCCAGACCCATCGTGGGGCCGACCGGGCGGTGAGGGTGAGGGTTGCCGGCGCCAAAGTGGTTGTGGGCTCGGAATTGGCTGGAGAAGAATCGCCTTGGTTGACTTCAAGAGCGTTGCTTCCAGAAAAACATAATTCGTCGGGAAGGGGAGCTCGAGAGGAAGCAAGTTGAGGTCGGTTGGTGCAACCGGCATGTGATGCAATAGGCAAGGTTCGGCATTCGGTGTCGCCGTACCGTACTGTACGTGTAACAGTACTGTAGCTTTTCAGACCTGTAATGTACAGATAAAACCCTCGTTTCTGAAAAAGGATAGTGCAGTACGGAGTAGGATTACAATACACGCGTATTTTACATAAACGTAAGTTTATACGTACTACGTTTCGTATCAGCTCCTCATTACCGCTGTGTATTGCACACATCGTTTTCCCTAACGGGTAATCTAGCCGTACCACTTTGCGCTCGCGACTCCTACTGTGTCACGATACATAAGGTACTAGTACCACATAAACCCCAGTCCAAGAGCGGGGTCCGAGACGGTACGTCACTCCGAGTCGCGAATTCGCAAGTCCAACTGATAACGGCTATTTGCCGTTTCTCTACCTTCTCACCTGAGGTAGTATCGTGCCGGCGAAGCAATGCTAGGCACACATGTTTGCTAGTATTTACGGAAGTCAAAAGTCTTATGGAAGCAATGGACGGGCCAAAGAAGAAGTTGGAGACTCTCCTGGACGAGTTGTCTCGAGTGAACAGTCTCCCCACGCTCAAAGCGGCGGCTCACGATGTCGACCGGATCATCGACCTGCTCAGCGAAGCCCGCGAGCAGATCGCTGGGAGTAAGTTTCTCCCCAGGCTCAGACGGTTGAACACCACTCTGCTGACATACACGTCCGTGACAGCCATGGACTCTCATACCGCGAGCTTGACAATGACAAAGCTCCAGAATCCGATCAAGACGGCCTTTGACAAGGTAAACGACAGTCTCAAGGCGGCATCATCGGCGCACAAGAAGGTGGGGAGGTCATTGGACAAGCACTTCCCTCTCAAACCGCTTCCCACAGACGACGACGTCATGGAGCAGCATCTTCCGCTAATCAACCGCGCTATCGCTATGCACTTGTTACGGGAAGGCCAGTTCGGCGTGGCCTCGACGTTCATCAATGAGATTCAGGCAAAGCAACTAAGCACCTCGTCATCTGACCCTGACGAGGCTATGGATGAAGATGAATACGAAGACGAGGAAGAGGAACAGGAGGCAGATGACACAGGCTCACCCGCAGATAGCAAGCACAGCAGCCTTGCATCGCTACACTCGGAAGAGCTGCAAGAGAAGTTCGCCGAGATGTACAGGATTCTCCAGCAAATACGAGCCCACAACCTCCTCCCGGCGATCGAATGGGCGCGGGCGAACTCCTCCGAGCTGGAAGCCCGTGGCAGCAATCTAGAATTCGAACTCAGCAGACTCCAATACATCTGGCTCTTCAAAGGTCCCGCGGTTAATGGCCTGCCCGACGACGAACGCAACGGCCAGTTGGGGGCGCTTGCCTACGCCCGAGAGCACTTCAACCGCTTCCAGGCACGACATCTGCGTGAAATCCAGCAGCTCGTCAGCGCCATGGTCTTCGCACCCAACCTCGCCGACTCGCCGTACAGCTCGACCTTCTACACTGAAAACGCCTTCGACGACGTCGCCTCTTCCTTCACCCGCGAATTCTGCAGCCTGCTCGGCCTCTCGGCCGAGTCCCCGCTCTACCTCGCCGTCACCGCTGGCGCGCTCGCCCTCCCGCAGCTCATGAAATACACCCAGGCCACCCGTAGCAAGGGGACGGAGTGGACGACGACTAACGAGATGCCGTTCGAGACGCCACTGCCGAACAGCATGCTCTTCCACAGCATCTTTGTCTGCCCCGTCTCCAAGGAGCAGACGACCGAGGACAACCCGCCCATGGTGATCCCCTGCGGGCACATGCTCGCCAAGGAGACGCTTCAGAAGCTGTGCAAGGGGAACCGCTTCAAATGCCCGTATTGCCCGAGCGAGGGCGTGCTGAAGGACGCGCGGCGGGTCATTTTGTAGGGCGTGGATCCGACGTCGGGTGCTGGGGAGCCGTTGAAAGCGAAGTTTGTCCGGGCACGGAGCAGTCTCCCTACTATATCCGCTTTCGAAGAGACAAGGCTCGAGGCAGCCCGAGAAGCATATCGGACGACTGTCAGGATCATTGAAGCTATTGCGGCTTTGCAGAATATCTTTGGGCCTGCTCGGAACAGTACCACTGCTAGTTGGGCTGATGATCCGCGGCGCTGAACACGACGCTGGCCTACCCGCCATAATAGGGGACCACGGTGCGGAACGGCCAGGAGGGAGGGGGAAAGGGGGGCGCCAAGGAGTTGGCACCATTCATCAATTATTATATCTTCTAGGCTGTCCTCTTCTTCATCAGCCGCACACGACGGGAATATGGGTTGGTTTGCGGGTCACGGAAACATGGAGTCGACTTTGGATTTGGAGTTCGGTGCTCTTGCTCTATTGCATACTCTCGCGTGGCTGGCTTCGTTCCAAAGGGTAATCAAACACTCACTGGCGACAGTAGCGGAGCGATGCAGGTTCCAGTCTGTTTTCCGCTAGCAAGGGCTAACGGATTAAATCCTATCGGAGCATGGGAGTGTAGTGCATAGGCGTCTCTTTCGGGATACCGTCGAAGCTTACGGCAACAGCTTCATGAATCTTGTTACTTAAGCCTTGCATTACTATGCGACAGCCATTAGCGAGGTAACTACGCCACAGCACACTTGGCGAACCACCGCTGCAAAACCGTTCGAAGCTGTAGATGTTATTTCCACAGATGATACGATTCCTTCCGCTCCCTCACCTATATTCCAGCGAAGACTCCACCCTTCTCCCTTTGTCCACCCCAACCCATTCGTCCCACCCACTCCTCAGCATCTTTGGTCCAGATAGCATCGAGGTCGACCTCCCGGTCAGCCTGCCGACGAGCAGGGTAGATGAAGGAGTAGATGTGTATTCTGATAGTCTGGACAGTGCCCCCACCCCCCGGAAAACAAACCGATCCAGACTCACTCAGAGCAACCCACTCAAAGCAAAGCCACTTGTTATGAAAGGAAAAGAGAACGCCATTCTCCCATCCAGCCCTTACCATTGCCTCCTCCCCACGGGGGGAAGGCAAGACAGGAATTGATCGCTGCCCAAACGCCAGAAGGTATGTGTGCTCGAAGGCTTACACAAGAAAACGCACAAATGTCAGAAAGCACCATATGGGGATATCTAATGCCGGCCGGTGTTTATAGAGTCCGGGCCTTCCGGTTCCTGAGATGGCAAAAGTAGGAAACAGCCTCTTCCAGCTAGTTTGTTGCTTTGCTTCAGACTCCAGAGTCGTAAAAATTCGTAACCGGGCGAATGCAATGCCCTCGTCTCGCTTCGCCTCGTCTTCCTCCATCCTTCATCGCCCAGAAGGTCCGCCCAACCCTTAATCGATAGTCATCCGAGTAGGAAGCGAGGGCTTGTGGTCATGTAGTTGGTATGAGTTGGCGTCCTCCTTCTCTGGGTCGACGCCCTTCGGCCTGAGCAGGTGAGCCTTGAGTCCTGCACCAAAATTGCTCATGCATATGAACGCATTGATGATGGTCAGGATGATGAGAAGGATGGTCAGGACCGCGAAAGCCGTCAGCGATCGCCTGACCGCATCGTAGTTCTGGCTGTAGCCCGGCTGATAGATGCGCACCAGCTTGAAGAAGAAGTAGGCCAGGCCGCCGAAGTAGAGGAGGATGACCAGGCACACGCCGATGCGGTTCTCGCGTTGGGTGAAGAAGGCAGCACACAGCAAGATGGCAATAGTGACTGGGATGGCGACGATGTGCAAGGCCATTTCGGGCTTGCTGAGGCCATTGACGATGACGAGAAACTGCACCGTGAAGCCGAGGAAGAAGAAGAAATCGAACTTCAGCAGAGCGATGTAAATCTGGACGGTGTCAGCGTTCCAAGCTGCCGCACGTACTACGCTACGGGAACCCACCTGGTAGTGCAGGAAGCGTTTCTTCATGCGGTAGTCGGCGCCAATCTGCTTCAGGATATCCCAGGCGAACTCGCGGTAGAGCTGGTAAGCGATAGCGCCCATGGCGACAGTGATCACGCCAACGACGGCGGGTACGGCGACGAGGAACGGCCTGCACAGCGCCCACACATTCCTGTCCTCATCGTCCGGCTTAATAGCGCCGGCATCCAGCAACCGATTGATCGAATTGTTAATCTGATCTATCTGGAGGATGGTGTAGACGAAGATGGCCAGGTTGGCGATGCAGAGGCCGATCACTTGAATCGTGTTCTTGAGCCGCAGGGCGTCCCATGTCAGGATCAGAACGTAGATGAATCCGAAAATGAAGAGCGTTAGGAAGGTCGGGATGGTGCGGTATTGCGACTTCAGCCTGTCGTCGATGCTTTCGCTTTCCTGATATTTAAGACTGAACTGGAACCTCCCGAACACGTATCTGCGCCGCTCAGGTCAATCTCTCGAAGTGGCTATGTGCTTGTCGGCTCCATGATGACTTACGCCTCGAAAGCTGAGCATACTAGCGCCTGCAGGCCGACAACGAAAAAGAAGAGTTTCGCCCACTTTGACGCGAGAAACTCTGTTGAGAAAAGGTTCGTCTTGCTCCGGCTGGAGCTGTTGGCAATACCGGTTGCCATCATAGCGCTGTCCCGGTAGTGAGGGCCGGCGCCGTATGTTCCGTCAAAGCTCGAGATGGGTTGCGAGCCGGCCAAGTATGACCGGCGAAGATCTCGTTGCGAAGCCAGGACGGGCGGTTTTACAACACACTAGTTGTTGCTTGTATTCGTATGGCCTGCTGTTGGATCGTGGGCGGCGGGTGGATATGGCCGCTGGTGTGGGCGTGGCCGGTCGCTGAAGATGGTCTGGGGTAGAGGGCGCAAACTTTCGTGGACTGTTGGCGCCTCGAGCGGAAATCGATGGGAAAGCGAGTGGTAGTTGAGCGTTTCTCTGCCGACGCCGATGATGATTCGTGTTGAAGCGTGAATTTGTGCTTTGAGAGTTCTCGGCGGAGGGCAGGCTGAAACACGACGAGGAGCTGAGATGTTCGAGCGGCACCTCACCAGACTTGGCTTCACTCGAATTGCAAGGCAAACACTAAATGGGGACGTCGTAATACACGGGGCGTAACCATGACGCGACAGCGTAATGCTCCTAACGAGAGATTCGGATGACAACAGAAGCGAGAGATTAAACTACGTGTAAATGGGAGCCGGAATTTAGATAAATAGATGTGTCCGTATCCTGGGACGACTGGGTGGAAAACGAGGGAACCCAAGGACACGGGCCTGCTAGAGTTGAACTTGGATGTTGCGGAGGATGCAGTTCTTTCGCAGGGGCCGGCCGAAAAAGTGAAGAATCAGGACTCTGGCGGGACCCAAACAGGGGTTACTTTCCCCATCAGCCTCCCCAAGTCCTGCCGAAGCACGGCTTGGGCTGCACTGGTTCCGAGGCTGTGCAAGACGATGCGTCTCCGACGTCAATGCAAATGTGGGACGGATTCTATCTTTGTACATGATAACAGGACTTCAACTTCTCTTTCAACTTCAACTCTTATGTTCTACGGGTATAAAAATACAGGAATATCACCAACCGAGTTGCTCATGATTTATTACTCCCACGTCTGGCTAAGGGGCACTGGGATCCACAGATAGTTTCAACACCATGTCTCTCAAATCCGAAATGACAAACATACCAAATCCTCAGGTCTCGCCGACGAATGCCAGCTACCTAGAAGGACTCACGGAAAGCTGGAAAGCTTCCAGTAGTGATTCAAGTTCACCTACGAAGTATGCTTTTGAGGCCAGGCGGATCAGCAGGAATCTAGATCGCGAAGTCCCGTCCCATCCTGTGTTTCATGCCCTTCAGCCCAGCGCCATCAAGGGATACCGGCTTCGACTGGGGAGAACCGTCGCTCACACCACGCAGTACAGTAGTTAAGTCAGCATTGTCTAACACATCGTGACCTCGGACTGGGTCGGACAACGTGGCAAATCAGTTGCACGGTACTCCGTAAAGGGCCTCTACATAGCCGCATAAGCACCAAAGAGGCTCGAGGATTATATCCCGGCAAGTTTCCGGTCCTTTAGGTATGGTGTCTTTTCGTTGAGCTTCCAGTCGGCAGTACATACATACTCACCACCTGTGTTTCCGGCGTCTAGCTGCTGAAGCCGAGGGACTATTATATATGTAGACACACGACAGCCCTGAGAATTGGACCCCGAACCGTCGCGCGCGCAGCCTTGAAAGTGGGACGTTACATACTGAAGCGGGGACAAGCCAGGCCCAGCGGCGTTCAGGTGCTGTGTAGTGTCGTATCGCTGTATTTGCCGTAAAATGACGACAGAGTTGCAGCCGGTTGCTGCCCTCAAAGTTGTTGCACTTCCTTAACGTTATACGAGCTGGATTCTTCGAGTACGGGGCAATCCACGATAGGGGAGACCCAGGGGGTCAACAAGACGACTGATAGGCCCGTCAACCGAAGACAACCGGCGATCTCGGCTGACTTAGACCGTCGATCATATGCCGCCGTCACCTGGCCAGATTCCGAATTCGCGAGTCTCGCCCATCGCTTTAACTGTCACCAAATTACTTCCCCAGGGGTGACTTCGTAGGGCCTTAACGCCAGACGCGGTTCCTACTTCCCTAGCATTCTCTGTTGTTCCAGTACCTAACTTGGCTACTGATAATGGCTGCAACCCGGGCGATAAGAAGAGAGCGTAAAGGAGGGTGCCTTTCCAGAACGACAAAGGGGGTATAAAACAGAAAGGAAATAGAGGAAATGTCGAGTTGCCGTTCACAGACTGATTTCTATTGATTGTGAGGCCTCACGGAACAAGGAACCACAGTTGCATGATCTCCGTACATACTGTACACAGCAAGGCAAAGCCTCCCCCACATGAACATGGATGGGTTTGTGGCTTGCCTGCCTGCGGGACCGGACGATAGGGCCAACCTAGGAGGTTAGAGTATGAGCTCACTATGCAGTAAGTAGGTTTACAGCTCCCGGTAGTTTCCATAGGCGGAAATGAGAGTGTCGGTATTGCTAAGTTGGGGCGTCTCGATGGAAGCTTCAAGTTGCCGTGCCTCCCGTCGGATTTGATCGAGGTGACCGACTTCGCTGGGAAGATTGTAAGTACGGTTCCTTACGCCATTACGTTCACCCCATATGTATGTGCGGAATACATTACAAGAAAACAGACATCCGCCATGCAAGCCGCCACCACAGTGCCGGACCAGACCATGTGGGGCAACCCGCAACATAGCGCCCGGACCCGGTCCTACACTACGAACCCGACGCGTTTCCGGCAATGCGCAGGCACGCGCCAGAGAACCACAATCTCGCATCGACCCCACCATTCATAAGCTTCCGGGATGGAGATAGAAGCTGGCGACGACATTCTAAGGAAGGCGGCGGAGGACGGTTCCCTGGACTAGTGAGTGCCCGCGATGCGGTAATCGGTCCCTTAACGCGCAAGCGCCTGACAGTTGCGAATGTCGCAGCGCGGCCTGGCCCGACCTGCTGCCCTTGGTTCTGGCACGTATTGAGAAGGTGAGGCTTCACCGACACTGGAGACCTACGGCGAGCGTTATCCTGGTCTAATGCTCCCTACTGTCCAGATCGCACACACCGAATTTCCCATTCCCGCCATCACGTCTCCCGTCCGACCAGCCCGACCTCCCTCGCCCCGTTTCCTTGCCCCGCTTCCTTCATCGGACCCAGTAGAGGCGCCGGATCAGACGAATCCGCCGCCGACGTCGTCGCAAGAAACAGACAAAGAGAATGCCAAGCCGTCTCCGCCATCGCTCTCTAGGGGCGCCGGCACCAGTGCGAACGCTGGGCCGGCCTCCTCCGCTCCAGCAGCTTCGTCGTCGCAACCGAGCGCCCCTACCCAACAACACCCCGTGACCGCCCCTCTCCCAAAACCCATTGCCGACATGCTCGACGAAGTCTTAACTGTTCTGCGGACCGATTTCCCTCAGTACCCGCCGCATACAATACAGCGCCTGGCCGAGCTGGTGCTCCGCCCGCGCGAACATTACCGCAACGTGGTGCCTTATCTCCATGCGCTCGACCGGATTGTCCATGTCACCAGCGGTGCTAACACGTACCCGCTTCCCCCGGCCCTTCCCGATATAGGCGCCATGACTCTGCTGGCAAACGGTGTGGGTGGCCGTGGGGCGGGCGGGTTGTCCGTCGACACTGCGGCGGCGAACAATCTCGGGTCGGATGAGGCGCTGGGCGGCGCTCTGCTGACGCCAATACCCTGGCTATCGAGGCGAGCAAACGCAGAGGGCAGTGACGACGGCGGGGACGCAGGGAGTTCATCCCCGCTGTCGGCAAGCGGCAACCCCTCACAGCAGTTCCAACTCCAGCAGCACCAGCAAAGGCAGAGTTCCCACCTCGAAGGCAGGATACAAACTGAGAATACGGTGACCATAGAGGGCCCCAATGGTATGGGCAGCATCGAGACCGTTTCGGTATCGGTCAACGGCATCCCGTCCACCGGTGCCGGAGTGGCCATGCTCACACAGCGCAGCGTCACGCAAGGCGAGCTCTTGCGCCAGGAACAGCGTGCGGGCGTCGTGCCTCTGAACCAGCTCAACAGGCAGCAGCAGCGACACCGACCCATGGACACTGACGGCGGTGATACTGCGGATGAAGATGCGTCCATGAGCGATGGCGCCGCGGAGGAGGAGGAAGAAGAGGAGATTCCGCATGCCCGCGGCCCCGAAGAAATCGGCCCCGCCGACACGGGCCCCCAGGACCCAACGACAGCAAACTACATCGCTGGGGCCGGCCGCTCTCTAGGTGTAGGTCGCCTCAACTTAGAGGCTGCTGTCGGGCGAAGAGTGCAGACGCCTCCTACCCAGCAGCAGGAGCAACCGGATGGAAGCAAACGCGCGAGCGGCAGCCCAGACGGGGAGATCATCCAGCGGAGTCCCAAGCGCGAGGCAACCGACAAGCTCGAAGCGGCAGTTCCTAAGAAACGGATCAGGGAAGACGGATCTACCATCTCGGCACGCAGCAGCGGAGGAGAATCTCAGGACCAGGGACAAGAGGGGGCAACAGGGCAACAGCAGAAGTCGGCTGACGACAAAGCTGCATCCGGAGACGGCGAAGCCGACTCAGAGCCAAAGCGCGACGCTGAGGGAGACGTTGTCCTCTCCGATGTTGCAGCCGAACAGGCGGGTGAAGACGAGCCAGCTGTTGATGACTCTTCCGAAAACAAATCCGAAGCTGCTACGAAAGATGAAGGCAGGGATAGGGATGACGAAGGAGACAGCAAGACAGTGCAAGACGGCGAGGCCTCAACTGGTGCTACTGCCGCCGAATCAGGCCCAGGAAGTCAAGGCGGTTAGTGGGATGAGCTCTTCTGTTGACGGGTACTGCTACAGGCGCCTAGCAAACCAAGCGAAAGCACATGTTGTGAATGGTTCTCATTGCTCCCAGTAGTTGCCTATGGATTTCCTCTCTTCTAAATCTGTAAATGGTTAGGTTTTGTGTGGGTTTTGGGTTGGTTTGTACGATCTCTCGTGATGATTTCCTTTGCTGGTTTCCGGCTTGGTCCTGGAGTGGCTGGACTGGACAACCCATCTACAGTCATCGCAGCTGGCGGTATGCTTGACACACCTACAAACTGAGTTCCTGGTATCCCGGTGACTCTCCCATTACCATATCATAAATACTACTAGTGATGACTTCATGCGCGCATACATTACACACAAAACAACAAGCCCCCGCGCCCCCTTACTCCATGATCCGCGTGATACTCTCCCTCACAATGACGCTATTCTGCTTTTCATCCCTCTTCACCCTGTAGAAATCGTCGCAGAAATCGCTGCACTGCATGTGTTTCAAGAACTCCTCGTCGTGCGTAATCACAATGAGCTGCAGATTGCTCTGTGAGCGCCGGGCCTTGATGATCCCGTGCAGACTCTCGGCCAAGCTCCGGATGTTATCGCTATCCAGGTTGGTCGTCGGCTCGTCGAGGGCGATCAGGCCGCAGTTGATGCCGAACGACTCCGCCAGCGCCAGACGGATGATAATACTCGCAAGAACCTTCTGGCCGGCGCTGCACCGCCCGCGCATGTCCATCTCGGTATCGCCCTTGACCATGGACACGCGGTAGTTGTAGTTGCGTTTGCCGGTACCCGACCCGGCACCTGCTTCCACATCGGAGCGGATCTGGATCGTGTCGATATCTGTGCCCTGGTATGTGCTCTGCCACAACTCGCCAATGGTGCGGTTGATTTCCTCCATCTTGAGCGAGTGGTACCGCATGATGGCGTGGTCGAGGGCGGCGGTGCCGCGGCCCAGGTCGTCGATCGCGGCTTTGGTGGTTTCCACTTTGATGTGCGATTCTTTGTACTTGGCCTTAGCGTTCTTGAGGTCGATCTGGTATTCTTCGTAGAGACGGCCGAATTCTTCGTCCTTCGTGCCCAGAGAGCCCGCTAGCCGCTGCTGGTCGGCGGCTAGTTTGGCACGGCGTGACTCGAGGTAGCGCTGTTCCTGGAGGAGCCGCTCGTAGTCTTCTGAGGCATTTCGGGACTCGAGTTCTTCGATTTCCTGTTCGAGGACTTCACGCTCACGGAGATTTTTGCGGTAGGTGAGATTGTCCATGATGTTCCGTTTCTTGGCGTCGCTGTTGTCGATTTCCTTGTTGAGCTTGTTTATCTGGACAGTCAGGTCGCGCATCTCGCTCTCGAGGCTTGCGATGGTCGCCTCGAGACCAGCAATGGCACGCTGGTTCGAGGCCAAGTTCGAGGGGCCACCCCGGTCAAGGTACTCCTGAATCTCGCTATTGATCATCTTGAGCTCACTGACCGTGGTTGCAATCGCGTCCCTCTCTTCCGCTACCTTCTGCTCCTTCGCGCGACCTTGTCGACGGACCTCCTCGAGCGCGGCACGAGCGCTGGCGATCTCCGGCTCGAGGCGCTCTACCTCTTTATCTGCCTCCTGAATAGTGTCCCGCAGCTGGCTCTGCTCCTCCTTGCACCGACGGATCGACTCCTGGAGGCTTCTCTTCCGCTCGAGTTGCTGGACAGCATTGCTGATCTTGTGCCTCAACTCGAGCTTCTCAACGTCAAGTTGACCAGCCAGATCCTTGAGACGCTGCCTTTCGGCAATTAGCTTGCTGAGCTTCGCCTGGGCAACCCTGGTCTGCTCTGCACAAGTGGTTTGTTCCTCGTTAATGTCATCCGGGCTCCGCATTGTGATGCTCGATGACTGCTGTGACCTCTCCACCTGCCTTTCGGCGTCCAAAATGTCTTTATGAGTTTGCGAAATCTTCAGGACGTTTTTGCTGAGTGCGTCGATTTCCTGCCGTTTATCCTCTGCCTCTCTGAAAGCTAGATCCTCATCTTCGAGGCGGCGAACCAACTCTTCCTTTTGCGACGAATATGCGTCGATATCCTTGTTCAGGGATGGCAACTCACCCCCCAACCGTTGGTAATTGTCGTATTGGGAGCGCACGGCGTTGAGGATCCTGAGCTGCTCGGTGAGGTCGACTTGGTCGTGCATTAGCTCCTGCTTATCCTCATCTGTGAGCCTCTTTGCAATCTTGTCAAGCAGCTTCGATTTCGCAGATGCCTGGTCCTTGAAGTCGCGTTCGCAGAAGTAGCACTTATTGAACCGCACAGCCTTGTCTTTAATGGTCATATAGTGCTTCTTCATTTCGTCATAGAGCTTCAAGTCCGTCTCTGTTTGACTCAGTGCGGCCTCGACGCTCTCCAACTCCTTGGTGTAGTCCTCAATAGGCGGCGACTCGGGATCTCTCACGTCCTTGAGAGCTTTTGTAACAGCACGTTTGCAGCTCTCCTTCTCCGTAGACAATCTGTTATGTCGCTCGCGGGAATTGGAGAGCTTATACTCCACCTGCTTTAGCTCCTGCTGCCTCGCGTCCTTTTGTTTCCTGCACTCAGCAACAACGTCGTTTTGGCGTTTAAGAGCGTTCTGAAACTCGATCTCGATTGTGTCCGGTTGCCACTCATTGCCAAGTAGCGTGGCGAGCTGTTCGCTCCACGTATTCCTGAGGATCTCCAGCTCTCGTCGCCGTTCTTTCAATTGCTTTTGCCGTAACTCGAGCTGGGCCCGTTCGGATGCCAATCTCGTGCACTCGACAAGTTCTCTGGCAAGCTTCGCAGACTGCGCTTCGAGGTTCCAGATGTCATCGTTCACCTTCTTGATCTGGGAATCCAAGTCCGCCGCTTGCTCCTCAGCCTTTGCTGTCTCGATTCTGGCCTCAAGCTCTTTCATCTCGGTACGAAGCACTGCCTCCGCACCCTCGTCAATATCAAGCCTGCCCAGTTCACCTTGGATAGTGGCCGACTCCTTTCCAACATTGATGATACGCTGCTTCGCCGATGCACGGTCCCGGACGAGCGATGCCTTCCGGCTCTCCCGGTCCGTAATGACGGCAGTCTTCTTATCGAGCTCTTCAGCATTGTCGCGCTGGAGGTGATCCAGTTCGCGTTTCTTGTCGTTTAGGATCTTCTGGATACGTTCGTTGAAGGCGGCAATCCTCCGATCATCCAAATCCCCGTCGTAGCCCCGGATCTCGTGACGGGTGGCAGCATCATGGATCATGCGGTCCCGCGTATCAAGCTGCCGCTCGTACTTGTCCTTGTCAGATTGGTGTTTCCCCTGCTCGGCAGCCTTGGCCGTATGCATCTCCCGTGATTTCTTGAGTTTCGCCTGAAGCTCATGAAATTCTGCGGCTTTTCGTTCTCTGTCGGCAACCGTCCTCTCAATCGTCTGCTCGTACTCATCCAATGTGCTTCTGAGCACCTGATCCGTCTCGGGCAGTTCTTCGATGCGGCTCCACAGCTCCGCGATGGCCTCCTTTTTATACTCAAGCTTTTCGGTTTTAGTCTGGAGATTGTTCATGATGCTGAGGAAGCTGTTAGCTTGCTCGCGCTTGTCTGTGATCCTGGTGTCTTCCTCCTTCATCTGCTCTGATATCTCCGCGACTTTCTGTTTCCCCTCTTCTATCTCCCTGGAGAGTTGGCTCATGATCTTATCAACCTTGTCCGCTCTTTCTTTGTTCGCCTTGTCCTGCGCCTCCTGTAGCTTCAGCTCCCGAAGTTCCTCTCCTTTCCTCTTGCGAAGCACCTTAAGGTTCTCGATGACCTTGGTGTACTTCATGGCCTCAAAGATCTCGTCGAACCGCTTCTTGAGAGCGGCCGGCTCGCTCATGGGCCACAGCGATTCATCTTGGTGGCAGAAGATCACAGCGTCCAAGACGGCGGGGGAAACACCCAGTTTCTCTGGAACAAGCTTGTCGAGTTCCATAACCCGGGTAGAGATGACATGTCGTTCCCCATTATTTCGCAGGAGCAGGCTCCCTTCCAGTGTCTTCTGTGACCGTGTGTTCTTCTTAACCAGGAGCTGCACGTTCCTGGTAACGACGTACGACTCGCCGACGGTCGACCGGAAGGAGACCTTGACCTGGGCGCGTACGTCCTTCTCGCCGGCCAAGTTGGGATCGTGAATGAAGGCGCCACCCTTGCTGTTAGGCGGAAGCTCACCAGTGGTGGCATACTTGAGGCACTCGATGATAGTCTGTCGCAGAGTCAGTAACCATAATCCAAAAGAGCTAGCCTAGCAACCCCCACCGTCTTTCCCGACCCGTTATAACCGACGATCAAGGTAAGCGGGGTGTTGAACGCGATTGTCTCCGGGTGCTGCGGCCCGAAGGAGCGCACACCGAGAATAGAGAGCTTCTCTATCCTAGACATGATGACAGTATGTGGGACTGGAGCGACCCCCAAGACAGGCGAAATCTCCGTGACACTACTCCCATGCAACGTCGTTGGAGAGCGCCGTGATACGCGCGACAGTCGGAGTCGTAGAGAAGCCGACAAGGTAAAAAGGAAGTCGCATAGAAACTGGCTGCCTTCTGGTATTTGGCGAGCCTCTTGCAAGCCACGAGCCTGTAGATGTATGGTGTATGATTCCAGCGACCGTCAATTTATCAAACCTGATGAGACGCGTGGTTGTCGCGGTCTCTGTTCCATGCGACAAGCGCTTCTCGCGTCCTCACGGGACCTGCAGGTTGGGTTGGGGGCCCGCTGGCCCCACCGGAGAATCTTAATGTACCGGTAACTACGGATATTCCGTACGGAATACATAGCTGCTCCAAAGAAACCGGGACAGAAATCTGTGCACCTTAAGAAACCAACGTCGGAAAGATTCAATAGAGGGATGCTGGCTTTGTTGGCATGGCATTACGTACTGGGTCGTCGGGTGCTGAGATTGCGCATCTATCATTTAATCGACTTGTCGCGCAGAGCGGTGGTCCAACTTCCTTTTACCAAGGGACGTAGGTAGTTCAGACATACACCTGGAAACGAGCCCGGACAGAACCACGGCAATTTCTGTGGGACATGGTTGCCTCTGACCTACGCTTTGCGGAGCACTTAGGCTTACAGTTGCTCGAATAGGCAGAGAGATATATCCCGAACCCACGTCAACTCCCATTTTGCACAGCAAGGGCTGCCAACAAGGGGTTTAGATCGGCTCCGGCGAGCAAGCGGCACGGCCCGGGCTCCGTCTGGCCAGAAAGCCGTACGCTGACCGAGCTTCGTCAAGGACGGAACAAAAATCCATGATTACAGAACCTCATCTCATTCCTTTCTTTTCTTTCTCTTCCTCCCTCCTCTTCTCTTTCATTTTAATATTCTCAGTCCTTCATAGATTTGATGCTATTGGTTGACCTGATTGCCTTAACCTTCGGTTTACCTCCCAGGCTTCGTGTCCACCTAGCCTTTTATCGGCTCCCCAGAGGAAGCGGGGGCATCACCGAGTCTCGCATTTACATAGTATGGTACATCTATCTCTGGTGTCACGGGTGTCTTCTTGTTGACAGCATCGATGCGTGAACGATGGCTTGTTCTCACGCTAAATGTGAAGGATTCTCGGAGAGGTCTATTAGCGCTACCACTTATCTAGAAAAACAAACCATGCTCTGTACCACAGTCATGGGAGTGAGCTCGCCTTGGAGGGTTTCGATCTGACGTTCCAATATCCGACCCCCGAACGCACCGTTGGCTTGGCATAGATGAGGTCACTACTCCTATTGTAGCCAGTTGGTACAATTACCTTACCTTGCGGATCCGTTCGCACAACTTAAAGTGCCTTACCTAAGCGGATAAGTGGGAAATTGGGAATGATTTTGGCACATGCAATTCGGAACTTCGAACAAATAAAACGAAAACGCTATAAGCCTTGGACAATCGGAGCTGCTAATCGCCTCTTTTGTTTCATCAACTGAGCAATCAGTGCTGCATCACGCTCGACATACCATGTGCACACTCGTCCGAAGTCGCCTCTCCGGCGGACAACGATAGGTGCCACAAGCGGCAAACAGCTAGAGGTACTGTGTAGGTAGCCTGTGCCTTGGTTACGCCACAGCCGACGGTCCGGGTAGCGATTTCTCGCCAGTGGGGCTTGAGATTCCCATGCGTATTTCCAAGGAATCCCATCCTGCTCTCTCATTTCTTCGGAGAGCCCCGCCCCCCGCTTCCAGGTTGGCCTGCTGCGAGCCTGTGATCGCCGTCTCCTCGACAGCAGACCAGCCTAGAACGTCCGTCTCGGAAGTACGCGCGCTTGCTCTCCTCGTGCGAGGTGACAGGTCGGGCAGGAGGATTTCTTCCGCCCACACACCTGACGTGGAGCTCCCCCAACGTCTCCTGGCCTGATGAGAGCTCCCTCTTTCCGTCTTTCTCATTATCCCGGCAATCCAAATTGCCACCCATCTTAGTATCTGTAGAGAAAGCACTTGTTGGTTTGCCCTCTGCGATCTCCAGTTGCTTTTGAAGTTGTCCCCATCTTGGCGCCTACCAAGCTAGTAGTAGTCCACTACATTCAATTCCTGTTATTATTCATGTCCCACAGGCCTCCGTCGCCAGCTGGCTTCCTGAACTATGGGGCGCCGGCGAGCCTGGCCCCTGGCATGACACGAACGCTGCAGGTCCGCTGTGCCATTCTCTCGAGGAGCAGCATCCTGACCCGCTGACCTCCTGGCGTTGCGCCGCGCAGTCTAATACGAATCCAAGCGACGCAGGGTCACTATTTTATCTCGATCCGTTTCTCCTCTCCGTTGACGGCACCATGTCTACGGGCTTTGACTTCAGCAGCCGGTTGCCGCCACCTTTTGTCACAGCTGCGGTTCAACCCTCATCGACGGCCCTGATGGGGAGCACCCAACAGCCGTTGTTCCCTAGGGGCGATCGAGCAGGCAGTGGACTTGACGCGTTCCACGCGCCCCAGGATAGCCTTGGTTCTGACAACCCGAGCAGCGTGAGCACTGTCACCGAATTCACCAAACGGCGCAATTGGCCGGCAAAGGTCGTGGAAGAACTTCCGGACCTGTTGCAAATCCTGGATGACAAAGGGAGGATCAAGCATGTTTCCCGCAGTGCTAAGCGCCTCACCGGCTATGACCCGTCCGAGCTCCTCGGTAAGGTCATGCACGAGCTGTTGCACCAAGACGATGTGGGCACCTTCACCGCACAGCTTAATGAGGCGATCGCCCACGGTACGCAGTTGCGGGTATTTTACAGGTTCAGAAAGAAGAGTGGGACCTATTGCGTCTTCGAAGCCGTTGGCCATGGTCACGTCGCCGCCAACAAGTTCGCCCCTAGCCCGGACAACCAGACTCCCCTTTGCCATGCCGTTTTCATGATGGCCAGGCCATACCCCACCAGAAACGCAGCGCTTCTGGATTCATTCCTAGAACACAAGATAGAGAACGAGCGGCTCAAGCGGCGGATTGCAGAACTGCAGCGGGAGGAACAAGACGAGGCCGAGGAGTCGGACAGGGCCTGGCAATGGAGCCAGGAGGCCACGCCGGCCGAGAGCGGCGGCTTACGCCTGGGACCAACGCCACTCGCCTTCTCCCATACCCCTGGGGCGCCGCAGGAGAGGCGTCTGTCGCTGGATAGCGGGACGTCGGAGAGCACCGCAGGGATCAGGCACCCCTCCGTAGGCGCCACTCACGCAGACACCATCGAGATGCTCACCGGTCTTCGCTACCAAGAAGGAGAGCGAAGCCAGGGCATCACTACAGGCAACCCCAGCCCAGCGCTGATCACGGGAGACGTCGGCATCGCTATTACGGTGGACAGGGACCAGCGCATGGGGGAGAAGAAGAAGAAGGTTAAGACGGCGGAGGAACACTTGTGCAAAACCTGCGGTAAGCCATTGATGGATTCGGGAATTGACAAACGCTAAGTTGCTGCTTAGGAATAGCGGAGTCTCCAGAGTGGCGGAAAGGGCCGGACGGGCCAAAGACGCTTTGCAATGCTTGTGGGCTTCGATGGGCGAAGAAGGAGAAGAAGAACTTGAAGAGCACCCATTCCGGCGGCACTACCAACTCAGAAAATACTCCGCACGGGAGTGCGACTGTCGGTTAGCGGTATGGCACCTACCGGAAGAGCACTTTTGTCGCATCCTGGGCTCTCGTACGGCCATCGGTTCTAAGCGCCCCAGTCATGCTGGTTGGATTTCATGGCACTGTACTTTCCGAAGCTGGTCCTCGCCTTTCATGCATACGGGGTGGGTGGATGCTGTCAGATATTACAAAAGATGCAGGATACCGTGTACCCCTACTCAAAACAGCGGGCATGGAGCATCGGATTACGGCCTTAGCATGGAGCGTCAACGGGACTTACTGATATATTAATGGGCGCAGGATACAAGGATGTATCTCTCAAGACTCGGGAAGTACCTAGGTACTGTGTATAGTTACCTGAGCCATGCTTTCACACGAAACTTATCCCCTTCAACAACTCATGCTAGCTAGGTACAGTACTTATTATTCAGAATGCGTGGAAAATAGTGCGATGAGGGGTAACAGATGCCATGGCCCAGAGACGCCCATCACACAGTCAGTAGAATACGGATAATAGCCCTTGCTTGCTGTCCTTCAGCCCGGGACAACCTCCCTGCTATACCTGAGCCAGCCTCATATCACCATTCATTGGATGACGGCGAGTTTGAAAGGCAGCCTTACGTGTGCAGGATACTAGGTAGGTAGGACAGGAGCTCGATACCCTAGCTCGAGCCTAGGTAGCGTGTAAGGGAGAGCTCCCCCGCCCCCACCCAAGCTGAACCCTCCCTTTGCCCCTCTCTACCCCACAACACCTCAATCCTCAGCTGCGATTCTCATCCATCCTGCAATAAAGTGTAGTATCGCGAAAGGAGACAGCGAGTTCTCGGTTTCTCTGGCATATTACAGTCACTTTCCAAGCCCCCCCGGCCTGAATCCTACGCGTAACACACAAAAGTTTCCCCTCTGAATATCCCCAAGCCAACATGGACAAGCTGATCGGAAAGGCCGTCGACAAGGTGTTTGGTGACGATGATGAGCGTCGCCAGGAAGGTGAGTGATCCTAGACTCCTCGCGTCTTCAGCACCGAACAGGAGATGTCTAACGAGCTGTCACTCTACCACGCAGGGCTGCACCAAGGAGGCGGCAACCGTAGGTCAACTCTCCCTGTTCCTGCTCCCATGGCGTGGTCTCACACCTCCACAGTAACCCACGGCGGCGCCTACCCGGCCGGTGGTGGCTACCCGCAGCACGCCGACGCCGACCTCCGCGGAGCTGCCTCGGTCGCAGCCAAGGACGCCGACGACGACGAGGGCTTCTTCTCTGACGTTCTCGGCAAGCTGCTCCAAAACAAGCCGCCGTCGCAGATCGCCGACGACGATCTCGACGAAGAGGGTACGTTCTGCATTCCTCCTGCTACCCTTCATCATCCCCCGTACCTTGGCTCACGCGCAACACATTTGCCCCCGCATCCAGACGCAGTACAATCCCACCGCAAGTTCTTCGGCCTCGGCGGCTCGGAGCCCGCGGCCCACGAGCAGCAGGCCTCCTCGTCGTCGCTCGGCAGCGCCGCCGCCATGCAGGCGCTCAAGCTGTTTACCTCAGGTGAGACGGGCGCGTCGTCGGCCCAGGGCAGCCAGAGCCAGAGCGCCTTTGTCGGGCTGGCCATGGCACAGGCGGCCAAGCTGTTTGACGCGCAGGCGTCACAGGGTAAGGTCGCACCCGAGGCGGACAAGCAGAGCGTGGTGATGAAGGCGGGCGAGATGGCGTTGAAGATGTACCTGAAGAGTCACGGTAGCCAGGCCGGCGGGAGCGCTGGCGCTGGCGGGTTGCTGTCGCTGGCGAGCAAGTTTATGTGAAGCGGGAAAAGTGTCTCTTCTTTTGCCTAGATGAGGTGGGAGCGCTCAGTTACTCCTAAGTCACCCCCTGGAGATCGATCGATTCAAGCAGTGCGGTTGGTTATCAAGATTAGAGGAACCCCTGGCGGGAGTTCCCTCATGATGATCTCCATCAACAATTATAGCCGGATTCCAATGCCTCATTCTTGGTGCTGAACATTTCTCAGTACTGAGCTCTCATACGAAGTTGAGACGATGACAATGGTAAACTGTTACTGAAGTGAGTGAAAGTGTCAAGTGCGATGCCGTCGCTTATATTAGCAGCTCAGATATTCAGGGTTAGGGTCAAGATGGAGTTCATGAGGCCCCACCTCCGTCCGCATCCCACTGCATCCCACTTCGCAACCTCCGGTTCATTCAACCACGTCCTTTCTTGCCCCAGCCTGCATACAAAACCACTCGCGCCGCTGCCCAACCTCTGCCGCATTGCTTCACCGGTCTTGGAAAAACACACAAGATCTCAAAAACCCACATTACCCGTTCGCAATCAGCACACAAAACAAGATGGCCTCAGACGAGATGGAAGTCGACGAGCCCGTGTCGCCGCAGCAGGGTTCCGGCAATGACACCAGTTCGGCCAAGCTAGCCGCCATGCAGACACAGACCAAGGCGACCGCCGTGCGGTCCATCGAAGGCTGGATTGTCATGGTGACAAACGTGCACGAGGAGGCGGACGAAGAGGCAATCCACGATAAGTTCGGCGAGTTTGGCGAAATCCGGAATGTACACCTGAATCTAGATCGGAGGACGGGGTACGTCAAGGTAGGCGACTCATCTGATCTCCTTTCTTACATCTTTCTTAGTCGCTGATGTGGCGATGCTCGCATCGGCGAACAGGGCTACGCGTTGATCGAGTACACCACGCTGGAAGAGGCGCGCGCCGCAATCGACGGCGCCAACGGCACTGAGCTCCTGGACCAGACTGTCAAGGTAGACTTTGCGTTCGTGCGGCCCCCGCCTGGCAAGGCAAATCCACGACAGGGTGGCGCAGCGTCCGGCGCGGCTAGGGGATCGAATCGCGGGGCGCGCAGTGGCAGGAGTCGCAGCCGGAGTCCGGACGTCTCTAAGGAGGACGTCTTGTGAAGCTGTCGAGGGGAATGCTAAAGGAGACCATTTAGAAGCTCTCTACCTGGCGAGGCTAGGCGTGACTGGATGGGGAGGTAAACGGCGGCCTCTTATCACATAAGAATTTGCCGATGTGTCGTCAAGAAGAAGGGAAAAGACACGTCGGCGTCTTGCCATTACCAGTTTGAGTGTGAGTTGCGCAACGCGTCAAGAGCCTGAGGCGCCCCCAGCTAACCGGTCTCTCGAGACATGAGCAGATTGCAGCCTTCTGACATATCTCAGTTGGGGTCACTGGTGCTAGACGAGGAGAACAGGTTGATAGATCTGGTACATGTGCAGTACACTCAGTCTCAAGTAGACATAATGAGCTTCAAAGCGGAGGCAGCAGGACAACTGAAGGGCCCCATTCAAGATTATCCTGTGCAGTTCTCTGGCCTTTGCTACATCAGACACAGGCCCCGGGAGCTCTCTCCGAGTTTAGCACCGGCGCTATCAACCGGAACACAGGCATTTCAGCTTCGCAGATGTAAAAGATGTCGGCTAACGACATTCTCCTGGTCGCCTAACGCACAGAAACCAAGCAAACTCGGTATAAGGGATGAGGATCCGCATTGATGTACCTCGAATATCAAGTCAATAGTATTACAGACTAAGTATATCTCTTTACAAAATGCTCTGATAGAACATACGGCACATACGGAGTACTCCTCTCCCGAAGGGCTGTCCCTCCCTTGATGACCCTTGCTACCTAGCGGGCCGGTACCCAGGTCATCAACATTCAGAAAGATGGTGATGAAGATACTAACATAAAGGAATCCCGCAACTACATTCCCCCGTGAAAAATGTGCTGCATCGTCCAATGAGATAGCCTCAAAGAGGAAAGCAGCTGAGAAAAGGGCAACTCGAGCCGCCCGCCGGGCAACCATTTCCCTCATGCTGGGATAGATGGGCCCATCCTCCGAGACGAGCGTTCCGCTTGCTGCTTGGTCCAGCTTCGACCGGCGGCCCCCTCATATATAGATATACAGGCATCATAGTGAGATGCAGTTCGCAAGCAAATGAAAGCGGCGCCAAAGGGAGAAATGTTCGTCAAGCACGTGGTATGTTGTGTACATAGACAACAAAGAACAAGAAAGCAATACCTCGAGTCTCGCTGCTTTGATCTGACGCCAACAAATGTATACCTTGCTGATATGTGTCCGCAGTTGTATTACAAGAGCATATATTGACGTATAACAGGTTGTTAAAGAGCAACGTATCTTCCGTTCTTCAAGTTTCCCAGCGAAGGAGAGATGATAGTGACAAAGGAACCTGTCAGCCCTTCCACTGTTGTGAATGGTCGACGATTCCTTGGGTCGTAATGATTTTGAGTGTTTCCAGAGACCCCGGCGCCCAAACTCCGGCCCATTCCGCCCGCCAAAAGCTCACCCAGCCATGACCAATGTGGTGTGTACTAGCTGCAGATATAGAGGGGTATATGTATAGTGTCGCGACCATTGACGAGCGAATCGGCCACGGAATCACCTCTTACCGAGATGCTCAGCCACTCTCACCGGCCCTGGCTTTCGCTCGTCTCCTGAAGAAGTCCATCACCTTCCTTGCTGGGCCACTGCTTCCTGAATGGTCATGACCGCGCGAATACGAGTCTGTGTCCCAGGCGTCGACGAACCGCTTGTTCTTTTGTAGAACGCCACGGCCGGACTTGGTGCCGCCAGCGGCCCTGCGGCCATCGTAGCCTGCGTCTTGTTGCGGCATTTGTTGAAGCTGAGGCGCGGAACCTGCAGGGCGGCGTACGTTGTCTACCGAGGGATCCGACCCACCACTTAACATCGTTGGGGCCATGTAGCCCTGACTTGCTGAAGGGTGCCCATACCCGTTAGAAGAGTACTGTTGATGGCTCCCGTATGGATCCAGCGACACCCTAGGGCCGCGCAGCTGTTCGTACATGCCATCCAAGGTTGTTGCGTCCACATGCTGTTCCCGGCCGATGTTCGGGTCGGCGTAGCGCTCATCATACTGGTCAGGAGGCTCCTGGATTGGCAAATCTTGCTGCGAGTCAAGCTGCGGTGTGTTGTCGTCCTTGCCGATGCCAATTGCCTTGAGGGAGAAGGATGCCGGGATGAAGGAGAACCGTCTTCCTTGCTTTTCTTGCGACTTCTGTGAACCCGTGATGCTGCCTGACGTCTTCTTGCCGAGACCGATTGAGAAAGATCTCCGTGAGCGCTTCGAATCCATGGACGGCCGACCTTCATCGGCTCCCGACAGAGAATTGTTCATGCTCACTGGAGGGTATTTCTTGCCCTTCTCCCCAGCCGGTTGCTGCTCCGCCCGCTTTCGGCTCTTACCGCCGCCGAACAACGACCCGCTCCGACCGAAGAGTTTACCACTGATTTCACCCATTGTGCTGGATCGTTTGTGGCCCTTGATCTCAGGACTTTGGGTGCCGCTGGTGCCGGCGGTAGGGGAGTCGTGGGCAAACCCGGACAGTCTCGCGAATTTTGGCGGCACACTAATGCTGGGACGGCCATACTCGTTCTGGCCTTGAGAAGCTGACGTAGGGATTCCGTAACTGCTGCCTCCCCTGGAGGGTTGTTCGATCCTCCCTTGTGCATTAGTATCAGCTACCTCAGGAGGTACTGGCTGGCTGTACGAAGACCTTTGGCCCGCGCCCGGGCCTCTAGAGCCAGTAGACTGCATGGAGCCGCCAGTTGGTGGTCTGGCGCCAGACGTGCTTGGCGCAGTTGACATAAATGGAGCTTCGCGCCCACCGCGTACGGCGGCGCTGGATGTGCCAGCATTGCGATGAGCACTTGGCGGCCTCCTCGAGGCAACCGGTGTCTTGCCGTAGGCGTCATCGACAGCCGGAGGGTCTCTTGGTAACGGTTTATCGTTAGGTGACGATACTGAGGCAGCTTCCGTAACTTCGACAGCACCCTGATTGTCTGAGCGGGCGCGAGTACGGCTGCTGGACGCCTGCGTACCCGAAGGTTCACCACGTTGTGTGGTTGTATTTGGCGCGACGTATTCCACCTGCACCGTACGGCGCTTATTGTCTCTCTGCTGTTTGGCATGCGAGGCCTCGGCATCGGTGTCGACGGTGCCCTGCTTGCTGACCAGACCGCCAATCGGCGGTGAGACCGTAGTCTTTTTCGTCGACTCGCGTACTGACGCACTCCGCGCGAGGACCGGGATATCCTCATCTTCTGCGGGTACCGTGGTGTTCTGTATGTCTTTGGGACTCGTGGTGCTCGAAGTGATGAACTCCACGACATGGGCATACTCGCTGAGCCAGCTATGACGGGCAACTTCAAACAGGTCGGCTCTTTTGCGAGGGTTCGGTACCAGGATCCTCCGTAGCAAGTCTCGCGCATGGGGGGTGACATATTCCGGAAAGGTGAGCGGCGTGTTGACGATGTACTTGTAGAGGAGATTGATGTTGTCTCCTTCAGGGTTTGCGGGGTCGTCATCGAATGGTAGATATCCAGCCAGCATCGCGTACTAGAAAGAGGGCGCGATTAGCGAGATCGACCGAAAGTGCAGGTCGTACTTAACATACCAGAATAACTCCGCAGCTCCAAACATCTACCTTTCTTCCGGTGTACAGCGAGTCACTAACCACGAGTTCCGGTGCTGCGTAGCAAGGACTGCCGCAGCTAGTTTGCATTAGGTCCCCTTTTCTTGAGCCATTTGGCTTGACCTTGTCCAGCCCCAAGCGCTTCACAAATTCTCGGTCAGTCAGGTTCAGCTCCTCTTCTTCTGTCAGCTCCTCGGACGGATCGAAGGTGTTAGCGAACCCGAAGTCCGTAATGATGATGTTGCGGTTGCGGTCAAGCAGTAGGTTTTCCAGTTTCAGATCGCGGTGCACGATGCCCTTTTTGTGCAAATAGCCCACGCCGGACACCAGCTGGGCGAACAACCGCCTAGCAGCATTGTCCTTCAGATATCGATGGTTCAGAATGTAGTCGAATAGCTCGCCTCCGGAAGCGTATTCGAGCACAATGCCGAAATGCCTCTCTGACTCCTCCATCTTGTGCAGCCTGACAATGTTAGGATGAGTTAATTGTTTCAAGATGGCCACTTCGCGCATAATTTTGGCCATGCGAGAAGGATTTCCACCCAGCTGGTCTTTCTTGATGAGCTTGATCGCGACCTAGGGCAACAGCTTAGTTAGTAGGGCAAGAGTACTGGCGTCACGCAAGGTTGGCATACCTGCACACCACCATCTTGCTTCCAGCCGAGTTTGACTTTCCCGAACTCGCCTTCGCCGATCGTGTTGCCCAAGATGTACTCGCCAAACTTGGTCTGCTTCTCTCGTCTCGAATGATCATGCCGGCTCCGTCCGCCGCGACGGGCTTCATCTGCGTTGTCTGACATTGCAACTACCGGGGGCGGCGCGGCCTCGTCATCCTCTTGCAGGCCCGCTGCTTGGTGTGGTTGAGCCAGAGCGAGGCGCTCCTTTTCCCGCTCGATGTCAACCTCGGGTTGAGAGATCAATATGCTGTTCAAGATTTCGCTGGCTTCCCTTGACGGACCATTTGCCGATTGTGAGGCGGGAGGCGGTGAGCGGACCGGCACGGTCGTTGATGAGTTTACGCGACCATTGCTAGCACCGGTCGACGCATGTTCGTCGTGGAATTGGTCGTTCGCTCGTCGGCTACGCGAGCTGTAGTCGGCTGGGTCTACCCTCCCATTCGTATCGCGGCTGTAATCACCCTGGGTTCGGCGGGGTGAGTCGGTGGCCCGCTCGGTCGGTTGCGCGCGCCGGGAGCTTGACGTCCGCGGCGGAACGATGGCAGGCATATTCTGTCTTCGATCCGCGTTTGCGTGATGCTGGTTATGAGAAGCTATCGGCGAAGCCACGGGCATAGGAACTGGGGAAGCAATGGCGGCGCGGGAGTTCATTGGCAGGTTGGGATTGCGGGAGGGATGTCGCGACAAAGATGCTGGTGATGCTCCCGACGATTGCTGATTTGCATGATAGCCGTGAGCCTCCTGTGTCGGAGATGGATGGGTCGACGACTGTTGTCGATTGAACTGCGAAGGGGCAGTCAGGGGCGGCGTGTGTAGACCAGGAACTGACGTCGGCTGATGTGGAGCTGTTTGGAGAGCACTAGACATTTTTTTGTCTCCGCAGACGCGCGGAAAGACAATGTGAGCAAGGCCGGGTGCAGCAGAGCGCTGGATGGTTTCGACCCGGCTCCCAGGCGGGCGATAAACGAAGCGGGCGAGTCCAATTGGAAGCCAAAGAGGAAGAAAGCTCAGGCCGGTCCCAGATGAATTGGGAGCACAATGCCTCCTGGTTTCGAAACACAGACTTTACAGTTCGTTATTTGCGTAAAGCTCAGATCGCGTCGGCCTCTCGAGGTATCAATGCGTCAATTCGACTCTCATTGTGCGCTGCGATTTGGTGCTCAGAATTCTCGCGTCCTGATTGACCGCCTGTGGTCTGGCGTAATTTCACAGAAATGGTTGAGAGCTGATCCACGGCGCGACGTGACGCTGCTTGGCCTGGTCGCGGAACCTTGTTTACTTGCGCCGCAGCCGCAAGAACAATGCGCCTTACGCAGCCAAGGGGTGGACTCGGCACACGGAGGAGGAAACGGTGTGAGGTTGCTGCCCTGCGGATCGCTCTCCCGTCGCCAGACGGTGGAGAGGGTATCAAGGGAGAGGGCGGTGAGGTGAAAGGATGTTTGAGAGTTGAGAATGGAGGGCCAATGGGTAAGGCTTGGTACACTGTACTGTACCTCGGGTGTTGCTTGGGTTTTGTTGTCGAACGACTTGGGATGTTGGCGCTCCTGCGCCGTGCCGCTCCAAGCTTTCAGGGCTGGGCCGGGTCCTCCCAGCTCCTTTCCTCCCGCCCGCAACTCGGCGTGCAGGCAACCTCCGTCATCCATCATGGATGTGTTCGGCCAGGTCGTACCTTATGGAGCTAGTGTATCTCGTTACATGCAGTGAAATTATATTGTGGGTTTCAGTTAACTCCTACCAGTCAAGCCCACCATGAGCGTCCCGTTACGGAGCAACGCGAACGGTATCTCTGGTTCGACCCCGCCAGTTATCTTATTATTATGGATGTACATACATGATAGAGCTGGCCATCCTGAGGTGCGCCGGCTGCTGTCAGCTCGCCCGCTGAGACATCGATTACCCAGCATCAAGCCATCCAGCTGCTGGCCAAGCTCTCCAGTAACAATACGGTGAATGAGTGTCTTACACTGTCTTGCTTAGGGCGTATTATATCATCTTCCGAGCCCAGCATCGTTCTTGAGCAATCATCGCCAACGCGTTACCTAAGGCAGCCGTCTTAACCGTACTGTGTCTCCATGTACAATACATTACGGATCCGCCCCACATGTCTTTCCTTACATTACAGATGCGAGTCCGTACAGATGAAGTTAACTTAATGAATGTTAGTGGACAGAACAATTCAGCCGAGGGTCAACAGGTCTCGTGGAGCCGTGGTCCAGCATGATCTTAACCACAGCTGCATTATATTCAATACTAAAACCAGTAGGTCCCAGCCATGAGAGTCAAGTTGCTCGATATCCGTAGGTAACATTTGCATCTTCAGCAGTTACGGATTATGGAGTCATGACAACCGGACTCGCCGTCCCATCCATGTTTGCAGTTCTGAAAGTTTCAACCCTTCCAAGTCAAGCGGGGTACAACGTATTGTACCTATGTTTCGCAGATCAGCGGCACCGTGTTGAACATACCGTCAGCGAACACTGTGTCTTGACTTCAAACAGTTAGTGGCCCGTACCTGGCGCCAAGCACCAGTGAAGCAGGGTTCAGGGGCGTCCATTTCAATGCGGTGGGTCTTTTGTTTCCAACCATCGGCAGCCTCCTGGCTTCCGATGGAGATGGATATCAAACCCGTCTTGAAAAAGTAGAGGCGAATCCAAGCACACTCTACCTCGATCTGCGCAAGACAGGATGTTGCTCTTCTTAGGACACCAGCGTTGTTTCTCGCTCGGGTCGGTTGCAACAAGAGCATGGCTGCGTACCCAGGTGCCTACCTAGGTCAGGTAGGTAAGGTAAAAGGCACAATAGTTAATCTGTACCTTAGTCGACAAAGGTTAAGGGTTCGTTTCGGTTGGTCCACCAACCCCGGGACATCACCGACAGCCAAATCCGCCGGCCCAACCTTCACAGGTATCCCCAAGGTCCGCATGAAACAAATGGAATGATAAGGTAACACGGAGAGAAACCACACTGCTTTTTCCCCATTGATATATACGACGGCGTCTCCGAGAGAAAGCTTGAGAAGGCATTGACATCGGAGATGAGGTGCACATCGAGATGCAAGGGTCCGCATGCGACCTCCAAGCTGACAGTACCCCACGTGCCCCTCCAAAACCGCAAATGCAACCGCAACAGGACAAGCAGCATCGTATCGTACAGTAACTAACTCTCGGAATTGCGGCTGATCTGACAACAGGATCCCGGCTGAAAGAAACAGCCCTGCCCTGTCCATCAATCCCGTCCCCACGAAATTCCAGAAAACAAGCCGTCCTCTGTCACACGCTCAGGCGGCGAAGCCCAAGAACTGGGCTGACCGAACAGCGCTGCAAGGAGCAAGTCTTCTTATTACTTCGTACCTACCTTAGGTAAGTATTTCCCCTTGCAGCACGCAGCATACTGGTCTCCGCTGCCCGCTGTGCCTGCATTGACGGCAAATAAATGAGATTCTCAAATTGAAACTCAGCTATCGACCTAGTACCTGTACACATCGTCCTGTCAGCCAGCATTTTGCCTGTCACCTGTGTCCGCGGCCTTGCAAGCTCTGACTATCTGATAGCTGAGATGCCATGTCCTTTGTCTAAGGTAGGTACCTTAGGTACTACTAGTATCAGGGAGCAGGTATGTAGTCTGTTCCACCACAAGTAATTTGAATGGAAAGACCAGAAAAAACCAAACCCAGGCACGAAGGCAGAGCGATCACCTGTGGCTGCACTCACCCGCTGCAAACGGCCAGCATGTCTCACTCTTCTGCACGCTCAGAAATGGGCATGATCTGACGACACCCAACCCAAGAGATACCGCTGCCAGGCCAGGCCGCTCTGGACAGAACCTGTCACACCAAAATCTCACCTTCGTCACCCTTTATCTACAATCTAATGGTGATATCGTACATGTCCAACGTGACAGCGGCGGCGGTCAGGGCTCCCATATACCCAACCAATATCACCATCGTCGTGATGCTGCTCACATCTAGCGTGCGCACCGTCATATTGACCAAGCCGGTCAGGAGGTTAGCCAGCAGAAAGATGGCCAGTCCGTTGCGGTTATACGCTCTCAGTACTCGGCTCGTCGCAGTGTTGTAGGCTTCCTTCTCCGCTTTGGCGTCCTGCGCCTTGTAGAACGCCGGGAAGAAGAGCGTGTCGACCAGGCAGAAGGCTAAGACAAGCGTGCTATTAGAGGCCACGACCCACAGCATGTACGGCAGATTGGCCAGTCTCCGAGACACGGTCAACCCCGCACCGTAGGTGTAGTCGGTGCAGAAGAAGTAGAGCGTGATCCAGACCAGCGACCACACGACCAAGGTGAGTAGAAGCGTATTGCGCTTGGACCTAGTGATGGTCCCGGTCACGCCGCGGGCAGTGAGACTCCTTGGCAGGACAAACATGCCTGTGTCCTGGCCGGCGAGGAAAATGGCGAGGTATCCCCAGAAGCTGAAGACACCCTCCCTATTCATGGACAACAGGTTGGTCCGGGGCCCGGCGAGAATGTAAGCCTTCAAGTCCGTGCTCTCCAAGACGACCTGGTACAAGACGGCCAATAGGAGCGCAAGGCCGGCATACGAGGGCACTACCTTCAGAGCCGACTGGAAGAGCGCCACGAAAGGTGGCAAGAAACCCAGCGTGAAGAAGAAGTTCCAATGCACTCCATACTCAGTCACATGCTCGGCATAATCCAGGCCCTTCACACTGAGAAGTCTCACAAGGCCGAGAGCCAGGAGTGGCAAGGAGTGGCGCAGCGCCCGCATCAACCGGTGGCTCAGGGGTGTGGTCCTACCCTCGGCGCGCTCCTTCAGCACGGGTCGGGAGGCGACAACGCCAGCTGAGAAGACAAACGACCCGACGCCCATGTCCATCAGCGACGTGCCCCAGGTCTCAACCTTCGCGAACCGGCGCGGGAACAGTCGGAAGTCGACGGCGAGGATGCATATGCAGGTGACGACCATCATGTTGCCGCGGTAGTTGGTCAGAAACGGCTTGGTGGACAGGGCGCTGGGCGGGTCCGCCGGTGTCTTAGACTGGACATCGGGCGGGAGCTGGGGCTTCTTGCGCGCGGACGGGACATTCGGAGGGACGAAGTAAACAAAGGCGGCAGCCGTCAGGAGGAGGATGTTGAGGAGCAGCGGCGCGTTCGAGTAAAGGGTGACAGAGAGCAGGAGGGCGCCTACATTCAGGAGGAAGTCGACTATGAAGGCCAAGGAAGTGTACGGCCTGAAGAAGGACTGCCGAGCTTGAAGGACGGACCACAGGAGGGCGACGACCTGAGTTGTGAATCAGCAACATGGCACCAATAGCTTTGCGGCTTGCCTGATATCCCATACCGGTGCCACTGCGCAGACATGCGCGATCTCGGTCACTGATCCGCCGGAGAGGTTCGACACAAAGTCCTCCTTTAGCTGCTTGTAGCTCTGCGCCGTCGACGCAGCCGTGTTGCTACCCGTCTCGGCCATAGTGGGGAAAGGAAAGCGGCGAAAAGGGGGAAATGGGGCGATGAAAGAGCTCAGTATCCAATGTCAGGAAAACATCTCCTCAGCAGATGGTCCAGCAGCAATTGGGACGGGGATCCCAGAGCCCGTTTGTCGGTTGCGGCGGTATGTGTTTGTCGAAGTGAGAAGTAATAGTGGAGATCCAACCTTCGCATATGCTAGCTTGCGACTTCCCGATAATGTTTTAAAGTTCAGTTTATTAGCGACAGCCCGCAGCCGTCAAGGTGCAAATGCAACTGTGCGTGCGATTGCATCCAGCCAATGATGAACGGAGCCTTCCGAAGCTGTATCCAGGCTGAGACCCATGCGAAAATAACTCCCCTGTCACATTCCACAACTCAAAACTGTGTGCGGCCACCGAGAGCGGCACGCTTTTGGGCAGGCTCACTCTCATCGGGCAGTCCTTAACCATGATGACTTTCGCTCCTAAAGACGATGGCTGTGCTTCGACGGTCCAAGTTTTCTACAACTCGGCCGAATAACAAGTTGACTGGCTATTATTACCTGTCATCTTCAGGGACTTTCAGCCTCGGCTCACGGAAAAGCAGGATGTTGCTGGCGGTGTTGTCAGTGGCATGCTTGCGCGCGCTCTTTGTTCTCAAGCCGGATTGCGCCGGGTGACTGCGCGGCTTCCAGAAGGGTTGACGACCCTCTGGAACGTGAAATATGGCATTTCACATGCCGTGCCCCTAAAGACTGTGTTGTCTGCACGCGTGTCTTTGTCCACGCTCAGCAGCGTGAGCCGGCACAAGCTTTGTCTCGTGTCGCTGCGTCTGGCTGACTCACCAGCAAGCCTGCTTTGAGGGCTGGGGCAGTCTTTCAGCGCTGGAAAAGAGCAAGTACAAAAGCAGGCATGGCCAGGCTGTCTGCACCGCCGCCCTTGTCGCCGTCGACAACTCGACATGCCTCTGGCCTCGGCACCTTGAATGCCGGACTTCGCTACATACGGCACACCCACCGGTATCGCCCTGAGCACAGTGTCAGACCAACGCGCAGCCAGGAACAGCCTGTGCCGGGAGCTTGAGTCGTCATCGCCCCCATCCAGGCAAGATGGAGACACAGACGCGATCACGGCCCGAGTTGCGCCCAGTCTGGACCGGCCGCGAGCAACATGCAGGCTATGCCCGAGCCTCGCCATACTTGGCGACAAGCCCGCTATACTCGGCCTCCTCGAGTGTCCCCAGCCCGTTGTATCCGCCATCCCCTGGCTACGACCAATCTATGAGAGCACATGAGCGGGCTTTGGTAGACCGGCTGGACCACCGAGGACGGCGCGAATCTCAAGAGTCTCTGACCACGATCCGCTCGCTCTCCCCTATTTCCGAGCAGATCCTGCGCGCTCGTCGCGCATCGGTGGCCAGCTTACCCCAGTCCCGTCCGGCGGCCCCATCCCCACGGTCTCCCCGGCGCATGCAGTTTGCCAGGAGGCAGACGCTTGTGGCTGAGGCAAGGTCGATTCTGCTTTCAGGGACGCCCGACGGACTGCCTCGCCCTCCACCAAAACCCGCCGGTACCCTCACCGATCGTCGGCAGTCCTTGCCTTCGTCGTTCCTTAGTGCGCGGCGGAACAGCCAGCAGCTGCGGCAGGAGCTCCTGGATTGGGGCCGCGTTTACCTGGGCAACGCCCGAGTAGCCGACTGCTTCGTAGCGGCTGTGGCTCTTAGAAGACCTAGCGATAGCTCGTCAGCAGACGAGGCCGTCGCAGTGAAGGACAAGCCGGCCGAGGGGAGCAGCCGGGTTACCATCCGCGCCCGTGTTCGGCCGTGCGCGCTAGATCGAAAGCCTTTTCTCATACGACGAACGTTCGACATGGATGAGCTGAGAGCTACCATTCCGGAACCGTCAACTGTGACACCCAGAACCGCACGGCCTACCGCTGAGCGCAACGGCCAAAGCCCCCTCCCAGCTAGCCAGCGACGCTCGTCGATGGCGGCCAGCATTGAGCATGGCTTGCATCTTGGCAGGTCGCCGCTTCAGAGCACCAATACAGTGCCAATCCGTGTGTAACCCGTTCCACCGTCTTTGCAGTGGCAACCATTGACTAACCGAATGCAGACCTGAAGTATGCACGTGCCTTTCTCCCCGTCGTGGCTGCATTTCTCTACTCTGGGCACATCAAGACAGGCGATATCATCGATCTGCCGCTGCCCTACCCCGAAGCCTGGGTCCAAACGGTTGCACATGTCTACACCGGCCAGGGAGAGGCGACCGAGGCCATGAAGCAAAACATCCTGTATCTGGGAGGTAGAGTATGAGACCGGGAGTGGGGAGCATCAGGGAGTTCTCATCACGCCTTTAACTGTTATTCTCCTCTGTCGTCATCAGCCACATGACCTGAGCTTTGACTCGTCACTAATGGACCCCTCATCTTGTACTGTATACAGTATGGCGGGCTTTTGCCGGGGGGCTCTTGCCCTACACAGTTTTGCAACATGTCTTCGCGACATCACATGCCCAGTGAGAGCCCGTGTCTGCCGTTTGTCCGTCCATCACCAGGTGTGAATTTTCGCTGACTGGTATCTTCGACCTTTATATGCAGCTGATCAACTGTGAAAAGCGCGCCGCAGTGTTCGACATCGAAGGGCGGGATGCGCTGTGCAATTCTACAGGTACTGTACATGTACAGGGGACAAGCTACTTGAGCTCGAGTCGCCACGAGTCTCCATAAATCCAGGCCACTCGGTCGGGCTCCGCTAAGAGAGTTGGAGGTCAGTGCGAACACCTTGCTGAGTCAAAGCCAACCTCCGACGAGTCCAGACCACCCAGGCATCCTAGACTGGGAGGCGACAGTAGCCGCCCACACCACCAGAGCTCGTCCATATCAGCACCCAGCAGCAAATCTGGCGTGCTGGCTCTGCGTCCTCCTTTTCATCCCAAAATGATCACTCTCATCGAGCATCACCCAAGCATGATATCGTTGAACGCAGCTCTCACATTCAAACCGTAGTCTTGCCTTATAGTTCGTTCTCACCCGGCAATCCCCAGATATCGCGATGAGTCCAGCTCAAACCCGCCGTCCGGCTCTTGCCACCTCGTTCTCAACACACAACATTTTCTGCCGGCCGATCATTCCCCCACCAGCGCCGGTAGTGTACGTCAACGGCTGGGACGGCGTCGGGAAGGGGACGGTATCCGAGTGTTTGACGCTCCTGCTCGGCAGGGACAAGTCCCTGCTCATTGACGTCCGCAGTGTCGGTTGGGACAGCGTCGAAGAAGGACGCCGTGGCAGCACGCCTCGCACGAACGCGTCGCCACAGAAACAGCACGATCAGCATCCCCACTTCCTCCTCACCCCCGAACATCCCCGCTACTCCTCCTTCGAAACGGACTACGGTGTCAACAGCATCGCCAGCCCATCCTTGTGTCAATCGCCCTCCTCCCCTTCGTCCACAAACCAGTCCGCCTCCCGTCCCACCTCTCTCTGCTCCTCCTCCTCCAGCTTGTTCACTACCACCACCACCACCACCACCACCAACACCACCACCGCCACAAAGGCCACCATCATCTCGACGACGACGACGACGACGCCGGAGTGGACAACCCCCTGCAGCAGCGAGAACCTAACCCGCCTGCTCTCGCACCCGGCCAACCGCTACCGCATCGCCGTGCTGCCGACATGTGCGCCCGACACGCCCGGCGGACGCGCCACGCTGCGCACCTTCGAGGCGGCGGCGTCGCGCGCCGGCAGGCTGTTTGTCCCCGTCGCGCTGACCTGTTCGCCCGCGACGCATGCACAGCGCATCTGCGGCCGGTCTGCGGGGGGGCTGGCGGCCGATTCGGCGGCCGGGACGACGTCGGGGTCGGGGGCCTCGCGGATGATGCGGCTGCACCTGCATCGGAGGGGGGTGAGTGAGGGTTCCGTGCCACAGCGTTCTGGGGGTGCTGGGGGTTCTGGGTGTGGTCATGGTCATCGTGATCAGCGGGGGGTCAGTTGTCCCTGTGATTGCTGTGGAGATGGCCATGATGGACGGGAAGAAGGGGGGGAGAGAAGAACGGGGAGGGTAATGAGCGTGCCCGGGCCGGAGATCGGCACCGGCCCCGGAATGGGGATGGGCATGGGTGTGGGCTGGACAAACGGCCAGGGCTTAGCGACGTCGATGAGTACTAGAGCCCTGACGGTGGACACCTCGTCTGTGACGCCGTTCGAGACGGCGTTGCAGATTGTCGAGTTTGTGAGAGCGCTGCAGGCCGAGCTGGAGGCCGAGCTGTGCAGCATGGGTGAGAGCACTAATAAGATGCCTACGAACTCGCTGGGCAAGGTCGAGAGAGAAAAGTGGTGAGGAGTGTCGGGTTCCAGCGACAGGAACCTGGAAGTAGGTGTCCCACCTCGCCTTATACGGATGACACCCTCTCACTTCCAGGCTTCATTCCGAGCGAGTGGGAGAGATGGGCGTTATGTGCGGCATATATCTCGCAGGATGATGCCACGTGCTCTTCCCTCCCTGCCGAAGCGATTCCGGCAGGCCTCACTTATTGGCCTCCCTTCCTTCACCGACCAGGAAGCGAGACTAACCGTATCTGAGCGGGCGATGCCGGTCACAGCACCACACCGGATATGTACAGCATCACAAGATCACAACCGGGCAAGGGGCCCCGCACATCTGCACCCGCGGTTACCTCGGCACAGCATCCGTATTGCCGGCACATATTATCCCGCGCTGAGCCAGGGTCGGCCGTCTCACAAAGCCCTCTGGATGGGCGGACGGGCCGCAGCAGGAGGAGGGCCGGCAGGCTATGCTAGGCGGTAGGTGAGGACACCCAAGCAAGGAATCGGGGATAGGAGTACCTGGCAGCTGAGCATGGGATGGTCGCCTGCCAGAGATGGTGGGCTGCTGATTATCCGGCCCCTCGGCGACTGGTTTTCGGGCCGGAGCGGCCTCCCATCCCCTCACCGTATTCTGAGCAGGTCCAATTTGCCTGGCCGGTACATCAGGGGGTCGTTACCCCTTTCGGCCTTTACACCCTGTCTCTTCGACCTCCTTCTCCCTCGTCACCGCCACAACCTCGAGCTTACCGTCTACCGTGGCACCTGGAACCATACCGGATTCGTACCTGAAGCAATCACCGCAGCTTCAGCGACGGAAACCGTAGGAAAGGCTTTCAGGTCAGCTCTCTATCTGCCGGAGACGGGGCGACGAACGATGTCGGTGTAAAGCTGGTTGCGATAAGGGAGCACGTCATCTAAGCTGTCCTATTCGCCTAGGCAACATCGTGATATATCTTCGCGACCACCCGGCGAGTTCGTTGGTGCGTTTGGCTATTGAGTTCTCTTACGAACAGGGTCGAGGACATCAGAATTGAAGATTGGGATCACAGTGAGGCATATAATGATTCATAAGGTCTAATCTTTGCAATTTTCGACGGCACATCATGCGCATATAATCGGAGGCTCCTAGGTGTTGCGTCCATTGGTGTACAGTACATTACAGCTGTTTCTTTTTGACTACCTAGGCCACCACCCACCCTTCAATAATGAATGTATGTGTCTCTCCAGATCTTATACCTCATTCCTGAGTACCCGACACGATGTACGTATCAGTAGCAGCCCGTACCTCAGCACTCCACGCCCGTAATGCTCCTCCGCGTTTCCCTCGTGTCGTGCACAATGCATGTCTGCGAAAGGAGAGAGAGGGTTTGGCCCCTTAAGGCTGCTGGGTTCACTCCCTTACGCAGGGCGATCTCTTAACCTCTGGCTAGATTGCTCTCTTTAACGAGTTCCCGCCCCTTCCGTGCTCGAGGCGCAGCGGCCACAGTATTGAGAGGAAGAGAAAGCGTACACATACACTGCAGTGGCTCACCGCGGGTATATATACGCCTCAAGCAATGGCACGGTACTTAGCTCGGATGTTCAACCATATCACAGTGGCCTTGCATACACTTCAGACGATCCGTATAAAGATACCAGCATATCTATATCAGCATGCTATATGGAATATGGATCTGGCGGGCATAATCTCCACAACCATTCGGACCTGCGACGCGGGTCGAACATATAGGCGTCATCTTTTCCGTCCTTCGATGGGTAGGTAATCCTGATTCTCGCCGTGGGGTGGCATACTGCTAGGTACAATACAAGTATGTAGAAACTGTCTGGCTTGATGAGGTTCCATCGCAATCTGTTTGCTGCAGGTCGGCTCCACGAGTGCTACGGCGCGTTTGTGGATATGGAATATTGGTTGTTAGGAGCACCCCAGGATGCTGCCAGTGCTAGCGGATTGCTTGGTCCCGTAGTCACTGTGCAGAGAAGCTAATGGTTAGGCACCTTGTAGTAGCGAAATTTAGTTACTCTGTGCATACATGTCTCATGGTCCGATGTGAAAGAGGAATGAATACGAACTCCCAGACCCCGAATAGACCGGGCCGGGTAGGTACCTTAAGTAAGGTATGTACTTCTATTTAGTGTGGTATATTCTGCCGTGGTGTATCCTTATGTTAAAACCTGCCAAAGGACGCCAACTTGAACCCTGTTTCTTGATGAATCGCCGAGTCGCTCGCAGCCGGCTTGCTGCTTCGTCAGTCGTGTTTGTGCATTCATCGCATGCATGACGAATTGGTGCAGCAGCGGCGCTTCCTCCAGCTCCGCTAAGGCTAGTGTGCGCTAGCTAGCGCAGCAAGATTGCTAATTAGACTGAAACGGGCGGTTGGTTGATTTGCGCGCATGATGGGGGCAACCCACAATTCGAGCAGGCGAGAAGACGGAAAAGGGAGAGCGGATGGAAAATGGAACATCTCGTCATTCTTGCATACTGAGTGCAGTGCATTTTCTATCCCGTTGTGTCCATTATGTCCTCAAGTATGGACTGTAGTAGTATGTACCAACGTTAATAATGTTGGCGTGCCTTTGACACGCCCTGCCGATATTCATTCGGCCCGCGGCTAAGTTAGGTAAATCATCCGAGTCCGGCTTCCGGCCCCAGATCTGCGAGAAAAAAAGGTAACAGAATCCCTGTCAACGGCCAACGGTCGCGGCACGGTGCGGGGCAGAATGTGGAACCCCCCGGGCTTAATCGGCCGAAGGCCGAGATCACCAACACCTGGGCACCTGCACTTCCGGGCGAATCTTCGAGGAATCGAACAGCAGCAAGATGTTGGGATTTTGGGAAGATGAAGTCATCAAGGCTGCAGCATTCTGAATTCGCCATACCTATATGTCTCCCGGGAAATTTACAGAGTTACTAATGTAGTGTGCCTGTCATTCATGCCGCTGTCGACATCTTCCGGGAAACCAAGCCTGTCTTCAGTCCGATCGATGCCGATCACGATTGGCCCGCAACATGGAAAACAGGAATCACCCAGAGCCGTATGTACACAGTTAGTTCGAAAAATAACACCTCAATAGGCGCGCACCATACCAAGATCGTATCCTGCGCGCAAGAATTCGGCCTTCGAGCAGGAAAGGCCCGTGTCTATTGTCACGAATGCCTACTAGTACCGTTACCGTGTACACACACATCAGCGGCATCGTCCTCTGTTACAAACCACACTTTGTAGTGTAGACAGTTAGCTGTCGATGGGACCGTGTTTAGCCTTGTACTTCGATAAAGCTTTGTTTGCCATTGGCTGCTCTCTACAACCCATCTCCGGGCGTGGCCATTGGCTGTTTTTTGATTTCCCGGCCTTTCAGAAGGCCCAGATTGGAAGAGATTCCACGCCAACAAGCGGCACGGGTTGTAGGGTTCTGAACCGAATCAGGACAGTAGGCGACATCATTTGGTGTCTATACTGTACATCCGGGGGTCTTGTGCATGCCTGCAGATTCGAGCCGCACATTCACCCCACTCGCTCACCTTCTTCTGGAGCCATGGAATGTCCTGCTCCTCGTGTTGATCGCGGTTGGTGTTGGGGGTGCTCTGCCGTCAGGGTTCGCCTTATTAGCTTTGTCATCAAAAACCCCCCCAACTGCCGCGACAAGATTCCATCAAAACGGCCTGGCCACGGCATGCCGTGTGGGCGTGCATTCGCTTGCAGTGACAATGACACCATTGTGGGAAGCCCTGCATCGGAAGGGCAGTTCCCATGTTAGGCGAGGGGGGGGCGGGGAGATATCGCTTGCATATGCCTTCATGTCTTGGAAACTTGCGGGTGCAACATCCGGCGTCACAGCGCATCTTCGCGAGCTGCATTGCGGCAGAGCAGGCGAAAGACGTTGAGAAGCCAGAAGCAAGCGCGGTTCGAGATGCTCATGGACCTGCTGTGCATGCAGTTGCTAAATCCTATAAGCACTTCAGTGTATGTAGGACCTGGACAAGATAGGCAAAGCCAACGTACTATTCCGGCAGTTGTTCTCCTCTCGCTAAAGTGGAATGTCTCCGGCATGTAAACATGTATGTACTGTATACAGTAGGCACTGTGTACCATAAGGTATGGAGTGATGACTGCATGTAGTGTACTTCTACAAGGGACTGGACTGTAAAGGTTGTCCATACCCCTCTCTAATAGGTAAGCCATCTCCAAAACTCCAACGCCTGTCAGGGCCGCCAAGGCCGAGTTCTGAGTGGTTGGATAAGGTAGCTAGCTGCTGATCTTGAGCTCATGCGCGTAACCGATCGATCCCACCAGGGCTGCCAGGTGTGCCGGGGTAGCCCGGTCTGGAACCCTCCCTCCCCCCCCTCCTTGCTGTGGCGCACTGGCACAGCCTTCAACAAAGTTCATCTTGTCCACGTGTGGAGATTGATGAATGTCGAAGCTGGAGGTAGGCCCTGAAAACGGTTAGGCTCACCATTTAGGGTCCTGTACATACATAGCAGAACGAATGGGTAACGATAGTTACTGTAGGTGAGCGCCGTGTCGCTCCCCCTTTGGCCTCTCACACAACGTCTTGATGTATGTACTGTATGTCGAATGCAGCTTCCTAATAACTTGAAAGAACTGGTCAGATCGATGCGTGGTTTGGGAGGGATCCTGGCAAGAGGTGGAAACAAGTTTCCACTAGCAGATGCAGGCCGGAGAGAAAGGGGTTAAGCGCGGCGTCTTGAAAAGAGGGGTAAGCAGAAGAGGTGTGGAGAGGGGCGTGGTGTGTCAGATGCTGGGAGGGTGCTGGTAGGTTCTGGAGTTGGATAATATAGCTGCAATACATTCACCCTCTAGTGTAGGGCGAGGGCCGGATATTCTCTCGTGGGGGGCCAGACTGGCCACGATCAGGCGGCTCTTTCTGCGTCGTCATCTTGGTGCATTTCCCTCATCGGGTGGAGAGGAAAGGGCGTCCAAAGTACCTAGGTATCTACCTAGATAGGTAATCGCGCGTTAGTAGATCGACGCAGATCGTTAGATTCGGCCGATGCTGTGATTTGACCAGCATGCCTGGTGGATTTGCGTTGCATTGTGATGGGTATCCGGGGCCGAAGCGCCATCGCTCCTGTTGCAGAGGGGTTGAACAAGATTGGGTCCTTTCATGATTCATGAACGGTTGCTTGTCGACCTGTCAGAAGTTGGAGGCATGGTCGTGTACCGTCACGGTGCATGTTGTTGGCTCAGATGGTATGTGATTCGTGGCCAAGATGAGAGAGAAGGTTCCAGTCGTTGGTTCTTCTCATCGGAGTCAATAGTGAATAACCACAACTCAAGGATCTGTATGTACGTCCCCATGACCGAGCCTACCGAAACACCTCAGCTGGACGCTGCCTCTTAGATCCGAGGTTAACCGGTTGTGCTTGCCTGTTGGGACAGTTCGGTGTTCGAAAATCAAATAGAAACTGGGCCTCATTCTTCGTCTCTTGGTTCGCTTCTACTATAGGTAGGCCACTTTCGGGGCGAGCAATCGACATAGACGCATTTGTCGGTCTGCATTGAGCTCAATCTTTTGTCAGGGAGGTTTACTTGTGTAACGGTGGAAGACGGGGGCGTCGGGAGACTCTGCCGTTGGAGCAGGGATGTAGTGTAGATGGCATTGTAGTGTAGGGACTTGAATCGTCCAAATGTTGATCCTGAGGGGGGGCAGTGCGGCTCATTACCACCCCAATCGGGCAGGGCTTGATGCAAGCGGCAGCTGTTGGACGGTCATCTGCAGAAGAGGTTCGGGTGGAACGGCCGTGTGGGACAGACGGGAGGCGTGCACCGCTGCAGGCTTCAGAAGCAGTCGGTGTCCCGTAAGGGTCCAACCTCATTGAGATCTTGGAAGTTACAGTACTGTGTTGTGATAGCAGTTTCTCCTATTTCAAATCCCAACTTCAAGCCAAGTTTCCATTGCACTGCGTGATGCGAACACTGCCATCCTTCTGCCATCATCATCTACCGCAGAACTTTGTAATGCCAGAAGCTTGGTCAAGTGTCACCTAGCACTGCCTTAGTTCGCCAAGAGTGGACAACATGAGGCGTTTCCAGGCCAAATGCACGATTGCGTGCATTATGTACATGTACATACATACCCGGGACAGTACATACATACCTGGCCTGATGTGCGACCTGGCAACCTGGCAACGGGAGGGATCACTAGGCCTGTAGCCAAATCGGGATAACTGCCCGCGCCTGATTGGTGGCCCGGTGCCTGAACCCTGGTTTGAGATCGTCAGGTTCAAGATTCCCTGTTTCGATCTTGCGACAAACAACCTGGAACTCATCATTGTCGAAATTCATCTGCCGAGAGAGCATCTTCGTCAGTCTAGCTAGGTCTACTACATCTAACCTACACGTTCTAATGCATCTTCTCTCCTTTTCTCCTGTTTCCACTCCACTGCACAATACATACCTTTTCCATACACCTGGTCTTTCTCGTTCGGATTGCTGCCGATGCTAGAGCATGCCATTCCATGTCCCACCGCCAGGCCTAACCGTGCCGAAGTGCTATTCCGGTAACATTATTCTCTCACTCTCCGCCCAAACTCTGCCAATACCACTAGGATTACGGATATTGGCGTCCCACGAAGGGACAGCGGCCCCTGCTCAAGAGGTGCCCAAGAAAATGAAGAACCAGAGACTCAGTAAGAACTTTTCCCGTCCCCGACTCGGTTCCCACCCCGATTTTCCCCTGTTTATTATGCCTCGCATAATGAAGAAGGAGCCTTCAATGGGTGAAACATAATTCTCAAGCGCAATCCCGGTCCGGTCGAGTTCCGTTTTTCCTCGACCGCGTGCCTCGGTGCCGTCGAGACCCAAATGAACCATCCATGCCATCCACCCGTGAGTCGTAGACTTCGTCGTTCCACTAGAGCGCGTCAAGACTGCCCCCCCCTGGCGCATTCAATAGAGGGTTTGTGCCCTGGTCAGCAGCCAGGGCGCCGCCGTGCTGTATGGATGAAGGTTTCGTGGCTTTCGCGTACAGGCAGTCCGTAGTAACGGCATATCCCTGGGTAAAACTGTGCTTCTCTGACAAGAAGGCCGCGCGGCGAACCTGCGAGAACCGGAAGCACTCCATAGCCTTGGGCAAGTCCGGCCCCGAGGGCGTCGCCATGCTCTGGCTGCGGGGAGGCTCCTTCTGCAGACGGAAGGTGTTGTGCTCATCACCGTCCTCACGGCTACCCCAGGAAGTCTGTGGTACGGAAAGTTAGAGGGAAATGGTCTGCGTAGTATGCAGAGTGTGTCAGGTACCTGTTTGAGCGTGAAAAGCGCGTATAGCTTGATCAGGCCGTGGAAGTAGCCGAAGACGATCGATACTGGCAAGAACATGATGTCGCTCGGGTTCCTGCGAAACAGACCAACCAGTTTCACAACTTTGGTAAAGCCAAACATGAATACGATCTCCGCCCCAAGAAGAATGTACCGATTTCTGGGCTCCCAGTTCTCCGTACCCCACCAGCATGAGAAGAGCAGGAGCGGGTCGACCACGAAGGCTAGCGAAGTGAACGTGGCAAAATGCAGCGCATACAAGCTCCAGGGTTGCTGACTGTATTTGGGGTAGGTTCGACATTAGCATTGGTCGTTAGGACGGCGAGCTCGTATCGGCTGCCAGGGGGCATAGGATGACCTACGTCCAAACGTATCTTTCGCGTACCAGGCTAGTCCAGTTGCTCCTCCAGTTACTCCTTGCCCAGCGAGAGCATTGGTATAGGAACTTGTAGCTGTTCTCTAGCGTCGTCTCGATCTCGCACTCGCGCTCGTACTGTATCCAAGTCTTCCACTGGTGAGCCACCAGCCAACGCGTCACAAAGTTGTCGTCGTCAGCATTGAGGATGTACCTTCCCCACTTCTCGTTCTTGAAGCCCCCCAAGAAATCGTAACTCTTTAGGATCTGCGTGCGGTAGGCGCCGGTGCGCCCGGACATGCACGAGGTGCCGCCGTCCATGTTGTGCGTGGCCGAAATCTCGAAGTTGCGTCGCTCGATGTACGCGGCCCCGAGCCAGTTGAAGATGCGGGTCGTGACATCCCCGTCAACCACCCGCTTCACCCTCTGGCACGTCCCGACCCCGCCCATCCTGTCGTCCTCGAAGGGTGCGAGTAGCCAAGGCATCAGGGTAGACGGCCACTCCACGTCGTCGTCGGCCATGACCGTGATGGCCGTCCTGACATGGTCGTCCTCCAGCGCCTTGCAGACCTGCAGCCGCTTGTTTGCCTTGTCCACGTGCAGCACCTCAATCTCGACGGGCGACGCGGGATCCGGCACGCGCAGAGTCGCAGCTACGCGGCTCAGCGCCTCATGCTTGTTCCACGTAGTTACGAGGATCAGCTTGGCGGGCTTGCAGGCCAGAATGCTCTCGAGCGAGGGCCGCAGCTCCTCTGGCCGGTTATGGATGGTTGGGATGATCACCGTTACGTCCTGCGAGGTGTACCGCGGCTTTTCCCAGTTGGGTACATAGGACTTATAAATCCAATGGCTGACGCAGTGGACAAGCAGACGAACGTAGCGCCAAAGCCTGGAAGTAGGAGCACCGTTAGCCGTCACCACATAGTGGGACGAGAATCTCACGGGACGCGGTGAGACGCATGCCCAGCATTTTAGGTAGAGCAGACATACCATAAAATCGTATGGAAAACAGCCCAGAATTTCGTGGACCAGAGGAAGTCCAGTCTGGGCATTACAATATCCATTAACGCAGACATGCTGAAGGCGGAAACAACAAGAGCTGCAGTTGAGTGGGAAATCGTCTCCTTTTGGAAGTAGAAAATCTGTTTCGAAACAAAAGTCTCCCCTGCTCCGATTCACACAATTTTGTGAAGATCTCCTTGCCGGACTGTGAGGGTGGTTGCTGGGCCAAGTGTTCGAGGTTCCGAAATGCGGCGTCTGGACCGAGCCGGACCGGAGGCGGATGGGGTCGGTGATCAGACGACAACGGCACGGCCGTGTTATTGTGGGGGGACCGGGTCGGGGGAGCAAACGAAGAGAGGCGCCTGTTTCACCAGTAGACCTGGACACTTTGACGCAGACAAAGACCTTGGGAACCGGAGTGCCTTGTATTCGAGCCCGGGGCAGAGGCCCAAATGGAACGACCGACACAGGCTACTCCTTCCGACACGACGGAGAGTTCGCATTCAGGGAGGGTGCCAGGAATTGATGGATAGGGTAGGACAGTACAAGGTCAAGGAAACAAAGCCATTGAGAAGACCAATTGGTCGGCCCCTTCGAAGAATGACAAACTAAAGAAAGAACAATGGGAAGAAGGAAGAAGTTGTGGGTGGTAGACCGGCTCATGTGTCTAGACCCGGGGAGTGACTGTCGGATATATAGGTGAGGTCAAAGGCTGGCCAGACTGCCAACGGAAGGTGTTGCCCTGCGGGAACGAACCGAGAAGGAACGAATGACAAGAGGTTCAGTTCGATGAAGGATGGTGATGGCAGTTACATCGGCGGCGGACCGGCAGGGCAATCTTGTACTTGTACGTGTGTACTGTACATCGAGGAATGTCGCAGTCTCAAGGGTACTGCGTAAATCCCGTACCCCGTATCTCCATCATTGCGCGCCTTCTCCCCGGAGGGAAATATAGTACACAGGACCCTGATAGGCTGCGCAGTACATGTAGGTAGCGCGGTTTGTTGATGGTTCTTCGGGCTGTTGTAGTGCATTAGTGAAGGGGGGTGCTCCTACGTACATCGCGTGCCAAGGCCCTTGGAGATGCACCCCCGAGGGGACCTCGTCGTGGAGGGGGCGTGCATGCAGAGGAACTGAATGCCCAGGTGAACGCCCACCCCTGCCGTCCCTAATGCCCTCCCGGCCCGCTCACCCCCCGGGCATGCAGTTAAAATTCTTCTTCAGCAAGCGAATCAGACGTTCCAAGGGAGTTTACCCATTAAAGGATTCTGGTATCCTCGTGCAGATTTGAGCGAGTTTATCGAGTAGTAGTAGATAAGTAGAATGTAATTGTAATCTGGCCACCGGGCACGGCGTTGCAATGCCCCTCCGACGAGTGCAGGTGGCTTCGAGATGATAGCGCGGAGTCGCGCTTTGGTCCACCACGCTACCTTAGCCTGGCAAGAGACGAGAGTACCGTGCACAGTATGGACAATTGGAAAGTACCGTACACGGTGCTTTTGTGGGATCCACGTGAGAGTATGTCTACGCATTTCGCCTTCTGTGGAAGTGTGTTGCTGCATGACCACGGAGGCTGGAGACGGATCAAAAGTCCGTGCCTCAACCTGCAAACGTCTCACTTCCCTCGGGAACCACGAAATTATGGCCAATGGTTAACCTTCCCGCTAGGGGTGAATTGACAGCTTGCCAGCGACAGCGGGATATTGTGCAGGTTTCGCCTCTCGTCGAAAGGGCGCCGATCCAAAGCTAGGCTCATGGTCCACAGGAGCTCAAGATCAGTCGACAAACAGTTTCCACATCAGTTGTCACCACTCGGCCACCAGGGCTAGGCCTTCTCGGTAAAGGAAGTAAGAAGAGACATTCCAGGTTGCTTTGATGTGGGGAAGCCGCGCTTTCGCAAGACAGACTGCCACTAGAGACGGCCCACGGTCCCTACACGTGTATGTGTTTGGCCAGATTGCTGGAGTTGGGTTGCTCGATGTTGACGCGACGCGCACGACATCGGAGGGGCCGAGAGGCAACAAACCCTGTTTTCGATAAGGTTAGAATACTGACTCAAAATAATACACGGCGCTCCTTGGCTATCCTCTGTGCTGATCAACGGCGTTCTCTTCGCCAGTTGATCTTGGACTGCTTGAGGTTCATCAATTGTCTAATCTATTCCTGGCAGGCGGGGGAGTGGGCGAGCTTGGAGAAGATGGAGCCGCTAATGGCTGGCTGTCAGGGTCTACCCCTGAAGCGCGCGGGAAGCCGCTCAAGGCGATCTTAGCCGCGAAATTGGATGAATTCGCACTGTCTCCGAAGCGAGTCAATACCCAGAGTATCAGTCACGGCTGGTTAGGAAGGAGCGAAAGGGAGTAGTATCGGAGAGGAACTGGAAGGGAAGGGCGATTACTACTAGTATCTGTTCTTAGGCAGGAAAGGGAAAATCGCTGACTCGTCTCGCCGATGCCTTCCTGTCCTTTAGTTCCGCACTGCGAGGATATCAAACGCACGAGGATTGGAGTCATTCACGTCGACATCTTACATACCTTAGCTACGTACTAGGTTAGTAACTACTGCGACAAGCACAATTGATGACAGACAGAGAGGGGTTGGTAATTAAACACAGCATCGCTTAGTGCAACCACGCTGTCAATTGCCGTCCCGGAGCCGGTCTTTCATGTTGGGGGCTGAGACATTCCGGCCGAGGACCTCGGACGGGAGAGTTTGGGGCCGATTCGGGCGCTAGGTATCCGGATGTGTTGCACCACATCAACCAACGGCTTTGTTGTGCGACTTGCTACAAGAAGTAACGGCGACGACGACCCATGCGCCCGAAGACGTTGGAGCATCGTTTTGCAGAGTCTCCGGCGATATCGACTAAATCGGTTATCGAATGTGAAAGTCTGCCCATCTCAGCAAAGTAATGTCACATTGTGGCACTGCCCCTCGGGTGCATCCTCGGTGAGCGTCGGAGAGGTATCTTTTTGACTTTCCGGGGTCCGGGAACCCACTCTGCCCTGACCTCTGCCAACAAATGAGACACCTGCGGCCAGCGGACCCCAGGCTGGAGGTGCAGCAGAATCAATGCCGCGAAGGTATGCGTCGTCAGGGCGGGCGTACACAGTACTATGAGCCATTCAGCCGATGCTGCACACCTTTCCATAGGTAGCTTGCACTGTGCGGCTGTAAGCCGACCCGCGGGAAGAGCTATGTGGCAGACGCGCAAAGGACCACAAAGCAATCTTGGATGTTGGCGTGCCCAAACGACAACAACCTTTGGGCTGAAGAACCTCGGATGTCTGTGGATCAAGGGGGTCGAGGGGTCCGTCAACTCTTAACAATATTGGCTTCTGAAAGACCTTTTCCGTCCACCAGGAAATAAGTCTTCCGCGGGCTCGGCGGAGAGCCGGCGCGGAGAACATTGAACTGTGCTCCGGCCCGGCGCCGAGAGCTGCTCAGTTATGATTGCCACGGATCTCGTTCCCGGCCGCTCCCAATTTGGCAGTCCGGATCTGGAATGCCGAACAGGCAGTGTCGTGGAGGCTGCTCACTTGACTGGGAAAATCTCAGCTATGGAATCAAGTAGGTAATTTGTCTTCCGGGGGAGTGAGAAGATGGATCAGCAGCATTCACTTCATCTGCCTCATACGCTCAGGCTTCCCCGCCTCGACCCGGATGGCACGTAGAAATGAAGCCGGGCGCTGAAACCGAACTCGCTTGCGCTGCAGGTCTGCCGAGGTCGGATGTTTACCTAACCATGGTATCTAAGCTAAGCCGCCAAATATCCTAGGGAGTAAGGTTAGCTTGGCAAAGTCCTTACTGTTTGGCACAAATAACCAAATAACTATACGAAGCTACCGTCGCCTGAAAGGAAGTGTCAAGTTATGTCTCACTAGCTCCTAAGACTGAGGAAGGGGTGAACAGTACAGTCGCGAGGGAATACGGATATGGGCAGTTTTCCTGCTGCTCAACAAGCACGGGGCACTACACCATGTGTAATTGTGTGTTGGAATACTGTAGGTTAGCGAGCAGCACAGTGATGGCCAGCTGTTCCTAGCTAGCATGACGATCTCCCGTTGGACTCGGGCCGGTGTGGCAAAGTGAAACAAAAGAGCTCCACGACCCTTACCGGTCCCCGTGCGGTGTTCTATGTAAGGAACATGTACTGTACGTACGTGTACGTCGGGTGTCCCTGGTATGTAACGGATTTAGTGGAGCACAAGCCCGCTTCGGGAGCGACCGCCTGCCAAGCATTCTCCCGCACAGTCGAAAGAACGGGACCAAGGCCGGCCGGCCTTGTGGGGCGCTCATCCCGAGCCGCTCGGACCTGCTCGGGTGTTCCAAAGTGCGTGCGAAGATGGTTTAAAGGGATGGGAAAGCATGACTCAATTAGAACGCCTGCCTCCTCGATTTGTTTGCCCCCTTGTGACAAATGGATGGATGAGGAAAGTTCCTGCTAGGAACATGTAGAATTTAGCCTGCCACTGGCTTAGGAAGAGGGACTTGAGGGAGTTCTCGGCAGGCACAACCCCTACAACCCTTGCTGGTCTGTGCGGCGATTGCTGCATCGCAATTTGCAAGACTCGGAGCTTTCTACGCCTTCATGAGCACAACATTCCAATCGGTCTCATTCGCCCCGAATCTGGCAACAACCCATACCTGTTCCAGGGGTCACCGACCGATCCTGGTGCTCAAGGCTTTTGAGAGCTTCTCATCTCGGACTCCGTTGGATACCGCTTCTCAGGTTTGATTTGGAATCATCCGTCTGCAGCAGTTCCATGGTTCTCGTCGTTTGGTTCCCTCGAAGGCTGAAGCAGCAGCAGATGCGGTTTTTGCATTTTTTTATCTCGCTTCAGCCATCTCGTAAGCCCTTGGTCATGGCTCATATACCGACCTTGACAGTTCCCGTGCGTTCCTCCCCTAGCCTTTCGGAGTCTGGTAGTGCCAGTTTTATTCTAAACAACCCCCAATCAACCGTTCTCCCGTCTTGTTGAATGCGTGAAGGGTTCTACAGAAGCTGAGAGACTCGTTTCACAATTATCGGGCTCCTTCCTTTGTCTGCCGAGCGGGTGCTGAAGGCCAGCTCGCACTGGTTCTTCTATCATCCGCTCTTGCGTCACATACTCCGTACCCCGGGCCGCCAACTCCACTGCGGTTGCGGGGAATTCTTGGATCTCCGGCCGTTTCGGTCATCGCGACGGGCCGCCTGGTTTAAGGTGGGACCTCTCTGCCGAAGCGCAAGCGCGGATCGCGCGGGAGGACATGGCTCGGGGAAGCGGGAAAGGCCCTCCCGGCCGATGAGGACAATCCGAAGGATCGCTTCGAGGGCTCTTCCTGTGTTTGTACAAACTGTACATACACCCAAGGCGGCATGTATTGACAGCATTATATGGAAGCTAAGAGGACCTGGGACGGAAACCCTAGCTTCACCATCCGACAGGCTGTTTTGGATCAACGGCCGGTGAGCAAGGGGTACGAAATATGCTCGGTGACGCCGTCCTCTTGCACAGGTAGTGCGGGATATGCCTCAGACTCTTTGGTTGCATATTATTACCAGGTACTACATCATGCGTTGTTCGGCATCCTGATGCAAGCGCACAGAGCTCGCTCGGGTCAGCCCGTCCTATCATACTCACTACAGCACGGCGGAGCCACAGAACCAAGTCAGCAAGTGGACTCGAAAACGCACCAGAAATTTATTACGTCTTTCCAAAGCTCCGCTCTAAGCAGCCGTTATAGCAATTGGCAGGGCCCTGCATGGTCGGTAAAGGCGACTGGAACCGTGTGCCGTGGCATCACTTAGGCATGACCGCGATAGCGGTCAGAAATCCTCCGCCAACTCGCAGACAACCTCGCCGAACCAACAGAGAAACATCTACACCTGTATGCATCCCGCCCGAGGCCCTGAGAAGTGGCACTGACGTATCTCATCTCCCCGGCGACGGATGTGGAAAGATATCTCGTGGTCATGTTTATGGGGTTCCTAAGGGGTTGGGGCCACATCGAATCGTAAAGGCCTCACTGTTACTCCCATCTTTGCGATGGTGACCGTCCGATCCCAGCTAGTCGCCGCTGACTGGCATCAGTCTACCGTTATGCACCCCATTTATTGTGGCAAAATGTTTCCGTATGGTTGCCCTGGTTGTCGCATGACGAGACCGGCCCGCCGGGCCTCAGTGATGACGGAAAACGAGAGTCGTTGCCTTTATGGGAGCCTCGGAGGCGACTTCTGTGAGGATTCCAATTCGAAAGTCAAGTGATTCCGTGCGGAAGCACATAGTGTGATGATCATTGCTTGGCCGGCTCGTCAAGGCTGAACTGGGCCCTTACCACGACGGCTAAAGGCCTGCCGTTGGTCAACGTTCTCGAAGGAGGCGAGTCTCTGGTCGCCACTGCCAGTGCGCTTCGACTTCGATCATCTACAATAGGCTGATCTGGCTCCTCAGCAAGCCTCACCGTCTGTGGGTTATACGCCAGTGACACCGGCCAGCAGCGGATTGATAAGATGATCAGCAACGGGACTATGATTTTCTATGGTACAAGTACATACATACCGGGTAAGCGTTGGCAGGACCTGACAGTACTCTCTCGCACGTTGCAGAATCGAGTCTCGGACTGGAGAACCGCGGATAGCTTCGAGATCCCCGGATTTGTGGCCATAACGGGACGGCGTGGGGCAGGAGTTCGGTACCAAGGAACAACAAGCAGGAGCGGCTCGTCTTGTGACGGTCATTGGTGGCCAAAGGTTGTAAAGGTTACCTATGATGGTACCACGGGAGTGAAGTGGGAGAATTAGGGGTCCTGAGAGGCTCGTTATACTATCTATCCCTGTCGACCCTGCCGAGAAGGTGTCCTGCAGATTCGTTTGGCTGATCCCATCTTGATATTTCCCCGGAAGCATCGAAGTGACAACGATGATCCCTCATCGTTCTCCTCGCCCGCCTCGGTAATGTACGAATCACTTCTTAGCTGTGGGATTTTGCCATGGTGTTAAGCTCAAGTCACCCCATCACCATGCGCCACAGGTCAAGATGCGGTCCTAGAGACCTCCCCGGTGCCAGCCTATCTCTCCAAGCCGCGCAGCTCTTTGTTGGACCTCCCAATAGTGCATCAAGTGGGCTGCTATTAGCTTCTGAATGGCCCGGAACGCGTACCGGGTCCGCGCCGTGGTGACAACGCAGGTCATGCTCAGTCACTGCCACGCCTCGGGCGATTACTGGATAACTGCGGGGAGCCCGGGTACGCTAGTCGAGGTTGAATGGTCCTATCAGTCTTGCAGGCTATCGATACGAGTGAGTCCCGCAGCTCGAGAGAGCCACTCAGCTCTCCAATGCCCTCCTGTGAACGAGGTGTCCCTCGCTCTAGCCATGCTGTTCAATTAACTAGACATACATGCCAAGTTTGGCAATGGCCTGGGCACTAAGACCCACCGAAGCATCAGAATACTACGGTAGCGATGGTTTGAGCGCGTTGACGAATTACTCCTCGACACAGCACCAATGCCGGCATGGTTACTAGCACAGACATACTGTTAGAGTACTACAACGCCTCTTTGTGAGTACTATGACTCCTCGACGAATATGATAGCTGATTACCTCTCTCCTTATGTTCACCGACGTGGTCGAAGACGGCTTCTCCATTCTCACAGCGTCAAGCAGAACTGGACCTTCAAGCAGCCGACCTTGAGTCCCGGCATTTGAAACAGGCGAGGACGGTTGAAGGCGCCCGGAGCCGGCTCGGAGCCGACCGGTTCTGCAGCCGTGCTCGTCACTCTCCGCTCCTGGACGAACAGGTCCAACAAACGCGGAAGCAACGAGGCGCCGGATTGGTTTCCGGGACGGTTGATACGGCGGCACGGCACGGAGCCGGACTCGACGGGAAACGAAGCTGCTTGCGCGCTAGCCTTTGCGTCAGTGTCGCCCTCCTCCCCCCGTGGCTGAACCGACTCCGCAGCCTAGGGAGACATTCACACCACCGTGGTGTGAGCAAGACGGGCGGGCATGTCCGTTGTCTAAAAGACCCGCTCGCAGCATCGCACTTCAAGAGTCCCCCTCCTCACCGTCATCGACAGGAGACACGCCGACGTGTCGAAACAACCCAGTATGCCTTGCACTGCTGGCCCAGGCGCTTTGATCTTCTGCGAGTACCAAACGGCAGCAGACATACTATACTTATTCATCACATGATTGCATAAGGGTCCCCTGCTGAATCGCCAATGAAAATGTCGACGGCGATACACTATGCAACGTCCCAGGCGCGACATCGACGATAAGAATCGCTGGATCTGACAACACCTGATTGCGGGCCGAGCCAACGTCCCCGCATGCCCACCGCCTTTCTCTTCTGCGCCTCCACCGTTCGGCGTTCACCGCCCCCTGAAAATCCGCCCGGGATCCGGGATTTCCGGCAAAAATCCCGCCTGAAACATGTCCGTTGGCAGTTTTAGTGAAACCTGGGGATACTGGGCACTGATGCATAAAGGAGAAAAAAAAATTTCGAAGATTCAGAGACCCTCGATGAGGATTGCTGTCCAATTGTTTTGAGGGGCTGTCAGAAGGCGGGGTCCCATCACCTCTCCGGAGAACCAAACAAAAAGGGACTCAGGCCGGCCAAGGCTCTGTGAGGGGTCGACGTGGCGAAGAGGAATGGTGAAACGATGAATCGGGATTCCTCTGCGCGTTCAACCTCTCTATGGTTCCCGCCTGCAACATGCTCCGACCTACACTACCTCTAGCTGGCATCGACGACTGAATCAAGAAACGTCCAGAACCAGCCGATTGAGGGGAGAGAAGTGGTGGCAGCCCCGCATTCGTCCGGTTACCACAGAAATGACAGGCCCTTGCTTCGAGAGGAATTCGAGTCCAGGGGACGACGGATGAAACCGTCCATTGTGAGTGATGGAAAATGAAAAGAAACGAAAGATCGATGGCAGGGGCATCGGCGGGGAGGCCGGGAACGAACCGCCGGGTGCGATATGGCCACACGATCAGTCAGGATCGTCCGCACCCGGTTGGCGCTATTGACTTCGACCCCTGGTGAGAGCTGGAGCCAGCTTGACCGCCGGTATGGACTGGAGCGTCGCGTCGAGGTGAGCTATTTTGTTTCCGGCCGTCACCGCAACAACAGCATCGACAACAACGGGATCCGCAACCAGACCGGAGTAACTCCAACTCTGCTGTGTGCGTCTGTGATGTTGATAGTTTGGCCATGTTTCCGGCCAGATACTTAATCAAAGTCCATGTGTCTCGGGACCAATCGCAGACAGTATCACAGTTCAGCTTTCCGGCTTCCCGGTTCCAGACTGTTGGCCAATCAACCAACACGCGTGAAGGACAGACCGTGTGGCTGACGAACGCGGTCTGCAGACCGCTTCGTCCAATGTTACTGGCCGATGTCTCCAGGCCCCGCGCGGTGGTGTCCAAAGCCCAGGGCACCCCGGTAACCCCTCACCTTCCCCACAGTGGATGAGGCTGAACTGGAATCGGTGTGGTTTGTCGATCCGGCGTTGCCCGTGCTCGGTGGGCATGTCAGGTCCTGTCGTAAAACAACCTCGAATGTCCTCCCAGACATCTTATGCCATAGCCCTCGCTCTCTGTTTCCGGCAGCCTGCCACTCCCTGATCAAGTCGTTCGATCGCGGAACTATTTCAATCGCTGCCCCGGTGCCTCTGTCCGGTGACATCGGCAATCCGTCTGCGACGACTGTGCAATCCCGTCTGCTGCGCCTCCTCGGACGATCGGACATCGTGCGGTTGTCATTGCCTGTTTCCCATAGACTCGTTGGGCCGGCCGTGGGCCTGGGTGACGTCTACCCCTCGTTTCGCTCCATTGCCCGTATCTTAGATGCTCTTCGAAAAGGCTCCGGTGGCTGTCCCGATTTCCCGCTGGTCGTGTCGTGCCTGACACGGCGGCAGCGCCGACATACTTGGTGGGCTAGTCGGCCGTTCTCCCGCGTCTATCCCCGGCGGTCTGTGGCAGACGACAGCAGTCTCCTTCTCTCGTCGCCGCTTCCAGTTGTCGGTGTCCATCGGTGAATCTTCAACATGGCGGTTTTGACTGGTCAATTGGTCACTCCGGCCAACAAGATCACCAAGGCTGCTAAAGGGAAGATGGTGAAGCCGGTAAAGCCGATATTGAAGAAGCTGTCACAGTCGCCGAAGAACTCCCTGGATTTGGATCGGGGGTGGGATGAGCAGGATGTCGAGCAGCTGGAGGTTGGTGGATGGGATGAAGGGTACGGGTATGCAGGGCAGGCGAGAGACGTAACTTTTGCAGTTGCGGGAGGGGATGGCATCAAGGTGGGTGGTGGGGGAAGCGGCTTCCGGACGCACCTGAAATTTCAACACGGCCGGTCTGGTTCCCAAACTTCGGCGGGAAGCGCATCTCGTGCTGGTTTCGTGCATCCTTTTGCGCAGACCCCTCGCACATCCACGCCGCCATTGTCATATGCGAACTCGCTAGCCTCGTTTGATAATGGGAGAGATTGCTCGCCCACCATCACCGAAAACGAGGACGACGACTTCGACGCTGCGCACAGCATCGCGCATGGACAATCCGTACCGACTGCTTCACGGTTGGATTTCGCACGGCCCTCACTGAGCAGCCAGCGCACGTCATCCTATCACGAAGTCGGCACTAAGTCGAGTCCGCCGTCTCTCCGCATTCATACAGGCCGATCTGTTTCTGGCACTACTGCTGCTTCCTCGCGTTTTGTGCACGGCAGCGTTCCATGCGGTAGCCACTCCGACCTCCATGTCGACTCCCAGGGTCTCAGCGTTAGCGTAACTGGCAATCTCGATTCACCCACAGGAAGTTTGGGCGCCACCACGTCCCGCCACAAAGAGTCGCTCTCTTCTCCTCTCAGGACATCGCTCGATATGGGGCAATTTCCGCGCTTGCGGAGCCGGTCCGAGCTCGACACGGTGACTCGGCAAGACCAGATCCGCGCCGCCCGCCGCAAGTTTGAAGAGCGGGAGAAAATCAAAGAGGAAGAGTATGACCGCAAAATGATCCGCAAGCGTGAGCGCCGCGATAACAAGGAAGCCACTCGGATTGAGAAGGGCGAAGCCCCTTCCCGTCCGTCATTTCATCGCAAGAGAACGCCTACAGCGCTCTCGACTGTTTCCGCGCCGCCTGCAGGAACCGCCTCGAGACCGTCGATGAGTGGCTCTCTTAAACACTCCACTACACACCTGGGGGTTTTCTCGTCTTCTGCTCCATCTGGGAGCGGTGACGCTGAGCTTGAGAGCCATACCGAACGACCGATGGGCTTTGCCAGCCGCGGGTACGATGATCTGCCGCTTCCTCGAACGCCGCCGTCTTTCGGGGTGACGGCGCACGACGTGCAGTTTGAGCAGACCCGTCCCAGGAGAGGCAGCGGTACCAAGCGGAAGACGCAGAGCTATTGGCAGGGATTTATTCTTTGGTTGAGGACAAAGCTGCTCCGGATGAGTAAGCATTAACCGTCTCCTCTTGTTGGCGCTTGGGTTATCACGGAACCAAGCTAGGAGCGAAGACGATACTTGCATCCCTGCAGCGGCGATTCACGCGTCCCGACCATGAACACTATCTTTCACACGGCTCACCCACCTAACTTTACACATCATCCATCACAACTAGACCGGCTCGATTGAACGACTGGACGACTTATGAATCGGACCGACTCACTTGCTCACTTTTGAGCATTTACGTTTCACGCATCGTCCCCCCCCCACAGCAACAGTAGACAGAGCAAGCAACGGGGCAGCGCAGTCGTGGCATCTGGATTGCTTTTGAAAACAAGGCGTTCGAGTGCTGGGGTTCCGTCATGGGAAGGAACCGGAGGCAGGCTCAATTTTTCTTCCCACTCGCAGGTTGGCGAAGGCGTCTGGGGTGGTTTTGGCATTTTGTTTTCGCATTCCTTCTTTGCATGTATTTGTTTTCCCCTTCTTACGGTCTTTTGGCTTCGACTCCATGGGGTTTCGGATCGGATAGGATTGGAATCCGGGTACCTACCATCTACATAGGGAACGGAACTGGGCTACAGTATCCCTCTCCTGAGTAGAGGCTTGGAGCGTACATCGTCACGGCAGACCATGGTTCCGGCTCAGGTTTGGGTCTCTTGAGAGGGTCGGATACGCCACGGCCACTGCAATTGAGTGTGCAGGGACTTGGAGTTGGGTTGATTTGATCAGGCTGGACTGGGCGAGGTCTTGGAAGCACCTCCTTTTGAGCCTGGGTTTTGCATTTTGCTTCTTTACTCTTCGCCGCTATCGTTAAGGATCGTGGTGGGTGAGACGTTCTGGTCGTGGGATTGCTTCGGCACATCCATGTGGACACCTCAGCTGCGGATCGAGCCCCTGATAAGCTCGTTCTGCTCTCAGAGGGCTGGTCTCGGAAGAGATAGACTAGATAGAGAGACTGAGCACTGATGGCTCTGAATCTATCTTGCGTTGCCCTTGCGGACAAAACCACGTGGATGTGGTTTGGCACCAAACTTTGGTTGCTGTGAGTCTGTGTGATACTGCGTTGCTTTCTGCGATTATGTGAACATCAAGAGGTGGAACGAACAAATCTCAGAGCTCCTCCCCTCTCTGAAGTTCTGAACCTCTCCATTGTTCTCCTTTAGTGGTGTGCGGAATAGTGTAACTCAACCGAGGTATCGCCAAGTGGATCCCGCAGATCCCGTCGTGTCCCTAAACCCGATATCCGAGAACTGGAAGAGCTGAACGGGTACGTATCCCCCTATGCTTGGCTCGCATTGCAACCTCTTTCTAGAATCAATACTTCGTATTTGTCCTGAATCGAGATCTCGCCAGATAGAAACCGTATCCGATTCAACTTAACTTTTGGACTACATCAGCCGCTGACGTACCCCTAGTTGCATAGGAGCCCAGCCTCTGATTGTGTAACTCTATTACTGCTGCTCACTCACCAATACGGAGTTACGCTCGAAACTCCGCCATAATTATAGTGAACCAAAGAACCTGCGGGATCGACTGCAAATCATGAGTATTGGGTGTCAAGACAGCTGAAACGTGTACAATCTCCAACTCTCCCACGGAATCATGGCACCCGCGAGCCAACGTTTCGCCAACCATCCCGGTGCAAAGGAGGCACCGGCCTCGGCGCTGGAGTATCACCATGACAGAGACGAGAACCCAGTGCTTCGTGGACTGCCTCTTGCGGTAGCCTCTACTCTGTAAGTGCCTGTCTTGCCCCTTCCCAACTACAGCGAACCCTCACCAAGTGCTGACCCTCGCCAGAGTCGAAAGATCAGGATGGGTCCAGAAACTTATCTGGAAAAACGCCAAATTCGGCCAGGCCACTCCTGGTCTGGAGGGCGTGGCATGGAGGATACTGGTGAGTTTAAAACTCCAGCTGTGCCAGCACACACACAGACCGTCCTAGACGCAGGACGATGCTGACATGGTCATGGCCGCGCAAGCCCAACGTAATTTCCCTGGGAGACGGTGTCTCGCCAGCTGGCATGCTTGAACTCGGCCCAGAGCTCCACCAACCCCAGCCCGCAGACCTACCAGGCCGGTTCTACTCAGCCGCCGATTACCATGGGCTCTACAAGTCCGGGGAGGTCACACCTCTGCAGGTGGCTGAGGCGCTACTGCCATTGATCAGGCGAGATGTCCGGCCGCAGTCCAAGTATGCTGTCGCTTGGACCCAATGCAATGTCGACGAAGTGCTGGCTTCGGCGAAGGCGTCGACTGACCGGTGGGCTGCTGGGAAGCCGCTCGGCATTCTGGATGGGGTGCCATTTGGCGTGAAGGACGATATTGACGTGAAGGGATTTGTTTCGACTATGGGTATGAAAGTGGACAAGTCGGAGGGCTATTTCAACAAGCCCAGCACGAAGACTGCTTCGCCGGTGCAGAGGCTTGAAGAAGCCGGGGCGATCATGATGGGAAAGCTGAACCAGCATGAGCTCGGCATGGGTAAGTCGGCCTCGGTTTTGACCCGAACGACGTTCCTTTAGCTAACAGTTCGGTACTAGACACCACTGGTTGCAACGTGAGCATCATATCAGTAGGGCCGAACTCGTACCTAAGATGAACTGACGTCTCTCCAGCCATCCACAGGCACCCCTACCAACTGGTACAACAAGTCATACTACCCAGGGGGGTCCTCGTCAGGCGCAGGGTCTGCGCTCAGCGGTATGTTAGATTCGCGCTCTTTCCCCTTGCGGTATTCTCTAGTTCCCGATGGCTCCCCGCACTTGTATTGTCGAATAGATGGCTGACATCTGTCTTCAAGGTGGTCTGGTGCCTATAACGGTTGGAACCGATGCGGGTGAGTTGAGCCTTAAACAATCCACACGTTCAACATCCCCTGACATACCGCAGGCGGCAGCATCCGAATCCCGGCATCGTTCTGTGGCGTGTACGGTCTGAAGCCGACGTACAATAGAACCTGTCAGATGAGCTCGTCGATGGTCGTGATGGGGCCGATAGCTTCAACCGTCGCAGACCTGACGACTGCATACCGGCTCATGTCGCAGCCCAACGCTGACGACCCACCCCAGAACCTCTTCGCTGTGTCCACGCCGCCTGACCCGTCGGCCAAGAAGTACCTCGGCATCTGCCGCGAATGGATAGCCACGGCGTCGGCCGACGTCATTAGCGTTTTTGATCAGGCCGTCGCCCATCTCATCAGCCATCTCGGCTACGAAGTAGTCGACATCAAGCTCCCCTTCCTCCGCGAGGGCCACATCGCGCACGCAGGAACCTGCCTCACCGAAGCCGCCGCCGACGCCCGCGCCCGCGCCAGCAACCCGTCCCGATACCTCAAGCTGCTCAACTACCCGAACCGCATCCTCGTCGCCACCGGCACGCAGACAGCGGCTGGGGATTACCTCCGCTACGGCCAGATCCGCCAGGTCATCATGCAGCATCTGGCCTTCCTCTTCGAGAAGTACCCGGGCCTGTTGGTCGTCACGCCGACGTCGCCCATGGCCGGGTGGCCGATCCGGCCCGGTGACGAGACGTTTGGGTTCTGCGACGGCAACCTGACAATGGATAACATGAGGTTTGTGTGGTACGCCAACACGAGCGGGTGTCCCGCGGTGGCGTGTCCGGCGGGCTATGTCGATCCGGCGCAGGGCGAGGGTAAGTTGCCGGTGGGATTGATGGCTATGGCTGAGTGGGGGGCCGAGGAACAGCTGTTGGGGTTTGCGAGGCACGTCGAGGGGTATTTGAACGAGGTGTATCCTGGCGGACGGCAGAGGTCGAAGGAGTGGGCGGATGTGATTGCGCTGGCAAGGCAGAGGAGTTGGGCAGGGGCGAAGCAGTGAAGAGTGGCGTTTGTATGCGACAAGCTGTACTAGTAGTTACAGGAGGTTGCATGGGGAGGCATAGAAGAGCAACTACCACTCCCGGTTCCATCCTGCCGTAAATAATTTGAGCCAGATGTTCATGAACCGTCAGGCAGTCAAGGGGCAGTCATCCATGCTTTCTCATATCACACTACTAGCTAGTATGTATCTGAGTCTCTGAGATGCCTGGCACCGGATTGCGCATCGAATCACCGCTCCACAGAAGGAGAGTGCAAGACTGCGCACAGACCTCCAGCGTGCAAATCAGACCACCTGCGCAAAACCCCCCAGTTTCCCGCTAGAACGTAACAATTCTCCTATTCGAGTTCAGAAACTTGGACATCGCCAACAATGGTCTACCCATGGAAGAATCATCGCGAGACGCTCCGACGTCTTTACGTCGAGGAGAAGAAACCATTGGATGAGGTGGTGGAGTATATGCGCGTTCACCATAACTTCACGCCAAGGTGTGTTTTTCTCCTGACCTCTCCTCTGCCTTACCGTACCGCGTCCCCGGCCCCGTTAAGCACTTCGTACACTCCTTCGGTGTCCGATTCGCCGTGATGGCTGTAGCAACAAGGCCCCACCCGCATGTGCGCAGCATCCATAGCTGACGATGGTGATGCTGCCGCAGTCGACGGTCGTACCAGGCTAATTTTGCTCGATGGGGATTCCCTAACAAATTGAACCCGGCCTACAAGAATGAGCAGCTCGTTGCCCGTGTGCGAGAGCTATGGGAGACCAATGTCAAACAGAAGGACATGATCTCTATCCTTGTAAACGAGGGATACGAAATCGGCGAGCGCGAAGTAGCTCGAATCCGGGCCAAGAATGGATGGCTTCTGCGGGGGCCCAATCCAAGTGAGCTTGGGCGGCGGCGGCGGCAGAGCCAGAGCAAAGACCCAGACGGAGTCGAGGACGATGAAGATGCCGCCGGTGACGATGACAGCAATAACGATGGATACAGCCAGAGACACGGGCCCCGGGCCAATTACTACGGCTTCAGCTCTAGCGGGCTCTCGCCAACTGATGCGCAGATCCAGGAGGAGACCCAGGCCGCCATGCGAGAAGCACACAGGGAATACAGGAAGCGGCTAATGGAAGCCGAGTACCACGAGAGATGGCTGGCCAAGAAACGGCGCCGACATACCAAGGCATATGCCGGCTTGCCACCGGATCCTCCTGGGCCACCTCGCTTCCCGTCGGAGACGACTCTCAGCGAATCCAAGGAAATACTGCAACTCGACGCGGATGCGTACAAGACGCTTCGAGAGAGGTTTCATTCCATATGCGTGGATGCAGGCGTCTACAAGAAGACGCTCGTTGGGCCGGAACGATGGGAGGCGCTCAAGGAGCAGCTCATCCGCGAAAGCATGCACCTCCGCGCTGTCATGTGGGATCCTACTGACCTGGACAAGAAAAAGCTGGCGATCGAGATTATTGCATGCGATGTGACCAAGAGGATCAGGACCGAAACCAACGCTGTGCGTCTAGCCGATGCCAAAACCATACTCGGACTGAATCCGGAGCAGTCGAGGAATATCCGCTCCCAGCTCTACAATATACTGGCCCAAGAGAAGTTCACGTCAAAGCTTGAGGACGGGCTGGAATACTTTGAAGCGCTCAAGCAGAGATGGATTGCTGGGTCGCTAGAGCTCAGTAGCGTCGTGGCGGATGGACCGACAGACCCCGACTATCAGCGCAAGATGAAGGCCATAAACGTGATCTGCCGCGATGCGACGAGGAGATACCGCGCCGATCTGACCCGCTTGGGTAAAATCCCTGAACCTATACAGCCGTCTCCGCCAAAGCCACAGACTACCAAGCCAGCTCCGAAGAAGTCAGCAGAGGCCGCAAGCAAGCAGGCAGCCGGGCAGGCATCGACACCGGATCTGGCATCCGCTCCGGCGGCTGAGTCAACGTCGACAGGGGCTCCAGTCTCCGCCGCGGCAATCGAATTCGTAGAGGTGACCACGTCCGACCCGTCATCTGTGCCCCGCCGGCGTGGCCGGCCTCCGGGTAAGCGCAACAGGCCGAAGCCGCTTCCGCACGTTAGCTCTCGCCTGGTGCTGGCAGAGCCCCTCGAACCCCAGGCTGACCAGGAGATGCTGGATGCGCAACTCGAGGTCAGCATGCCTGTCACATCCGATGACCATGGCTCGTTTGTGGATCAGCAGTACGTGCAAGGATACGCTGCGGCGCCGCAGGTACAGCAAGAACAAGCAGCGCCGGCGTCGTCCAGTGCCATTGCCGTCTTCTTCCGCCTGAATTCTTCCTCCAAATTCTTCTTTCCGTCAGCGCCGGCGCAGTGGATATGTCCCCTTGAGTCGCGGACCATGGCGGACGTGAAGAACGCGGCGGTCCAGAAGACCCCGGGCGCTATGTGTTACAAAATCGAGGGCATCGTGAAGGACGGCAAGGGCGGCGAGCTGCCGCTGCCGGTGAGCGATGAGGCGGAGCTGGAGACGTACCTGCAGCACGTCGAGGGCAATGGGGCGCCGACATTCAACATCCATATCGTGCCTGGTGAGTAAGGTACGGAGGCGCACGTATAGGTCAGGCTTGGAATGTTGGTAGGATGGCGCGGGAGGGAAGTTGAAAGGATGGAATATCCCACATCGCTAAGGACTGCTTATTTGTACTGAGTTGACAGTTCAATGTAGCGTTAGATCTGTAGAACTTTTACATTTTCTTTTACAAGATTGGTCCATCACCACTCAGCGACCTCCCCGCGCTTAGGCTTCTGCACGCGCACCACCTTGTCTGCGTTGAGGAGGCAGAGCGGGTCGAAGGCAGCTTTGATCTGGTCGGGTTGAGAAAAGAAAGATTAGCAAGTTTGATGATACACACTCATCAAGTCCATCTTGCGGGGACTGAATGCTGCTGCTTACCTTCCTCATGGCATCCACCGTGGTCTCGCCCAGCTCATGGGGCAGGTAATCGCGCTTGACGAGGCCGACTCCGTGCTCACCCTGCAAAAATAGAAAAAAAGACGGCGTCAGCTCAAGGCGCCCATACGATACTAGCATGAGAATCATTGGTGGTATTTGCTTACCGTGACGGTGCCCTCCATCTCCACAGCGCGCTTCACCATGCGGTGGACGCAGTCCTCGGCCAGCTTCCTCTCGGTGTCGTTGTAGAGGAGGATGACTTAGCCGGTGTTAGCCTTTTTGTTTTCTTGCATTACTGCGGGGGATAAAAAGGGAAAACCGAGGAGGTTTGAGTGTAGGTAGGGTCTTGAGACATACTATGGAAATTCCCATCGCCCACATGGCCCACAATCGAGCTCGTCAGCCCGGACAACTTGAGGTCCTTCTTGGTCTCCTCAATGATATCCGGCAGCCTGCTCATCGGCACCGCCACATCGCCCGTCCAGACATGGTCGCCGGGTCTCCTCTGCGACATGGTGCTCCACAGCGCCTCCTTCCGCGCCGACCACAGCTCGCCCTGCTCGGCCTCGTCCTTGGCGAACTCAAACGACTGCCCGCCCGCCCGCTTGGCCAGCTGCCGCACGATCTCGATCTGCTCCTTGACGCCGCTGGCCGTGCCGGTGAACTTGAAGAAGATGGTCGGCGCCTCGCGCCACTTGCGCGACGTGCTGCCCGCGCCGTTGATGAAGCGCATCTGGTCGTCGTCGAGCAGCTCGACGGCCGCGACGGGGATGCCGTCGGCGACCACCCGCCCCACGCAGTCGGCGGCGCTGCGGACCGACGGGAAGCTCGCCACGGCGACCGACGTGGCGGCCGGCTTGACGCACAGCTTGAGCGTCGCCTCGGTGACCAGGCCCAGCGTACCCTCGGACCCGACGAACAGGCGGGTGAGATCGTAGCCGGCGGAGCTCTTGCGCGGGCGCTGGCGCGTCTTGATGACGGTGCCATCGGCCAGCACGACCGTCAGCGACAGCACCCACTCGCGCATGGTGCCGTAGCGGTAGGCGTTGGTGCCGCTGCAGCCGGTGCCGATCATGCCGCCGATCTGGGCGCCCGGGCCCGGGTCCGGCGGGAAGAAGAGGTTGTGCGCCGCCAGCTGCTCGTTGAGGTCCTCCCACCCCACGCCCGGCTGCACCACCACGTCGAGGTCGTCCTTGTGCAGGGCGAGCACCTTGTTCATGCGGCTGAAGTCGACGCAGATGCCGCCGCGCGTCGGCGTGTAGTGGCCCTCGAGGCTGGTGCCGCCGCTGTAGCCGACCACGGGAATCCGCCGGGTGTGGCACACCTTCATGATGGCGGCCACCTGTTCGGTCGTGGAGGGGTAGACGACGCAGAAGGGCTTGTGGGCCGGGTCGGACTGGTGGGACGACCACTCCGACGTCGCGTGCTGCTTGATGTCGTCCTCCAGCGTGCTGACGTTCTCCCGGCCAACAATCTCGGCGAAGTCGGCCCAGGCGGCCTCGAGATGGGCGGGATTGAGCCTGTACGTCGGCGGTCGTGTGGCGTTCAGCGGCAGGGTTGAGTCGGGGTCGACATCGCGCGGGTACTTGTAGCCCATGAACCAACAAGAAGCGCCGACGAAGAAGAGCACTACGGGGCTAGACATTAGCTAGAGCGTCCTTTTCGTTTCTGTGTGGCGGGAATCGCGCATACTGAAGGTGATGCTAAAGTTCCGCGCCAAGGTGGACTGCGGCCGCGTCCTCGCCAGGCGCTCGAGATCGGCTCTCTCGCGCGCGAGACGCTGCATGATACTTGTTGTCAATTGGCCCTTGAACGAAGGCCCGCTCGATCGGGGCTGATTGTTCCCTGTGGAAGAGTAGCGCGCCGGCGCGGTGCGCAGGGCGAGGCATGTTGGCCGGCGAGCTGCGGCGGCAGCCGAAGCCGTCAAGGTCTGCCCCAGGCCTTTGGGCATTCTGCCCGCAAGCCGCGACATGGCTTTGGTCGGTGTGTATGTAGTCAATGGTGTCGGATTCGGTTGGACAGCTATTTGGACCGCATGCCGGGTTTGTCGGGTGGGTTTTGTTCTTTGCTTGTCGGGGGTTGTTGACCCGAAAGGAAGCCGGGACTGACGGGTCGGACGACGAAAAAGGTCGGGGCTTCCGCTCGGCGTCCAAGCTAGGGCCGCCCCACAGCCGTTGCGGACAGGGTTGTAGCGCCGACGACGGCATTCCGGGGCTTGAGCACGCCAGTGTGTCACGTTGATTATTGTGTAACCACCTTTACAGTATCCACAGACCAATCGATATTCTTAGCACTAGGAGCGGGAGGGATGAACTATGTATGAAAAGCGTGGCAGGGCATTTATACGTATGTAGGGGACGATGGAGACGACTGGTGCTTTCTGTTTGGAGTCCGATTTCCATACTACTAGTATCTTCGAGCCTGACCTCGGTGGAGATCGCAGGAAATGGGACATGATGTGATGAGTGAGCCAAAAGAAAGTAATGTAGTCTTGACGATACCAGGTCATGTATATCCGTTCTATCCATGCACACAACCCATATAGGCAGGTATCAAACCCCGTCATTGCCGTCATAACTCATGTCTAGAGACAACCCACAACGCCCTAAGTACCGCCAGCCCGCCGCCCTGCGTCTCTACCGTCCTTCCTCGCCCGCGAAGATTCGGGTCCGAAGTAGAAGCACCAGCCTCCACACCCGGCGACGGACCCCTCTCCTCTCTGACAGCACGCGACTTACTTCCCCTAGAAGAACCGTGTCGGCCCCCACTGCTGCTCAAGGGTTTCTGACCGGGCAGCGGCAACGGCAGCGACAACGGTTCCTCCCCTACAGGAGGATGAAGATCGATTGGATTCCGCATCCACACCGCGTCCCGCGGCACCCCAAGATTCCGATAATCCACCACGCCCTCCTCGCCTTCCGATGACTGCGGCAGCGCATCCCCCGCGAGCTCCATATTTTCACTCGATAACCCCCGGAGCAGCCCAGCAGTCCACCACATCCCAAACAGCCCCCTCCCATCCCTCGTCCCCATCGCCGCCCGGGCGTTATGTCTCAGCCAGGGGAGATACCGCCGACACTTGCCCGCATGTCTTGCTCTGATTCCCTCCGCCGTCGTCGCACCGTCCAGCCCACCGCCACCCTCACCCTCACCCTCACCCTCGGGCGCGTGGAGGAAGCGCAGCGCAGCGGGCGAGCAGAACGTCGCAAAATGGTGCATCCAGATGCCCTTGAAGGTCTGGGCGTCCTGCGAGCAGGAGCCAAACACGTCGCACGCGTCTTCGAGCACGCCGGCTCGGCCGAGACCGCGCCAGGGGGGCAGCTGCCCCCCGCGGAAGTGGCGAATGTCGTCGACGGGTGCGTTTCGGGCTAAGGAATATCCCGTCGCGCGGATCACGTTCCCGATGAGCGTGTGCCCTTCCTGCAGGTAGTGTTCGAGTCCCGTGGCTTGGAATAGGCCTAGTAGGCCCGACAGGATGACGCCTTGGTTGTAGGTGTAGACCATCTCGTCGCGCGAGTCGCAGCGGGTGGTGTTGGTGGAGATGTGGAAGCCGTCTATGTAGAGGCCCTGCGGGTTGCTCATGTTGGAGGAGGCGAGCCATTTGTGTGCTTCCTGGGCAGCCCGGGCGAAGACGGGATCGTGCGGCTGCCATGCGGCGTTGCGGTGGCTATTATGGGGTCCCGAGTCGGGGCTGGTGCCGAAGAAAGGGGACGTATTAGGGTCGCCTGGGAAGTTCAGATACATGCCAATCGATGCAGAGATGAACAGCTGGTTTGTGATGGCATTCTTGTATGGCATGAGGCGCGGGTTCCAAATCATGCCCCCTCCGCAGAGCTCCGTGTCCCATCCCTTGGCTGCTAGTTCCCAGAATATCCTCGCGCGATGGGCAAAGGCGGGTACCCAGCGACTTCCATACCACGCCTCGGCGGTGGGTATGCCCGCCAGCCCCCGAGAGGCCTTCCTGGAGAGAATTGTTCTGCGTTCATCGACGAACCGGATGGACTCGAGCCAGCCCAGAACCACCCAGAGCATGTCGTCGTAGGCCTCGTTGCGAATGGCAAAGGCATCCTCGGCGAAGTAGTAGGCGATGATATCCGCAAAATAACCAGAGATAACATCGTCCTTCCTGAGGGCACACTCGGCAGCCTCGTGAGGTAGAGGGATTTTTAGCTCGTCCGAGATGGTCCGGAGCGTAGCGGCAACATGGGTGCTCATCACGGCACGAGTCCAGTCGATCCCCTCGGGCCACGTTCCAATCCAGCGCTGGAAGTAGGTGTCCTGCATGTCGTCCAAGGCCTTGATCATCTCGTGGAATATTTGAAACGCCGGGAGCGACCCTGCATGGCTACGGTGTTCATCCCCAAGCCGCAAAGGAAGTGCTGACCACGCCGAGGCCGCAGAGACCCCCGTAGCCGAGGCGATCGCTACGAACCAGCTCCCCAGCATGCTGCCTCGTCCAGCAGGGCCCGGAACGGAGGCCCGGGCTTGAAGATTGTTCTTGCCCCTGAGAACCCCTCGTTTTCTGTTTTTGCTGTGGAGGCGTCAGCCGTCTGAGAAACGTGGCGTGGTTTGAAGGTACGAACCTCTATTCAAGTCCAGGCAGCAACAATATGGTCTTGTTATAGCAGAAGTACGGTAGGATGTTGACGGGTGTAGTAAGTCACAGTCCAATCTCATGGGCCGATGCTTCATATGCCGGCAACGGGAGTGAATGTTGTGCCAAATACCTTCGTAGCTCATGAACGCTTAAAACAAAGACAACAGGCACACAACGGAGACCAGCGAACTGAAAGGCTGCAAGCTTCTCGACCTTCGGCTCAGTCATGATGCATTCATCCAGTATCGCGAGATATATATCTGGTTTTCACGATGGGAAGCGGCTCCTTGAGGTGTAGCCGCTGGTCTTGACGAAGGAACAACGACGCAAGCAGTGAATGACCAAAAACGCAACGGAAGTGCACAAGGCGACACCAGCTGAGTGAATGCTCAAGCCATTCTCACCCTCGAGATGATCAGGCGGTTCGGGTATATGTACCGGAGCAGAAAGGAAGAGATCCACGGACCGAGAACAATGCGTGGATGTTTCAGCGGAAGGTGTGACCATTGGTCCCCTGTGAAGGTCAGCCTACCCCACCATTTTAGGGGCCCTGGGCCGTCTGAACTTTCTTGGCACCTGCCCTGGCTTGCCTGGCTGAGCCCCAGCGTGCCCTGCAAGGAACCGGGACCCCGCATGCACCTGGACAGTGTGCGCCGTTCTCGGCCCGAGGCCCTTCCACCCGTCGTCAAAGATGAGACCTGCGATCGGGAGGCTGGCGATCAGGTTTCGGACTCAACCACGAGAAACGGCGAAGCAGAGACGCTGTGAAATAGTGGAATGATCAGGTCCAGGCCGTTGAATCCTATAGGCGAGATTCATGCATGTTACGTTGTCATCCTCTCCTGCTGTGATACAAGTCCATCTCCGTCTGACCAGCAGACTATCCTGGAACTCGACATGCAATGAACATGCTTCGAACCTGCAGCTGGAAGGGCAATCACGAGGATGACTACATATGGGAAAGAGGAGAATAATCAACGGTATTCATGAGGGCCGGGAGAAGATATGTATTATATAACGGTATGGTCGATATCAGGTAGTATCGGCCACTGAGTGTTGAACAACGCAGAATAGGCCTCCATAGTACTCGCAGGAGTAGTAATCCAAACCTAGGATGGTAGCCGCAACTTGCCTTCCCCGTAAAACGCCTGGCGCCTTCCCATAAGCAGCGATCCGCCATCATGCATCGCCCGTTCAGCATACACGTACCACTGGCCAGTTCTACAAGGAACCCCAGAAACGATCAAAAAGAAGTCTGACACGGTCGGAATGGAAATCCTACTCGACAAACCGCCGCTCAAACTCCCGGAATAGCTTCGGCGTGATCTCGTCGCTGCTCATCCCCTGCACCTCCCACAGCACCCCCTTGCGGGCGTAGTGCGCCAGCAGCGGCTCGCTGGTCTCCTGGAACTTCTTCCACCTGGTGCGATACGTCTCCTCGCTGTCGTCGGCCCTGCGCACGAGCGGCTCGCCCGTGACGTCGTCGCGCCCGGGCACTTTCGGCGCGTTGAACGTGGTGTTGTACACCCGCCCCGACGGCTCGTGCACCCACCGGCCGCTGATGCGCTCCATGATGACCTCGAGCGGCGTCTTGATCGACACGACCAGGTTGATGGGCACGATCTGGTCGAGCCGGTCGGCCTGCGCCGCCGTGCGCGGGAAGCCGTCGAGGAGGAAGGACGCCGAGGGGTCTTCGTTTATGCGACGGCCGTAGCCACGGGCGTGTGCCGGTGAGGACAGGAAGGCGGCGACTTCGGCGTCGTCTTCGAAGGGTCGCGCCGAGTCGGCAGTGCCGATGGCGGAGGACGAGAGGGTCATGATGTTGCTGGCTGGGTGGCTCGAGTAGATCCACCCTCGTTGATTAAGCTCGTTGCTGATGAGTCGGAGGATGAGGTCGTCCGGGACGAGCCCGCCGGCTTTCATGGTGCTCTCGACCTTGATTCCTGCATTGGTGATGATTAGCTTGTGCTGGGATGGGCCCGAAGAATACATAGACGAAAAAGCTCACGCACCGAGGGGTGTCCGTTGCTTGACATTGTGCCGAAGTAAATCTCCGGAGCTGATCGAGGAGAGCTGCGGAAATCTTTGGAGAAGCCGTTCTGACTGTGTTCCTTTCCCTACGCCTGGTGCCCCTACAAGGATCACTCGAGCTGCTTTTCGAAGGCGCATCGTACGGAGGGTGGGTTTGCGCTATCGGACGGATAAGGGGCAGAGGTGAGGGAACGCCGGGCGGCCAAGCTCAACCTCTTGTACGACTGGACTCGGAGTCCGGACACCGGAGCAACAAGCAAGCTCTCCGAAGGTGTTACAGCGATCGGAGTGCGGGGAACCATACGATCGGCACACCTGCGAAACGCAACCGAGGACCGAGAGGCTCACAAGAATTCCATGCTTGGCAATGTCAAATGTTAGGTTTGAAGCAATGGCTTTAAGAAATCGCCAGTCCCAAGACTCCCAACGGCCATGTACTACTGTGTACGGAGTACTTAACGTAATAACGTTAGCTCGCAGCTTGCTGCGAGTCGCCTGGGAGCAAAGTGTGACTGTCTTGGCATGTCGAGATCGAGCTCCAACAGGGGGAAAGATTGGCAGGGCTGGTGTCACCGTGTCTCACCAAAATTCCGGGACCATCTTTTGTTGAGTTCTCCAGAGTCCAGGCACACCGACAGCGTCTTGAAATGCTATGTAAATTACATACATTCTGACCTTCCAAACAGATCCGGTACGCCCGGAACTCGTCATTCCACCTGTGGAACTCATTTATTTCAGGTAACTATTATCTGAGGAATCTGGTGTGACTACAGCTACTCCAGTGCTACTTTGCATTGCTGGCATCTCCATGGAAAACGAGAATCAGGACAGAGGTTACCTTGATATCTGGATATTGGGCAGATCTCTCATCCACGATCGGGTGTTCATGCTTGGAGCATTCGTCCGAAACCGACCGTCCGATCGGCACGTGGCTGCATCCGTTCGAATGAGTTGGACTTTGGGTAGCAATGTCACGTGACTCCATCCGCTTTCTTCCTGACTCGCCAGCTGGCCCCTAGTCGGAGTTGCCGCGGGGCGGTTGATGGATCTGGACTTGCCGAAACGCAGCGAAACGTTGGCTTCCATGCTTTTGGTGCCCTGCGCCCCTTCAGAAGAACATCAACCAACTCACAAACTACAGATTTGATACTTGAGTGCCGAATCCGCTCTGGCAAACCCGCTCTTTCCTCTGTAGTTCCGTGTGTTTTCAAGAGCAACTGCACCCGAGTCTCTGTTTCCCGAAGCCGCCTAATAACGTTCGCTTGCGTTTACCGCCCGTTTCTTGGCCCCTTTCGGCATAACATCATCGGCACCCTTTATCTGCGTATCGGCGAAGAGGTCGTTTTCGGTCTTACAAATCCAACGCGCCGTTGAGAGTAGGAAGCATCATCCAGGCGTGACGACTTAGACCACTCGTAACCTACATTTCCGAACAATAGCCATGAGCGCCTCAACAAGAGTTGCGCGTCGGGCGCTGGTCGTCAACCCCTTCCTTGGCACTAGTGGGTTCTCTGCGTTTCTCTGCGTTTTGATGTTGGTAGACTCAGCTCAATTGCTAATGGTTCCTTGCGTAGACCGTGCACTGCCCAGATCTGCTCTCCTTGCTACGTCGATCCATCTTGCACGCAATGCCCAGCATTTGGGCCCGGCTTCTGCCCTCCTGATCCCAATCCGCACCCTCACCACGGAGACGACGACCCATGGTCCCCCGGGAGGTCCGCCGCCAGGATTCAATCCGGAGCAAGCTAAGAAACCGCTTCCCAAGGAACCTGCCAGTGCGAAGCCGGAAGCGAAGTTGGCCGAGAAGCCCAAGGCAAATGAGACCGAAGTGAAAGCGGCGACGAAGGGCGCCTCGGCCGACACAGAGGCCTCGCTCACAGCGCTCGCCGCCGAGAAGCAAGCAGCCGTGGAGAAGACAGAGGGCAAGAAGGAGGAGAAGAAGTTGACCATCGGGCAGAAAATCAAGAAAGAGATCCAGCACTACTGGGATGGCACCAAACTGTTGGCCGCCGAGGTCAGAATTAGCTCGCGATTAGCGCTCAAGATGGCTGCCGGGTACGAGCTCACGCGCAGAGAAAGTCGGCAGCTCCAGCGCACTGTCCAGGATCTCGGCCGGCTGGTCCCCTTCTCCGTCTTCGTCATCGTGCCATTCGCCGAGCTGCTGCTCCCGGTTGCGCTCAAGCTCTTCCCCAACCTGCTGCCCAGCACGTACGAGGGCCAGAAAACCAAGGACCAGAAGGCTTCGACGCTACGGGCCACGCGCAAGGAGGTTAGCGACTTCCTTCGCCAGACCCTGAGGGAGACGGGCCTTCCCTTGACGCAGGCGACGGCCCAAAGGGAGGAGTTTACCAACTTCTTCCGGAAGCTCCGCTCCACCGGAGAGAAGCCAACAGCCGAAGATGTCATCAAGGTGTGCAAGATATTCAGGGACGACCTTACCCTCGACAACCTGTCGCGGCCACAACTTGTGTCGATGTGCCGGTATTTGAACCTCAACACTTTTGGTACCGACATGATGCTTCGGTACCAGATCCGCCACCGCATGCGGCAGATCAAGCGCGACGACCGCGCCATCAGCTACGAGGGCGTCGACAGTCTTTCGGTATCCGAGCTCCAGACGGCCTGTGCCAGCCGCGGCATCAAGAGCTACGGTGTATCGCCCGCTAGGCTGCGTGAGGACCTCCAGACCTGGCTTGACCTGCGGCTCCGCGACGGTGTGCCGTCGACCTTACTGGTGCTCAGCAACGCCTACATGTACGGCCAGACACAGACTGAGGAGGGCATGGCCAGCCAGATCGAGGCGCTGACGGGAGTCCTGTCGTCCATCCCGGAGGAGCTCTTCCATGAGATTGAGCTCGAAGTGCACAACGCCGAGGGCGCCGCCACGAACAAGCAGAGACTTGAGGTGCTCAAAGAGCAGCAAGAGCTGATCGACGAGGAGCTCGAGCAGAACGAGGAGAACCAAGCGACAGGCTTTGCCACGCCAAGAGATACAGAGGACATCGACGAGAAGGAGGAGCGACAAGCGCACGCCGAGTCGGACGGCACCATTGAGAAGGCGCAAGTTGGCGAAGCGCTGGATGCCGAGAAGGACATGCTTGCCGCCTCGAGGGCAGAGCAGCAACGGGAGGCGGAGGCGGCGCAACCCAAATCCAGCGACAAGTGAGAGCTGGGAGCAGGGCTGCCGTGTAACAATAGCCATTCGTGCCATGGGGGGCCCCACGTTCTTTGACTTTCTTCGTGTACCATGTTTTGAGTAGGTCGCTTGACAGACTCATAGGATCAGTGGGTATACATTAGACTCCGCTAAGGGCTAAAGCTGCGCGAGTCGCTTGGGAGTTTGGCTTTGACTTCGATGGACAACCCTTCTTTCGTCGTAAGGGGTGGGAACTCCGGATATAGACCTCATCTCACTATAGATATTGCTGGTAAAGGCGCTACGCATCTCAACGCGATCTGAGCGTTGTCTTGTCTCTGCAAACGGGTTGTTAGTGCAATAAAGTCCCAGACCCGGTTGAAGGCTGGGGAACCTGGTGATCAGGCACCCTGAGGAACCTCGTGCACTAACAGCCAAGCCTGCCATGACCCACAAGCAACAATCGTCCGGGCTTATCGTAACTGGAACGGCCAACAGTCTGGACGGGAGCTTATTACCCCACCAATCCAAGTCTCTCGGTACCTTACGTCAATGGGCGGCAAACCACTGGCAAACCTTCTAGTACCACCAAACCACCATCAACAGCAGCTACCTTAATAGTAGTAATCGATCGAGCCCAACCCTCCAGCGCGCTGCCACTCAACCTTTTTAAGACCCATCGTTGCTGCAACTTAGAGCTCTCCGCACATCCCTCGCGGCAGCCGAGAGCACCTTATTCCTTACCACTGACGATCCCGCGCGCACCCTGGTCGCCGCGACTCGGGCCTCGTAAGCCGACAAGATGGCCGTCCTTGACCAGGACAATTTCTCCAACATTTCATGGCACAGCGAGCAGAACCAAGATGCCGCAGGGCCGAGTACATCTACGTCTCATGACCGTAACCACGATCCCGAGTATGCCAAGAGCAGGTCGGATGTAGACAGGTCGGGCGACGAGGGACCCGACCATGGCCACACCGGCGGGGAGATCCTTGAGTGCGTCGTGTCGGAAGCACACAAGGAAAATGACGGCACCAAGGACGCATATGTTTCATACTTAATCACAACAAACGTATTTGGATACCTTACACAGCAGGGTGGATCAGACGGGCGCTGACAGCATCTCCCAGACGACCTTCCCTACCTTCCAGCGGTCGACAGCCTCCGTCCGCCGCCGCTTCACAGATTTCGTGTTTCTCTACAAGGTCCTCATTCGCGACTATCAGGGATGCGCGGTCCCACCGCTGCCGGACAAGCAGCGGATGGAGTATGTGCGAGGTGACCGGTTCGGGCCAGACTTCACCTCGCGCCGCGCCTACTCCTTGCAACGCTTCCTCACCCGGCTCGCCCTGCATCCCATCCTCCGCCGCGCAAGCATACTTCACACCTTCCTCGAGAGCCCCGACTGGAACGCGACTATGCGCAGCCAAAAAGAGCGGCTCGGCCCCGCCGGTGCTGGCGGAGACGGCTTCGGCCAAGTCAGTCAAGCCCCTGCCGGCGGCAGTGGTGGCGTTTTCGACTCCATCGCAGACAGTTTCATGAATGCCTTCACCAAGGTCCACAAACCAGACCGGCGCTTCATCGAAGTCAAAGAGCGATCCGACAAGCTCGACGAGGATCTCAACCACGTCGAGAAGGTCGTCTCCCGCGTGGCGCGCCGCGAAGCCGACCTGGAAACGGACCTGCGCGACTTGGCCGAGCAGTTCCAAAAGCTCATCACGCTTGAGCCGGGCGTCGAGTCCGCCGTGCACGCCTTCGCTGCATCCGTCGAAGACACCGCGGCGGGACTCAAACAGCTCCGCGACCACACTGACCAGGACTACCTCGGCTCGCTCCGCGACATGACCGCATACTCGGCCGCTCTCAAGAACCTGCTAAAGGCGCGCGAGCAGAAGCAGCTCGACTACGAGCAGCTGACCGAATACCTCAACAGGGCCACCGCCGACCGCGACATGCTCGCCTCGGGCCACGGCCACTCCACGGGGTCGTTTGGGTCGGGCGCCCTCAGCGGTGCGGGCGGGTTCATCCGCTCCAAGATCGAGGACGTGCGCGGCGTCGACCATGAGCAGGCGCGCCGCGACAGGCAGCGCAAGCTGGAGCTGCGGATCGACGAGCTGACCGGCGCGGTCGAGACCGCGCGCGCCGAGGCGGAGAACTTCGCGGACCAGGTCGTGCGGGAGGTCGAGAGCTTCGAGTGGATCAAGCGGGTTGAGTTCAAGCGCCAGTTTGGCGGGCTCGTCAATGCGCATATTGACTTCTACGGCGGCGTGATCGACGTGTGGGAGCGGTACGTGAAGGAGATGGAGAAGGAGGGCGTCGTGGGCCCGGCTTAGCAGGCAATCCATTACGGCGGGAAGAAAGCGGAAGAGGACGACGGGTTTGTGCTCCTTGCGAATCAGGACTACCGGCGTCCTTGAGGAGGATTGCCGGCTTGTATTCCACCGCTCGAGGGGCTCACACATGGCCACTGGATGTGGAACTAACTGATGGAGGTTGTGGGAACGCTTCAGAGTATTCGATTCAAGCGGTATGGGATTTTGGAACGGATTCGGAGTGGTCTGGCGGTAGCTTTCAAGGTTGGGGAACGGCGGCCAGAGCAGGGTGGCGGGCAGCGACGAAGCATGTCCCTATGCCCGGAGCGTTTTTTTCAGAAACAAACATCCATACCTGTATTCTTATTTAGCTTTCGGGATCGAGGCGTTTGGTGGAAATCTTTGAGTATTGGGGTTACTGGCATTAGAAGGGAGGCTATGCGATGATATTCTGGGTAGGCAGCTAGTATCTGGTTGCCTTCCAAGAGCAAAACTCGAATAGGAGTTGATTTTGATGCAAGCAAGACATCCCTTTCATACCTACCGAGTGTAAGGTAGTCACGGACGCCGCAACAGACCAGCACCTCCTCTACGCAAGTGTGTGCCAGGCAAATGGCTGAGTGCATACTCCCTTAGCATTCAAGTGGGTTGTTTTATACACGCTTTCTACGCTGGTAGATAGGCAGGTTCTAACAACCATATCCGGTCAAACCCAAAAGACAGAAATTATGAAACACGCTACGAAAGAGGGCCTACCGGCTCCCACCCTGCAACGGCCTCGCCTCGTGCCGGCGATCATCATCTTCCTCTTCATCGTCGTCGTCGCCGTCCTCCTCATCGTCATCGTCCCCGACAACGTGATGCTCCTCCGACTCCTCACTCTCTCTCCTCCTACCAGGCAGCTTCTCACTGACCGCAATAGCCGAACCACTCCCTGACTCAGACCCAGACCCGGACCGGTCGCGGTACTGTGCTCCTCCCGCGCGCACTACATCTCCAAAATCATCCTCGTCGTCCTCGTCCTCGTCATCGCTTCCCCCGGCAAAAGCATCGTACAGCTCGCCTCCGCGCGTCGTCCTCCTGCCGGCGGCGCCTTGGCCGCCTTTCCCGGCGGCCACCTTCTCGCTGCCAGCCAGACCCTCGGCTTCCTCGTCGTCGAGCAGCTCAAACTCGTACTCGTTACGCGGGATGTTGCGCAGGCGCTTGCGGCGGGCGATGTAGAAGTAGATGCCCAGCCCAGAGCAGAAGAGGACGATGAGCACCAGCGAGCCGTAGATCCAGGCCTGGGTGGCTGCTGAGACGCCGAAGGTGGGCAGGAACGACGGGAGCCAGGTGCTGTTGCCCTTGCCAGCGCCGGGGGGGCGGAGGTTTCGGCCGCGGTTGGTTCGACGACGGGCTCATCGGTTGGCTTGGCACCTGTAGGCTTGGCGTTGACAGGCCTGTCGGGATGGTCGGAGGGGTCGGCGACGATTTCGGAGTCGGTGGCGGAGCCTGGATTTGGCGCGATCGTGGTTAGAGTCGCGGGAAGGGTGGTGGTGGCAATGACGGCATGGTCGTTGTCGTCTTCTTCGGTGGGCAAGGGGAGGATCTTGGCCTTGGACGCATCGCGAGATTCGCCCCAGAGTTTGAGGTGCCAGTCGACGAACTTGCCGTCAAAGGCGTTGACGTTGGTGTCTTTCACGATGATGGTCCAGGTGCCGATGCCGCTCTCGCCCCTGTGATGTGTGAGTAAAGGTGAGTTCGTTTTGGAATGAGAAATTGCTTACCAGTGAGCTACGCTCATAAATGTCCAGTCGTCATAGCCATCAGTGGAATCGTCGTATTTGCGGGTGACAGAAAGGTGGCTAACAACCTTGCTAGGGCTGATCAGATCAACACTCAGATCACCGCGCCGTCCATGCTCGACATTCATGGTAACGGTAATGTGCTCGACTCGCGCCAGATTGGCTTCCTTGAGCATCTCCTTGGTGACCTCAAACCCGACGGTAACGCCCTGGTCACCCTGGGGAATGGCCTGGTTGACATGGATCCAGGGGGAGTAGAACCAGGCCTGCGGCTTCACCTTCTTCCAGGTCCTGGCGGCTTCAACGATAGCATAGCTATCTAGCTTTCCATAGCCATAAGTGTGGCTGAACTTCTTCCCGATCGTAGTATCCTGCCAATCTCCGGAGTCCAGATTGATGGGAACGGCGGTGTCCATGGCGAGGTATTGCATGTCTCGCCATGACAAATCAGGACGTACCTGGAGCACGAGAGCGAAGATGCCGGCAGCGAGAGGTGCCGCTGCCGAGGTGCCGCCGTGGCCGTTAGAGCAGACATTTTGGCCCACGTCTGTAGTGTGGATGGCATCACCACTGCCGCTGGAGTACGTAACAACTAGGCCGGCCGAGCATTTCTCAGAGTAGTATGGGTGCAAGCCCTTCCTGTCGATGGCGCCAACGGTAATGCTGTAAATGCTGTTGGTATAGCCGTCGAAATTGCAGTTGTCTTCGTTATGCGCGCCGTTGCCACTAGCGAAGACGTAAATGGAACCCAGGCCCTGGCGGCCATTCTGCACGCCGTTGACCATGGCACGTCGAATAAGGATGCCAGGTGCGTCCATGCTGCGCCCATCGTCTGGCGGACCCCAGGAGCACGAGTAGATCTGGTTATGCTGGAAGTCGTAGTTCATCGCCACGGCCTCATCCGCATCCGATATCAACTTAGATAGGATGCGCAGGCCGGCAATTCTGGAGTCGTAAGCCACACCCACACCGCAGGCGTTGTTTCTGGCGGCCGAGACTTCGCCGGCACACCGCGTTCCGTGCCTGTCATCCGACAGGCGAGGTTTCGGCTCATCCGTCTTGTCGTTGAAGTCGTAGGAGCCCTCTGCGTAGTAGTTTGGCCTGAGGTCGTCGCTGTACATGTCCAAGCCGTCATCCACAATGGCGACAGTCGCATTCTTGCCTGTGATTCCTTGCAGCCACACCCCCGTGACATTCACGTCATGGCCGAGCTGGACGGTGTTGAAAAGGTGCCATTGTTCGTGGAAGATGGGGTCATTGATCTGCAGCGCTCGAGCAACCTCCTGTTGTGTTTCGACGGCTGACTGCACCGGACTATTCTCCGCCCTCGTAGCATCGACCAGCGGTACCGGGGCGCGCCGTTCGGGTATGATGCGCTTCTCCCACGGTTTACGTAACCTCTGCTTCTCGGAGAACAAGACGCCGTCCAGGACATGTCTTTCGCCGAGGGATCTTCTCCTTCGTCTTTCAACTATTTCCCGCTTGACGACATCGTGGTCGGACTTCTTCGCAACAAAGAGATGGTGGTCCTTCAGTTCCCCCAGGGGCCCGCTGTGTGAAAGGCCCAGGCTCCTAGCTACCTCGTGGGGCGAAGTGTTTGGATCGAGATGGAGCACGTAGTAATCGTTTGCATCCCAGTTCCGAGGGAGGACGTGGGATGCTGCTGTGAGAGTGGTGAGGCCCAGCAGCGCCGCGGCTGACCAGAGCTTCATGGTGTGTTGGAGTCGAGGGCCCGAAGCCCTTGGTTGAGCCAGGCACCGGTACTAGCGTGGGGGGTTGGGGCAAGCGACAGCGGGCATATGGTAATCGGCGACAATGGGAACTCTTCGACGGGTGGCCGAGTCGTTCAAGAGTTAGAGGAGAGTCGGGGGCTGCCGATCGCCACTCTCGAGGGGCGAGACTGAAACTGTGTCGCAGGCTGCCGCACGGGCGAGCCAAGAAGGAGATTAGGGGATTGCGCGAACCAGACAAGCGCTATAGCAGAAAAAAGCTCTACCCTAAGACTCGAGGACGCAAAAGCTCAGAATACAGTGTTAATAATCGGAGGGAACAATGAAAAAAGTCTTTCGTAGGAGTCGATGGTACCTCTCCCTTTGAGAGGCAGAGAAGTGGCCTCGCGCGGCTCGCATGCACAATGCACACAGAGTCTGGGGCGCTCTGCCAAGCGTTTCCCGGAATGCGGCGTTGCAGTTTGCAGAGGACCCTTGCGTGTCCACGTATATAGCAATGAGCCAATCAGAGAATGATCCGCTGCTCAGCTCGGACCGTGCTGGCCATGGTGCTGAGACCGGGAAGCTTCAACTGCCGACTCAACATGAAGCCTTGGCAGTGCAAATGGCACTGCCCTGGTTTACTGGTATGCTGTTGAAAATACACGGACTCAGACAGCTTCATATGGCTTCTAGTAAGAGTCTTCAGGGCGGCTGATACGATTTTGGAGGCAATCGACGTCGATCGCTTCTACCAGAGCTTTGGAATAACCTGGGAATTATGAATCCCGCTTTGTTAACTACGTGGAGAGACACCTGACGGTAGGTCGGATCGACGGCGTCTTGAAGTCTGCTTGAGAGCAGGAAGTAGTTCATAACCTGAACACCAAAGCAAGGTAGTCCTGAACAGCTCCGAACAGACTTTTCGAGAGACCTCCTAGCAATGGAGCATCTAAGACGAGCGTCCAGGTAAAGGGCGTGGTGTACGGAGTACTAGTGGTAGTTATGCAGGATGGGCGCTGTGTGCCTTTGGTCTTACCCAGACATCCACGCCATACACCAAGCGCTGGTTGTTGGTGATCGATGCTAGCGGCAAAGGAATTCCATACCGTATCGATCAATCCCATAGTAAGAGATATGTAACCGCAGATTCGGCTCAAGCACGTTCACCGTAGTCTGCCTGCCTACCTAAGGTATTCAGTTTGTCCAGTCGCCCCATTGGTTCGTCGAACTCCATGTGGAAGCCATGTGCGATTTGATTCGGACCTCGGATTGCAGACGGCTCGCTCCGCGCATCTCGTTCATCAACGCCCAGTTCGCCGAGACAATCGCAAGCCGAAGGTCGCCGAAGGCTCAAGACGTCCGTTCTTGATCCGGGGATGATCATTAGCCAGCCACCGGTATTTCCTCAATACATACACAGTAGAAAAGAAAACAAGAAAACAAGATATTGTCGGAGACCCCATCAAGCACCCGAAGCTGCGGTTCTTGTTCCTTTCCCGCCCTCCGATTTCTGGACAATTTTGGCAGCGACTGGCAGCAGCCCAACCACGCCAAGACACCCGCTCAGATCTTCCCGCCCAAAGCTCCAGCTTCCAAGCAAGTTCCCAGCCCCACGCCCGACCAGCCCAGCCTGCCGTCGACCAGAGTACCAGACGTCCCGGCCACCTCGGCCCATTACTTAACTCGCGAACAAGCCCCGGCGTGCGCTGGACATGGCTGGTTGAGCCCGAGGTGCATGTGTCTGCAAAGCATTGGTGTGTCCAAGGCCGCATGCAGCTCGTGGACGAATGGCGACGCCCCAGCCCCGGCATTGAACTCCATTGAGCTCCATTGAGTCTTCGAGGAGCGGTCAGGCCACCCCCACTTGGCAGCCACTCGACCGCTTGGTTACTGTGTACAGCTTGGTGGTCTTTGCCAACCAAGCCTTTTCGAGACAGCCAGGCCCGACGGGCGAGCTCGAGTCCACGCTTGCGCTCCTTGTACAAGCTGCGCGGCACCCTACTGTTGAAGTGTCAGGACTCAGACATGTCGACTCCGTACTGGGGCCAGCTCCCACCCCCGAAGGCGAGCCAAACCAGAGCCCGCCGTCTGTCCGACGACCAGGGCCCGCCGCCAGATCGCCGCCAGTCATTGGATGTCCCGCCCCAGGGACAGACGGGGGCGAATCGCGTGTCTGTGCAAACTACAAAATCGGATGCGCCGACTGAGTCGACCCAGAGCCCCTTCGCGTCGCCAACCGCCTCGAGCTTCCACGCCCAGGGTCTCGCTCCTCGGCCACCGTCGCTGCCCTACGGAGCCAATCATTACCCTCCCGAGCTTCTAGAGAACCGTCAGCGGCGCAGGAGCCGCAACCGGGACCAGGAGGACGAGTATGTCGCCGTGACCGGTCCACCGCCTCCTGCCGCCCCGGACGTACCGCGCGCTCCCCCTTCGAGCTACAAGTATCAAGCAGTGAGCGGCGCGCCGCCTCAACGGTCCAGCCGCACCGGTACTACGATGGGCACTGAGGAATTCTACCAGCCGGCGGCGGCCCCGGACGGCCAGGAAGACGACAATCCCGTCCCGGACAGGACCCGCAAGACGCTCGGAGAGTCGGCAATGCCGCGCCCTCCGCGTATCAACACCGATCCTACTTTCGGCAGAAACTCGCCGCTGCCTAATGGTCGCCCGCGGAGAGGGTCTGCTGCGGAGCAATCGCTGCAGAGGAGTGCCAGGAGGTATTCGACGCAGGGTTCGGCAGACCGGCCCAAAGTGTTCGCAGACGACCGTTCGCCGCTCAAAAAGCTTGAGCTGACGCTTGACAGCATCTCGAAGGAGGAGAAGCGGGCGCGCGTCGAAGCGGCCGAGCAGGCTGCTAGAGAGAGGTTAGAGAGGGCGGCCGCCAACGGAGCCGCCCGCCCAGGCGACAAGACCCCGCAGCAGGCGCGCTTCCGGGAACGACGGCCCTCTGTAGCGACCGGAGACGCACCCAGAACGCCGATAACACCAGCCAGGCCAACACCGGACTCTGCTGGGCAGCCGGGGCAGAACGGCCCGCTCTCGCAGAACCCACCCGAAGAGGGGCGGAGACAGAGCACGACTGCTGAGCCGTCGCCGAGGCCAGCAACCGCGGAATCCCGGATCCCTGTCCCCGTACATTCGAGCGGCATCCCGCAGCGCAACCTCAGCTTCCGCGAGCGCGCAGCCAGAAATGACGTAAAGCTACCGACCACACTCGACAGCCCTGCGTCCAAGGAAGGCTCGCCTGCGACTCTGTCGAGGAGCGGCAGCAACAAGCTGAAGAAACCGCCTCCGAGAGACCTGTGGCCAAATCGGATATCCGAGGTTGACGAAATCAACAACTCTGGCGGGGTGGTTGCTCATAGCCCACAGGCGGTGGCCGGCGTGTCTGCTGCTCCTGTTACCGCTAGCGACGCCAAACCGCCGCATTCCCAGCCCAGGTTCGTCTCGCCGGCGAGGGGCCCAGAACCTGCAGACCAAGATGACTTCGCGGACGAGTTCATGGCATACCCACCCGTCGGGAAACTGACAAAGCCACCGCCCGGCCAAAGAAACGCCCCCGACCAGTTCCTCGCGCGGATCCCGACCCGGACGGCCGAGACAAACGGGGCGCGACAGGTGACTTTCCAGCACGACGCGCATACGGACCGTGAACACCGCTCTATGGACGGCACTGGGGCGCAACACCACATGTCCGACCTCATTTACCATGCTCGCGACAAATACCAGCCCGGCCAAGGCACTTTCAAACCCACCACGTACCTTGACGAGTGGAGGAAGGCGACGGTGGGGACCCTGGCGGGAGGGCTCCTCGACCTGGAGGATGTCCCGCCGCCAGTGCCGGAAAAGAATGCGTCCTGGGGCGGATCCCAGCAGTCCAGGCGGCGGAGCGACAGCATGTCGTCGCGGCCGAAGAAGGCGGAGGCCTACGAGGGAGAATATGCCGAGTCAAACGGTACGCGTACCCCTAATCAGCAGGCTTTTTACCCCAGCATTGGCGAGGTGCAAAGCAGCGACCTCTTTTCCATCCTGTCCACGGGCGAGTTGGGGGGTGGTCTTGTGCGCGAGCCCCAACACCTGGCGCCTCCGTCAAGGAGGGCGAAGGCCCGAGCTAAGCGCTGGGACGGGCTGCGTCCCTTCAGCCCTAGTCCTTCTGCGAACAGTTCTCAAGACAGCCTGGGCCGCTTCTCGCTGCGCAGCAACGATGCCGCTTTCTCCCGGCAAGCCATGTCATACTCTTGTACAACGACCCCGACTTTTTTCTCTAGGTTTTTCTCGTAGGTTGTAAGGGGAGTCGCTAACCTGGTTTCTTCTATGCAGCGCCCACGCGATTCAAGCCGCCCCTGTACCTCAAGTGCGGGCCCCTCCTGAGGTTCTGCGGAATCCGCCACGAGCGGGTGCCCAACCGGTCGAACGCGAACGGCGGCGTGGTCGAGAGGGAGATATGGAGAGGCTCCATCATGATCGTCACGACGGATGCCGACTCGTCCTACGACATCGCTCCGACGCTGAGACTGTTCGCCCAGCCGATCGAGCTGCTCCCGCCACCGCCGAGGGAGATCAAAAGTGACGAGCCCCTGGCCCCCGAATATGTCGACCCGATCGCCGGGCATCCCAAGCTCGGCCGGAAAGGCGAGACGCTCTACGTCAGACCCGTGGACCATCTCCAGGAGGGCAAGGATATCTCCAAGGACGAGACGGACGACGGACTATTTGAGAAGTCGAAGAGTCCACCGGAAGTGCCCCTGCCGGAGGGTGTGGTGGATCCCCCTGGCTCGTTCGCGGCCAGGCGGAAGCGAGCCGAGATGGACGGCGAGAAGGCGGGCAAGTACAGGGATATCCGAGGCTTCAGGCTGCACGCCGAGCGCGGCTACACCTTCTGGAGGTTCAACATCGAGGTCGAGCTGCGGGAGAAGCAGCAGCGGATCGCGTACCGCATCAACAGGGGCCCGTCCACGGGCTTCTGGGTCCCCGCTAAGGGCCAGAGCATGAACATCATGTTCTACAGCTGCAACGGCTTCAGCCTGACGGTCAATCCCAATGACTTCACCGGGCCGGACCCCATGTGGCGCGACGTGCTCAACACGCACCAGAGCCAGCCCTTCCACGTCATGATTGGCGGCGGAGACCAGATCTACAACGACAAGTGCATGCAGGACACCAAGCTCTTCCAGGACTGGCTGATGATCAAGAACCCGCTGCACAAACACAACGCACCGTTCACGCCGGAGATGCAGGACGAGCTCGAGAGCTACTACCTCGAGCGCTACGCCATGTGGTTCTCGCGCGGCCTGTTCAGCATGGCCAACGCGCAGATTCCCATGGTCAACATGTACGACGACCACGACATCATCGACGGGTTTGGCTCGTATCCGCACCACTTCATGAACTCGCCCGTGTTCTCGGGGCTCGGCAACGTCGCGTTCAAGTACTACATGCTCTTCCAGCACCAGAGCATCGTCCAAGAGACCGAGAAGGCCGAGCCGAGCTGGATTCTGGGTGTGCAGCCCGGCCCCTACATCAACGAGCTCAGCCGGAGCTTGTTCATGTTCCTGGGCGCCAAGGTGGCCCTGCTTGCCGTCGACGCGCGGACCGAGCGGACACGCGACGAGGTGATTCGGGAGGATACGTGGAAGAAAATCATGGACCGGTGCTACAGCGAGATCGACAAGGGGAAGGTGGAGCATCTGCTGGTTCTGCTGGGCGTGCCCATTGCCTACCCGAGACTGGTGTGGCTTGAAAACATGTGAGTTTGGTGCGTGAGACTGGTGCAGGGGAACTTCCGGCTGACTCCTCCCAGCTTGACTTCCCGGGTTATGGATCCCGTCAAAGCACTCGCCAAAATGGGCATGTTTGGCGGTTTGCTCAACCGCTTTGACGGCGGCGTCGAGGTGCTCGACGATCTGGACGACCACTGGACGGCCAAGAACCACAAGCGCGAACGTGCCATCGTGGTTGAGGATCTGCAGGACCTGGCGGCCGACAAGTCCATCCGAGTCACCATCTTGAGGTCAGTATCCCGGAAGGGCTCGAAACCTGGTACCGTGCGTTCCCAAGCTAACTTCTTCCCAGCGGCGACGTCCACCTCGCAGCAATTGGGCAATTCTACTCGAATCCCAAGCTCGGCCTAGCCAAGCACAAGGACTTCCGCTACATTCCCAACGTCATCTCGTCCGCCATCGTCAACACGCCACCGCCGGACCTGTTGGCCGACGTCCTGAACAAACGGAACAAGGTCCACCACTTCGACAAGGAAACCGATGAGGACATGATTCCCATTTTCGCCCACGGCGTCGACGGCAAGCCGCGCAACAACAAGCACCTCCTTCCCCACCGCAACTGGTGCGCCATCCGCGAGTATGTGCCGGGCCATACCCCGCCGCCGACGCCGGACCGTTCCGGGACGCCCGACGTCACTCCAATGGGCTCCCCGTACGGCGTCACCGACGGCGAGACACCACGGCGGAGGAGTGGTATCTTCCGGCGCCTGTCGCTGTCCAGGTCCCGCACCACAGGCCCCGACGTCCTTCCCAAGGACCGCTCTCGGCCGCCCATTTCCGGCGGCCTTCTGCGCTCCCTCTCCCGCCGCGCGGGCACCGCCAGCGCAGACGAGGTCGGCAGGCCTCCGTCGCAGCCCAAACCAGGCTTCCTCACCCGCTCGCTGTCCAGCTCATCCGTTTCCCGCTTTGGAGGGCTGTTCCGCCGCCGGAGCACCAGCAAGCGTGACGATGGGGGTATCAACGGCGTCTGGGGCCCCGACACCGACGAGGAGGAGGCAGCCTACCAGCAGAATATGCGCCTGCGCGGCGGCGGCGGCGGCGGCGGCATGGCCGACTCCCAGCCCGCATCGGGATACAACAGCGAATTCGATCAGGGCGACGAGAGCTACTTCTCCGTCCGGCAACCGCCCCACCAGAATAACCCTTATGCTCCGGCGCGGCCGGGAGACTCGTTGGTCATGACGGGCGCTACCCCTCCGTCTGTCTCCACGCAGCAGCAACAGCAGCAGCAACAGCAACAGCAACAGCTGGACCACCAGGTGTTTGTGCCAAAGCCGGGCGCGTTCCACCGCACACCTACCACGCTGACAGCCAAGCAGCGGAAGCGCGCTGGCGCGGAGGAGGCCCTCGCGGTCAACCTGCAGGGCGCGCTGGAGGTGACGCTCAACGTGGAGATCAGCCCGCGCGATCCGGGAGGGAGCACCGTGCCGTACCGGTTGGTCGTGCCGCGGTTGTGGTATGAAGATGACGTGGAGGACGGAGGGGAAGGACGCGATGGTGGTGGTGGTGAGGGTAGTGTGTTGAGGGGCGGTGGCGAGGAGGAATTTCCGGGAGGAGGTGAGGTCGTCTCCGGGGAGATGGAGATGATGGGAAAAGACGGGAGGAAGTCGCCGAGGGGGTTGAAGAGGTTGATCAGCTTGAGGAGGAGGAGGACGGCGGATTCTTCTGCTCAGACTGCGGAGATCGGATATGTGCCGGGTGCGGGTGCGGCTGGGGAGATGTGAGTTAGAATGTTGTTGAGGGGTTTGGATGAGTCATGAGTGATGCGATGGATGAATGGTCATGATGTGATGGTTCTTGACGATGGGAATGACATGGTAGTTATAAAGCGGTGCGCGCTTTCGATATCCGTATCAAAATAGTTTAAGCTTTCTGGCGTTTTTATGGTTTGCTTTTCTTGCCTATCTAGATATCTAGCCTTTTTCGCTTATTAGTCTCGAAGTTTTAGATGCCCGTACACACAGTTGAAAAGCCATTGAATGGTTAGGATGGATTTTTTCCTCAGCTACTCGTGATCCAGGCATCATCATAACTACTAGTAGGGAGGTAGGAAGCTATCTTTAATGCGTCGTTGAACGGGTGTGTCTCGTTCTCCGGCCTTTGATGAAAACTCGGGTTTCTGATTGTATGTAATTACATGTTTATTAGGCGGTGTACTGTATTGTACAATACGCACGACTAATAAGGCTTACTAGCGAGCCTGCAGTGTTACACTGCAGACAATCCGTGCGTCCGCCGACCTGCCGACCCACCCACCGACCGACACTGAACAGCACTGCAATAGGTAATAGGTAACTAAATCTAGTATACATTTGCACTCCCTTATCAACATCTTTTATAGTGCAAATTGATGTCGTTGACTGTCCAAAGCCTGCACTTCAAAATTCACGGTTCGTTGTTTGCTGGCTTTGTGGCCATGATTATGCCAGCACACTTCGAATTTGAACTGACGTCACGCCCGCACATGACCTTCCCCACTGTAAGCTGGGGACAAGAGTCCCACTCTACGTGGAAAGGGGCACCTTTGTGACCTTCGTTCTGAAGCCGCCACCTGAGTTCTCAAAGATTCTGAGCCTACTACAGTAAGGTATCATGCCTGGGGAGAATGAATGACCGCATGAGAATGGGATATGTTCCTATCGAAGCTTTGTTCCATGTTTTTTACGAACGCCAAGCAGCTGTGGTAGTATTCAGCTTGGCTTACGTAGCCATTGGCAAAGGAAAGACAGGAAATTTTGTAGCTTACACGCGTCCCGGTTGCGTTACTGAGGGAGCCTAGTAGTACCTACTTTACCTACCTTATGGATCACACTGCAAATCAATACTGTGATAGCAGGCCATTCTGCTGGCACCGGCCAATGCGGATAATTCAAGACTGGCGCTTGCCATTGTTCCATCACTCGAGTCACTCAAGCTGCAGTGCAGCCAGTTCGCAGTGCTCGTGCGGGATCCTGAGAACAGCCATCTACGGAGTACAGCTTCTTGCTCGACGTTTCCGACTGCAGGGAGGCCTTCTTTTCTGTCCAATCGTCACAGTCTCTCAGAATTCCAGGGATCCCTGTACCAGGGGTTAATCTGTGGGTCACGTCGCCTTGTTTGCCTGCGCAGCAGCCAATGACCCGGGGCTGTGCGGTAAACTAACGGCGCCCGGAAGCAAAGAGCCGGTCGGTTAGCACGTTCCCGCAATGACACCTATAAATCGGCCGCCACGTCAGTGGTTCGCGCACTTTGCCCTCTTTCCATACCCGAGGAATCCTCGCATTACGACCATCGCGTCGAGACCTGCTGCAACAACACCGTATTCGATGAAGGGAGTTCCCTCTATACCGCACACCAGAACGCATGGCGGCACTCATCGCTCGTCGAGACGACCCGATTCGAATCCGGTTCCCCTAGACAGCCCGGCCCACCCGAACGCCGACATCTCCAACAATGGCAACACAGCGTCATCCTCGCGTGCCGGCGCCCAGGGCAGCTCTGGCGGCACCGGCGGTGGACCTGCCTCCGCGCAGCCCGCGCCGCCGACTGACCCGGACAGTAGTAGTAGTCGCCGGCCGGTCAATACATCGCAGGCTACACAACCGGGGCTTGTCGTAGGCGTCGAAGGCGAGAACCAGAAAGAAACCCAAAAACCACAAGAAGAAAAGAAGCCTGTCATGTATCGGTTCTGGCGCACACTCAAGGCAATCCTGCTCCATTCCAAGGTCAATGTGCTGCTTGCGTTCGTGCCCGTGGGCATCGCCATCGCCCAGACCGGCGCGTCCCCGGCTGTTATTTTCGCCATGAATGCCATTGCCATCGTCCCGCTTGCTGGTCTGCTGAGCTTCGCTACCGAGTCGGTGGCCCACAGGCTCGGCGACTCGCTGGGTGCACTGCTCAATGTCACGTTTGGCAATGCCGTAGAGCTGATTATCTTGTGAGCTGACTGTCCCGGCCGACCCTGCTGCCTATCGTGCTAAGCTAACCGTTGGCAGCATGTACGTAACCCGCATCCGCGACTCATTCAGCTCGTCGTCCGAACTCCATGTGGGGGGTTGTCCAAGCTATGTAGCTTATGACTGACCCCGATATGTATAGCATCGCCCTCGTCAAGAATGAAATCCGCATCGTCCAGGCCTCGCTGCTTGGCTCTATACTGGCCAATCTGCTGCTCATCTTGGGCATGTCGTTCTTTCTTGGAGGCATGCGCTACCGCGAGCAGGTTAGTGCCCGTTGAAATCCTGGGGGTCGATGATCGCTAACCAAACCAGATCTACAACAGCACCGTCACTCAAATGAGTGCCTGTCTCCTGAGCCTGAGCGTCATCAGCCTGGTCCTACCGGTACGTCGGAATTCCAGCAAAGCGTCTTGCGGATTGCATTCTAACACGTGATAGACGGCGTTCCACGCATCGTTCAGCGATAACGAGCTTGCGGATAGGCAGTCTCTCAAGATCAGCCGCGGCACCAGCGTGGTAAGTACATCAAGATTCGACTATATGGGTCAAAAGCTGACTTGGCAGATTTTATTACTGGTGTACATCGTCTACTTGCTGTTCCAGTTGATCTCGCATTCATACATGTATGAATCGACGCCGCAGCACATCATCGATGAAGAGGCAACACCAGGGCCCGTCGCGAATTGGTTAGACTCCTCCAGCTCCGACAGCAGTTCCTCGAGCGACTCGGATTCGTCAGACTCGGATCATTCTCGGGAGACCATGTCCAAGCGGATGAGACGGGTTATGCATCGCCGCCGAAGACCTAGTGTGGTCTCGACTGAGGCTGGCGAAAGCACAAGCCCAAGCTTCCCACGCAGCCCTTCAGGGAGCACTGGAGACGCGGACCTGGCCAAGGGACAAACAAATTCGGAAGAGCCGTCGTCCCGCCCGCGTGTGCACCATCGAAGAGAAAGTCACGGCGGAAACGAGGATGTAGACGACGAAGAGTCCCCTCGCCATGGCAAGCGTCACCGCCATCGGCTGCCGCGCAAAAAGCACCGCAAGCACAAGCACAGGTCGCGTCACACAGGATCTCCGGAAACCGTGAGCGAGACTATCGACGAAAACGCGGTGGTCGAGCCTGTCATTCGCGAGCAGCGGAAGGTCGAATTCGCTTCCGACATACCCGCCGCCAACCAGGAGACTACAACCGCTAAGCCACGGAATCAGAGCCCCTTTCAAGGCCTGCGTGCAATGTCTCTCCGCCCTGTCGTGAGCAGTCTGGCACCGACCGTCTTCACGCAGCCGCCCGACGCGGGGATGCCGCCCGTCCCTGCGGGCCCCGTCCCGCGTGTACGCTACGGCATCCGGAGGACCAACTCTCTGCCGGACAGGCTCAATCAATACCGCCGCGCACCGGGTGCCATGATGCCCTCGCAGATTCCATTGGCTCGTCCCCCCATCACGGCCATTGTCAAGGAGGAATACGCCGCGGATCTGTCGCGCACCGCTGCCGTCATCCTCCTCCTCGTCTCGACTGCCCTGGTCGCGGTGTGCGCCGAGTTCATGGTCGATTCCATCAATGGGCTCATCGAGACGAGCAGCGTCGGCGAGATATTCATCGGTCTCATCATCCTGCCCATCGTGGGAAACGCGGCGGAACACGTCACGGCTATTACCGTGGCGATGAAGAACAAGATGGATCTGGCCATCGGCGTCGCCGTTGGCAGCTCGATCCAGATTGCGCTCTTTATCACCCCGCTCGTTGTCATCATCGGCTGGGCCATGGACCGCGAGATGACTCTCTACTTCACGCTCTTCGAGACGGTGTGCCTGTTTGTCTCGGCGTTCATCACCAATTTCCTGGTGCTGGATGGCCGTAGCAACTATCTAGAGGGCGCGCTGCTGATGGCCACCTACGTTATCATCGGCGTCGTTGCCTTCTTTTACCCTAACGCTGGGGACGCCAGTCCTGCGGCTCTCTAAAGGGTCTGCAGGACGAAAGGTGGATGTCGACCAAAGGGTGGGTTGGTTGGCCTGGGTGTAGGTCGTGAGGGACCGGCCACTGAGGCAAAGGTGCACATATTGCGTGGCATGATTTTTCTCATCCATAAGTTGATGGCAAGGTGGTTGGCAGTTGGCGTGGGTTGGGGTTGTCAGCGGCTGCTTCAAGAGAGGTTGACACATTGTTCTCTCATGACATCCACGCCCTTTTCTTGGGCCAAATGCATGAGTGACCAAGAGATCGGTGCTGATGTCTGGGAAGGCGAAGCATGGAGAAGTGGACGAACGAGCGATGAGTTGACAATGAGCTGTGGAGTAGCGGATATTGGAGAATAGGGGTTCCTCATAGCATTCTCAAGAAGATAAGGGAATCGTCGCTTTGCAAAGGCTATTCACAGCCAAGCTAAGTCACAGTATCCAAATTGAGACTCTAATATTCGCCTAACATTGAATTCTACAAGCTAAGCATGACCATGGACGTGACTCGATGGTGAGCAGTAAAGTAGTACCTAGTATCGAGCAATTGGGTAAGGAGACACATCCTAAGGTATTGTCTATTCGTCCTTCGCAAATCTCAGGGCTTTGGAGATACCTCAGTATCTCAGGTAAAGTGCGAGGCAAGGGGCTGGTTCTCGTACCACTTGATTCCCTCACTACGATATACATCACTTACACAGCTCAGCGTGACAACGTACGTCAGTGGTGCGGGCCCAGCAAGAGGCCGCCAAGTTGCGGGGCATACGGATAGCTACTTAGGATGTTCAATGCGATGGCAAAACAACTTCTTGGCTGTTGCACAGCCTCCGGTTAACTTTCACTTGCATCAGAGTTTGGATTGTCCGCCGACCTAACTCACCGACTTGCTGTGTAGAGCAGCCTGCCATCTGACCACCAATTCCAAATCTCTACCAGGAGTTGGCCGAACAAAGTCACCTCGGTGGTTAAAAGCATCCGACATGCGCGCTGCCTTTGATGTGTGCATAACACCAACTTCATTAGCTGCATCATACTTGATATTTCAGCAAGCGAACTCTCACTCCCTCTCTTGCAGTTTCGACTATCGCAGTCACGGAAGGTAGCAAACATGTGTTTTGGCAGCAAAGACAACGCTGGTGAAGAAGAGGCGCCCCGGCCAGCGCAGCACCGCCAACAACAATCGCAGATGCATCATCAGCAACCAGCACGCGGCGGCAACTTTGCTCCTCCCCGGGACCCACCGCCGTCTCAGAAACCGCTGATGGCTGTCGGGCCGGATGAGATTGCCCCGCCTCTGGGACCGCCACCGAGCCATAGGGTCGCGGCGGGTGATGATTACGCTCCCCCGCCAGGCCCGCCTCCTTCACATAATAGAGCCCCGGCTGCGGACGACTTTGCTCCTCCGCCCGGTCCTCCTCCATCCCACCAGAGACAAGCGACGCAAGACGAGTATGCGCCGCCTCCGGGTCCTCCCCCGTCTTCCCGGCCTCACGATGACCTGAGCTACATCGCGCCACCGCCCGGCCCACCGCCGGCCGAGAGCAAGGGCACGAAGCCACAGCACGACTGGTATGTCCCACCCTCTACCCTCCACCCGCGCTCTGCCCCCTACTCCCTGGTAGTTACTCCATCACTGACTCCAGCCCAGGGAGGCCTTGGTTCCGGACACGTCGTTGTTCCCGCCCCCTCCCAGCTTCTTCTCGGGCTTCGACCGGTCGCCCGCGCACAACGCCACCGAAGCCGAGGCCGAGGCCGGCGAGCGCTGGTGTGCCGAGCACCCCCTGACCGCGCCCATCGCGCTAGACAGCACCGCCGTCACCGCGCTCCACGCGCACGACCCGCGCCTGATGCAGCCCCAGGGCTTCCGCGGCACCCTCGTGTGGACGGCGCCGGGAACGTGGAAGGCCAATACCGATTCGCGAGCAGCTGATTCTACGTACGTAGGGGGGCCCCAGGAACCAACTCAGTTTACTTGCTCCTATTTTTTCAATATCTCCCCTCCCCAACCCAACCTAACCCAACCCCCCCCCCCCCCCCCCCCCCCCCCCCCGCGCCCAACCCCTCTTATTATTTTGACTGACATGCAGTGAGCAAGGATGATCGCCTACCCGCCCCTCTACGCCGTCACGCTGCACTCCCCGCTGGCACCAGCCAACGCCGCCCGCCCAGCAAAGACAATCTACTACGAGGTGCAGCTCTTGCAGCACGGCAACCCGCGCGCCGCGGGCGACATCTGCCTGGCGCTGGGCTACACGGCGCTGCCCTACCCGTCCTTCCGCATGCCGGGCTGGCACCGGGCCTCGCTGGCCGTGCATGGCGACGACGGGCACCGCTTCATCAACGACCGGTGGGGCGGCAAGGCCTTCACCACGCCCTTCGCGCGCGGCGAGCGGCTCGGCATCGGCATGACCTTCTCCGTGGTCGACAGCCGGATCGAGACGGACGTCTTCTTCACGCGCCAGGGGCGCGAGGTCGGCCGGTGGAACCTGCACGAGGAGACGGATGCCGAGCAGGACCTGCCTGTCACGGGGCTCGAGGGCTATCATGACCTGAGTTGTGCCATTGGGACGTCCGGGCAGACCGACTTTGAGGTGCTCTTTGACCCGGCGAGGTGGCTGTTTAGGCCGGTGGGGTATTGAAAAGGTGATGGATTAGCTGGTTTCGTTTTCATTTGGCAATGGGGGGTACCTTAGGTATAGCAGTCATTTTTTTAGCGAGCTCTGCTTGTAGTTTGCTGTAGCGCTTGTAATGATACCATCCTAATAACACCCACTTCATCGCCACACGTCACTCTTTGATCTTAACACGGGGTATCAGTCAATCAATCAATCAATCAACCCAACTAATCAATCATCCAGCCCTCCCCACTCTTCGTCCTCCCTCTCCGTTATGCGCTTCTTCTTCCCCTGCTGCTGCTGCTGCTGCTGCTGCTGCTGCTGCTGCCTCTTCCGCCGCTTGCTCGCCTCGATCGCCTGTAGCCGGTTGTGCTCTCTCCGCCGCTCCCACGAACTCTTGGTCGTGATGGTCGCCTTGCCGCCGGTGCGTCTCGACTCCACGCCGCGCACCTTCAGCTTCCGCTTATCCTCCTTGGCCACCTTGGGCAGCGCATCCAGCAGCCACTTCTGCACCACCGCCTCGCCCTCGCCTTTGCCAGCCTGCTTCTCGCTGGCGGCAATCACGTTCGCCACGCTCTTCACGAAGGGGATGTCGTCCTTGGTGTAGAACGTGACAGCGACGCCGCCCTCGCGGCCCGCCCGGCCCGTGCGCCCGGCCCGGTGCACGTACGCCGCCGCCGAGGTGGGGACGTCGTAGTTGACGACGCCGTTGACGCCCGCAAAGTCCACGCCGCGCGCGAGCACGTCGGTCGTGATCAGAACCCACACCTCGCCGCCGCGGAACCGGGCCATGATCTTGGACCGCGCCGAGTCGGCCAGCGACGAGTGCAGCACCGCCACGCGCGCCGACCCGCCCGCCTCGACCGGGATGTCGTACTTCAGCTCGTCGTGCAGCGCCTGGGCGCGCTCGATGGTTTGTGTGAAGACCAGGAACGGGGGGCGGAGCGGCGGGCCCGAGTCGGCGGACGAGACCGGGTGCAGGAGTTGTCGGAGGGCGAGGAGCTTGCCTGGCTCGGTGGCCGTGTAGATGAGCTTGTGCGTGATGTTGGGTACTGCCGTGTCCTTGAGTCCGACGACGAGGCGGATGAGCGGCCGCGGCGTGCTGCCGGGCCGTTTGGACCGTTTTTCGAGCTGCCTGGTAATGAGGGACTCGATGTTGGAGGCCATGGTGGCGGACCAGCAGGTTAAGCCGACGTCCGGGTGGGTGCAGGCGCGCCAGATGCCCATCGTCTGCTTGCGGAAGATGGGGTCGAGAAGGACGTCGGCCTCATCGAGGATCAGTGACCTGACCGAAGGTAGGACCTTCCGAGGACCTGATTTGCCGCCAGAGAGGAAGTTGAGTAGGATCTTAGGCGTCGTGACCAGGATATCCACCTTTGCCAGCGGCTTCGCAACTCCCTCCTTGCCGGCCTTCTCCTTCTCTTCCTCGGACTCCTCTTCACTCTCCTCGTCCTCACTGCTGCTTGCTTCACTCCCACTACCATCTTCCTCCTCCCTCTTGCTCTTCTCCCCTTTAACCTCCTCCGCAGCAAGCCTCAGACCTTTCTTCATCAGCACCACCCTCACCCCGGTCCCGATCGCCAGCTTCCTACCCTCGCTCACGATCTGGCTGGCCAGCTCTCTCGTGGGCGCAACGACGATGGCCTCCAGCACATGCTCCTCATTATCCCTCCCTTGCGCCTCGCGCTGTCGCAGAACCCCGTCAATCGCCGGGATGAGGAAGGTGATGGTCTTGCCGCTGCCGGTGGGGGCAACTGCGAGAAAGTCTGCTCCATTGTCCATCCCGGGAAGATCAACGCTCTTGGCTCTCTTCAGCGCCGTTGATGGCCGAAGGAGAAGAGGCAGGCTGCCCATCTGCACCTCGGTCGGCACGCGGAATCCCTGCGCCGAGATGTTGGCCGCGAGCTGGGAGGAGACATCATATGTGTATCGGAGCTCACCGAAGGACGTGAGCGGCTGGGGAAATATCTGCTTTTTGTGGTCGTCCTTCTTTCCCTTGTCATCCTTGTTTTTTGTTTCGCCGTCGCTCTTCTTATCCTTCTTCAGCTTCTTCTTTCTCGAAGAAGGCTTCTCCTCTTCGGGTTCCGGCACCTCGGCCTGGGGCAGCCCCGACAGAATTGTAAACTTGAGACGGTGCGACCGCAAGATCTGGCGGCACTCGTCCTCGTCCAGGAGCTTGATCTTGCGCTTCTTGGGGGCAATGTCCTCCTCGGCCTCGGCTGGCGCGGCATTGGCGGCGGGCTTCTTCGGAGCGAAGTAATCCACGTCACTCAACTCTTCGTCCTCTTGAGTTTCCTCTGTCTCATCGCCTTGCGCATTCCCTCTCCTCTTCCTTTTCTTGCCTCGGGAGTTTGTGCTCACCGGGTCGTGGAAGAGCTGCGGGTGGGGGAGGGCGCCGGCCGAGGGGAGCTGTGTCGCTGCCGCTACGGCCTGGGGTCTAGTTTTCGGGTTCGGTTTTATGCCGCGCGAAAGCACCTTCAAAATATCCATGGTGAGCCGGATCAAACAGTCGAGTGCCGCTTGGAAGCTTGTGCGCCTTGTTGTAGAATCAATCCGAAAGATAAATTTTGGGAGAATCGAGGTCCGATAAGAGAAGATCTGGGCCACAGAGTGCATGCCAAGGCCTTATCAATCGCCCCACCATCAACCGCAATACATACCCAGCCAGGTGAGCCAGGTAGCCGATTCACTCGTTTCACTGGTACTACGAAGTAATGCATAGTGCAACCTGACTTGTGTAAACAGCTTCCTGAGAATCCCTTCAGGGCATCTAGTCCACCCGGATAGTTATTGGTCGTTGTCTTTAACTGATACGACGGAATGGGGTATACACCGCATGGGCCATGCGTAACCTTTATCTAACACCAAAATACCTCAGCCATATCATACAGCTAACCTACTACTGTACACCATCTCCCACAACCTCCTCGCATCTCGCGCAGAGCTCATCCTCCTTGGGCGCAACATACCTCCAGCACCTGGGGCACTTGGCCTGTTTGGGCGGCTCCACCCAGGCCTTGCACGGGGTCCCAAGGAGCTCGAACTCCTCGCGGACCGTCCACTCGGCCTCCGCGACGGCCCCGTTGAGTTCGACCGAGGACACCACGAACATGGCCTCCAGCTCATTCCTGTATCTGCTCAGAATATCCAGCGCTTTCCCCTCAGGCACCTCCAACACCACCGCGCACTGCAGCGACGACCCGAGCAGCTTCTTCTCCCTCGCCAGCTCCGAGGCCGCCCTGATGGCTGCGTGCGTGCGCATCAGCACCGGCACCGCCTCGCGCAGCTCCGCCTCGTCGGTCGTGAGCCGGGCGGGGTCGATAACCGGCGCCTTGTAGAGCTGCCGCAGCGGATGTTCGACCCCAGCATCCTCCTTGAGCCACGCCGGCCGGTGCTCCCACGCCTCCTCCACCAGGACGGGCGTGATGGGCGCCAGCATGCGCAGGAAGCCCATGAAGATGGGCTCGAGCACGCCACCGCCGTCCGCGCAGTATAGCCTGTCCTTGAGCGCCTCGAGGTAGAAGGCCGAGAGGTCGTTGTTGATCCAGCGATTGAGGCTGCTGAAGGCCTTGTTGAACTCGTGGTTGTCGTAGTGTCTGCCCACTTCGTCCATGACGTCTTTGAGCTGGAGGAGCGCGATGTGGTCGAGGGCGGTGAGCGGTGCAGTGCGCGCCGCCTGGTGCATGCTCCCCGTGAGCATCTTGATGGTAACGCGGTACTTGCTGAGCGCCTGGTGGATCGTCTTCAGGACGGGCTCGCCCAGGACGATGTCGCGCGTGTAGTCGCTGCTGGCGATCCAGAGGCGGAGGGCGTCGGGACCGAGGGCGTCCTTGACGGGCGCCGCGTTACCGCCCTTCTTCTTGCTCTTGAGCGGCGGGAGCAGCGAGCCATCCATGACCTGATCGGCCGAGATGATGTTGCCCAGAGACTTGGACATCTTTTTGCCGTCTTGGTCGAGTGTGAAGCCGTGCGTGATGAGCGTCTTGAATGGCGAGAGGCCGAGCGTGTTTGTGGTAGACCTTCCGGCGACTTGGTCCGCCATGGCAGCCACCCGCGTCAACAGACTGGACTGGAACCATCCGCGGTGCTGGTCGGAGCCCTCGAGGTAAAGATCTGCCTGCCTCTCCTCCATCATTGTCCAGCTGGTGCCGCTGTCGAACCAGACATCCATGGTATCCCGACCGCGTGTGTATGCCGCCTTGCCGCGTAGTGACTCCGGGATCCAGGCCGGATCATCGGGGGCATCTGTCCACCAAGCGTCCGTCCCTCTCTCTTGAACCACTGAGATAATGTGGTCAATGACTTCGTCCGTCATGACGGCATTGCCATTCGGCTCATACAGCGCGGGTATTGGCATGCCCCAGGCTCGCTGCCGCGAAATGCACCATTCGCTGCGGCCCTTGACGAAGGCCTCGAGCCTGTTCTTGCCGTTCTCGGGCACAAAACGCACCTCTTCGAGCGCTGCTAGCGCCTCGTCCTTGATTGTATCCACATCGGCGAACCACTGAGCCGTAGCCCGGATGATGATGGGCTGTTTGGTCCGCCAATCGTAGGGGTACTTGTGCCGGTACTTGTGAACGTCCAGAACATCGTCTCCAAGCAGGTTCAACACCGCAGCGCTGCCACCGTCGAGCACAGATATCCCCTTTAAACGGGCCGGTTCGTCCGGGTAAGCCTCCTCTGTAAACAATCCATCGCTGTCCACCGGCGCAGACACCGGGATGCCTAGAGACAGCCCGGCTAAGTAGTCATCGAACCCGTGCCCCGGCGCGCAATGAACCAATCCGCTCCCCGAGCCGTCCGTGACAAACGAGCCGTGGATGAACGGCTGCGGCTCAGCCGACTTGCCCTGGAGCACATTGACGTAGCGTAGCTGTGTCAGTTGGCTACCCTTGACTGTGGCAATAATCTCCGGCGCGGCCCCTTCGCCAACCAGCAGCTTCGCAATGCGCTCCAGGCAGTTTTCCGCCACCAAATACGCGTCTTCGCCGAACCGGACAATGTGATACGCCAGATCGTCGTGGATAGCAATCGTTCTATTCGCGGGAAGTGTCCAGGGCGTAGTCGTCCATACCACGGCAAACAACTTCCCGGCAAACCCGTCCAGTCCCGGCAGCCCGTGATACCCCTCCACAACCGGAAACCTCACATAGGCCGCCGTGGACACGTGGTTCTCATTGTACTCCAACTCGGCCTCAGCCAGCGCCGTGCCGGACGACGGCGACCAGTACACGGGCTTGTACTTCCGGTAGACGAGCCGGCGGCGCGCCATGCGCTGGAAGAGCCGGAGCTGGCGGACCTCGTACGCCATGTCCATGGTCGTCCAGCGCGCGTCCCAGTCGGCCATGACGGCGTACGAGCGGAAGCTCTTCATCTGTTCAAGCACCGTCTTGGCGGCGAGCTTCCTCGCGGCCTTGCGGATGGCGCCGGCGCTCATGCGCTTGCCCTCGGCCGTGCCCACAGCTTTGAGCTCGATCGGGAGTCCATGGCAGTCCCATCCGGGGATGTACGAGACGCGGCGACCTAGATTCGGGGAAGTTGAATCAGCTACTGAGAAGAGAAGTCGAGGATAGACGGAGCGAGCTAGGAGGGGCGAGCAATCTGCTTCCGCGGTACACACCTTGCTGGACCTTGACGCGCAGGATCATGTCCTTAAGGATTTTGTTCAGGGCGTGCCCCGCGTGCAGGCTGCCATTGGCGTAGGGTGGTCCATCGTGCAAGAGGAATTCGTCGTCAGCAGGGCGATTGGCGGCCTGCCATTTGTAAAAGTCGTCGGCGCATTGCCTGATGTACTGCTCCCGGTTCTGCGGCAGAGGACGCGGTCTACGGGCAACGTTAGTTGAGGGCTGGTATCTGAACGCGAAAGGCCGTGGGTGGCCTACGGGAATGTCGATTTGGGCAGCCTTAGCGTTGATGCCCAGCTCTTCGACATTGTCGCGGACCCGTCATAGCGCAAACCGCTCGCCGGTGAAAATGTTGTTTGGGGAAATTTCCGGCTCGGCGGTTCGGTGGAGAACTGCCGATGCTGCAGCTGTCCCGGATCGGCGGGACCCCACATGGAACATCGGATTCCGGTCAATACATATATACACAGTGTACGCTTTGAGCTTGGTTCAAGACATTTTCGAGCACTTCGGACATATGTTGTGTAGTAAATGGTATTCCTTTGTATCCGCGATATGAATCCCTACCTTCACAACTTGCACACTGGAGGCGGTCACTTCCCAGTATCCACTCGCCGCAGCGTCGGGTATCAACGATTATTGAAGCCGTCACGGAAAGGGCAGCCCCTTTTAGACCACCACCCCCTATTCCTCATAATCAATACGGCAGAGGGAATCTGTCTAGCGATTTCCGCGGCATAGTCACTCCAAGACGCTTCAAAGCCATGGTAACCGTTGGCGACAACTGTCTAATCCAAGCCGTAGAGAGCCCCCGAAAAGATAGCCCCTGCCGCACCTAAACCGCTCAATGTGCCCAACGGCCTCCGCCAGACCTGCACTGCTTCCCCAAAGGGCGGCAGGCCGCGGTAGAAGAACGCACCCGCACCCACAAGCGCCATTCCCAAACCAGCCTCGAGCAGCAGGAGCATGCCACTGCTAGAGCCGTTCTTCATACCCCTCGCTGCCAGAACCTGCCTCCTCTTCTTCGCCGTCCACCATTGACTCCAATACTCCCCAATCCACGGTACTTCACACAACGCGCCCCGCGCGAATCTCGTCACCACAACAGCAGCCGCCATCCCAGCCTTGTCCTCCGCCCACGGCAGCGTCCTCCCCTTGGGGAAGACCTCCCTCCTAAACCCATTCACAAAGTCACACAGTTCCGGATACCTCCGCCGCATCACCTCCCTCAGCCACGGCCGGGGCACATCCGGCAGCATCATCAGTGCTAGATACCCAAACGCCAAGCACCTCGCCGCCAGGGACAGTGTACTCCAATCCTCCACCTCCCCCAGCACGTCCAACACGTCCGCCGCCAAGCCCTCCAACCGTATCCTCGCCTTCTGCTCGGGACTGAGCATGCCACCCACCCCCTTCTCTTTCTGTCTCCCCAGTTTCAGCGCAGACGGCACAGTCACCCACCCCTCAGCCGCCGCCCGCTCCTCCGCCTCGCGCTCCTTCTCCGCCCGTGCGTCTGTATCCAGGCTTGACATACCCAGGTGCTCTGCGCGGCGCACCATCACGGCCCTGACGGCCGGCGGCTCGGTCCAGGGCAGCGGGAAGGGGAGGATGGCGCTGTATGCGGGCCGGGTGGCGGCGGCGTAATTGGCGGAGGAGACGTACAAGGAGAGGGAGAGTAGCGGTGCCGCGTGCTGGGTCAGGAAGGCTGTGTAGGCTGTGCTGTCGGCCTGTTCGAGGGGCGATGGTCGGGACGGGTCGGAGAAGGACGGTGGTGGGTGGGTTTGGAGGTGGGTCGCTATGCGCGAGAAGCCGCTTGTCCAGGTCGAGGTCGAGGGGTCGTGTAGGGCCGGGAGATGCTCTGCCATGCGATTGTGTTAGCTTGTAACGGATATGGTTGCGGTGTGTTGGTTGAGGAGGCGGGGGCTTCGCACGGGTTGGGACGGCTGAGGGACTAGTCTGTATGAGTTGGTATTCGGTTGGGCTGGTGCTTTCGTGGAGGTAGGCGATGGCAGCAAGGCACTCTGCGTCGATGGACGGCAGGCCGAATGCCGGCCCCCAGACGTGGAGCTGCAGAACCATCACGACCCGTCCCTGGACAGCCTCCCCTCAACGACTGCTTGGTCGACCCCTTCAAGTGTTGTCGTCGGCCAACACGTAATGTACCTAAGTATGTACCAAATCGCGTGGTATGCTGCCACAGTGTGCTATATCTCGCTTTCTGTGCCGATCTATCAAGCGGATGAGAAGCGCAGGTACTCACGTGGCAATAAGACACGCAAGTGGCAGGCTATCTACTGTGGTAGCGAGCCAAAGTTTTGTGACCTGGTCAGGTACCGTCCGTGCGCTCCCCCAAAACAGGTTTAAGGTAAAACTTACAACCAGGTTACAAGCAATTTTACACTCGAGGTTTCACCAGAGATCGAGAATGCACTCGCAAAAACAGTCGTACAACACCAAACACCTTAGCCCTGATGATAGGTGTCATTGATGTTAATGGCATGCATACCAAATACTAGGCATTCTGCATAGAAAGTTGATGTGGTTGTCGGACCTGACTGACATTGTATGATCGTGTTGACGGCTCGATGGAGACAGAGCGGGTGAGAGCATGACGTCCGATCGCGCGATATCCGTCTACGTACACGTACTGCAGCACAGATCGGACGTATGTACAGAGATCGCTGGTGTTTTCACCGGGACAGGCCTAGATCACCGCAAGATTAATGATCTGTTTGAGACACCGCCCCGTTGATCTCCCGCGGCAACCTCTGGGACCGCTTCGGCCGGCTTGCCGTCAGTCATTTCCGCCTCAGACAGGCGTTCCTCAATGCAGATGTAACCACCCGTGCCGCCTTGATGCCGAAGTGAACCTCCAGTGGCGGGGGAGAGTTGCAGTTGCTACCAGATCCCCACTGCAAAGCCAACGGCACATGCAAGACATGATCTGATGAGGGCAACTTGGTCCTGAATCAGCCGATTGAGGATTACAAGTCACAGCAAGGGGTACTGTTACATTCTATGCGAGCAATCGGTGTAAAAATGAACCCATGAGTCATGACAGCCTGGATTATTATGCCTAGAGCTAATATTCTGCTGCAATGAGAGTCCAATTCGCCCAAGCCGAATTCCCTCCATTCCCCTGAAGCCCGACTCGGCAACAACCCGCCCGCGCCCGACGCATCACCTAGAAACTCCCGTTATCCTCATGAAATCAGCGTCCTGCGGAGTCTCAGCCCCGTTGGTATCATATGACGCCGTTCCCAATGCTCATAGTGTAGTGATACAGGTGAAACCCTCTCTATAAAAAACCCAGATGTGCCGAAACGTCGTAACACTCAATACCGATATCGTTGCTCAAATCAAGAAAAAGAAGCAAAGCCGTGGATTAAAATGTCCGTATCCCCCGTGGTGGTACAGGGGTGAGAATGCGCCCGTAATGTTCGCGCTGATTAGGTTGGAAGTCGAAGGTGAGAATCGAGATTGCTGAGCCGGCTCTCGAAAGTGCATCCCGCGAAACCATGGAAGTGGCGGCGATGGTGTGTGAATGACTCCAGTGGTGAAACAGCGATGCGGATTGGTGCGATGCGAGGGCAATCTGTCCAGGCATGCACAGCATGCTGCGAGGTTGAGGAGCGCAAAGCTTCTTAGGCCGCGTCGGCCAATTAGCATGCGAGGGTAACACCCGCGTGGCCGTGTCGAGGTACTGGGGGCTTGTGATGCGTCCAAAGTCTGCGGCTTCAAGGCATACAGAAGCGCAATGGCGTGCCTCTCGGGGCGTTGGCTCCGGAAGAAATACAGCACGAGGCCGTAGCTGGAGAGTTGTCGCATGCCCATGTGGGTTATCATGACTCCACGACGTGGAACGGCAATCGAGTAAACGTCCGCAGGGCGTAGCGACCAAAGTGATGAAACATGACACACATGTCGAATCCGAAGAAAAGAGGTCGCGAAACCCTTCAGCCTTAGCCTCTCTTTGGCACAGGAGGCAAAGGCCGGCTCGGCGGAGGGCCAGGGCAGGGAGGAAGTTGAGACGGTCTCTGCTCAGGCATCATGGCTGACGGTTGGATCGACGTATGTGGTGATGGGTGTCGTGGTGAGGGCGAAGCTACTGGTGATGGATAGCTGGGGTGGTAGGCAGGTAGAAAGCCCGGGATATGATCGTGATAAAGTAGTCCGTAGAGAAACGCTTAGTTCTCTTGATGTTGTGCTGGGCTGTCTTCTTGTCTTCCTGGTGATCGAGAATGCTTTGAGAGTCGCGACGAAGGCGGGGAGGGTGGGAAAGGCTGCCTTATGTAGGGAGCCGCGACTGACAACTTGCAAATTGCTCGTCCAAGGCCAAGGGCAGAAAGGAGCAAGCTCACCGACAGGGCTGCGATCATGGACTTGTGGGGCTCCAGGTACCAGCGCGACTTGAAGTTCTCAGTACACAGCTCGGAGCCGGCGGTACATTTGAAATCCATCGATTCCACGTCATCTGCCTGGGCCTACTGCCAAGCCTAGGTTGCGCAAGCCAAGGGCTAAGTACTTTGACTCTGGCGGAGATCGACTTTGCGGTGACGCAGCCACGGCTTGGCGACAACCGACACAATCGCCGGGCTTTCAATCACCGTAACGAAATGAAACGCTGCATCAGGACCTGGGTTATCCCTGTCGTCGCTAATGCTGCCCGCCCCTGGCTCGGGAGACACAACATGTGTTACAGTACACTGGCATGCCACATCTGTACGCCGTGAAATCACATTCTTTGAGCAATCACTCGGCTGGGAAAGAGCGGTCGGCTTCACTCCAGGGCATCGCTGCCAGCAAGAAACCCGCCTGGCGGTCGCCTTTTTTTTTTTTTTTTTGGCCCGCCGACCCATCCGTTATCCCGTTTGCTCTTGGGGTCTGCATTAACAGGCTTCATCCGAATTCAAGAGCGGCCGATTCGCGACCACCTTGTTGGGCATCTCCAATGCACATGGAAAATCAGACGCTGACCCGATGCAAACGGAAGCGCCCGTTGTGTGGAGGACGGGGCTGGCAGCGCCCAGGGATGTCTCCGTTCTTGTTCTGTCCAAAACGGCGCACAGCGAGCTGAGGACGATCGAGGCAAATGCAAATTTAACATTTGGAGTGTGGGGACGATGGACTCAGGTCGAAGCCTTCTGAGGCTTCTGCGAGTTCCTCAACCCCACAGGCAATTTCAACAAAGTTCGCACTTTTTCTCAATCACTGACAATTGTGCGCGAGTAAATTTCCTTGGGGGTTTCCAGGGGAAGTGGACCATGACCGGAGCGAAGAGCCAAGTGTTGTGTGACTGTTGGCCGCATTCATGGAAGTCAGGGGCCGCGATGTCAGTAACAAATTCTCAGGAGCGCTGGCAATTTCCGGAGCGGATGGTGGTCTGTGGGCTGAGTTCTTTTCTTTCGCAGCACCGGTTTGAAAACAACGACTTGCCCTGACAAATCTCTCATGCTGTTTCAGAGAACACCTCTCGTGTACCTTGGTCAAAGCACTGGGTTGACACGGCACGCTCGGATCGGGAATCTGGTCAGCGGCCGATGCAGGTCCTTCCGAAGGTCAGCCGGCCTCTTCTGTGACCCTTTCTCACAAACAATCCCTGCCCTCGTATCCCACCTAACCATGGGCCACGTCTTCTTGAGAATGTGGCTTGCGACAATCAAACTACCTAGCATACAGATTACACAGCTGGGTACCTTAGTTATCATGATCACTGATGACAGATCTTAATTGTAACGCTGGTCGCAAGGAACCCGATCGCATCATCTACCTTGTAGGTAGGTCCTTTGTTTTTCTCAAACTCGCGGGGAGGCCAATCACGATAGGTAGTTGAGGTGCCGTTGACTCTCCGCATACGGTCATTGGTTATTTCAGTTGTCACTCACCCAAAGTGGAAATACCCTCGCCCGGTTTTATTCTTGCGCCGGAGAAGCCGACCTTCCCGTGCACGGCTGCGTGCAAAGCACCAATTGTCCGAAGACTGGCATCCAGCCCTGTTGCCCATCGGCGTTTATCCTCGGGCAGCTCCGTTGGACCGGTTGTGAAAGTCCCCATCCATCGTTTTCCATCCCACCATCTTCCAGGTTGTTTGATGGTTGCCCACCACCCAGCGACCTCCTTCGCCAGCCTGCTCCTCTGTAGGCTGCACTGCTTTGGCTCTGGAACAGGTGCGGGAGGCAGAATCTTGATTGGTCGCCCGAGAGATGTGCACCTCACGGAAGGCCTTGGCACACGTACAAATACCTGAGCGGGTGAGACCCAGCTGGCTGATTATCATGAGGGTTGGTACGATACCTACACGGAGTAGTAGCAGTCTGCAGTCACGGTGCATGCTTTCCCCGCACTTAAGAGAGGCGCAAAAGAAAGTCATCAGATGTCTCAACAAGATTTGTGACGAGATGCTTTCAAGATCGGCATGACAGAATGGGTGCGCAGGAGTCCATGATACCCAACGATGGTGCGTTGATGCCGCCTCCGAGTGCAGTAACGTCACGGTTAGCGCCCAGGCCGCAACGTGATCCCCGCTCCCCCACGTTTCTGATGGACGCCAAACTCACCTCATGACTCATATGCGCATGCGTTGGGCACTTACACAGTAACTACAGGTTTCGATAGTCAAATCCGGACAGATCACGTTGGCTGTGAGCAGGTTGAATTGTAAATCCCGGAGGATCGTGAGGATGAGCCCTTCCAAGCGACAAATGTGACATGTCACATATGACTACTCGGGGTATATTCAGATTGAACCTCAAAATATGGCCGTAACTGTACCTTACTAGTGACAACTGCCGTATCAATGGCATATTTTTTTCATCGTCGATATCAAAAACATGACTGCCTAGTCACATATCGCGGCAGCACCGTGGCTACTACTCCAGCCGCCGTGTCATCAGCGCTTAGGTGAAGGTTACTCGGAGTGATTTTGCCGCGCTTAAACGCTAGAGCGTCACAATCACGACAATGACAACTGCAGTCGCTAGCGTTTACTCAAACATGTTTCTTAAATCGAGACCATATTTTTGGCATCACTTACGCTGCGATAACGTGTCTGCACCCCAGCGGCGAAGGCGGGTGCTGAAGGTGGCACAGTACGGATATAACCAGAAGCTTTGTAAGATGGTGTGCTGATGTTGCAGACACAACCGGCAACCGAATAATTGGGTGTCCAAGGCTGGAGCACGAGAGGCTAGGCAAAGCCCTGATTAGCCGCTGTATAGTGTATATTATAGGCAAGGTATGTATCTATGCGCTACTGACGGTGTCAGCAGACAGAACTACCTCATGAGCCATGTATGTCCTCGCCTAAAGACCCCAAGTCCTTTATCTCCAAGTGTAGTTGGATTGCGTGGTGAGTCTAATAAGGTAGATGATAACGAGAGGATACACGAGCTCTTGTCGGATACAGTTCCCGAAGGATTTGGGTATTACACTGCACACCCAGCTAATCAGCACCTGCAGGTCACAAAATGCAAATGTAACCCGAATCTCACTCAGCAGCAAGCTCAGCACTCGAGCGGGAGGCTGCAAAACGGAAGGGCAAGCGTTCCAGCAACGGACACTGTCCACGGCCGTGCGGCGTCGACCTGACCCGGCAGCTTGGAACCAATGCCATCCCTGGAATCCAGCGAAACCGTTCCGTCGTGGTTCGCGCAAAGACCTTGGCAAAAAAACAAGTGCGGCTAACTGTTGGGCTCAGCAGAGTTTGTCTCTGTCAACCACGGATGTCCTTGTTCACTCGATCTTATTCCCCGGTCATACGAGGCGGTGAGGTCGATTGTACGGAGGATGTTGAAAAAACCTCTCCGGGGTGGGCTCCATCTCTGCCCGATCGCAGCGCCACGAGGTTCTGTCAGAGAAATCGGTCATCTGACCAAAAGCTCCGGAGGTGTGCCACACCCACTTTTGTCTTGGCTCTTCCAGCTTCAGGGCAGCACCGTTTGCCCGACAGGCCAGCCTGGCGAGGGCATTGGTCCATCGATCCACAACATCTCCGGCGCCCCAGCCTTCGAAAGCTTCTAGAAGGCCACGATGCCTGCCCAAACGGAGTACCATTCAAACACCACCACGACCACCATCACACCGCCGGTTTACCGCCCGGTATCGGAATTATCTTATCCCTGGAATGTCGCAGGGCCTTGGGAGGAAGGAAGCGGCGGCTGGAACCCGTGACAGAATGCCCGAGCCCGCGTTCCCAAACTGCCGGCGGAATACAAAGCGGTGTGTTACAAGTACCCTCTCCGTTCGAAAGAACGTATAGAGATGCAGCTGACGCGGTACCGTACATGCTGCGGCATGCTGTGCGTCAATCCCAGCTGAAAGATGATTCGATAACCACGTTGCCGGGCTCAGGCATGGGCGTCATCCACAGCCTTATTGTTCCAGTCCCCACCGGCACGAGCTTACCACAATAATAAACTCATCTGCGGTCAGCAGGCACAGGTGGGCAGTGCAGGGACACCGGGGGGCCCCGCTTGTCCCTCGTGTCCGCTCTTCTGTTCTCGGGGGTGATGGTTTCGTCATCGGACAAGGCGATACGGGAAAAAAAAAATTAAATAAATAAATAAATAAAAAAAGGGACAGAAAAACATGAGGAAAAAAAGAGACAGAAAAACATAAAAAAAGTGAAGGCTAGAGCCCAGCGACCACTTCGGCTATCGGGATCCGTAAAAGGTCCATTCACAGAGCCATTCTTCCCCAACAAGGGCGCGGCGGTCCGGAAATCATAGTGGACCGAGAGCGGAAGCGCATTCACATGCTCGAACGCAGAAGGAGAAGAGCAAAAGAGCAGAAAAGCCCAGCAAAAAAAGGGCTCTTAGCGTCCGTTACCCGCTCACATTGATCTCTCCAGGCGTTTCAGCTCGGGTATCCTCGTTTCTCTCGCAGTCGGCGGATCTTTCGGTACCGTGATAAGACGTCCCGCTCCTTGACCAATGGGAGCAAGCAGTTGCCGATCGAAAGTCCTGAAACCAGGGGTAAAGCCGAGGTCCCCATCAAAAGCTGAGTGGCGCCATCCTTGCCCACCACGTGGAAATGGCTTAAAGGTACTTGGTAGATGCAGGTGGACGCATGGATGTGCAAGTCAGCCAACCTGAGGACAAATTGATGGTGAGGACCGGTGTTGCCGCAAATTGGACGAGGGTTTGGAGCTATGCAATCACTCAATGAGCTGATTTGGACCAGACTCTAAGGGCGTCCGACACGCCACTACCGGCAAGGCGAGGTCCGCGATCCAGAGGGGTTTGCTGCAAGGGAGGCCGGAAAGGGAGAGGTTGAGAAAGGCACGTAAAAGGTTGTAATAAATAGTAACCAACAAGCCTTGCGCTAGTTGTGGTTGATTCAGGCACTGGCAAGGAGAGCAGCATTTGCTGCGGCCCACTGTCACCCCAGAGTTCGAGGCGACGCACGGACACAGGGCACTTGCAATTCGTTGGACCCCTTTTTGCAATTACGAGAGGTGTCGTATCTACATAAGTTACACTATTATATGTAAGCTCGCGATAACATTGACTGCCAAAGGGGAAAGCCGATTTGGTTACGGAGCGCTCCGTGCGTCGCAACCCTTCAGTTACCTTCAGCCGAAGCCGATGCGAGGTCTCGGCTGAATTAGAGAGTCGACACGTGGGGGCGCAATGGGGTTTCAATGCGTTTGACCGGGTATGCTGAATCGCATGTCAACGGCATGCTATTTCTGGTTATCCGGGAACTGGGCGGACACACCCGAGCTGGCGAAGCCTTCCGGCTGAATGCTCGATCAATATCAAAGTTTCCAAGCTCAAAGGCGATGCGGTCGCGCAGGAAATGGTCTGATGGAAGCCCAGAGACACCGGTCCGTCAAGGGATGGTCATCAAGGCGCAACCAGCTGACCTCATACCAAGTCTTGTGGTGCGACATTGATGAAGCCATATCGCGGCGGCTTCGGCACAGCGGAACGGGTGCCTCGCAGTAGCGTACATACGCAACGTCTTGCCGTTCGAGTGACAGGCTGGGGTTGTGGCGTGTCACGCTCTTAACCGCCTGGGCGCAAGATCGACAGGACATGGGCCGGCGATTCCAACTTGGACGGATGTGACGGATGTGATAGCGCTAGTGGTAGCCCCAATTCACGACCATATCCGGATCCTAGGTGTACAAAATGCGTCGCTCTCAAACCAAACTGCAGGCGATCCTCAGAGTCCGGCAAGGGCGGGAAAATCCGCATGCTTTTAACTGGTTAAAATCAGTATGATGCAGTCCCACGAACCCGGCGCAATTCGTACGGAGTACGTATGTAGGACGGATTGGGCCCATCCTCCGTCCAGACTCCAGAGATGATCATGGCCCCATCCCGTTGCAGCAGTCGCAAGCGAGAAACTGAAACAATCTCTGCGGGGTAGGTTATCCCCAGTCTTGTCAAGCTGTGATGATCTGTCAAAAGTTCACGCTTCTTTGCCGTCCATGTACCGAGTCTGTACGTACACTATGACATCAAGCTGCTGCTGATCGAACACAGCCAAGAGACGGCGCAGTAGGTAACGATCTCAGCGCCGTGGCCCGGCATATCCTCCACTGCCTCTTCCCCGCGTTGGCGGCAAGCCGCACCTTGGCCCGCCGTCAGAGAGCGTCCGTGTCTCCCGCATCTGTGTCGGGAAGCTGTGTGGAGGCAATCCAGTTCTCCATCATGGCCTGGCCGCCAGGCCGGTTGGTTTGGGGTCGGCCGCTGGGCGGGACGGCTGATGAACCGCCGCCTCTGCTTCCGCTGTTGTCGCGCCGCTTGACCACGAGGCACAGCACGCGTCCGTAAATGGCGAAGCCCTCGTAGGAGATATCCAGGGTCATCTTTTTCTTTTCGCCGCGGTCTGCCGTGTCGCCGACAGCGGCCGCCTTCTCCCTCCGGCGCTTTGGTGGGGGCTGGCCCATTGCAGCATCACTCTCGCCACTCGCTTCATCGCTTGCTTCATCGGTCACAAACAGCTCGTCGGCCGACGACTCCGTAGCAGTCGCTTCCACATTGCTGCCACCATCGCCCTGCTCATCAAGGGGGCTGGTCAGCCCTCGGCGTCGTCTCTTGGGCCTCCTATTGGTGGGTTCCTGGTCTGCGGCCGTTTCATCCTCTATCGCGGGAATCTCGGCCAAGTTGACGATGCCTTGATCCTCGTCTTCCTCACGGAGTATCGGCACGTCAGCATCCCCGGCTCCCTGCGGGAACTGGCCTTCCACATCAATGGGCTTCTCGCGGGATGCGCCCATCAGCTTGGATGAATTTGACGTAAGCCTTGTCTGCACCTTGTCGCGGAGCAGCTTCTGCTTGTGCAGGAGCGAGTGCCGCGTGTCGGTCTCGGTAAGGAAGATCGACACCTCGAAGTCATCTGGGGTTGCTCAGCATGATCGACCAGGATGCGAGTGACTCGGCAGCGGTCTGATGAGACTCGAATCATAGGAGTCGTACACACCTTCGACGACCACATCCTTGATGCTCCGTTTCTTGTTCTTCTTCTTGCTCCGTTCGCGCTCCTTCTCCTCACGCAATTTTGGCAGGACCAGGGGGCGCACGCTCTCGATGACCTTGGGCAGGATGGGATCGCGCGGGTTGAGCAGCCAAGACTGGGCCAGTGCGGGGTTGTCCAGGTAGATGCGGCATTCGAGGACCGAGTACTTAGTGATCCTGAGATAGCGACGTATTGGCGCCATGATGGTGGTTCTCCGATGGGACAGCAGGGGAAGTGCGAGGACAAAGTCACTTTCGGTGAATGAGAGAACACTAGCATGAAGTTAAATGCCTGTGGGGCGGCAGCTCACCGTGCACGGAAAGCACTGTCGGGCTGACATGACGTCGCCGGGAAAGCACTTACAATCCGAGCCGTCTCGTGATGGGTGAATAAACACACAACCTGAGGGTTGTGATCTTGACTGATCAGTGGAGATGCATCCAATTACTACACCGCACTTCACATCCCTTAGCATAACTTTCGGAGCAAGATAGCTCAGGACAGCCGAAGTCCACCACGTTGCTATCGCGGATTCACTGTCAGGACCTGCAGAAGGAAACCCAGGTTTGGAACTGACAAAGCTGCCTGCTTATAGTACGGTAGGAAGTATAACTAGATAACACAGGAACTGTGTTGAGCGAAATATAACAAGAAGTCCCAAACACGAGCATATGTAAGCCTCCTTTAGCATCGGGGGCGAATAAGACACATGCTGAACGGGAAAGCGAGGTATTAGGAGCTAATAAGGTATACTACCGTCGTCGACCGCCTAGGAGCGGCAGGTAAGGAACTATGCTGACGATTGGGAGATTAAATAGAGTAGTTGACGTTCCGCGAGCTTGACCATGAGTCAACCTACTTATAGGAAGCTGTTTCCATCCCTAGGCAACAGATCGCCTTATATGAGAAGGTATCGTCTCAATCTACAGATGTGCCAAAGGTAAGGTAGATACAATAGCCAGTCCTGGACGTTGTCACGTCTTCTAGCTCATGTCCAGTATAGCACGCAGTCTGCATCCCGGGTAGCCTCTCAAATCTCATGGTCACAACTGTTTCATTGTCCTGATAACCTATACTCTGTAAGCAAATACACTAGTACCTTCACCGAACGGCTTAGACGCGCATACAAGTAACTTCCACGTCCAGGCACTTTGGTGTCAAACCAGATCTCAGAGATCCGCAGAGTAAACACGATCTGAACGTTTCCTCCATCCCTTCTTTGAGGTTCTACCCAGACTGTTGAAGATAGTGAAGCCCAGCACTACAACCACAAGCGCATCCTGCCCATGGATGAGGAGCAGCTTCAAAAAATTGAATCCCATTGGGCCAACGCCCCAGTTACACATGTAATGCCTTACGGTGAAGGCGGTGATGAGATGGTGCACCGCCGAGTTGGTAGGTTGCTTGAATAAGGTAGCTAGGGGCATCCTCCTTAGAGCGGTAGCTTACTCTGATGAGAAAACGTCCTTCATACCTACTCCCGTATCGGTTGAAGGCTACCTATATCTAATTCTAAATGACTGCCTCCTTCCCATTAGTAAGCCGCGGAGTCAAGCCTCCCACCACCACACAAGTCAGTAGAACTAAGTCCACTGAACCTAGACCCTTCTCACATTGCCTCCGCAGCTCTGTGTCATCAGCACGCACATAGAAAATTCAGCGTAAGCTACGGACTTATCTATTTAGTGCTTTTGGACGATCATAGATGGCATTGTTGGACCAATGCTGTGAATAGATATACCTTCTTGCATCTGCCTGCGTAAATGCTTTATTCAGGACCTCCGCACTCGCGCCATATACATCTGTCAAACCACTTCAAGTGTTCAGATTCGACTTAACATGGATGGATGTCTGACTTCAGCTGTGGGTATCTAGGTAGCTTGAACCCGATTGCTTTGTCTCGCCCCTCAGTGAACAGATTAGCTCGGGTCAATCGGCAAGATTTCATTTGCTCGAGAGCATCCGAACCATCAGAGGACACGAGAGTTCACTCCCTGCCACTGACAACCGCCCTCATGTCCACTAGGCTCCAAGCAAGGCCGCTATGGATTGCTCGACGTCCAAGCATGGGCACAGGGCCCTCTCGACATTAACTCTATATCTGCCTGATCTCTTTGCCCACCATCTCTGGCCGCTCCACCTCCCACTCGTCTCTCAACACCGCGAACATCAAGTCGCATACCAACAGACTCTGGCCGAGACCCCAGACCAGCGTGATGGCATAGAAGAAGTTGGCGTTGCCGCTACCGGCATAGATCCACAGATGATAGAACGCCGGCCCGAGGAAGGTGGCATACATGATCACCGCTGCAATCACAAACGTGTAGCGCATCAGCGGGAAGACATGCCGGTAGAGCGGCACCATGGCCAAGAAGAGCGAGGTGTCGCTGATGCTCGGGTACGGCTTGAAGATGGCGAAGATGCCGAGCAGCAGCGTGAGCACGACTAGCGGCTGGCGACGGATGCGCAGTGTCAAAGCACCGACGTAGCTCGACAGGTGCAGCCAGAAGACGGCCAGGAAGAAGGAGCGGAAGGAGTCAAACATCTCGATGAAGAAGTACCACCACAAGCCGACGTTGGGCGTCAGGTCGGAGAGGGTCAGCTGTACGCCGTACGTGGATGGAAGAAACTCCCACGAGCCCGTAATAAGGTAGGACATCTGAAAGAGGAGCGCCAAGACACCGGCGACGACGGAGACGCATGTGGCGGAGAATTTGAGACCGGATTTTGTAGCCCGCTCGGGGCGCTGCCGGTCGTAGCAGAGGAGAATGAGTGGCGGCAGGAGCAGCAGGGGGTACATGGAGAGGTAGCTGGCAAAGGATAGGGCGACCATGGCACCGAACGGGGAGCCCGACACAGCCTTGGCGATCGCATGGAGGATGGCACAGGTCGTAAAGACGCTTGTGGATCGCCCGATGCACGTCGCTACTGTGAAGGGGTTAAACAGAAAGCTTACGACTAGTCAGTATACACAGAGAAGATGGAAGTGGCTGGTGTACGTGGGACGACAAACGTACAGGGCAGCGATGACAAAGCCGCTCCAGCGCTTCTCTCGACGCGCGGAGGTAAAGCGAGCCGAAGATCCTGCCTCGCCCGACTCCGCGATTCTCCATAGCGCATTGGCGCTCAGCAAGTCGACGGCGATGTAGAGCAGGTAGGTAAAGATGGGGAAAGTCAAAAAGCTGGGGAGCAGAGAGAAGAGCGGGAGGAAAAGGGGCGCCTGATGGTAAACCCCACCGTCGTATGGGGAGACATTATGGTTGTATAGAAAGAGGCCTTCCTGCACTGCGACCGAGTTAGCATGGGAGCAAAGGCAAAGGATAGGAACTCTAGGGAGGAGGACGGACAGCGTTTGAAGCTGGTCACGGGAGTCGAGATCTCGACACGGCCCGTTAACAGAACCGGGAGGCCGGGAAGCAGAGCGAGGATGGCAAGCCGCAGGGCGGCAGCGCTGACATACAAGTCCACCGCCCCGACCGCCCGCCCCGGGGTTGCCTTGGCGCCGTCCATCGCTCAATGCGCCATGCCCGGGGACATGGAAAGAGATGAAGATGCCAAATTTCGGGATGCAGTTTCGCGCTCGTGTCAGCAAACCATTGAGGCAGCTGCAGGTTATCCCCACAGCTGCCAGGCATGCCAGTGGTCTTGGCAGGGACAGTGGAGATTTTGGGGAGCGCTAATCTAATCTTATCAATAAGAGCGGTGAGGAATGGCATGAAAAAGTTACCAGATAAAAAATCCAAAAGTTCAAGCTTCGATCGAGATTGGCCCCGCCAGTTGACAACTTTGCAGAGGGTTGAGCTCCAGCAGCCGCCGCCCGCCAACACTTGCGATTGAAGCACAATGGGCAAGATTAAGAAGAGGGGCCAGGCCGGCCAGGCCAAGAACTACATTACACGCACACAGGCGATCAAGAAGCTGCAGATCAGCCTGCCCGACTTCCGCAAGCTGTGCATCTGGAAGGGCATCTACCCGCGCGAGCCCAGGAACCGCAAGAAGGTGTCCAAGTCAGCCACCGCCTCCACCACCTTCTACTACACCAAGGACATCCAGTACCTTCTGCACGAGCCGCTGCTGCAGAAGTTCCGCGAGCAGAAGGTCCTCGAGAAGAAGATCTCCCGCGCCCTCGGCCGCGGCGATGTCTCGGACGCCGCACGTCTCGAGCGCAATGCTGCGCACCCCGAGAAGACGGGCAAGCCGCGCTACACGCTCAACCACGTTATCCGCGAGCGCTACCCGACCTTCATCGACGCCCTGCGCGACCTGGACGACTGCTTGTCGATGCTCTTCCTCTTCGCCAACCTCCCGTCTACCACGGCCGTGCCTGCCAAGATGATCGCCCGCTGCGAGCGCCTTTGCCTCGAGTTCCAACACTACCTCATTGTCTCTCACAGTCTCCGCAAGTCGTTCCTGTCGATCAAGGGGATATACTACCAGGCAAACATCCAGGGCGAGGATATCCTGTGGCTGGTGCCGTACAAGTTCAACCAGAGGATCGTTGGAGACATCGACTTCCGGATCATGGGGACCTTTGTCGAGTTCTACATGACGCTGCTCGGTTTCGTCAACTACAGGCTGTACACGTCCGTCGGCCTGAAATACCCGCCCAAGTTCGACCAGCTCAAGGACGACCAGGGTGCCGAGCTCGGCGCTTTCTCTCTCGAGGGTGCAAACCTTGCGACAAACGGCGAGACCAAAGCCATCACAAACGGTGAGGCGGAGCATGGCCCCGATCCCAAGGTTCAGGCCCAGGTGGACAAGCTGGTGCAACAGCTGAGGGACGAGTCAAATGGCGAGAAGGCGGACGATGAGAGCCCGGCTGGCGAAGCAGACGGAGAGGACAAGCCCAGCGACGCAATTGACAAATTTGAGCCCGTGGCCCCCGGTGGTGACGTTCTGCCGCAACCATCAGACAGCAGCAGCGACCCCTCGCAGCTTTTTTCCAAGTTTACTTTCTATCTCTCCCGTGAGACGCCTCGCCAGCCGCTGGAGTTTATTCTCCGCGCGTTTGGCTGCAAGAGGATAGGCTGGGACTCGGTCCTTGGTGAGGGCGCCTTCACGACAGACGAGTCCGACCCGTCCATCACACACCAGATCGTGGACAGGCCGGTGGTACGGGCCGCGATGAGCGGTGAGGGCGACGGCGAGGATAACCAAACGGCGCAGAAGCTCGGACCGAACCACCGATATCCTGGGCGGGTGTATGTGCAGCCTCAGTGGGTGTGGGATAGCGTCAACGATGAAGAGCTGAAGAGCCCTGAACTCTATGCGCCCGGGGCGGCGCTGCCACCGCATCTCAGCCCATTCGTCAAGCCCACACAGGGCCAGTATGATCCTACCATTCCTCTGGAGGAGCAACAGACAGAAGGCGAGGCCATTGAGGCTGAGCTGGAGGACGCAAACCAGGAGGGCGAGGGATCTGAAGTGGAGAACGACATGGACGTTGCTTCCGAAGTAGAGGACGAGGAAGAAGAGGAGGGAGAAGACGGCGACTTTGGCGGGTTTTCTGAGGAAGAGGAATATGAGGAGGAAGAGTCCGAGGAGGCGGAAGAGTCTGCGACACTGCAGCGGCAGCGCGAGCTCGAAGCCGAAATCTCGGGCAAGTCGGTTCCAGGCAATAACAAGAAGGTGGATGCCAAGACCAAGGCGAAGCTGGAGGCGAAGAAGGCCCTCGAGCGCAAGAAGCGGCAGGAGGCCGAGGACCTAGAGCGGGCCAAGGGCATGCTCAGCAAGAAGAAGCGCAAGCTGTTTGAGCAGATGCAGTACACGAACAACAAGAAGAGTGCGGAGGATATGAAGTTGCAGCAAAAGAGGAGGAGACTGGAGAAAGAGAAGAAGGCGTAGTGGTGTTGTTTTATAAGGTCTGCGTACGTCATAATGAGATACCATTGAAGGTTTCCAGTTGTCCGGGTGAACGGGTTGTTTCACTGAACAGTTGCTTCTAGAGGAACGATATATTTTGTACATTCTCGAGGTATGTTCGACCTCCTGAGGGATTCAGTACAGACATTACGCCCTTTCATCGCATAACTACTATATCTGGCAGCCGACTTTTGACTCCGTCAGACCCCCGACAAATCCCAATACCATCCCATAGATGATATGCGCTGCTCATACGTGTACTTTCAACCATTTGCGCATTGAATTCCTGAATGTCGGTGTTGGGATGTCTCGTGTTCTTCAAGGGTTAGGGTTGAATGCGTCTCATGAAGACCGTCCATGCACTTTTCACATTTCTCTTTCAATACCATCCATCCCATACGCAAATACCCGGTACATCGTCGGTTTCAATAAAGATCACTATCTGTAACTTTGCTGTATTAGACGATATCCCCAATCCACCCAAATTCACATTTCCACTCACATTCCTGAACCTCACTGAGACCTCACCTATCAGTCTCAACCCTTTTCGGGAAGCTGTTCACCAACGTTCATCAAAAAACGCCATCTCCCACCCACACAGCTCTCAACCCAAAGCTGCAGATTTGAGGACCAGGATATGACATGCGACGCAACCAACCTTGACTTCCAAGCATGGACGGCAAAGTAGAGGTGGAGATGAATCCGGACAGGATGGATATGGACATGGGCATGGACATGGACGACATTGATGTCGACGTCGACTCGCTCGACTCGGAGGACCTGCACGAGACCCGTCCCAACCGCTGGCGTGGCCACCCGGAGACGTGGAGGAAGTGGACCGAGCTCGATCGCGCCACGTGGACGGCGCTGGAGAATGCGCGGAAGGAGGACCTGGCTGTGCATTTGTACAACGCCTACGGGCTGAGGAGGGGGTTTCGGGTTGGGCCTATGGTTGCTGACGATGTCAATGTCAATCTTGATTATGATGGGGTGAGTTTTCGTTGCTTTTAAAATGGGGATGGGGAGGGGGACGGTCGTTGTGGTGGGAATTGGGCTGACAAAAGAAAATGATGATGTAGGATGATGAAGACGGGGATGGAGAAGGTGAAGATGGGCAAAGGCCATGGAAGCTCGACAAGGCGTGGACTGCGTGGCCCATGAGGGCCGACGAGGTCCCGGACGATGGGTTAATGCCCAGGACGATTGACGTCAATGAGCCGTTTACCCTGCGGCGGGAGGAGACGCAGACGTTTGCGGGGGTGAACTTGGAGGAGGAGATTTCGGCGACGATTCTGCGGCGTGCCAAGGAGAAATTCCGGAAAAGGGATCTGCAGCAGACGGCCGAGGATGAGCAAGCCCTGCCGTCTGTCGAGCAGGGAGATGCTGATGCTACTGCTGCTCAAGGCGAGACGGATGCGTCAGACACCGCTGCGACTAGTGCTGTGGACGACGAAACGGAGGCGGAGACGGATGCGTCACACAGGAGACCAAGGAAGAGAAGGCGCAGAGGAGCATCGCCTACTTTTACGCCTGTCTTCTCGGCGGATGATGACCGGTCCTACATGCTGCTTCGCCCAGCAGCGAGGCGGATAATGGAGAAGCTTGACCACACGCTCATGATCCTGCATAACCAGCGCGCCGCAGGCCTCGGAAACATCTCGGAGTCCTCTGCTAGTGACGAGGACGAGACAGAGTCTGAGGAGATGTCCATCCGGCCGTCAGTGTCACCGGAAAAGTCGCCGGCGCCACGGAAAAATAGGGGCGGCAGGCCTAGGAAGGTGAACGTACCCCTCGAGGGAGAAACAGAGCAGGAGATGACGGTCAGGCTGGCGAAAGAAAACCACAGGAGGAATCCCTTCTTGACGGATACGCCAGGTTCCGGGGAGGACGAGCGCAGCCGGAGCCAGAGCAGGAGCAGGAGCAGGAGCAGGAGTCTTGGCAGAGGACGGCAGTCATCACTCCCTTCGCTGGCGGAGTCGCGGGCGAGCTCCGTTAGAAGCTCCTTGTCACGGAAATCCGGATCTCGAAGCTCTAGCGCTTCATCAACAAACAGGGAGAAGCTTCTCGGGCGATGGGGCCTGCGAGACTGGCGTGACGTGCTGGGTGCCGCTGCACTGGCCGGATTTTCGCCGTCAGTCATCGCCCGCGCCGCTCAACGATGTTCCACGCTTTTCAGGGAAGAGATGACGCTGCATACGCTGCACGAGCGGTCTGCTGCTAGCGGCCAAGTCGAGCTAGAGACGGTGCGGTATGTGCCCGGAGCAGCCCTTCCTCCATCCTCAGACGAAGACGATGATGAGTCCGAGGCTGAGCTGGCCCAGACCCGCACGATTAGCCGCTATTCTAGTGTCCGACTTCCCGAAGAGATGTCGCCTGAGCCGACCCCACAGACACCACGCGCCAGCCGGTCAGCTACGCCAGCAACAGGCTTGTTGTGTCCCCATCCGGGCTGTCCAAGGGCCATGCATGGGTTCAAAAAGCGATGGAACCTTGAGAGGCACATGCAGACTGTGCACAAGGGACACGCGCCAGCCTCGCCAGAACCAGAGCCGCAGACTCGGCGTGGTGGCCGCTCAGAAACGGCGGCAGCCCTGGTGTGCTCCTACCCTGGCTGCTCGAGGGCCACGCGCGCGTTCAAAACGCGGACCGCTCTTGACAAGCACATCCGGACCGTGCATGAAAGCCAGACAAGCCAGACAAGCCAGACGGGAGGCTTTATACAACTGACGCCGATAGAGCTGGAGAAAACGTTGAGGGACCTCGACCGGTCAGGCGCTCATGGACTCCGGGCGTGTCCCGTTCCCGGCTGTCCAAGAGGCTCTAAATCGTTTCAGAGGTGGGCGAAAGTTGTGAGGCATATTCGGACGGTGCATGGGAAAGGACATGTAGCGGGCTCTACAGAACTGGAGCTTACAGAGCCGGAAGAGGTACCAAGGCAACGCGGCCAGTTAGCCACGCCGGCGCCGGCAAACCTACTTTGTCCCATTCCGGACTGCCCGAGGGCCACGCGTTCGTTCAAGAAGTGGTCACACCTTAAGAGGCACGTCCGCGAGCTGCATAAGGAACAGGCAGCAGACTACTTGACAGAACCGGAGCTTACCGAGCTGGACACTTCATCAAAGCAGGGCAGCCGGTCAACCACGCCCGGAGCTGTCTATTTCTGCCACTTCTCGCATTGCCCAAGGGCTGTTGACGGTTTCAGTAAGGTGACAAACTTCAAGCGGCATATGCAGACGGTGCACGGGAAAAGCGTAGCTAATGTCGCAGAAGAGGGAGAGGACAGTATGGACGAGATGCACGGTGGGGCGCACCTGGACGGGTTTCTGAAGCCCATCAAATTTAGGAGGGGGTGGCGAACGGCCGACACGCAGGTAGGACGCCATCGGTCACGGAAGGGAACCAGAGATGGACCAGAAGAACTTTGATTTGGCGTCTCTGGCGCGAAGCCCTTGCTGTCAAACTCAGCCAAGGTACAAGTACATACATACAGTTCATACCTCGCCATTTACGGAGAAAAGAAAATTGCGGCCGCAGCGGTTCACTCGCCCTTGCGGCTCTCCTTCTTCGCAGCGAACTGCCTCTCCACCTCATCCGCAAACTCCCCAATCGTTTGGAACTTCCACTCAAACGCCAGCTTCCCCTCTGCCTTCAACTTCTCATAATCACCTCCCGTGCCATAACCCTCAGGCTTATCCCCTCCCCTCGCAATCCACACACTCCTCAACCCGATCTCCTTCGCGGGGACATGGTCCGCCGTCAAGCTCCTCGCAACATGCAGCAACTCCCCTTTCTCATGGTCGACGCCGAACTCCCGCTTGACGCCCGCAAACAGATACCGGAAATTCTCGTGGCTCGGCTTGTAGCTCCCGATCGCCTCGGCCGTGTACACGGCGTCGAACCGGGCACCCGCCAGCGGGCCGGCCACGGCGCGCGTGATGTTGGCCTCGTTGACGTTGCTCAGGATGACGAGCCGGTAGTGCCGCCCCAGCCGGCGCAAGCCGTCCACCGTGTCGGCGAACGCGGGCCATCGGCCGGGCCCGTCGCCTACGCTGCCGTCCAGTTGCTGCAGCACGCCACTCTTCAAGTTTAGGTCGGCGGCGGCGATGACGCCTTGTTGTTCCTGCGCCAGCAGCCGGAAGGATTCGCGCAGGTTGGCGTCGTAGGCGAGCTTCGGCTGCGTCAGCCACAGGTGCTCCGAGTGGTCGTTGAAGCGCTGCACGGCGAGCAGGGGGTTGGCGTGCCACGGGTGGGATGGTGGGAGGAGGCTGATGAGCGGGGAGAGGTCGGAGGCCAGTCCGGATTCCCAGTCTATCAGCGTGCCGTAGCAGTCGAAGGAGAGGGCTCGGAACGTGGTGAGGTCTGGGTGGGAAGACATGTTTACAGTTTGTGTGTGGGGGGGGAGTGAAGGTGTGTTTTTTTTTTTTCAGAGGACGAGGGTGGTCCAAGTTGTGGTTTTGAGAGGCGTGGGATGGAAAGTGGGGGATTGGAAGTGGTGATGCTGTACTGTACAGACAAGTGAGAAAGGAGGGAGGTGATGTTATACTTCTCGAGTTCACCTTCGTGCGAGCCCTTGGAGTTACATGCATGCACATAACGGTAGTATCAACTGGAAGGAATCCAATCAAGTTCCAAAGTCCACTCAACAACCCCTCTATGTGCGAGGGGACCCCTCTCGGAGCACACCATCGGCGATCAAAGCGGCTAACCCCCGGCCCGGCGGTCCCGCTGCGGCCGTTACGTTGTGCTCCGGCGCGCTTGCCTCAAAACGCAACCGGCGAGTCTGCCCGAACGACTCACTCGGCACAGTAGGTGGAGTCTGCCGAAATAGGTGGATACTCTAAATTTATCTTATCTCCGCTTGGAGTTCCGCGGTAGTAGTTTGTATGAAACTATTTCAGCAAGTTATCACGGAACAGCGACCTTCAATTATCACTCGCTAGGGAGCGGTGGGAAGGATGGACAAAGTGACCCAATCAATAAACAATAGCCTGAAGTTGTCGTATCATAATAGACTTCCTATACACACTTCATTGAATCAAAAGGAAAACCTCCAACCTGAACCGTATGGGTATCGGTGCTCAGTAACCCTACATCCTAGACAACTGCCTGCCTCCCTCCGCCAAAACAAAACATACCATGGCTTCCCAACAGTAATAAGCACATCAACTCCGTTCGTCACGTCCGTCCGAACAAATGAAAAACTCCAACAAAGCGAACGCGACTCAGTGAAAAAGACGCCTTAATGCAACCGTGGGCTTTTCCTCCTAGTCGAACTCCGCAGTGCCGGCGGCGGCACGTTCTCCGGCCCTTCTGCCACAACACCCACGACCTTCTTGGACAGCCGCGACAGCCGACTCCGAGTGTTCGGCTTCAACGCCGGGTTATTGGCGGCGGGTGGAGGCGAGAAGACAGGGGGCGATGGGTCGCACAGCACCTGGCCCGTCGTCATGTTGGCATTGACCTCGCGCAGGCTCATGCTCATGCTTAGCACGCTCTTGCCGCCCTCGGAGTGGTGGCTGCCGGAGCTGCTTGGCCGCGTCGGCGACCTGGCTGGTGTCAAGCTGATGTCTGGCAGGACGACGGGGGTACTCGGTTTGCTCGGCGTTGGCGAACAGTCCCGCATAGCGGCGATCAGGTTCTCGTGGGCGCCGGTGCGGGGCAGTTGCGTGGGATACTGGTACTGGATCTTCTCCGGGGTCTCACCGGTGGGTTCGTACTCGTGCATGTCCGTGTTCTGGATGTCGTCCCTCAGCTCGGCCAGCGGCCGGCAGATGTTTTCGTCGAGCGGCGCGAGAGCTTCCTGCAGATTATTGGCATCGGCATCCATCTCCTCGCCAAGGGTCTGCACTCGGTCGAATGTCTCTTTGAAATGGCCTGATATATTGGAGAATGACTGCTCGACGGTAGCATTTAGACTCTGCACGGATGCGGCGTGCCGGTCGTGGAGAGTGGCGTTTTGCGACTGGGCGCGAGACACGAAGTTGTCGAGGTCCTGCATCTGGACGTCGAGGTCCTGCACCTGCTCCTCCACGATTCGCACTGTCTCTGCGTGGACTGATTTGGTTGTCGTCTGGATCGAGGTGCTGTGTTTGTTTGCGGTCTGCATATGTCAGCGATCATTACCACGAATAAGCCGCTGTAGGGAACGGAACCTACAGTCCAGTCGTCTTTGAGCCTGGCCTTCAGTGCATCTCTGGATCCGGCGACATCCTCCAACAGCTTGCTGTCTCTCTCCCCCCAAGCGTCCATGCCTGCGGAATACTCAATCACGGTTCCCTCGAACGTCTTGTTCGAGTCCAGGATTGCCTCCTGGATAATGGCCGCCTTGTCCGCTAAGCGGGACTCTTGCAGTTCGGCCTGCGAGTTGATGAGCCTTGTTATTTGCGAGAGCAGCGCTTGCCGCTCTGCTGCTGTTTGTGCCCGCTCTTCGTCGAGCACCTCTTGTATCCTCGCAGAGACCGACTGGTTCGACTCTATGATGGCCTTGCTGGCCTCTTCCAGCTCCTGTCTGAGCCTATCAGACTCGGCCTTCTGGGAGCGGATGTGACGCAGCATATCCTCAAAGAGCGATTTGAAGTCCTTCCCTAGTGAGTTGTATGACGTGTGGAGCTCATTGTGAAATGTGCTCAGCTCGCTCAACACATCGCCGGCAATCCGCTCGGCGGCCGCAGTTATGGCCTGGAGGCTCTCGCCCACGCGCTGTTTCACGTTGTCCCGAACAACCTTGATTTCTTCCAGCACCGTGTCCATGTCCTGCTTGGACCGTTCCTGCTGTTCCAACAGCTGCGTCCTCGATTCGCCAAATCGCGCTAGGTTCTCATCGAGGAACGCCTGCGTGGACGAGAGCTTTTCCAGCTCCTCCTTCACAAACGTCTGCATACGTTGTGAGATGCTGGAGATATGCTCCTCTTGATCCTGGCGGAACTCCTCGATGCGGCCCTCAACAAGCTCGGTGATGTCGGCGACGTGGCCTTGCGATGTGGTCCACGTACTCCGGTTCACATTGTGCAGATCGGACTTGCGCTGGTTCTTTGCATGGAGGCCATCGATGTCGCCAATTGTCCTTGCCAGCGTACAGAGCAGGTTCTCGCCGAGGTCGGCCAGCTTCTGTTCTGTTGCCTGATGAGCCCTGCGAATGTGGGTTTCCTCGGCAAGGGACTTCTTGGTCGCCGCTAGCACCATCTCGGTCTGGTCCAGAAGCTCCTTGGTCTCGTCGAACTGGACGAGCGTCCCCTCGTGTTCCTTCTTGAGCCCCATGAAGTTCGACGTCAGCGACAAGAGTTCCTGCACCTTGTTCTTGAGGTTGGCCTCGAGGGTCTCGATCTTCGCCGCCTGCTCCTCGGTCAAGATGCGGCGTGATTCGTTTTGCACCGTCAATTCCTCGTACATGTCGTTCGACAGGTAGACGCCGTTCCGTTGCCGCGTGGCGATCAGCTCGGCCTTGAGACGCTCGATCTCGATGGTGAAGTCCCGCAATAGCATCTTCTTGCTGGTCAGCGCATTGAGCTGTGGCTTGTTGCGGATGTTCTTGGCCCGAAAGGCGTAATCTAGCGTCGAGATGGTCTCTTCGAGATTGCTCTTGGCAGGGGATATCGTCGCAATTATGCACGTCTTTGTCCGACCGCCTAGCGAGTCTTGCAGCAACCGAGTAAGTTTCGACTCTCTGTAGGGAATATGCGCACTGCGGTCGACCAGGGCATTGATGACACGCCCGAGGGTGAGCAAGCTCTTGTTGATCAACCCGGCCTCGGCCGCCCGCTTGTTCTCCGCCCCTGAGCGCTGGATGTTTTCGCTGCCAGCCAGGTCAACCAGGTTCAGCTTGCCCAGCATGAGAAAATCCTCCCCGTTCTCCGTCTTGTGTTTCGTGTAGACCGTGATCGTAAAGACTGTATGGCTCCTGCTGCTCAGATCGTTGCACTTCGTAGCCGCCACCTGGCGTTTCACGCTGCCTTCTCTGAGCCATTTGAGACCGTCGCTAGCATTCTGAATGTATCTTTCCTCCATCCCTTGCACCATGGTAGTGGAGTGGCCCTTCCGTGATGTATCGTCATAGATTTTGAGCTTTGCGTTTTCGTCTGGAGCGAGCAAATCTCGTAGCTCCTCGTTGTACAGCTCAATGAAGGAACACCGGACCGAATTTTCCTTCTCGTCGAGCTCAAGCTTGTCGAAGAGAGCCTTGAGCACCCGGGGAATGATGCCGGCATTATCGGACAGCATTCCCATCGTCTCGGTCAAGTCGCCTGACATGGTATATGTTTTGCCGGTGCCCGTCTGCCCGTAGGCGAAGATGGTGCAGTTGTAGCCGGACAGCATCTGTTCCCGTCAGCGCGATCTCCAAATGCGATCTCCAAATGCCCTCATCATGCTGCTTACCTCGTCCAGAACAGGCCTCACCACATCCTCAAAGATCATGCCCTGGTCGGCGGCTTGAGAGAAGACATGATCGAAGGTATATGTTTTGTTGCTGACCGCGTTCGGCCCCATGGATAGGTCTACCACCTTGCCTCTGGTCGCCTCGGTCCTCACCACCACCGCGCTGTTCTCCTTGACTTCCCGCTCGTTCCGACCGCGGCATCGCACGACGACGTTGATGTTCGTAGCCTCGCCGCCGTCGTCGGGATCAAAGTCGCGTTCCTTGCGCTTGGCGCCTGCTGTGGCCGAGGTCGCGACTGACATAAGCGACTCTGCTGGTGAGGCCGCTCGCGCCAGCCGCGATACTCGAGTGCCTCCGGCCCTCGATGTCGCAGCTGTATTGCGTACCGGGGGCCGAATGCTAGACCGCCCTCCAACGCCAGGCCGCGCAGGCGGCGCCATCGAACCGTGTCTGCGCTCCATCAGGAGCGGGTCGCCTATGTCTTGATAACTGCTGTGTTTGTTCGTTGAATTGGAACGCTACTAAGTCGGCACTCGTAAAAGGTGAGTTGGGGAAATCCAACGATGGGTCTTTGGGCACGCTTTGCCTCGATTTGCAAAGGTAGGCAGTGGAGGGACATGGATTGGCGTGTGGTGTCACGGCCCAGAGTGGGGACATGCAGGGCCAATTCAGCAGGCGCGCGACACAAAACAATGCAAGGTCGCAAATTGCGATTGCCGTGGCAACGATCTGAGTGCCCCACATGAGGTATCTTCCCGTTTGGGAGGTGGAGGGGCTGAGAGCCTGACACTGACAGCTTCAGACCCACCAGGCTGCCCCTCCATCCCCAACGTGGCAGATGACGTCCCAGCGACACCATCAGGAGAGGCCCGTGACTGCCTGTCTGTGCGTTGTGTCCAAGCGGTCGCTCGGTCATTGGTCACCTTATTAACCTTTTTGCCTCCAGCTTCCAGGCGTTCTTGCACTCAGCCTAACAAAATTCTATGACTTCCCTTGTGCTACTGCAACAACCGCAAACAGACTAACAGAGTCAGCACCAAAAGAGACTACCCAGCAGGTTCTCGCGACCGATAGCCATCTCGGAAGGCAGAACCCATAGATACAGTATATCCAACAACTTCCGCAGGTATTTGCACATATAATCGCCGACCATCAGATCTGACACCATTTGCCATGTCGTCGCTGTTCTCAGCTCAGCTACATCCCGGGCGGGCCCTGGGCTTTCTTGTGCTCGGCGCCTCCCTGCACGATATTTTGACCCGTATCAAGGCCGAGCCTCAACGGTTCCCGAATATCGAGGTCTTTTACGACCCCAAAGACCCGGTGAAGCAGCCGGTCACCATTGGCCTACCAGCAAACGGAGTTCGGATGCGGTTCGATGGGCCCGAACAACGGCTGAGGCTGATCGAGGTGCTCGACTTCACCAAAAACCATATCTTCCTCAGGCCGGCCAATGACAAGGAGCGGGATCTCGTCCGCCCAAGTCAAGGGGCCTCAGCCGCTACTGACACTACACCCGGCCCGACGTTTCGTCATATCTACCAGCGATTCTTGGGCCCTACATATGATGGGGAGTATGCAGCGGCGGCCGAGATTTATATCCTGTCGTACCCAGGTGTCGCCTTTACCTTTCCCCTGAAAAAGAAAGAATACTCGTCTTCCAAAGACGTCGTATCACTGCTTCCTTCAACAGCGGTCCCAAAATCCATGGCTGTGTTCAGCGGCGATTCCTTTGCCCAGGCTCGCCAGACGATGTGGACGGAGATACTTCCGAGCATCAAGACATTTGCGCCTCTTGCCAAGGGCAAGGACATGTGTCCGGACGAGGTCTCCCTGGTGAAGATTCACGGCGGTGGCCGGCTGCAGTTGATGCGAAAATGGACCAACAACTCATTCTCGATCATGCTCGGCGAGACTACGCCGCAGCAACTAGTGGCCGAGCTGGGCCCGCCCGACGCCATCTACCGCAAAAACGACCAGGGCATGTACATTCACAAGCTTAGGGCTGCTAGTAACACCATGACTCAGCCTAGCGGGAGCGACCTGAAGCGACAGGACGATCTGACAGACACAGACCAGTCATCGCACCAGGCCTCGGACGAGTATGACTCGGACGATGAGGCCGTCGATGATGGCGTGGTGGCCAACGTATCAGGCGAATGCTTTTACAATTACTTCTATCTCGGATTTGACGTCCTGGTCTCGACGCCCACTGCCCCCTCCCAGCCGCCGCCGTCGCAAGGCGGTAATCCATACATCCCCGGGACACCCGCCGACCGCCTGGTGGCCACCAAGCTAATACTCCACGGAAATGTTCCCGGCTCCTACCCCTTCAACCGGCATCGCCGCTGCCGCTGGGAACTAATTTACCTCAGCCCTTCCTCTGCAGATTCCAGTCCTGACGCCGTCATAAACTCCGAGACGCCCTTCCCACAGATCGAGGAGCGACTTCGCGAGGAATGGAAATCAATCTACCCGTCCGAAGCCGAGGCTCGGCAGAAGCAGCGAGGGATGGTGCTCAACCGCGGCTGGGGCGACAGCCCTGGCAGTAGCTGCGAGTTGCTCGGCGGGTGGGAGGAGAGCGGGGGAACGAATCCGGGTGTCGGGAAGGGCAAAGCGGAGGACTCGACGACCACGCTGTATGGCTTTCCCGGACTGGTGTTTGAGGTGTTGAAGAATGGCTATGTGAGTGCTGTTACGGTGTTTTAGGGCCGAGTTTACTCGATAGGTTCAGGGCGTTTAGGTAGTAGGTTTTAGGGTCAAACGGGGTTGCAAAGGGAAAGAGGGACTGGGGTTCGAGTTTTGATTATCCGGGGTCATAGGGCGCATTACTACAGGCTAGCATCACGCCAGCCGGGCTCTGGGATTGCTGGCTGCGGAATACACTGATATTGTTATTCTTCTTCCGTTGCTGGTTGGTTTTTGGTGAATGTTGGCGAGTCAAAGTCGTGAAGAGTCGGACGCGGATGCGATTGAGGGCTTGATGTTACGCAGACAAACGGATAGGGGCCAATAGGAGAGTCCTCGAGGGTCCGTTTGCTCGCTGCCATTGAGGTAGTCCTTGAGCCTTGGACTAGAGTGAACTAAATCTCACGAGATCTCTTCCCCTTTTTTTGTACCTCGTAACAGACAGCTCTCTAAGAGGCAGCTTCTCTCACAAATCACAGATTTTGGAAATGGCCATGTATAACGTACCCAAGCCCGAGGTCTCAGACTATTACGCGGACCTTGGAGTGTCACAGTACGCTACCGTCGGGGAGATCAAGTCGGCCTGGTTCAAGCTGGCCAAACTGTATCATCCGGATAAGAAGGCACCGGGCCAGACTCTGGATGCCAAGGAGTTCCGCAAGGTATGCCCATATCATGTAGTCCTGGTACGCGCTTCTCATAGGGTGAGCCCAGGCTAACTAACCCGCTCTAGATCCGAGAAGCCTACGAGTGCCTCAAGGACACAAGCTCTCGCGCTAGATACGATGCTTTGTATCAGCATATTCAAGCAGCGTGGGCACAGTACCGGGAAGGACAGGACAGAATGCGCCAATCTCAGCAGCATGCACGGGCTGAGGACGAGGCCAGACGAAGACGGGCAGCCGAGCAGCGTGCTGCAAAGGAAGAAGCTGCACGTTGCCAGGCCAGGGAGGAGCGACAGAGGCAGGCTGACGAGCGGTCTCGTGAGGCGGCACGCAGGGCGCGGGAGCGACAGGAGCAGGCGGCGAGGGAACGGCTGCGGAGAGAGGGAGAAGCGGAAAGGGAAGAAGAGGCGGCGAAGCAGCGGGAGGAAGAAAGGAAGAGGAGGATGGAAGAACGAGAGAGGGCGGCCGAAGAAGCAAGGAAAAGAAGGGAGGAAGAGCTGCAGAGAGCAAGGCTAATACGGGAGCGACAGATGGAAGCCGATAGACGCTCAGAGGAGGCCGCGAGCAAGGTGAGGGCAGAGCAAGAGCAGGCAGCCCGGGAGAGGCTCAAGGCGGCCGAGATTGAGGAGAAGCACGAAGCCCTCCGTAAAAACTGGGCGAGCTTGAGAGAGGCAGCTAATCGCGGACGGATTGGGCGACAGCACCCAAGCAGTCCAGACCAGTGTGCACATTCTCGCTCGGGCTGGGCGAAGAAGAGGGGACACACTAGCTGTGTGTTTTGCGGGGCGGACCGGAAGAAAGGGGGTTTCCTGTGCCTCGACTGTCTCTCGGTGGCATGCCAAAACTGCAAGACCAAGCAGTGTACCGGGAGTCAACGGCCGTAGTACTGGGTACTTCTCGTCAATGAAGTATCGAATGTCTATCAATCCATATACTTTGAAACGCCAGGCACTCACTTAGTCCGCGTAGTACAGGCATATTGAAGTGATGGTGTCTGGCGAGCAGTGGGCCGTAGTCTCGTTTCCGTCCCATCCATTCCCGGGCGGTAACTTGGGCGCATCGTAGAAGTTCAGCCGGCGGCAGTGTGACTCTTCTTGATACTGATCAGTACAGTAACGTTCTTTAAGCCTATACAGCTATTAGTATATATCTCGCATACCTGTTTCTCTCCATGAATAGATATCATGGAAATGGGTGTCCTAGGTTTTGACATCACATGCATGATCCATTCGTCTGGTACGTAGACGGATCCACCTCGGGATCTGCGCCTTGCATTGGCGTGGTGGGCCCTATCCCTGTCAGCTGCCGTGAACCTTCCTCGTCGACTGGCAACTGCCGAGCCGAATTCTGTGGGCCGCTTGAAGCGTCTCTGCGGACCAACCGCTAACGTTCTTGTTGACCCGACCATCGGCGAATGAGAAGATTCAGCGACCGCTTCCTGACGTGCACCTCACATGGTTCGCTCGACATCCAAAACCAAGGTTTCGCGACTCACGAACGACATGCATGGAAAATAGAACTTAACGTAAAGTTCGAGCCCCGTCGAGAAGTCCTCCCGGCAGCTGGAGGCATCGACGGGTAGCGCAATGGCGGACCAAGATGTCAGCCCACCCTCAAACCTTCCTCCGCGACGCGCCGCCGGACGCCTTCACCCTGCCTCCCGTGAGGTTGACGATACCGAGAAAGCCTTCCTGAATGCAGTGGCGCCCGACTCGACCACAGCCTTTTCGTCGGCCGAAGACCAACCCAGGGGTCAACCACTCTCGAGCACCACCCATCGCAGTGATGCCGAGAAACGGCTCTCAGCAGGCGCCCATCGTGCCCATAAGCCCCGATCGAGCCGTGCCTTCCTGCTAGCGAATTCTCTCTTGAGCCGTAGCAAGTCTGCCCAACACCACGACGTGCAGCCATACACGCCTCCGGACAAGCGGCAGTCTCGGCAACATCACGCGGAGCAACGCGGATCCAAATATGTCCATCATGGGCCGGCGGGTTCAATGTCGAGGGCATCCTCAAGTAGCATGCCAGGTGTTGCTTCTGATCCGGGAAATGGCCCCGAGCTCAGCGGGCAAGTCGAAGAACGCTCGACGTCAACCACCGTCACAAAACGCGACTCCTTCAATGGGGACACAGCCGTCGACTCCCCTTCGAGCATCGCTCAACTAGACATGGAATCGACCCAAATTGTTACAATGGCTCTGAACTTGAGCGAGTCGAGGAGGCTAGCAGCTCGGCGGAACGTTTCGCAGCCGACTCCGCCAAGACTAGCCCCCCTTCCAGATGGCGCGCCAGGAGGGAGCCTCCGATACCATCTCCAACAGCAGAGGAAGATGTCTCGTACAGTTTCTCCCAAACCCGACCGGTCGCCCCGAATGGGCTCCGGACGGGCTTTCACGCCCTTACAGCCCGCTTTCGAGCCGGGAGCAACCTACCGCTACCATTTCTCGACCTCGACCCTGGCAAGGGTGCAGAAGGCCAAGGAGTATCTCGAACTGATGGCACAATACCGGCGAGCTCTTGAGTTGCTTGCTCCACTAGAGCCCGAGCGGACAACACCTAGACCGTGGACCGTCACCCCTCCAGTGACGCCGAACGGCTCGGCTCCCGTGTCACGAATGCCCAGCGGCGAACCGGAGACACGGATCGGGCGGCCCTATAATCCGCTACAATACATTCGAAACCGTAAAGTTCGAGCTCGGGAGAGAAAGGCCATTGATGGTGCCGCCCAAGGGTTCGATGATGCCGCGCGAGTCTCGGAATGGATAGACGAGGTCGCTAAGTGGGTTGCCACGGGGCAGGCTCGCATACCCGGGAATCCTGCTCTGCCCCCGTTCCCTAGCACTCAAGCGGCCGACCTGCAAGGCTCTCCACCATCATCAAATGGGAGAACATCCGTTGTGACGAAGCCGAAACGTCCACGGGTTGACTGGGTGATCGACCCTGCTGACATGCTAGCAGACGTGTACTGGCTGGAGCTTGATGACAACAAGAAGCTAGTTGAAGATCGCCATTGGAGGCGCGTCTTCCCCCAGAAGCTTGATGTCGCTCGGCCATTATCACGCGATGAGACACCGCGTCTGGCCACGCCAAGGTCGGCTAAGGAGTTGTCAGATGCGCACACGCCAGGTGAAAAAGCAACTTCCGATCCGCCATCCTCCAGACACCAGACGGAGCATGTCCTAAGCGCGGCTCGGGATCGGGCTCAGCAGAAGCTACAGGCGCTCAAGGGCTCGCATCACCGGCACTCCAGCTTGATTGTTAATCGCGACCTGCTCCGCCTTCACCGCGGCTCAGGTTCTGAATCGTCTGACACTGACAGTGATCGCCGACGACGGGCGAGGGGCGGCGCCGCGGGTAGCACCGTGAGGTCTGTCTTAGAGAAGCAGATGGAGGAAATGATCGCGAGGGAGCAGAAAGAAGCCGAATGGCACCCGCTCTATGACCACGAGGCTAAGCGTATGAGGTTCGCCTCGCCATCTCCTGAGCTAGATGCGCAGCATGCATCACAGGATCCCAAGGGTCCGGGCGGAGCCGACTCACACGCAGAACTGAGTGAGGCAGAGGCCAGGGGACTCGGTCTGAAGCCGCTCCCATGGACGCATTCTTCGCCACCATACACCACCGCTCGCAACAGTCTCGACGTTCCGGGGAGCAAACGTGTTTCTGTTGACGACGGCATATCACAACCAACCTCTCCGGCCTTACGACCATCTCACGACGGCGGGTTGATTCCAGCGATTGGAATGGACCTGTCACCCGTGTCCAGCAGACCCAGTTCACCGCACCGGAATCCGTTGACAAGAGTAAGAAGCTTCTTCCGCGAACGTAGTAGGGAACGCGGCACAGAGGGCCACCTCACCGGAGAAGAAGCGGCTGGGATGTTGAGCTCTCCGTCTGACAACTGGATCGCGCCGCCGGAGTCCGCCGAAAGCAGCGGCGCGTCGTTGCCACAGCGGAGGGCCTCCAGGAGTCCCGTCGGAGACGGGGTGATGAGCCACCGGTCGCATAAAAGCCTCAGCAGTGTCAGGCTACGCGGAGAAGATGGCGGTATCAGCCTTCGATCTTTGATTCGAGGCCAACGCATTGATACTGTTCTGCGCAGCGGCGTCTCCAAAGTCAGCGACATGTTTTGGCGGAAAGACGCTAGCGATGAGCAATCCTCCAGCACATCATCTGATGACTCTGAGGACGAGGTCAGGGGAAGATCGCGGGGCATCTTACATGGCCGCAGTCTCTCCGTGCAAGATGCAAAGCTCTTGTCTCCCGGCGGGTCCCAGCTCAACCCTGATCACGCCAAGTCTGGTTCTCATGGCCAACTCCTGCACCCACCATCAAGGCCAATCAGCCGACGGTCATCACGATTCGATCTGCTCAAGCCGCCTAGAATCAATGTCCAGAGCGCCTCATCAAGTCAGACCGCGACACCCGTTTTGGTGCCTCAGCAGGAGCCTCCTGGATCGGACACGGAGTCGCTAGCCGGACGGGATGACGTACGAGCGCCCGCAGCTAGCCTTGACGCTGTGCTTACAGTCCACAACCCTCACCGTCATTCAACAACATCCTCCAGCCGGCAATGGTCCATCCCTGACCGCGGTGCCTCTACCGGCTCGGCAGTCTCTAGGCGCGAAATCGCCCGCCTCCGCGCGCTCCTGCTCAGCTCAGGCATCCACGCAATGGAGCTTGACCGCCGCGCTAAACAGCGCAAGCTGCTTCCCTCCCCAATGCTCACCACCGCCACCAGCAAACCGCCGCCGTCCTCGAACTGGCAGGAAATAGTCCGCCTTGCTCCCGACGCTTCCGCTCAGCAGCGCCTCCTCAATACCCCGCTCACACGAACCGACTTCTACCCCATCGCCGCCCGCACCCTCGCCTCGTCGGTCGAGAAGTCCGCCGCGCACTTCAACTCCCTCTCTTCCAAGTTCAGCGCCGAGACAGCCCCCGAGCTGATCGCGCGCATTGAGGCGCTCCGGAGCAAGGTGGACGGCGAGCTGACGGCCCTCACCCGGTCGGCGGCCGACGCCGCGGACGAGGCCAACCACGACCTCGTGGTGGGGCAGCGGTTGAAGGTGAAGAGGGTAGTGGACTCGATGGAGACCATGTTGAGGCGGCGGCGGCGGCGGTTGAGATGGGTGAGACGGGCAGGCTGGCTCGTGGTGGAGTGGTTGCTGGTCGGGTGTATGTGGTATGTTTGGTTTGTGGTGATGATCGCACGGGTTGTGCTTGGGGTCGGGAAAGGGTTTGTGAGAGGGGTGAGGTGGTTGCTGTGGTTGTGATACACCCACCCACACACACACTTCCCCCCCCCCCCCCCCCCCCCCCAACACACACACAAACACCGCACAGTTAGGGAGGGTTTATTTCTTCTGTATTGGTTGCATAACTTTGGGAGCTGATGGGAGTAGGGTTCTTTGGCTTATTAGCATACACGCGGTTGATGGTGCGGGGAGCACAGGGGAATACGATACCCAAGGACCTATATGTACTTACTTGTAATACTTTCTCATGTCCTTATTATGGTAGAGCTCAGAGAATAGAGCACTTGAACTTGCTAATAACCTGTACCGGCTGATGGGGACAATGGCCTGTGACTCTGCGAGTCACTGAACTCGTAGGACCAAGTTATCTTTGAGTATTCTAGTATGTGTACAATACCTTACTTAATATTACAAGCCTAGGGGAACAGCACCCACGACAAAACCAGTCGCTCCAATCTCAATATCCCTCTACCTCGCTCGAATTGAACTCTAAGGTTCCGATTACACCCAGTAATAACAACAGGCAGATACGAACCGAAGCAAAGCCATGATTGCGAATCTTAGAAAAAGGTCTACAAACACACAACAAAATGCGAAGCAAAGTCTACTCGATCCTCTTCTTTCCTTCCTCAGCGTTGATGTATCTCGCTGTGCTGAGACCGCGCTCGTGCCGCGCCACCAGTGGCCCCAGCAGCCGGTCTTTGCGCACCCGGCTGATGGTCTCGTGGTAACCCTCTGTTGCCCACGGCCGAGGATTCAGCTTGGGCCAGTTGACCTAGGAGGGAGTGAGTCAGTATACGTTATGTTTGGCGGAAAAAGGGGGCGGGCCGGGGGGCAGGTTCAGCGAGGGGGAAAACACGTACATAAAGCATGCCGTTGCTGAGGATGAAGTGCACACACCAGGCCGTGACAGCGGCCCAGAAGAACATGAACAGCCGCAGCGGCCAGACGGTTGCGTCGGGCAACCGCGGCGTGTATGTTGCTACCAGGACGAAGAAGAGGCCGAAGGCGGCAATGTATGGCACGCTCTGGATCCAGACAGGCCGGCGGTCCGCAAAGATAAAGCTGGTCCCAATCCCGCCCGGCGGCACCTGGTAGGCGCCCAGGAACAGGTCGAAGGCATCCTGCCGGGGGCCGTCCAGGAAGTTGTTCTTGCAGTACCGCGTCACCGCCACGTTTGCGTCCTGCAAGGCGCCTCCCTTGGTTCGCTTCCCCAGCCTCGTCAGATCCGTCTTCATCGCGCCGGTCCCGGAGTAGCTCTTCGACACGACATCGGCGTTATCAGCCCACATATTCCGGAACAGCAGCTCGAACGCGTCGTCCTCGTCGGCGAAGCGCGACCCGGGCGCCAGAAGGCCGAGGTCAATAAAAATGCGGTCGAGCGTCCAACGCGCGAGCATGCTCTGCACCACGTTGGTGCGGTCCAGGCAGTCCATGCAGTTGGTGCGCACGACGCTCGTCTGTAGGTTGCGCACCTCCAGCCGCCCGTCGATGCGGCTGCCGGGCATGTCCGTGGCGCGGAAATACTGTTGCGCGACGAGCGCCTCGCGCATCCGGTCGATGAGCAGCTGGGCGCGATGCATTTGGAGGCCTTTCGTTTCGGCGTGGAAATCGAAGTAGATGTAGTGCAGCCGGTCGAAGTCCGAGCGTGGTTGGCCTCCGGTCTCGATGGTGTGGAATTTCTCTTCGGTGCGCTGGTCGGCCTGCGTGCGCTCCTTGGGGTTGGAGACGAGCATTTCGACAACCTGCTCGTACGCCTGCTTGACGCGCTGCTCGCGACCCTTTTGGTTGACGAGGTTCACGAGGTAATTGTCGCCGTAGATGCGGATCTGCTCGTCGAAGTGGGCTTTGGCGGCGGGGAAGGCGGCCTCGATGGCGCGGATCTGGAGCTTGGGCGTGTATTTGAGGGTGTTGACCTCGGCCCAGTATGCTGGCACGCTGCCCCGCGTTTGCACATATGACATGATTTGCATGTCTTTGCCCTCGCCCGATGGGTTGCGCTGCCACCCTGGACCTGAGCTGCTGGCAGACCCGCCGAGACCTGCAGCGCTGTCGTTAAGTATGAGCACCTGTTCAGTCTCGTTGTAGTTGGCGGCGTTTCCCTGGTCATCGAGGCCCCGTGTGAAGTAACGGGTGCCTGCCCGGTGCCGAGACCGTCTTGTGATCAGGGCTATTGTCACGGGTGTGCCCTTGAAAGTCGTCGGGTGGATCTCGAGCATGCCAAAGATGACAGGTAGAATGTAGGGGTCAATGCCGGGCTGGGGAGCTGGCTGACCACGGCCACCACGGGTACGGAAGTCGATTAGGTCAGATTGGATGAAGCGGTTCCAGAAGAAGCGGTCGTCGGCGCGCTTCCAAAGCGGGCTCGAGGTGTCCTGCTGCGCTTGGCGCTGGAAGCTGTTCGTGATGTCGACCGAGTACGAAAAGTACATGGGACCGGACTTGATGAAGCTGCGCAAGAGTGCGAGGAAGCGGTCTTCATCGGGGTCGTGCACTTGGCGCTCGCGCAGGGGCAGGAGCTCGGTCGCGATGATCTTGTACACCATGTTCCCGCGCAGTCTCCCAACGGGCTGGGCCTTGGTGATGACGATGATGTACTTGTCTGAAGTTGTTAGTAACCCCTGGACCAACATAACGATCCCTCAGGTGGTCGACATACCAAGCCGTAACCGGATCATGCCCAGGATGCCGGCGATGCTGGTAACGCGGGACACACGTTTCCCGGAGAGGAGGGATGCATCGCTCAGCCTAATGTCGCCCGTTGGGCGGTCAACGCATAGGGCGGGCGCATTAGGGCTCGACGGCGAGGAGAAGATGTAGGAGTCCGAGGCGGTTTGGACGTTGATGTCGCGGAAGGGGAGAGCCATGGTTCAGCGCCGTCAGGGATAGCGGCGATGTAGAGCGAGATTCAGCTGATTTTAGCTTTCTGATTGCATTCCACCGGTTTTTAACTGGATTTAGAAGGTAAAAATCTCGGAAATCTGTCGTCAACCAGTGCAGTCAATGTTCGAATGCTAGGAATACGAGGGTTAGTCTCGACTACCTACCATCCATCACCGACTTAAAGCTGACGTCTTAGGTTAGCTGCCAACAGGAGGCGCTTAGTGTAATGAGTTAGTTGCCAGATTGAGCTCATGGGCGGGGCGCCTGGCGCAGCCTTGGCACTGGCCCCTGTCCGCCAGCCCGTTCACTGTCACGTGAAAGCGCACAGACCATCCCGGCTTATCGGGGCTAGCCTGACGTGTGCAACCCGCCTTCTGACCACTGACGAGTGGCCAAGGCCCAGGCAGTGTTCAACGATCTCGCCGAGCGGCTTCTCGTCCCGTGGTCTTCCTGAAGCAACCTCAACTGCAACTTTACAAGAGCCCGACCGTTTATCTCGGCCTTTATTCCGCAACTTCCCTGCCTGCCTCGATTTTTGTCCCGCACTAGAACATCGTTCTTTAAGGGCGAGCTCCCGCACTCAACAACACTGCGCCGTCTTGCCGTCACCTCCGGCTGTCTCTTATTACACCGCATCACCAGAACGTCACGATGGCGACTCGAGGACCCCCCGGCGCTCGCGGCATGAGCAACCGCTTTGCACAGTTCAAACTGGTGCTTCTAGGTGGGTGACCCCGTGCTGTCAGGCGGATACAGCTGCTTACTTTGCGTACTTTGCGCAGGCGAATCCGCCGTAGGAAAGAGTTCGATCGTATTGCGATTCGTTAAGGTGGGTTTCTGAAGGCTGTCCGCGAACTGCGGAACGCGGATCGGCTGACCGCGACCAGGATCAATTCGACTCGTACAGAGAATCCACCATCGGCGCTGCCTTCCTAACACAGACAATTTCGCTGGACGAGAACACGACGGTCAAGTTTGAGATCTGGGACACAGCGGGCCAGGAGCGGTACAAGTCGCTGGCGCCAATGTACTACAGGAATGCCAACTGCGCGGTCGTTGTCTATGACATCACGCAAGCCGTACGTCCTGTCTTCCTCGGGTTTGAGTCGCTACTCACCAAAGTTTAGACATCACTCGACAAGGCCAAGTCGTGGGTCAAGGAGCTGCAGCGGCAGGCAAACGAGAATATCATTATCGCTCTCGCTGGGAATAAGCTGGACTTGGTGACGGAGCAACCCGACAAGCGGGCAATCCAGACGGCCGACGCCGAGGCATACGCGAAGGAAGCCGGCCTCCTCTTCTTTGAGACTTCGGCCAAGACGGCGGAGAACGTGCAGGAACTGTTTACCGCTATCGCTAAGAAATTGCCACTGGACCAGGTGGGGCCGAGGCATACCCGGCCCGGCCAGAGACCGGGTGTCAGCCTAGCCCCGGAAGGCTCAAACACAACAGCCGGAGGGCCCTGTGCGTGCTGATGGAGCTTCAAGGATTGGGTGATTGGCACAGTATACGGGCGGCCCAATCCGCTCCGCTGCTGAGTCGGATGGCACCTAAGAGGACGGGCTCGGGTTACGATCATAGAGCAGGTCATTACATGTTACTTAAGATTTTCACGGGAAGGACGTTGGCATCACACTTCTGGAGCGGAGTCTGCTGGATGGAGGACGTGGATGCCGTTTAATACCTTGTTCATGGGTTTATGTTTGTTCTTGCACACCGGCTAGAGAGAGCCGCACATCGGGTAACATGGGAGAGGCAAGGAGGGCAGGCTGGTTCTCTCGGTGTATAGTATTTCTGATAGAGCAACGGCTTGTAACGACACGATAATCCTAATCATGACGCTGGCTGCCGGTGGAGTAGGGTTGGACATGTCGCAGAGTCAGAGCTCAGTGGCCCAATACAAATTCTGGGCGGTCAACAACCAATTTGGCGTATATTTATTTGCATTCCTTATCCATTCCGGATTGATTTTCTCCTGCTTTTCGAGTTCACTACCTACATAAGATAGCATCGGGGGACGTGGAGCCTTGATGCTTGACCTTGTGCCCTCAATTCCCTGTTTCGTTGCCAAGACCCGACCCGCTGCCACTCAGCAGCGAGATCACGCAGCTCTGTCCCGGAACTTTGCCGAGCTCTTTTTTGCTTCCGCATTCTTCCCAAACCCACCACATCCACCCTTCACAATCGCGCCTTGTCGGCCACCCCGTCCCCTCATGTTGCGGACATCGCTGCGATCCGTGAGGGCGTTGGGCAACAGGCCCGCGGCAGCCGCTGCCGGCCGTCAATGGCAGTGGCAGGTTGCTGCAGCCCGGCGTGCAGTCGTGCCTGGGCAGGTATGAGGTCATGCGCGAGCTCTGCACCCTGGCTGTGAGCTAACCAGACCGATTCTGGATCCAGAGATTCTATGCCGATGGCAAGAAGCCCGATGAAGTCAAGATACCTGCCTCCGAGACTCTGACAGCTCCCTCGACGCCGCCACCTCCGCCGTCCGAGAAGGTCGCTCCCTCGACCATCTCCTCCAAAAACGCGCCGCTTACTCCGCCGTCGCCTCCCCCTCCGCCGCCGGCACCGCGCAGGAAGAAGGGCTTCTTCCGGAGACTGCGCAACTTCATCCTTACTCTTACCCTCCTGAGCGCATTGGGCTTCGGCGGCGGCGTCTGGTACTCACGCATCAACGACAACTTCCACGACTTCTTCACCGAGTATGTCCCGTATGGCGAACAAGCGGTTCTCTACCTGGAGGAAATGGACTTTAGGAAGCGCTTCCCCAACGTGGCGAATCGGGTGACTGGCAGGCGGCCAGATGGCGAGCAGGTCAAGATCCCCGCCCAGAGCGGCGCCTCATGGCGTGTCGCGGACGGCCACGAGTCTGGCGGACGGCAGTCAAGCGCCATCCAGAAGGTGGCTGCTGCAAAGCCCAAGTCCGAGCCTGCCGTCGTAAACGAGGCCAAGACAGAGACTGGCAAACTGCCGAAGACTAATGCCAAGGAAAAGAAGGGGGACATCCAGAAGCCTGTGCCAGCGCCTGTGGAGAAGAAGCCCGAATCCACGCCAGAGCCTACACCTGCACCGGTGCCTTCGCGGGCGCTCGCGCCGGCCCTGTCGGCCCCGCCTGCGGACAAGGCGTGGAAAGCCCCCGAGGTGGACGAGCCCTCACGATGGCCCCCGGCATCGCCCATCGACCCTCTCGCTGTTCCGGACGCTGCCGAGCCCGTCGTGCAAGAGCTGGTGCATCTGCTAAACGACATCATTACGGTAATCAACCACGACGGAGCCAGCGAGAAGTACGGTGCGACGGTCGGCAAGGCCAAGGGCGAGCTCAACAAGGTGGGCCAGAAAATACGCCAGCTGAAGACGTCTGTGGAGCAGGAGGCGGCACAGCAGGTCAAGAAGCGTGTCGACGACTTTGACAAGGCAGCCAACGAGCTGGTTTCGCGGCTGGATGCCGTCATGTCGGCCCAGGAGCAGCAGTTCCGGCGCGAGTTTGAGGCCGAGGTGGAGCGTCTAAAGCAGAGCTACGACAACAAGGTTAAGCTGATCCAGGAGCGCGAGCGGCAGCTGGCCGAGGAGAAGCTCAACAACACCCTTCTCCAGCAAGCCATCGAGCTGCAGCGCCAGTTCGCCCGAGACATCAAGAAGCACGTCGAGGAGGAGCGTGACGGCCGCCTCGGCAAGCTGAACGAGCTCACGGCCGCTGTAGCCTCGCTCGAAAAGCTCACGGCTGGCTGGAACGAGGTGGTCGACGCCACCCAGCGCACGCAGCAACTGCACGTGGCTGTCGAGGCGGTCCGTGCCAGCCTGGAGGACGCCCACCACCCGCGTCCTTTCACGAAGGAGCTTGTCGCGCTGAAGGAGATCGCGGCGCATGATCCGGTCGTTGATGCCGCCATCGCCTCGATCCACCCGTCGGCCTACCAGCGCGGCATCTCGACGCCTGCCGAGCTGATCGACCGGTTCCGCCGGGTGGCAGCCGAGGTGCGCAAGGCGTCGCTTCTGCCTGACAATGCGGGCGTGGCCAGCCATGCAGCGAGCGCTGTGCTGAGCAAGGTGCTCTTCAAGAAGCAGGGCTTGGCTGCGGGCGACGACGTCGAGAGTATCCTCACCCGCACGCAGACCTTCCTTGAGGAGGGCGATCTGGATAACGCGGCGCGGGAGATGAATGGGCTGACGGGATGGTCCAAGACGCTGAGCAGGGACTGGCTGGCCGAGGTGAGGAAGGTGTTGGAGGTGCGGCAGGCGTTGGAGGTATGTCCAGTCTTTCTTTGCACTTTCCGCTTCTTGTTCTATCACGTGCTAACAAGTTTACAGGTTATCCAGACGGAGGCGAGACTACAGAGCTTGAAGCTGGAGTAAGGGCCCTGGGCTTCAGTGCATTTCCTTTGTTGATGTATGTACATTGCTGGCTAGACCTTGTCTTTCTGTCGGTAGAAAAGGAAGGTCTTGGACTGGGTGCTGTGTATTAAATAAAGGTAGTCAATAGACATGATCTGGCGGACGATGCTTGGATTGTGATATTATTTTAGTGAATCCAAAGCTTCGAGATCCAACCTCCACGCTCTGCTTGCTGCTACCAGTGAATGCGACGATATTTAATCGGAGCGGAATTTTCCGCGATTGATTTGCTCAAAGAATGTCATCTTGCACCCGCCGGATCTTTTACCATCAATTGGTATCCCCGGGTTGGTAAATCGATTGAGGACTCAAGGCTGGTTGTATGATGTGATAGACACCAGTTTGCAGCTCTTTTTATCGGAGTCCGCTCTTTTGGTGTCACACACACCATGGAAAGTACGAGTGACTTATCTTCTTAGTAAGAGAACCAAAATCTCTCTAAGTGATGAAATGATTCCAGCACGTCGCTCCATCGCGGCATCTATCACCCAAGCCTCCCATCTCCGAGCATCTCCCACGGTAAGATCAATCTGGCGTCCTCTCATCCACACAACTAGATCCAGATCCCATTCCAGCACCACCACCACCACCACCACCACCACCACCACCAACATGGCCACCCACGCCACATCAGAAGCAGAAGCCGACGTCGAAAGGGCCTACGCCTCTGCTCTCGCCCGCCTCGCCCAACTGCAATCCAACCGCGCCATAACAAGCCTCTTCGACTCCTCCTCCCCGGCGCCCGCCGCCGCCAAGGACACGGACCTCAATGCGCTCGCCATCCCGGAAATGCTCGCCTGGCTCCGCCGCGCCGGCTACACCCCGGCCTCCCTGGCCGCGTCGGGCCTGCGCTGCGTGCACGTGGCCGGCACCAAGGGCAAGGGCAGCACCGCCGCCTGCATCGCGTCCATCCTGGCGCAGTACAGCAAGGATCAGTACCACGCTACTGCTACTGCTGCTGCGGATGCGGATGCCCAAGGATGGCGGGGAGAGGCAGCAGGAGGAGGAGGGGGGGGAGGGGCGCCGGCGGCAGCGGTGGGGCTGTACACGTCCCCGCACGTCTTCTCGGTGCGGGAGAGGATCGCGCTCGACGGGAAGCCCATCTCCAAGGCGAAGTTTGCGCGGTATGTGGACGAGGTGTGGGAGCGGCTGACGCAGGCGGCGCGGGAGGAGGCGGCGGCGGCCAAGGGGAGGATCGTGGTGTCGGAGGAGGAGCTGCGGGGCCCCGGGACGAAGCCGTTCTATTTCAGGTTCCTCACGATCCTGGCGCTGCATGTCTTTGTCAGGGAAGGGGTGCGCTGGGCGGTGGTCGAGTGCGGCATTGGCGGCGAGTATGATGCGACGAACGTGCTGCCCGCCGAGGCGGTGACGGCCGCGGTTGTCACGCATCTGGAGCTGGACCATGTCAATATGCTCGGGGACACGGTCGAGAAGATTGCCTGGCACAAGAGCGGGATTTTCAAACCTGGGGTGAAGGCCTTCTGGATACGGACGGAGGAGGACGAGCACGTGGGGACGCGGGCGGTTCTGAGGGAGAGGGCCGCGGAAAAGGGCGCTACGTTGGTGGAGGTTGGACGGACAGAGTTGGAAGCGTGGGATAGCCCCAAAGGCGAGAGACTGCAAGGCGAGTTTCAGATCTTCAATCAGGCGCTGGCGGTCTACGCGGCCAGGGAGCACCTGCTGCGGACGGGGGTCAAGCTGGACGGGGTGTTTGGTACGGATGAGTGGACGCTGAACGATTGCCCTCGCGAGTTTGTCACAGGCCTGAGGGAAGCCGCTCTGCCGGGGCGGTCCGAGGTCGTAAAGGACGACGATGATGTCGAGTGGCATCTTGATGGCGCACACACCGAAGACAGCTTGCGCTATGTAGGGAAGTGGTTTGCTGGCCGATCGAGCGATGACCGGCTCGGGCCCGACAACAGTGTTCGAGTTCTGGTCTTCAACCAGCAAGAGAGGGATCCCTCAGGCTTGTTGAATGCGCTACTCGCCGGCGCGGATATGAGAGGCCGGGGATCAGCCTTCACACACGCCATCTTCACCAGAAACGAGGAGAAAGATCCGACGGAGGGCGAGGACCGGGATCTCTCGGCGCAAATTAAGGCAGAGAAGGCTCTGCGCCAGGCAGTTGGAGGGGCCACACCTGGCACTCAGACGACGGTACACACCTCCGTCCCGTCTGCGACTGCGAGGGTCAGGGACATCGCAGCGCAAGCGAGGAAGGACGGAAAGCCGTGCAAAGTCTTGGTCACGGGGAGCTTCCACCTCGTCGGCCCCGTGTTGAAGACCCTCGGTAGTTTTGAAAACTAGGTAGTCTGCCATCCAGTCTATTCGTAGTACCTAACAGAAACTCCATACTGGTATCCATTGCTCATGCCGCGAAGCCCAACCTGTAAGTTGAATATCAAGGTAAATGATGGGACATGCGTCGATGAAGACGAGTCCGGCCACACAGATTCCCAAATACCCCCTTCTACAGCGCATCCGCACCCTCGAGAATACCCAGCGCACCGCCGACTAGGTGCAGACTGCCGGTGACGAGCACCTGCACTTTCGTCCCGCCAGCCCGTTCTGCTAAATCGCGGGCCGTGTTAATGGCCTCCTCGATGTTCGGGATGAGCATGACGTTAGCAGACGGGTCCAGGGCCTTCCACCTCTCGGCAAACCCCCGCTGCATCGTCATCTTCTCAATATCTGCGGGATCGTGTTGGTGGTTCACGAAGTCTGCGTGTATTAGCCTCCCACGAGATACTCAGCGAGTTGGACTGACAACTACTTACCCCGTTTGTACCCCGTCGTGGCATATGTGACGTTTGTGCAGAAAATGACATGCTCGAACCCCTTCCCAGCTGGGTCAGCGTTCTTGACGGTATTGCACAACCCGTCGAGGAAGTCGACAGCCTCGGTGCGCCCCTGCTGGTTAAAGATGAGCACCTTGGGTCCCCCTTCAGCTCGGGCGGCGCACTCGCCGACAAACCAGCGGGCTGCCATCTTCAGGCTGTCGGCCGTGTGGGCACCGTCAACATGCCAGAGCACGCTCCCTTCTTCTTTCACCTCGCACCTGCCACGCCAGACAACCTGCTCCAGGCCGTCCACAAATTCTTGCGGCAACCTCTCCGGGTTGGGTGAGAAGGAAGGATCCAGCTTCTTCAACGCCGTCTCAGCCAATGCAACAGCCAACGAGGCGTTCCGCTTCTGAAACGTCGCGTCCGGGCGGATCTTGACCGACTCCAGCCGCGGATCGATGTCTAGCACCTTCAGGTCAACCCCCTTCTCAACAGCCCTGTTCTTGAGCACCTCGGCCGCCGACGGAACCTGCTCGATGGTAAACGCCGGACACCCAGGCTTCATGATGCCCGCCTTGTGCCATGCGATCTTGTCGACGGTGCCGCCCAGCATAAACACATGGTCGATCCCGAGGGTGCTGATCCCGCTGGCGACGGGCCGCTCCACGACGTTCGTCGCGTCGTACTCGCCCCCGATGCCCGTCTCGTACACGGCCGCGTCAACGCCCTCCGACAGGAAGACGTGGTAGCTCATCAGCGTCAGGTAGCGCGCATAGACGGGTTTGCTGCCGGGCGCCGCCGCATCGGCCGCCACGTCGGCGTTGGCCTCGAGCCGGTCCCACACCTGGAAGAAGTACTTGGCGAACAGCTCCTCCGATATGGGCCGCGAGTCGATGCGGATGCGCTCGCGCACCGCGATCAGGTGCGGCGATGTGAAGAGGCCGACCTTGTGCGGCGGCCCCCCGCCGCCGCCGCCGGTCTTCTTCTTCTGCCGGTAGCGCGAGAGGATCGAGTCGACGAAGGCGCACGTGCTGCCTTTCCCCTTGGTGCCCGCAACGTGGACGATGTTGAGCCTGTCCAGTTCCTCCGGCCCGTAGCCGATGCGGGCGAGGTAGCCGCGCATCTCGCGGATCGACGCCGCATCGGGCCGGATGCCGGCCTTGCGGCGGGCCTCGATCACGGAGAAGGGGGTCTGGAGCGAGTTGAGCGCATCAATTGCGTCCTGCGCGGGTTAGCCACCCCTAAGATGGAGATTTTTCGTACGGCGCAGATATAAATTTGCCCTACATTGTACGTGCGGGTGGCCGTTGCCATTTTCCTCGCAAAAGGGCGGATGAATTCAACGTTCACGCGGGCCAATGACCTGGGGACTACGCCTGTCCAGCGCGCATGACGCATTGGAGCGAATCCCTCATCTCTCACTACTAGAGTAAGCAACGGATGGGGATTTTTGTCACGGGCACCCGAGATATGCGGATGTGCATTCCGACCCCCGAGATGGGACAGCGCGGAATACTCCGGTTTACGTCGGTGGAAGCATCGCCGACACCGGTGACCGGCCAAAAAGACGTCACTGCCCCTCTCTAGGTGGTCTGTGCGCAAGCACCCCGCTCTGATCTTGAACTGCTCAGGGCCGGACATCTTCAAAGTCCATTTTGCCATTTTGGAATCACCAAGTTATCACCGCTCTGGTGAAAATTAGGCAAGGTGGCCGAGCGGTCCAAGGCGCCAGGTTCAGGCCCACCTGAATTCTGCTTCAAAAGCATCTCCTGGTCTCAGTAATGGGGCGTGAGTTCGAATCTCACCCTTGTCACTCTTTTTCTCAGCTGTTCTTTTGGCGGGTTGGATTGTGATTGTGATTGTGATGGGATGGAAGAACCTCCTTTTGAAGACATGCGGGGCAGGGTGTTGAACGAGGGGCAGTGTTGGTATCGGCTGTTTCTATCATTCGGTCTGTTTGGATACTGCCTCGACAACATGTTGTAGTCTCACTAGATAGCAACATGCCTGCGAGCTCGGCCTCAACTGCCGCGACCAGCGCGGGCCAGGCCTGTCTTGCCGACGCCGCAATACGACCTTCCCACGAGCTGTCGGATCACGCGCCAGGCGATAAATAGCGCCCGTCTTTGCATCTTGGTGTATATCTCCTGTCCTGCAGCACCGCCCGCCCGGCTTCCGAGTGCCTCTGCCGTCTCTTGAGATTGCCGTACCAGGCTCACAGCTCTTGATCAGCCCATAATGCCCTCAACATGCCTCTCAAACCCTAGTCATCCAGTTGCTCGGGTGTCCCGTTCCAACCCAGCAGATACTGCGGCAAATTGCATCGAGATTCACTCTCCGTCGTCTGTTCTCGCAAACACTAGGTAGATGATGGATAAAAGAAGTCCCTGATCCTCACCTGACAGGCCTGGCCTGAAACTTCCTCGCGGCGACCCCCTCGAGTGGATCCCAGCCGACATGCACTCTGTCGCTGATTGGTGCGGGTAAAATGCTGGCTAAAATGATCACTCGACGTTCGTGGGGTGCGTGGAAACTTGGAGCCACGCCCGACAGCTGCACTATCATCCGCTGGGAGCTTCCCGAGAGCTGCTTGACGGGTGTAAGCGGCCCTCACCAACAGACTCACCACCATAACCATGGCGTAATCAGCTCCTGCTGGCCAGGCCATGGGCTGGGTGGATTGCCGGCTGTATGCTGCAGTGGGGAGGCCCGGTGGGGGATTTGACTGTGAGACTGTTAGGCGACGGTATCGAAGCTCCCCGCATACCGTCAGTTGAGGCGGTTGGACAAGGTCATAATAACCTAGGAGGGGCATCAGTACATAACGTACGCTGTCTGTGTTCGCTCAGGCCAGTTGGAGATCTCCGAGAAACGGCGGCTCTGCACGACGAGCAGTGTAGGTAACGTATTTAATCCCAACTGATTCTCGTCTGATCCTCTTCCTGTTCCTTCCCGACGAGCTTCCTCCATTGTCAACTCAACCGCTGCTCCGTCCCGGAGTCCATTGTGAAGTTCATCGTTCCTCCCCTCCGGCTTCACACTCCACAACAAAAACTGAACCTCACAATGGCTTCTGTAAGTCCCGCCCTCTACGCCGCCAACCCCGCAACCAAAAAAATAGAAATCACTAACAACCTGCTCCAGAACCTCTCCTTCGTCCTCAACAAGCCCAACGATGTCACCTTCGAGGAGCGGCCGCGGCCGCAGCTCCAGTCACCGCACGACGTGCTGGTAGCCGTCAACTACACGGGCATCTGCGGGTCGGACGTGCACTACTGGGTGCACGGCGCCATCGGCCACTTCGTGGTCAAGGACCCGATGGTGCTGGGCCACGAGTCGGCGGGCACGGTGGTGGAGGTCGGGTCGCAGGTCAAGACGCTCCGGAAGGGCGACCGCATCGCGCTCGAGCCGGGCTACCCGTGCCGCCGCTGCGGCGCCTGCCTCTCGGGCAAGTACAACCTCTGCCCGGACATGCAGTTCGCCGCCACGCCGCCCTACGACGGCACGCTCACGGGCTTCTGGGTCGCCCCGGCCGACTTCTGCTACAAGCTGCCGGACAACGTGTCGCTCCAGGAGGGCGCCCTGATCGAGCCGCTCGCCGTGGCCGTGCACATCGTCCGGCAGGCGCGCGTGCAGCCCGGCCAGAGCGTGGTGGTGATGGGCGCCGGCCCCGTGGGCCTGCTGTGCGCGGCCGTGGCGCGCGCCTTTGGCGCGAGCAAGGTGGTGTCGGTCGACATTGTGCCCGCCAAGCTGGAGTTTGCGCGCGCGTATGCCGCCACGCACACGTACATGTCGCAGCGCGTGTCGGCCGAGGAGAACGCGCGCAACATCATTGCCGAGGCGGACCTGGGCGCCGGCGCGGACGCCGTGATCGACGCGTCGGGCGCCGAGCCGTCGATCCAGACGTCGCTGCATGTTGTCCGCATGGGCGGCACCTACGTCCAGGGCGGCATGGGCAAGGCGGATATCACGTTCCCCATCATGGCGCTATGCCTGAAGGAGGTGACGGCGCGGGGCTCGTTCCGGTACGGGAGCGGCGACTACAAGCTCGCCATCGAGCTGGTGGCGGCCGGCAAGGTGGATGTCAAGAAGCTCATCAATGGTGTTGTGGCTTTCAAGGATGCCGAGGATGCGTTCAAGAAGGTCAAGGAAGGGCAGGTCATCAAGATCCTGATTGCAGGGCCGAACGAGAAGGTTGAGCAGGGCATGAACACAAGCGTGGACGAGAAGAAGCTCAGCCAGGCGCAGGCGGCGGGTAGCACCGGGTGCTGCTAAGGAAAAGGGGGGGGGGGGGTAAAAAATGGTGTACTGCATATGAAACGACATGGATGGTGTGTGTGGTTGAACGGCGTACGGGGCATACGGGTCGGGGTGGGGTGAGCAGTTTTTCATTTTCGTCATCGTGTTCAAGTCGTTGTATCTATTGGCGTCTCGATTGTTTACAGGGAATCTGATGGGGAGTAACTGGTACCCTGAAGAAAGGATTGTAATGTATCCGTAATCCTCACATCTAGAGCATGCCCAAGTACCGCGTCTCGATCTTCGGCTCGGCCGTTGCCCCCACAACCGGAATGCTCACCACCTCGCCGGGCACGATGTCGACCAAGTTATCCGCAAACTTGACATTGTCATCCTCACACTCCAGCGCCACGCCCTTGACAGGCACCTCGGCGCTGATCTCGACGGCCGTGCGATCCGCCGTCAGCTGCGCCTTGAGCGCCTTCGGCTTCTGCAAGTGCACATACTTGAGCGGCTCGGGCCAGTTGACGTACCGCGCCACCTGCCTGCCGTCCTTGTCGACGAGGTAGGCCGCCACCACGGTGCGGCCCTCCTCCCCGGCATCCTGCTTCCGCACCGGCACGTCCAGCGCCGCGATCTCGGTCGACCTGTTCTCCGGCAGCAGTTTGGCAGTGGCCACCGTCTGCGAGAAGGTCTCCTCGCCCGTCTCCACGTCCCACGCCTTCAGCACGCAGTCGGCCGTGACGTCCTCGAGCGTGAGGTTGCTCCCCCACACCTCGATCTGCGTCGTGACGTCGATGTTGACGCGCGTGTACTTGTCGCGCGGGTGGCGGTGGGTGCGGCGGGCGATGCCGATGCTGAGCGGCGCCATCTCGCGCTTGACGGTGAAGTAGGCCAGCTTCGGGCGCAGGTAGTAGTCGGCGATGCTCCAGCTCGTCACGGGCCAGCAGTCGTTGATCTGCCACACCAGCGCGCCGCCGCAGTACTCGCGGCCCGGTCCGCGCCACTCGCGCTTCCACAGCCGGTAGGCCGATGCCAGGCACTCGGCCTGCATCAGCTGCGTGCTGTAGACGAAGTGCTCCAGCGGGTCCGGCGCGTACCGCATGTTCTCGACCAGGTACAGCGCGATGCGCCGCTCGTGGCCCTCGGCCTTGTTGTGGAAGTCGACCGTCGACGACTGCGGGTACCGGTCCGGGTCGTCCCTGCCCCGCGGCAGGTAGGCGTCGATCGTCTTGACCGAGGGGAAGGCCTGCATGCCGAACTCGGACACGAAGCGGCCGACCAGCTTGTCGAAGTTCTGCCACTTCTCCTGCGTGCCGTGCCACACGTTCCACTGGTGGATGTCGCCGACGGTGGCGTCGCGCGTGTCGCGGCCCGCGCCCCAGGGCGAGCCCGGGTGGTAGAAGGTGGTGGGCACCAGGTCGGCGCACGCGTCGGCGAGCACCTTCTCGTAGATGTAGCGGGCCGGGAAGTCGGTCTGGAGCCAGCTCTCGGCGTCTTTGTTGGCGTAGTCGTACGTGAGCCCCGCCGACTCCTGGTACTGGTAGTCCTCGTTGTTGCCGGCCCAGATGACGATGCACGGGTGGTGGCGCAGCAGCTTGATGTTCTCGCGCGCCTCGCGGTCGATCGACTGTAGCAGCTCCGGCCAGGCCGGGTAGTTGCCGCAGCCGAACATGAAGTCCTGCCACACGAGCACGCCAAGCTCGTCGCAGGCGTCGTAGAAGGCTTGCTCCTCGTAGATGCCGCCGCCCCAGACGCGGATCATGACCTGGTTGCCCTCGGCCACCAGCTTGACCCAGTCGTAGTACTTCTCGCGGCCGATGCGGGGGATGAAGTTGTCGGCGGGGATCCAGTCGCTGCCGCCGCAGAACACGGGGATGTTGTTGACCTCGAAGAAGAAGCTCGTGCCCGGCTGCTCCTGAACGGGCCGCTGGACCAGCTCGGCCCTCCGAAGACCGATCCGCTTGGAGAGGGCGTCCACCTCCTCGTCCCCGTCAAGCAGCGTCGCCTTGATGTCGTAGAGGGGCTGCTTGCCATAGCGGATGGGGTACCACAAGGCGGGGCTGTCGATGAGGAATGACACGCTGGCTGTGCCGGAACTGGCATCGACAGTCTCGGAGGCCACCTGCTGGCCGTCCAACGAGACATCAAACCGCACCTTGCCTGCCTTCCCTTCGACCGGTGCCGCCACCGTGACATTGGCACGGCTCAGCGACTTGTCGACCACTGTCTCGGCGTGCAGATCCGCCAGGCGCGACTCGTAAATCTCAAGGTTGATCGGCCTCCAGGGGCCACAGGTCAGGAGGGTCGGGCCCCAGTCCCAGCCCTAACAAATTGGTAAGCCTTGAGGTTCTTGCAATGTCCAGTCTCACAGGGGTCGAGGCGCAGACTCACCCAGTGATACTGCGCTTTCCGAACGGCCAGGCGCGAGGTGTCGCCGTTCCAGCAACCCCACTTGTGATCCGGGTACTTCTCGACCAGCTTGCACCCGCGCAGGAAGGCGCTGTCAAAGGTGATGACCAGCTCGTTCTCCTCCTTCAGCACCGAGGTCACATCGACCCGCTCTGGGACGAACATGTTGTCCGTCTCGAGGATGGTGGTGCCGTTGAGCACGACTGTCGCAAAGGTGTCGAGCCCGTCGAAGGCGAACACTGCCCTGGCATCACCCGCGGGCACCGGCTGGGCTGCAAAGCTGGTCCGGTACGTCCATTGCGCCTCACCCACCCACTGGACGGCGAGCTCGTTCTTGCCGATGAACGCATCCGGGATCAGGCCGTGGTGTTGCAGGTCGAGGTGGACATTGGTTGGGAACTGGCTGACGGGCAGGAACTTGGAGTCCTCCTTGTCTGCCTGTCTAAATTGCCAGTTCTTGTCGACGGGGATCACGACGCGGGGCGCCATGACCGGGCAACAAGATGGGCGAAGGATGGATGGATGTGGGAGTTCAGAGGGGTGGGAGGGGCAGACTGGCGGGGACTACATACAAATTAATGAAGCTTCCTCTGCCGTCTCGCACGCGGAACTTGGAGAGAAGATGAGGGGGGTGGACGAGGCAGCAGACAGCGACTGGCTGCGCCAGCACGACTTATAGAGCCGCCTTCTCGTGTTAGTGATCCATCCATGACATGACTGAACTCTGGAGCTCGAGTTGCCGGATAGGCACCGGCAACAACCGCGGGGCTGGTGCTCCCGACTCCTGAACACCCCACCACCGACGCACCAGGATTCGGCTTCTGGATCCAGGAACATCGCGTTCCCAGAGGTGCAGTACAATTGCCATTGGAACCCTGCATTCAATCCATCCGTCTGATGCCGCCGTGCACGATGTGCCGTATGAATGCGTTGATGCAGACCAAACTGGCGAATTCTGTGATTCCACAGCCATAGTAAACATCTACTTTCTTAGAAGGCGCTCTTGCTGGTTGTCTGAAGAGCAAAGTGCATGCCGTCTACATGCCACATCTGGAAGTCCTTCGATCTGCCCACTAACACGCCCATTTACCCTGCCGCGATAGCGTGGAGACTTGACGGCGGAGGGAGCTGCTCCGTGATGTTTTTGGACAATGCCAAGCATTCAAGCGCGGTCCTGGTAAGACTGTAAGACATGCGCGGCTATCAGCTTCCTGCAGAGTAACGCCGCTGCCGCCGTAGTCCGGAATGTTCACTGCAACTTCACACTGACCTGGGACCTCGCGGCAAGAACGTCAGTTGGATTACTTTTGTTGAATTTCATGTGAGGACGTTGTCCGGTCTGATCGAGAATGTCTTAATATTATGCGGCTACGCACCGCAACTATCTATCGCTCCCGACTCCAGAAGCCCGTAAAAGAACATCATGATGCCGCGAAATCTCTACCAGACTGGCCACCCTAAGCCTCAAGACCCCCATTAAGCTCTTCGGCCCAGCCGACCGAGTATTAAGTATCGTAGTAGTTATGGTATCATCGAAATGCGCCGCTCAAAATCCCGACCCTGCATCCCATCACATCAACCGCCCCAACTTCATCAACAGCACCCTCTATTTCGCCTCCGATTCGTCAACGTAAACACCTCCTCCCACTCCCTCAACCCCTGCGCGCCCCTCCTGCCTCTCTTCCTTCTCCTCCCGCCTATCCCAACCTCGTCCGCCGTGATGGTGCTCTTGATACTGCCCCCGTCGCTCGCCCCAGCGTTCCACACCGCCCCGGCGTCGCCGTACTGGATCCCGCTCATCGGATCATCCGGATCGATCTCGCCGAGCTCGATCTTGGTCAGGATCATCCTCGCCAGCCGCCCAAACACCTCGTCCACGCCCTCGCCGTTGAAGGCGCTCACCTCCATCGTCACAGGTATGTTGACCGTGCTGGCCCACCGGCTGGCCTCCACGGCTGACACCTCCCTGCCGTCCGGCGCCACCGTCGCCTTCAGCTGCGCGCCCAGGCCCGGGTGGATCGTCGACGTGGACGAGTAGCTCGACGAGGGTACGGGCGTGCTGGCGTAGGACGTGGACGCGGACGCCGAGCTGACGATGCTGGCGCTGCTGCTCGGCGTCGGCGGCGGCAGGCCCGTGGTGTCGACGAGCGGGTCGCCGGCCAGATCGAGCTTGTTGCCGACCAGGAGGAGCGAGAGGTTGGGCGAGGCGAGCGCGCGCGCGTCGTTGAGGAAGGGCTGCAGGCTGTTGAAGGACGTGCGCGAGGTGATGTCGTAGATGAGGATCGCCCCGGCCGCGCCGCGGTAGTAGGACCGTGACACGGACCGGAAGCGCTCCGTGCCTGCTGTGTCCCAGAGCTAAAGGCAAGGAGGGGAGGGGTTCGGTTAGCCAGGGGTTCTCAAGGCAAGGGGGGAGGGGGCCCCTGCGGGGAGCCTGCCGATGTGCATCATCATACCTGCAGCTTTATTCGTTTCCGCCGCGCTCCCGTGCCGACTTTGATGATCTTGCTGGCGAACTCGACGCCGATTGTTTGTGATGAGAGGACCCGCCACTCGTTCTTGACAAAGCGGTGCAGTAGGCACGATCTGGTCTTTCCGTCAGTTTTTCCGGTTCCTGCGACGGCGAGGAGGCGACGCGCGCAAACTCACTTCCCCGTCCCGCTTGGCCCTAGCAATATCACCTTTGCCAGGTAATCGTACATGCTCCCCAGTTCCTGCTCGCGCACCGTTCCATTGCTGTCGTCGCTGGTGGCGGATGAGCGCCGTGGGCGCGTCATCCCGGGCAGTTCAAAGCTGCTCATGCGATTTCCAGCTGCAGTCGGGCCAGGTTCCGTGGCTGCCGAAGCAAGTCCCTTGGGCGCGATCGTGTTGTCTTCGTGATGTTTGGTCGCGAATGCCCCCGCGTGCGTCTGCGAAGCTTCCCGGCCGAGTCAGGAGGGCGTCGCGGGACAGGGCCCTTTCGATTGCTGCTTATCGCGATGTTCAGCGATTCTTCGAAGTGGGTGCTCCTTGCTCATGCCGATATGACAGGGGATGCGAGTCGCAGTGACATCGCCGGTAACATCAACTGGCGGAACGGACCAACAATGCGGCACGGTCACTGCGGAGTCTTTAACAGTCCAAGGGGAAATACTGTATCGCTCGGTATCCATTACATCAGATATGGTAACATACACATTCGCTCGTAATTTACCGTAACTACCCTACCCATGACCACCCTGCAATGTACCGGCAGGGGTTTTACTTCCGAACCGAGGCCCGCACCCTTCCTCATGTTCCAGCTGTGGAGCCTCACTGCACTGCTGCTACGAACAGCAACGGCTTCGTACCAAGATGCCACATGCAGGTTATATAACATGACGCAGAACTGAGTCTGATATCCTCGTCCTCTCTTTCAACAGATCCGCAGTTTCATCAGCATGAAGATCTCGGGACGCACATTCGTCATCTCAGGCGGGTAAGCCTCCCTCTCGGGAATGACATGCCAAGTTGCCAACACAAGTCTCACTCACCACCAACACAGCGCATCCGGCCTCGGGCGTGCCTGCGTCCGCGACATCTGCGCCGACGGCGGCAACGCCGTGATTCTCGACATGAACGAGGACTTGGGCAACTCCCTAGCCGCCGAGCTCGGGCCATCAGCCAAGTTCTTCGTCTGCGATGTCTCCGACACAGAGAGCATCGCCTCGGCAGTGAAATCCACCGTCTCTTGGGTGAAAGAGACCGGCAAGCCGCTGGGCGGCATCATCCCCGCCGCCGGGGTGGGCCACCCCGGTCTCATCCTGGACAAGCAGCTCCGCCCCGTGTCGCTCGAGTCAGTCGACTTCGTGCTGTCCATCAACCTGCGCGGCACGCTCGACCTCGTGCGGCAGCTGCTGCCGCACCTGGCGGCCACCACACCGCAGGGACCGGATAACGAGCGGGGCGTGGTGGTCATGGTGGCCAGCGCGGCCGCGTTCGAGGGCCAGATGGGCCAGGTGGCGTACGCGGCGAGCAAGGGCGCCGTGGCGGCCATGACGCTGCCCATGGCGCGGGACCTGTCGCGGTTCGGGATCCGCGTGGTGACCATTGCGCCGAGCATGTTCGAGTCCAACATGACGGCGGCCCTGTCGGACAAGGTGCGCGAGGGGCTGCAGAAGGCGATGGAGTTCCCGCGCAGGGCCGGGCAGCCGGAGGAGTTTGCGTCGCTGGTGAGGCAGGCGATTGAGAATGTCATGCTGAACGGGACGGTTATTCGGTTGGATGGGGCGACGCGGATGCCGAGTAAGATATAGTGCCTAGTGGAAGGTCTTGGAGAATCGCGGAACAGGACCTGCATGTGCAAGTTTTCATCCGAGGACAGGGGCTACCTGGGGCGGCAATTGGAACCAACTTGATGTGACTAAACTTCATGTAAGGACGCGCTTCTCACCGCGCGACAGTCCCGCCATGGCCTAATACAGGCTCTCAACCAAGTCCTCCCCATTTTCCCACCGCAGGAGATTCTCAATCTGCATATCGTACCATGCATCCAGCGTAGCCCCTTCCACATAGCCCATATGTGGTGTCAGAAGCACCTGACTCCTCCCGTCCCGGCCCCATTTCGTCGTCCTCCATCGACTGTCCAGTGGGAGAGGCTCCAGGTCAAAAACATCGAGCGCCGCTATCCGAATCCTGCCCTCCTCGAGCACATCCAGCAGGTCCTTTTCAACCACCAGTGGGCCCCGCGAGGTATTGACAAAGATAGACGTCGGCTTCATCAACTCCAGATCCTTCCTCGAAATGCCCCCTCTCGACCGGTCCGACAGCACTAAATGCACACTCACCACATCCGCCGTCCTAAACAACTCCTCCTTGCTCACCACTTTGAAAGTCTTGTCCCCTCCCGGTCCGGCATCAACCCCCAGCCCAGCCTCCCTAGCCTTCTCATCGGCCTTCTCCTGCGTGAGATTCTCACTCCACGCCACCACGCGCATGCCAAACGCCACGTGCATGATCTTCGCGACCGCCATGCCCAACCTCCCCAGCCCAACCGTGCCAAACACCTTTCCCGCAAGACCCACCGCCGGCACGGTCTGCCACCCGCCGGTCTTGATCGAGAGGTCGTCCTGCGCGAGGTTGCGCGCCGCGCCCAGGATCATGGCAACGCAGTGCTCGGTGGTGGACACGGAGCCGACCGAGCCGGCGTGCGCGCGGTCTACCGCGCCGGCGACGGGGATGGACCGCTCGCGGAAGGCGGCCAGGTCCAGCGCCAGGTTGCGGTTGCCCGTGGTGAGCAGGAGCTTGAGGTTGGGCAGGCGGGCGACCAGCTCGCGTGGGAAGGGGGTGCGCTCGCGCATGGTGGCTGTTGGGTATTGATCATGGATTTGTTACTCGCTCACTCACTTACTATGGTACCTAGTTATGGACGGGGATGATGGAAAAGGGGAGTACGAACAGATGACTGTGAACGGCTCGAGTCGGGCAGCTAATTTGTCTTTCACCTCCTGCGGCGTGTCTGGGTGGTTGTAGGGGAGGAGGGTGTCCTTGAAGAAGGTCACTTCGTACTTGGCAGGGTCCAGGCTCTTGAACTTGGGCTCCGAGATCCCCTGGTAGTCGTCGAGGACTGCGATCTTGATCGGCGCTGGCATTGTGACGGCCGTGTTCGGGAGTGGTGAACGGTGTGTGATTTGGAGATGCTTTATTGTAGAGTGAACATGAAATGAGAAGGGGAAAGGTGTTCTTATCAGCTTTCCTTCGGCAAGCCGTTGTCCCGTCGTTGTCCGTTGTCTCCGAAAGCCGGCCCGATCACAGTGTTGTCTTTGCCGGCCCCACTGAGGTGTTCCCTACCCCGCAACAACACATACCGTATTGTATTTCCCGAGCGGAAAGGGTGGTTCCATTCTGTCGGTACTTGAAGCGGGTACGAAAGATCTATATGCCGCGGGATGATCCGCCGCCCGCTGTGGTTCCTGTAGATGCTAGACCACATTCATATTCAACTCGTGGACTTCCGCGTTCTATGTTGATTATCACTTCCGCCGGCCCCCGAGTTCGGACTTTCTTCGAGATGGTCGTACAGAGCTCGGGCAGGCTCGCCTTTCGTGTTACGATTCATTGGGACTGGAGTTTGGGGTTTAGAGGAAGTTACGGGCTCATCTGCGATAAACATCCGTTGAATCGAATGATCGTTACTGGCAGTGCAGTTAGGCAACGGGTTGTGTAAGTAGAGCGCCGGGACTGGTTGTCGACTACTTGTCATGTCGCCTTTCGAAATATAGGGGGTGATTAGCATGACCGCGATCTGAAAGACCCTTGGAGACATCAGCATTTCGATCCTTTCTTGCTTGATGGCTGATAGTACTCCTGGAAGATTGAATAAGTGTAAGGATTCAACTCGCATGTAAGGATCATGAGAAAAATGGAGATAAGAATGAAAAGAAGAAACGACAGGCAGAAATAGAATGGGGTAAACGTGGGATGGAAAATTGACGAAGAAGGAAAGCGAGCGAGCACAGAGATAGGAGGCGAAAAAGCTCACTACCAAGCTCTCCATTGGATCTGTCGCAAGGGAGGTTGGTAGCTACGAACGCCCCCTACCAGGGATTTACTTCGCTGGATACAATAGAAATTGAACCCAGACCATCCTTTCCTCGATGAATGGTTCAGAAGGATGTGTTACGGTGTTAGGACTCAGGTGTTCGCTGCATGGCATCGTTGCCGATCTGATATACTCCACCTTGCCCTGAGTTGTGTGGTGCCTCTGAAATCTGAACTGTCATTTCAGCGAGGTAACCAGTGCTTAAATTAGCCGTTGTAATGTATTGCGGCCTAGGGGCTTGCAAAGAACAACAAAAACAGAGCGATGTCAATGTAACGGTTATGGATATCTCCGCGGACTTAAGGTCGTAACACCGGATGTGCTAGCTGACGCGGCGGATCGCGCCTGCCACGACTATTCCATCTTCCTGACTCCATGGACTCTGACATGATCGCCTGACAGCTCGTTTCCAGTATTCATCCATTCAGGTCAAAACCGGAGCCAATCTGCCAGCTTCCGCCCTGCCGTCGATATGGAGTCTCCGGGGCCTGCATCCCCCGCGCAAAACGCGCGACAGCAACGCAAACCTATTCGGCGCAATCGCATCCCATTGTCATGTGAGCCCTGTCGCATTAGAAAGTTTGTAACTGCCTTGCATACTGGATCTGATCAGTTCGGCCATTGAGCCACGGTGAAAACGCTGCTGGGTGGTTCATGTGTTGACTTGGCCCAGGCTCAAATGCAACCGAGAGGAGCCTTGCCAAAACTGCACGGCTCGCCATGAGCAGGCACTTTGCAAATTCCGCGGACAGAAGAATGGTGCTAACGGAGCCCGGCAAGCTGCGGCTGCTGCCAACGGGCTCCGCCACCGGATTAACCACTTGGAGGATCTGGTCAAGCGACTGATCGAGGAACGTCAACATGTTTTACCCCCCGGCAGTATGACAGTCCACACTCCCGAAACCCCTGAACGCTCGACGGCATCCACCTCGTCAGCCGGGGCGGGCACAGGTAAGACAGTTATCGATGGCGTTCACTCAGTCTACCTGGGCGGCGATGACTGGCAGATCGTGCTTGAAGAGGTTAGTCCTTGGGAATGCTCTCGTACGTCGGGACTGGAAAATGGGTCCCTTGGCTAATCTGGCGGCTAGATTAAAGAGCTCAAACATGCTTGGACTGAAGAAGAAGAGAGCATCACACATGATCTCCAAACGCCCTTCTCGCACGTCGTCGATGGCTCGAGTCTACTGTTCAACCAGATCAAACCCCTCGAAAAACTGGAGATTCTCACCACGCTACCACATAAAACCAGAATAGACCGGATGATCTCCTATTTCTTTGATCGAAGTTTCCCCATCCGACTACCTCGTAGGTCGCCGAGGCTTGTGTTTCGCTGCGAGCACTGCTTACAACATCACTAGCTATCCTCCACGAACCGACTTTCATGCGCGAGGTGCGGGTGTGCCTGCTTACTTCCTGCTTCCTTTGCTGACGAATGCGGTCCTAGTATGACGAGCACTGGAAGGACCCGTCTAAGACAAATCTAATATGGCTCGGGCTCCTGTTCTCTATCCTTGGCGTAACCATGCTCGCATACCACCAGTACGGGGAGCCGCCGGAGTACGAAGGCACATCCGAGTCGCTAATGCAGCTCTATCGCATTCGCACGTCGCAGTGCTTGCTGAGCGGCGATATCACCAAGTGCTTGCCATACACCGTTGAGACGCTGCGCTTCCACGCCACTGCCGAGCTGAATCGCAAGGATGACAACAACCGCGGCCTATGGATCATGTCGGCCGTCGTCGTCCGTGCCGCCGTCAACATGGGTTACCATCGTGAACCCGCGCGGACACTGGGTATGTCGGCCCTGCAGGCCGAGTATCGACGCCGCGTTTGGGTCTCCGTGGTTAGCATGGACGACATGGCCTCATTCCTGGGCGGCTTGCCACGCATGACGTCGGCGATTGACTCGGACACCATGGAACCACGAAATCTGCACGACTGGGAGCTGCCGGAAGACCTGGCCGTTCTCCCTCCTTCGCGGCCACTCACAGAAGCTACTCCGGCAACGTATCTAATCGTCAAGGGCCGATTGTTTCGTGCCTTAGGACGCGTGGCAGATTTCAACAGCGCCGCGGTCCTGGGCTCATACGAAAGCCTCCTCGATATTGACCATGCTGTGCGCTCGGCGTATGAGGATTTTCCGCTGCACATGAAGGAAGTAGCAGTGCCTCCTGCTCACCAAAGGGGAACAACCATGGCCGACATTTCTAACTGGGGTCTGAGTGGGATGTATCACAAGGGCATGTGCACGTTGCATCGAAAGTTCATGGCAAAGGCGGCAACGGACAGCCGCTTCGAATTCTCCCGGGCTCGTTGCATCGAGTCTGCCTTGGCCCTCCTGGATCTGCAGCAGATGTTGACGCAGCAGTTTTACAAGCTTTGGCTGATCCGGAATATGCTGATCCACGCGGCCATGGTTTTACTTTTGGAACTTGAGCTGAGACGCAAGGGTCCGAATACAGAACCTGAATCCTTCCCGGCCACCACCGTTATTGTCCGCGCTCTGGAGAGGGCTTCTGCCCGCTGGACGGACGCGACGCACACCTGCGACGAGGCACGGAAAGCGCATCAACTCCTCGCCAGCATGCTCTTAGGCTTTAAGACCCGGAGTAGTACTGGGACGACGCCTCCTGGAGCTCTTGCAATGGTATCGAAAGAACCACCTTTTGAGCTTTCCAGTCCACACTTCGAACTCTCCAATGGCTCCGCCTCGTTCCAACATGACTTGACTGGCATGGAAGTAGACTGGGTTTGTCTCCTCCTGACTGTCTGTAGAAGAAACCCAGCTGACAAGTACAGGCTTCGTGGGATGCGTTCATTGAGGGCACAGGGGCTAGTTACGGAGCTGGCCCAATCTATTGAACGATAATCTCCAAATGACATGAGCACCAGTAAGCGCCGATGATCAGGCAGCGGGAGTTCATGCGCCGGTGGATGACAGCAGCGCCACGACTGGCAGGCCTCATTTGTGGTCAGGTAAACGGGGGGACGCTTTGTGATTGGGGGCGATGGGACGCATAAGTGACGGGAATATGCCTAACGAGGTGCCCGCCTATGGCCGCCTGTCAGGTTGCACAACATTGGCGTAGCTGTGACAAGCAAACACTAGGTAATATATGCTCCCGCCTCTTCATCCTATTTCCGGTCGGAACTTAATCCTATCGTCTCTGAGCGAGCTTGACTTTGATTCCTACGCCCGGGCACCTACACCACCTCATTTGACTCGCCTGAGACACAGTTGCTCATCACCATACGGTGTCTCGAGGCATCATGAATAAAACAGGCAACACCACGACTGCGTTTCGCTGTGAGCTATGCGACGCACCATTCCTGTCCCGAAAGGCCCTCCAGCAGCATTCTCTCGCCAAAGGACATCCAGTTACGTGTTACATGTGTAACGACAAACCATTTCCAACCCCCGACGCACTCGAGCAGCACTGCAAAGCCAAAGGACATCCATATTGCCGGCCATGCAATCGATTCTTTGCCAGGGCCGCTTCTCTGAGACAGCATCAGACAGACGCCGTTGCGCATACCACCCGTCCCGCTCAGCCAAATCCTCCTTCCCCTCCGCTGTCCAATGTGCTCCGTGAAAAGGGGCCCTTCCCCAGCCCCTTATTGTCGCACGCGCGCCAGTTGACCGATGTAGAGGAAGGACAAGAGCAGTACTCGGCCCCCTTCGAAACGGGCGCCAACATCCGCCCCCATGCGTTACCCTCGAACCAAATGATCGCGCAAGAGATATTGCGACAGCAGCAAGCCGCAGCCAGCGGCAGCAGCACCACTGACGCCGGCCTCACCAACATTCCCGGCTTCCCTCAGCCGCCCCTGACCTGCCGAGGCAACACCTACACCACGCTCTCGCCCGCCGAGCAAGCAACCCTCTATACCAAGCTCCTCGCACACTGCCACACTCGCGACCGCCTCCAAAGCGAAGGCTACACCCTCGACCCCAGCAGCGCCCCGCGCCACCTCCCCACCCCACCGGCCTTCAACCCAGCCGACCACCCGGCAGCAAATCACAAAGCCGTAGTGCTCGACTGCGAAATGGTCGGCACCGCGTCGGGAACCGACGAGGTCATCTCCCTCTCGCTAATCGACTTCTTCACCGGCACGCCCTTACTCGCCAACGTCCTCGTTTACCCCGATCCCGATCCCAATCGCGCGGGAGAAGACGTGATGGTGCGGATCACAGACTGGCGCAGCGACATCACGGGCGTCACGCCGGCCATGCTGACCGTCGCAAAGTTGCGCGGCGAGGCGCTATGCGGCGGGCGGGAGGCGGCGAGGGCCGCGCTGTGGAGGTACGTGAATGCCGAAACTGTGATCGTGGGCCACTCGGTCAACTTTGATTTGGCTGCCCTGGGGGTGGTGCATCCCCCTGGGCGGGTGGTGGATTCGGCGATTTTGACGGCTGAGGCGTACTATGGCAAGAAGAAGATTCGGGGGAGGTTTGCGGGGTTGGAGAGGCTGTGTAGGGAGTTGGTTGGGCTGAGGATCCGGGGAGGAGGGAATGACAACAAGAACGGTAGCGGTAGCGGTATTGGAGGGGGCAGGCATGATAGCATGGAGGATGTGTTGGCGGCTAGGGAGGTGGTGATTTGGTGTTTGCGCCATCCGGCGGAGCTGAAGGCGTGGGCGGCGGAGAACTGGAGGGAGAAGCCGAAGTCTTATTATAAGGCAGAGAGCAACAAGAACAAGAAGACAAGGAAGAAAAAGAATGGGCAGAGCACTGGTGGTTACAAACCTGCCAGAGCCGCACGGGGACTGTCGTCGACTGGTGGTTCCGGGGGCGGGTGGTATGACGACGAGGTTCTTCGCTGGAGCGATGTTGTTGACTCGGACACGTGGCCGAAGTCTCCGCCGGATTGGTCTGATTAGGATTAGGGGTGCTAGGTTGTTACATGTTTGCTGCGATGAGAGGACTTGTAATCCAATTATTCGGCTTCGAAGAGCCCGATTTTCCTACCTACCAGGTTAGTATCGACTATTATGCTGCTTATGGGATTGCAAGGTCAGGTACGGAACCAGCCTTGTTTGAAAAGAATTTTCCAAGAAAGGAGGAGCTCCTGTCTCCTCGGCGTAATTATGACCTTCTATCTAATGTCTGTGAGCATTATAGACCACAAGCTCCTGCCTTGGCTGAGTCCATATCTGCACAAGACCTGCTTGGCCCCTTCCAACATTAACATTGGAACAGGGGGCCCAAAACCAACCAACGTGAACCTACCTGGGTAAGCCTCATAGCCGCGCGGCCCGGGAAAGGGCGACACAATGTCTCGAATTGGACTCAAGCGGGCGAAAAAAAAAAAATAACAAACCTGACAACATGTTTCTACTCCTTAGAGGCTCAGCCCCGCATTCAGATTTCTGACTTTGATCTTATCGGTTTGCTCCGTCTCCAACGTGGCTGTGCTTGAATTTTGATTATTCTTCTCTATTCAGTTGTTGCCAGGCCGTTTATTGCTTATCAACATCCATCTCTTCTCCCCACCTTCCAAGCCTTTCCTCCCTTGTTGAGACTCCAGACAAGATGGGATGTTTCAGCAACTGCCGCCCCTACGAGCGGTTCTCGGTGCACCGAAGAGGGTTATCGGTGCACCAAAGGGGGTTTGGGAGGGACGGGGCCAGCCTCTCGGTCGCTCTCGTCGACTGGGACCAGCGGCGCACGATTCGCGTAGTAGCTATGTCTAGAGAGGCCCGGACAGACGAAAACGGCTTACTCGATGACGGGGACGCCCTCTTCTTCTTCGATGTCCTGGCGCGGCACATCGACCATCTCGCCCGAAATCATTCAAATTAGCGTAGGACCCGACGGTGACCTGCCCTCCACGTCGTGCGATCCCAACCTCGACCTCACCGAGGTCGCCAACTATCGCCCCCGCAGCGTCTGGCCGCCCGAACTGCCCACCGTGCGTCGTCGCCAACTCACAGAACTTGATCGTCTGGGTGTACAGACCGACCTTGTGTCCTACCGTCTCGGAGCCGAAACGCGCATAGTATGCTTCAAGTACTACTGTACCAACAGGAACTACGCCGTGATCTGGCACGAGGCCAACTGTCTCGCCAACATGCCCAAACATCCCAACATCGTCCACTTCGACAGCCTCGTCGTCGATCACGTAGAGGGTGGGGAGGATGTAGTGGTTGGCTTCACCACCAAGTTCATTCCGGGAGACACCGTCATAGACAACGTAAGCCGGGTCTTCAAGCTCAAGTACCTCAGGCAACTGATAACGGTGTGTGCCACTGACACCTGGTTCCCCGGGGTCAATGGTCACTTACTTTCTTTTTTCAGGCCGTCGACTTCCTCAATCTGCGACTGGGCATCGCCCACGGCGACATCGTTCCCTGGAATCTCCTGATCGACGAAGAGACCGACAACGTCGTGCTGTTTGATTTCAACCTTGGTGCCAAGCTCGGGTGGGAAGGCGATCCGAGCTTCAGGAACACCTTCAACTACGAAGAGCCACGCAACGACGTCAAGCTCACCGTGTTCACCATGTACGAGATCATCACGCGCGACCTGCAATTCCGCGGGGAGCTGTACGGGCACCCCCACGAGATCACCATCCTGGACGTGATGGGGCTGGAGGAAAGCGAAGAAGAGTGGTCGAAGCACGAAGACGTGCGGTTGGATGCCTCCATCGCAGAGTACCGCGCCGTACTCCACGAGTGGCTGGTCCGGAGGTTAACGAGCGACGACAAGGAGATCACCCACTACACACAGGCACCGGACCACATCGACTGGCCGGATGCGCCGCCACTGCCCGAGATGGATTTCGACGGAATGTCGGAGCGAGCGCCCTTGATCTTGAGGCAGATGCTGGTGAGGAAGGGGGAGAACTTCCTACGGTGGCAACGGCCTAGCAGCCATCAGCTCCCGCTTCCTGCTGGGAAACGACTGCTTGCCACGGGAGAGGTCGTGGATGATGATGATGAACAGGCCGCAACGTAATGGGCCTACTATGGAACTACCAAGAGCAGAAAAGGAAAAGAAGAAAAAAAGGAGAAAAGAAAATAACAGACAGACATCGTATGTGTTTGAAGGGGTCAGGCCACACTGTGCTAGTAGTACTAATACTACTATTTATCAGACACCCGCAGGCAGCTTCCCGCTAGTCAACCAATACACATTGTAATTGAACCCCTGCGCGTCATAGAACGGCGCCAGCGTAACGGCCTTCCCATCCGCCGTTGCCTCAAACGCAAGACTGTCGGCGCGACGACGCAGCGAGCCCAAGTCCAGCCTCGGCATCGCCGAGAGGGCCGCGCTGCCATAGTTCCCCGCCAGCACGACGGGCCCGTACGCCACGGCCGCGACGTCGGCGGGCCTGTCGTTGGCCGCGATCGTCCGCAGGCCCATCGGCAGCCGTATCTCGACGCGGTCCCCCGCGCGCCAGGTGCGCCGGATCGAGGCGTACGTTCCCGGCTTGGCTGCTGTAACGCTCTGCTGCCCGTTGACGCGGATCTCGGCCTGGCCCGCCGTCCAAGAGGGGATCCGCACGCGCAGCTCCCACTCGTTGTTGTCGTTACTACTAGTAGTATCGCTGGCTTGGGAGATTATGGTCAACACGGTCGTGTCCTGCAGGGGGAACCGCGTGGTCTGCTCGATGGTGAGGTTGCGCTGCGACCAGTGGAGCACCGAGGGGGTGAACAGGTTGACAAACAGTGTGCCCCCGTCCTCGGAGCGGAAGTAGACCGAGTCCATCAGCTTGGTGTTGGTTTCCAGGCCCGTGCCCTGGCAGCACCAGAAGGAGTCGTAGTCGGTGCTCCACGTGCCGCCGCCCCACGCCGGTCCGACGCCGCGCTTGCCGCCCGGGTTGAGCGGGGTGAAGTAGGTGACGTGGCCGTGGGTGGAGGACGGGTTCTGCTGTCCCAGCAGGTGGTTGAGCAGCGCCTGCTCGTAGAAGTCGAAGTAGCGTGTCGTGGTGCTGTCCATCATCCACAGCTCCCGGGTCAGCTTCAGCATGTTGTACGTGTTGCACGCCTCGGCTGTGTCGCGGGTCAGGTACTGCGCGATGGCGTTGGCGGGGCGGAAGTGCTCGGCCTGGCTGTTGCCGCCGATGGCGTACGTGTGCGCCCGGACGGTCATGTCCCATGCGTTGCGCGCGATGTCGCGGTAGCGGGTGGTTCCTGTGGCCTGGTACTCGCGTGCTGCGCCGATCCACTTGGGCACCTGCGTGTTGGCGTGCAGGCCGTTGAGCTTGTCGGTATTGGACGCCAGCGGATCGAACACGGCGGCGTGGTCGAACCGCTGCGCGACGCCGAGCCACCGCTTGTCGCCGGTTTCCTGGGAGATGTCGGCCAGCACGTCGTTCATGCCGCCAAACTCGGTTGCCAGCATGGCTTGCATCTGGCTGTAGCTCAGCCCCCGGGTGCGCGAGTCGACCCATCCGGCCAGCGACAAGAGCACGTCACGGGCTGTCGTGTCGCCGATGAACCGCCACACATCGAGCAGCCCGGCCATCGTTTTGTGGATGGCGTAGTAGGGCACGTTGCCGTTGCTGAGAGTCCGCCGCTCGAGCGCGGTGAATTCGGACTCAGGGAAGCCGGAGAGGTAGCCAGCGCCAAATCCAACGGCGGCGTTGTTCCGCTGACACTTGGCGAGCTCAGTAACAAAATAGACGGCTCGGTCGCGGCAGGCCGGATCCCGCACCGAGGCGTAGCAGTGGGCCCAGGCCGTGAGGAAGTGGCCCTGGGCGTGCGTGCGGAAGGGGAAGTCCGGCGCGTCCCATCCGCCGTTGGGCGCTGCTCCCTTGGTGGACAGGCCGTGGTTGGCCCGGAAGTTGTAGAGCAGCCGGTCGACGTCCACCCACTTCAGGTACGTGAGCGTGCGGTTTTGGTTGGCCATCCATCGGCTCTCCGTCAGATACACCTCGCTCAGATGGAAAGGACGTGCTGATTCTGAAGCCTCAGCGGCCTCGACGACCTGGCCGACCGAGTGTAGAGCCGCCCATATGAGCGCCGTGACCAGTGACTTCCAAGACAACATGGTAAGGGCGTTTAGAGTAGCCAGGATGATGAGAAGAAACAAGGAAAAGATAGAATGGCTGCTTGAGTAGAACCAGGAGTGCCGCTAGTATATGAATGAGCTGACATGGCCGTCCACTTTGTGGAGGGTGATTTTCTGAAATTGTTCCTCGAATAGCCTTTGCACTTCAATCCGTATATATACTATGAGCACTACTGTAGTCGACATTTCAGTCCCTTGAACGCTCTGGGCAACTTCACGCTTCGCTACTATATCCCTCGACGACATGATCTACCATTGATGAAACCGTAGCATAGGAGCAAACTAGTGTCTTATCCGCACCAATCGTCCAGTCCCGCCTTGAGGTCACATCGTGGAGCTGATCTCCGCTTCCTCGCTGCCGGCACGCACATGCTGGCCGCAGATCGTACATATTTGCCTGCAGTAAGAATGCGGGGAAGTGGTATCTGGTGCAGTAGTGACAGCCGTCGCTTCGCTGACCTTCCGCTAGAGGTGATCAGCGGCCTACATGGAAAACTACTCGGATGAGCTGCTGTAACTGATTGGCGCGGCTAACGTTTAAGCTTGTTGTGTTCATATTTCTAGAATGATGCCAGCTCCTGTTGATACCGTAGGTATGTAACTACCTGATCCTCTTACTCCTTACTTGGTAGGTAGATAAGGTACGTTTGGTAGTTCCTCCCATTCAAACACTTGCCACAAAGTCGTTTCATTTCGACCTTTACTAGTAGTATCCTAGTACTTGTATGTTATAAGGATCCAAAAAGCCCTTTCCACGTTTGAAAACGTAGAAGAGTCTTAGACCACCTAGGAATACTCGATTCATGATTATCGCCCGTGCTTTGCCCTATCGCTCTACCTTTACTTCTTTTGTTTATTCCTCTTTCTTTTCTTTTCCTCTTTGGTTCTTCATTTGTGTTTTGTACCCCCTGGCCCTGGTCCGGCAGCTTCGCCGGGAAAGTGTGGGGAATTGTGGGGAAGTGGGGGCATGAAAGCCGACCGATACAACAACGGGAGACCGGTCCGACCTAGATGACCCGGGAAAGGGGCTGGTCAGGTTCGACTACGGATACTCCAAATGTCATTAATTCCACCAATAATGGATTTAGCGCTAAGGGTAGGATAATTGAAATCATGGAATTGATCATGATGGGAGCACCAGCCTGGCTTATTGCATTTGCTGTCCTGCCGCTCTGTAAGTACAGCAGAAGGCTTCTTCTTGGCCATGCAAGCTTGAGGCCTCTCTGTTCGATTTCCATCCTGCATTCGAGGTTTTTAGAGAGAGCAAAGAAAGTGGCAGTGGCAATCAAGTTGAATTTAGTGAAATACAATGGCCAAATCTGGGGTTGCGTTATTAGTAGCAACAACGTCTGGATTGGTATCAACGACATCAACGGCTCCTCGGCAAAGTACAATGTATCGTTTCCGGCCCTCTACAACTCCATCATCGACGTGATGTCCGAGAAGACGGTCCAGCCCATGCACGATGCCGGCTACCACAACTTCCTGTTCATCAACCTCCCACCGCTGGACTGGACGCCGGGGAACCCTATGTCGCCGAACCCGCTGCCAAACAAAACCATGATAGGCTGGTGGGATCCAGCCTTGCGCAGTCATACCGCTTTTACAGCCAAGAACCCGACAGCGCAGGCGATGTTGTTTGATGCGAACCATTTCTCAACCACGTGTTGGATCATCCGGAGGAATACGGTATCTCGAATACGACTTCGTACTGCCCGGCGTACGATCAGCTGGGGGTTCTGACAAACCCAGACAGCTACGGTTGTCGGCCCTTGGGGGAGTATTTCTGATACAACACAGGGCACGTGTGAATCTCTCGATTTGAACATACATGTACCAAAGGGACAGATTAACGTGTACTGGCGACTTCGACTTCCAGGACAAGCCACGTTCATAAGGTCCTGGCGCAAGAGCTAGACAGCCATCTTCGCCAGTGGCCAAGTCGGGTTTGAACTGTTATCCTATCGCTCGTGAGAGAAGCCGACCGGCCAACAAGTCCATTTCCTCAGCGTCCCTCACGGTGTCGTGGCTGGTGGCAAGGGACCCCTCATAGTCCAGGCCAGTATAAACTTCTTCTTCCTCACTCTGCTAACCTCGGCTTAGTCACAGCCCTTCCTGTACATCCGGGGCCCTCGGAATCACAGAAACTCGGAGAATGAAGTGTCTGGACTCTTCCCCTCGGCAGATCAGTCTGATGCTGACGGTAACACGTTCGCCGTTCCGGAGCTGACACTCTGCCCTATCGCTGTCAAGAAGTCCCTTCGATCTGAAGCCACCTTGCATCGTCAAGATGCAGCATGTAGAGCTCCGTGGTGGGAGTTTGAGCTCCATCTCCACGAGTATCTTCTCTTCCGGCACGACCTCTAACGAAGTTCGGCTGTGGGTAGCAATGTCGACCGAGATATGCAACACGTCGTCTTCCTTTAGAGCTTGATTTGCACGCCACAGCTTTGTCAGGCAACCCGCATCTCGTCGGTCAAAGACCGGAAGATCATGAAAGTAGAACTGGGGTCTGCAATATCCCAGGGTGACAGTGGTAGTCTCCGACGACCTGAGTTCGACATCAAGGATGGTATAGAAAATAAGGGGGACATTTCAACTATTGGTCAGCCACGTGCTGCTCGTGCTCAAGTAGATTTCTGTGGCCTTCATGCTCCGGAGCATCACGGGATCCAAAAGGAGAACACTGGGCCAGCCGGCGTGCCCGGGTAATCTGACGTATCGTTCTGGGCCAGAATGGTCCTCTGGCCCAAGAAGGACGCAAACCAGATTGTTTTCGTGAACACACCCGGTCCACATCGCATATCCCTCGGCAATTGGGGTGCCGGGCAGAGACACACGGAGTCCTCGAGCGGTTATCTGAGGAGGACTCCACACCAGGCTGGGCCGGGAAGGACCTAGCGACAACTTAGGGACGCCATTACTAGTATTCAGAGACGGTGCCGAATCTTGCACAGGGAAGCCCGGTGTAATGGCTGAGTAATCGAGTAAATGATCGCGATTCGTGATGGCTCCCATCCGGAGGAAGCATGCAGGCCGTGGCGCAAAAACTGGAAGGCGTGTCGCTGGTAGCCAGCTGGTTTTGTGTGTAGGGACACCAGACCACAGAAGAAGGCTATGGTCTTCTGATTGTTTGATGAGTTCTTCCTGGAGCCGATAGAATGCTCTCTTCCCTTCCCCTATAACAAGGGCATATGGACGCCGAAGAGGCCAAGAAGACAGTATGCTTCGTCCTCGATCCTGGTGGTTTGCCTTTCCGATGCCCACGACGTTTTCTGGGCGATGCTGCACTGATCAAGATCTTGGCGTAGCAGTACCGACCTAGGGATTGATGTCCTGCGTTCGATATCCTCGCACCTGCTGAACTTGGTCCCAATTTCAGACCAGTCCGTAGCGTAGAATTCGACCGCTCTTGGTGCAATAAGCTCCTGGAGGCACCAACCGCGGGTAAACCAGCGGGCTGAGAGAAAGTCTTCTAACGGGAAGCCATCGCCCTTGACTACATCTTTCAAATAGACATAGCAAACTGCAGAGTCGCGGTACCAGGCGTACATCGAATTGATGGCCTCGGAGAGCTCGGCGCTGGACGTCTTGTCGATACAGCAGGTGTCGACCCAGACCCAATGGAGGCCATCTGCCCGGGCCCGGCGGCAACATCCTTCAATTTTGGCAAAGCCCTTCTTCTGAGCGCGTTCGGGTGATGTGATATCCTGGAAGGTCACCTCCTCGGGACCCCAGGTATGCGACAGAATCGCATATGGAGGGCGGTCGCTACTGCTAGGGAACTGCCTCAGCTCCAGTGTCGTTGAGTGAAGTAGACGCATTCTTGAATTTGAGACGTCCAACTTTGAACTCCGAGTCGATGATATGAGGTTCGCCAGAGCAACCCTGGAAAATGCCTAGAAGCGTTGGGTCGCGGTTGGGCTGAAAAGAGATACCTTATTCTTTCTAGCGGGTAGTGAAAAACGGGGGTAAGCCTCCATGGCTTTTAGGGGCAGCCCAGAGGTTCCCAGGTCTGCTCCTTTTTTTGCCGACATAGACCCCGTTGGTTGATTCTTCCAAGTGCCGGGAGGGCTGCTCGGAGCGCTAGAAATAGGCTGCCCAGACCCACTAACTAAGAATGGCAATAACGACCAGAGTTCCGTGCTCCCTTCTAACGGTAGCCGATGGGGTAAACACGGTCCAATATTTCCGGATTACCACATCAAACCTCCTCGCATTCTTCACAGACTTCAACCCCCTCCGTCCGGCACACTCGAGCTGAAGGTATGTCACCAACATGGAGTATCTTGCAGCTATATTGAAGGAACTACCTAAGGTAGTAGTACCTAGGAGGATCGCAAGAGGATCGTAATCTTAGGCGGTGGCGCGCTCTCATGTCAGTGCCGTGACTAGTACATCACAGGAAATTACCCCTTCCCTCTACTTCATCAAGTACTTGGCCACAACCGCCACGCCACCCGTACCAAACCCATCCTGCACAGCCTTGTCCATCAGTCCGCTGAGAAATGCCAATCCCGATCCATCAACACCCTCCTCCTCGCACGATTGCATGATATTCCTGACCCCGACAGCCTGCATCGCCAACGGGTTACCCAAATCATCCATCCAATCCTCCCGATCAATCTGGTCCGCAAGCAGGCTCACATACGGCACCAGCTCCTTCAGCAGGGACACCATGACCCCGTCCACAAGCGGCTTGACGGCCAACCCCTTCTTCTTCCCGTCTTGGTCACCCAGGCCCTTCTGGCGCTTGAGCAAGCCGATGCCCGTGAAAGCGCCGACGAACATGCCGTACATGGCCGCGAGCGCCGCGCAGTCCACCAGGCTGGCCGCCCCGGCGTCGGGCGAGATGTACAGCAGCTTGCCGACGGGCTCGAGCAGGGCCGTGTCTGCCAAGCGCGCGCGGTAGACGGCCTCCGACTCGCCGCTGAGCACGAGGAAGGACGCCGGCGTGCCTACCAGCTGCGGCGTGACCATGATGCCGCCGTCGAGGTAGGCCGCGGCCCCGAGCGTGGTCTTCATGTACGCCTCCATGTCGCGCGCCTGCTTGGGCGTGCCGTTGGTCAGGTTCAGCACTGTCTTGCCCTGCAGCGGGCGGGTGGCAGGGTCCAGCTGGGAGAAGATGGCGGAAAGGACGGGGTAGTCGAGCACGCAGAGCAGGACGACCTCGCTGGCGGCGATGGCGGCGGACAGCGAGGACTCGAAGGTGGCGCCCGCCGCCATGACAGCCTGCACCTGAGGTCGCGAGGCCGTGCGGTTCCAGAGGGTGAGCTTCACCGAGGACTTGAGCAGCGCCGTGGCGATGGCGGCGCCCATGTTGCCGATGCCGATGGAGGTGACGGTGGACATTTTGGCTGATATATTTGAGTCAAAGAACTGGTGATTCTTCGTTTTTGGTGGTTGACGTCTTTTGTCGTGTGCTTGTAGGAGTCGGCGGACTGAGTCTGGTGGTGAGGATGAATCGAGACGGGAGAAGCTCGAGGTTGGGCAGGTTCTTATACGTTTTGCCGTTTATCATGAGAGTCGAAACATCTTCTTTGACCACCAGCAACCATCAAACTAGCAGCCCTGCATCTCCTGCCACTCGTATCCCCGACACCATGCGTTACCTTAGCCTTGCTGCCTTTCCCATGAGGCTGGCGCGTCGCAAACGTGTCTCCGTGTATCCTCTTGGGTCTAACCGCCCCGTTTTCCGGGGCTATTGGAAATCAACACGGGATGTGACTCACGCCGACGAGCTCTTGACATTAGCGACGGCGTCCTTTGGAGCTACGTTGTGAACATGAACGAATGCTCTTCCTGCCCCCCCTTTCTTTACGGGGCCAGGCGCCGCCAAGAGGCCGTTCGGCGATGCTTGGCGCTTAGAAATTCAGGCCAAGAAAGAGTTGTCGACCCCAACCGGGTCAGCAATGGCCGTCAAACCCTAGAGCTGATCTTTATGCTTATAAATCGAAATGCGAGGAATACCATGCTATGATTCTGGAAAACGACATTGAGCAACTAAGTCACAAAATGAGTTGCAGTGTCGGGTTGTTGAACGAAGGATCGGAAGAAACCTCTGTCTTTGTGTGATTCAAACTCGTACCGTAGCTAGCGGGTTGGCTCGGCCGATGTGAAAGAAAAAAAGATGAGTTTTTGGAACTATGATAACTGGTCCCGCGGGACAATAGCCCGTATAAAACCTCAACCCCTGCATCATCTACAAGAAAATATAAAAATAAATGGAAAAAAATGGAACGAGTAAGAGAGAAAAGAACAGAAAACATAAGAAAGCAGGGGAGGTAGATAGGGAACTACTAGTACGCATATCAGGTGATACAAATGTTCGGAACACAGCGACACACCGTACCGGATTGTCCCTGGTGGCATGGGAACAACTGAAAATTGTAAACATGGCAGACACGACGCTCTAAATCATAAGACTGAAAGTGAATTCGATCAAGCCTCAGCCTGATGCACCCCCCTCCTCCTTTACCTGCTTCTCCCCTTTATGCCACTTGCGCGGCAGCTTATGCCCCATCCTCAGCTCCCACAACGTCCGATCGAACCGTCCCTCCTTCAGCGCTTGCCCGTCTCCGGCATACTTGAACGTCTTTCCATGCACCGCCTCGTCCTCTTTCTGACCCTCTGCATGGATGAAGTGTATCTTGCATATCGTCAGGGCATAGGCATTTGTCTCGTAGTAGGCCAGCTTGTACGCCTCCTCGGCGGACTGCACCATGTAAGCGCAACCGGTTACCGCAGCTTCTGGCGTGCTGTCTATGAGCGCCCGGTATTGCCCCCAGTTGGCCAGTTCGAAGCCATAGACCTTGGCGGTCCGCAAGAGGGGTGTCGTCTCCGGGCCGAGGACGGCCTTGAGAATGTCGGGTTTCATGAGGGTGCCATAGAAAAAATAGTACATGGGTTCAAACGGCGCCTCCTGCTTCAGTGCGGCCGTGGCTTTGGCAGGGCCTGCCTCGTTCTCGGTTGGGAGTCTCCGGAAAGGTGGAGGGGGAGGCAAGGGCGGAGGGCGTGGAGGCTCAGAAGCCTTTGGAGAAGAGGCGCGACAGAATTTGGTTGGTGACTCCGGCATGGATGAGACAACGTTTCTTTGTTCCTTTGCAAGTGTGATGATTATTGAGCATAGGGATAAGGGGTCCGGGAAGAGGTTGAAACCTGAGAATGCGTTGGAAATTTTCCTAGGCTGCCGTATCCAATCGCATACACGAGTCTAGGTGTATTATCAAACGCCACCCCGCTAACATGCATGCTCCGACAGTCAGCTAAGGTACCTTACCTTAGCTTTCCCTACCTCTGATCTTCCTATCGCTGGTCTCTATTGTTCCTGTCTCTTTCCGTCCCCGCACTTTTCTGCTCCTGCTAGGCCAATAATCACCCGGCAGGGCCGGCGCGAATTACCTGGAGAATGTCAATAATCCTATCCTAAGACTGGGAGTCTCCTGTGGCCTGTGGCCATCCTCACCAGATCGCGAGTAGTTCCGATGCCATGAAAGACCGGATTTAATCCACCCCCCAGTACAGATCCCACGAGCCGAACCCTTGTTCATCATCCCATGCTGGTCCTGTTTGATCATTTGACACCCCCTCAGGACCAATACCACCAGCACTTGCCTCCACAAGTTGTTCTTGGACTTCCGGCTGGGAGTGGGAGCTAGACAACTGTGCGTTCGTAGCCAGGCCACTGGTCGGCAAACTTGGCAATGAGGAAACGGCTGGTGGTGTCAGTTGCGGGCCCGAAACAAGCTCAGTGTCGGCCTGTGCTGCATCTGAAGCTCTAGAGTGCCACCCCCCATACATGTGGTCAAAGGCCTCCTCAAAGACGTATCTGAGTATGCGTTGTATGTCGTCTGCGGATAGTTCGGGCCCTGACCAACGGCCGCTCTGCATCATAGATTCAATCTCGCTTCCCAGCAAGGCCGGTCCGTGGGTGTGACAGTACTCGTGGAACGAGCACAATTCCTCCGAGTCATCAGCGTTCCGGTACGCAGAGCAAGGCCGAGCACGACCGTGGAAGGCGATATCCCAGATGGCGAACCATCGTTCCTCTTCCGACAGCTTAGGATCCGCCTTCCGCAGAAGCCTGGACCGCTGCTGGTGAGAGAGGCCGTCCAGCACCGAAGAGGGCCTGCAGAAGAGGCCATCAGGGTTGTCGATATGTTTCCGGTGCCTCTGGTCGTCCGGGAAGATTGTTGAGCAGCGGTCGCAGTAGAACTCCGGGCAGTGTTTCCGGGTAAGGTGCTGCTTGACATCCTTGATTCGGCTCAGAATCAAGGTAAAGCAGCGGCGCTGTCTGTCTGGATCCGCCTTCCAATAGGGACATGCAAATATCCTCTTCAGCCTCTTCCCGGAGCCAACCATTGCTCGTTTTCTGTTGGGCGGCTTGATCGATGCGCCGTCCTCGAGGCCGTTGTCATCCAACAGGCATCTCTTCCCTTTGCTAGTCGACGAGGACGCTTGAGAATTAAGCATCGGTGCTGCGCTTGAATTTGTCGGTGCTGTTGCTCCGCTTCCCGGACTTGCGCTGTTAGAGGCAGCTTGATGGCCAGACACGAGACGGTGGACAATGGCTCCTCCCAGCTGTAGATCTCGCTCGCTAAGGCTGCTTCGATCTGAAAGCGAGGTGCTGCCTGAGCACCCTGAAACTGAAAGCAGATCGGAGTCAACCGAGTCATCTGGAGAACCACCAGCCTTGGGCGAAGATGTCTCTGTTGACGAATTGTTCGGTCCTTCCATGCTGATGTTGGAAGCTGGGCCACTGCCACAGTTTGAGAAGCTTGCTTCCTGCCTCCCACTCGAGTGGAATGAGTGAGTGCTGTCAGCAGTCGTCATCGGTCTCTCTTCGCTGTCGCAAGAGGCGACGGTGTCTCGTATCGGCCCTCCCGTCCCTTCGTCCTCTCCCGTGTAGTTTCTGCTTTCGACCACGCAGCGTCGAAGGTGGCTTCGATGTACGAACTCTGAAATGCCACGTGATGGCATGGAAGTCGCCTTCGCATCATCATCTCGACGCGGTCTGCGCTCAGCACTCGTTGAGGAAGATGGTCCTTGAGACGTTGAGCTTGGAGGGTTGAGCCTGGAAGGAAGTCGTCTAGCCTGCATGCCAGCAGCATTATGCTTTGTATCGTTGCGAGGGTAATGGGGTGAGGTTACAGGCGGTTTGCCTGGATGCTCGGACTGCATATACAACTCTGTTAGCTTATCTCTGGGTACTATTATTAGGTACTAGTAGGTAGTTTTAGGTCGCGATCAGACATGTTGCCGGAAACTTGTAGAGGTGATACGACTGACCAGAACCTTGACCGTGAAAACTTCACATCCTCTGCAGCGCGCGTGAGCGCAGTGCGGGTTCGGGCAGGCTATGTCAAGGCTGAGGTTAAGGTCTGAGAGGCCGCAGTTCTCCTAGATAAAGTCGTTAGATTAACCTCGAATCCGTGGCCCAGCAAGACTGTACGAACTTACGCAGGTCCATCGATAGACATAAGTATAAGACCTAGGCATAGTATTGCCCTATTATCCTTATGTTAACACTAATACTCCGCCGAAGACCTTCTACCTTCTGCTCACTCAAGATGGAAAGGATTGGTAGATTTTTTGAAAGTGCGGCTGGTTCCCACTGATTAGAGGAGTAACCAGATGTGATATACGATGGTGGTAGTTGAACTATAAGCGCTGCCATACCGATTAGTACCGTAGTCACCTGGTTTTGGCACGGGCTTTAGCAGGGAGGCGTTGCGTAGAGAGGCAATACAGACAATCGTACAGGGTCGCTTGTCACGGTTAGCAACTCTGGTAAGCGACTGGTAATGCCGACTTTTATTAGGCACCGTGCTGTCAACAGTGTAGCGACCTTAGCAAGTTCCGTTGGAGGAAGCGGTCCGCGACCTGATGAGGGGTCAAGAATTGCTGACGCCTGCAGGAGCAAGGCAACCGACCCATGGACCTGAAAGCCAATCAACTGGTTGGAAGCAGCGGAGGGCCGAAGAGCGGCGGCGTGCCGAATGCGAATCTTGTGCCCTTGGGTGTATTGGCTGTGTGTTGTGCGTTTTGAGGATTTGGTGCATCCGGGCGCTTCGCTCTTCGCAACTCCATAGCACAATGATAGCATGAACACTTTCAAAGACAACCAATTCTCCTTATTTTATGCTTACAGGAGTATCTACAGGTTTGTTTAAACTACTTAAGCCATCAGGTTCCTTAGTCAGTACTATTTATCTCCATCCAACCATCACTCTTCAACACGCTCAGGTAGACAATTAACCGATAGCATCACCATGCCAAATAAGCCAGATACCTCGGTCGCCAATACCGCTAAACAAAAGTGAGCTGAATCACCTTTCAAACATTTAATTGGACTCTCACCAAAATCTTATGAAGCATCGACACGAAGGGTCGAGCATTCGTCATGGACAAGTTCCTCGCCCATCATGGACCTACTGAGAGGCTTGCTTTTGCACGATCAACTAAATATCCTCAGCCCAAGGATCAGGAGACTAAGAAGTGGCTTGAGGAATGGCAGGTGTCGTGGGAGAAGCTAGGGCTGCGCAAGGAGTAGTGGGTCCTCATGTTATCTTTTTGTAGCCATTGCGGTTGAACTGCGGGAGCTATTGCGATTGCCCAGGTACTATATCCGTACTACCAGGCCGTAGGTACCAGGCTAAATACCGGATCGGAAAATATCATGGTAACCACTCAAGTGGAACCTGGAATTGCCCGCGTAGCGGGCTCACAGCACTACCTAATTAGTCACCGAATGCGAGATCACCTTCCTTCAAGTTTCAACACTAGTAATGTTCTTGCGCGGGTAAGACTTGTTGAACTTGGCGGGGCACAGGGGTTGTATTGCTTGCTTGAGGAGTCCGAGACTCTAGGGACCTTGGTTCCTTATGTACATGAAGAGACTAATTACCAGCATTCCCCTTGTTCCTGCTATACCGGTCCCTCCTAGCTTGTGGTCTCTGCCCCTGATTTCAGCAAGGTTAAGGAAACGCACGGCGAGGACTATTCAGAAATCGTGTGTAGATATAATCTGATCAACCTTACGGTACCAGATAATATCAGCATATCATCTGTCCTCCGCTTGCTTAACTGGCAGTCTCTGGGATAAGGTTTCGCTCTGCTGAGCTCGTTGATTATTTGCAGTACGTTGAACTCAAGCCGAATCCCGGCCATCCTGATTTTTTCCTTCACACTGATCCCAATACAAGTCTCACTTCTCTATTTCAACTGCCATGATGTGGGCGGACTAAGGTGCCGATGCTTATGCTGGGCCATATTTATCTAGTTACCAGATACTAGCTTTTCGGGGCCGCAAGGAAGGTGCGGCTATCTATCCTGTTCTTTTGATATGAACATGCCTGCCTAAGTTCTATATTGGCACATCTGACGGAGAGGAAGGAACCAACAATCCAACATTACCTCAGTCCTCGTCCTAGCCACGTCCCGTTCCTCCTCCTTTGCTCGTCTGTGTTCCTCGTCACGTTCCGCTCCTCCCCCTCTTTGCTCGTCAGTGTTTCTCTACACGTTCAGTTGATCCTCCTCTTCTCGTCAGTGTTACCGTATAAGCAACCGTAAACCACACTTTCCAACGCATCACTCGCCATCGTTATGAATGTCATGAATGAGCCTGCGGAGAATGTTACGGTCGTGGAGGAGGACAAGTACGATGTACGGGATATGCCGTTGGCGATACCCGAGCATTTTTCCGAATTTATACAATGCTCTTAACACTCAAGTTCACGACTTCACGGTCGAGTTCCTCCATGCCAATGAGAGGAAACCACACGTTGTTTTCAGCTCAACTTTGCTTCCGGAATCCCTAACGCAACCGTTCCGGCCAGACCGATTCACGCCGCGCGTGTTTCTATGGAGGCACGCATAGGGGAGGAGTCCGGTGAGGACGGACCGGGAGCATGCCAGATCAAGCTCTGCCCATTTGCAGATCGCTCATATTCAGCAATCGCCGGGTTCCAGTTTGAGCTCCTCCGGACCATCACCCTCGCCAACATGATGCAGATCATCGAGGGGACATTTCCCGACCTGCCAGCGGCCTTGCGGTGCGACATGAAGGGTTTCGACTTCATGGATGTGGACGGCTACTTTGATGGATGCCGTGATTGGATGTAAGCCTTCCCCTTTTGCCCTCTCGAGAGCGACAGCCAATGTCACATTCTTACTGACTATCGCAGAGCCCAGGCATTTGTTCGGGCCCATGCAGCTGGTGTAGTCGGCTGGGATATTGTAGGAATTGTTGGGCCTGCGGCCAAGTTGAACGAGCGCTTTTGCCCCCAGCCGGGGGCAATAGTGACATTGATAGACTGGCATGTGGCGGGATTCCACGATGTCATCGGGAAGTTTTTCGAACCGCCTGCTCGAACCCCCGGCATCAGAGTTGTCTTGTACCGGGATCTGCCGATCGAGTTAGGGCACTTTCGGGCACCAACATTTACGCGTTGGGTTACGGACTTCTGGGATCAGGCGCACTCGCTTCCATACACAGTCTGGATGTAAATAATCCGTCAGCCTTCTGCTTTGACACTTCTGCTGTCATGTCGGACCTTGGGGATTACACGCTCGTGCCGAACTTTCACGAAGTAACTTAATCGTCGTCAGAGTGAAGCGTATTGTACCAATACTAATAAGCTCGACTATGATTGCTATGCCGTGCGTTTTCCTACTATGGTCTGTAGCTTCATCCTTCCTTTTTCCATTTACAGGTCTATATTGGCTTAGGTCCCAAAATTGACAGTAGGTTGTTCCCATCATGGCCTTGTACGACCCGTCGGTTAAGCTCACGTCAGAGAAGGGGAATGTTTATGATGCACGCGATGTAGCAAAAGCATCCGTTAGGCAATTTTATGATCTGCACGTTGCTCTTTGGAGGAGAATTGAACATTTCACGGTTGAATTTCTCTACACCGACCGGATAAAGCCCCACGCCGTGTTCAAGCTCGACTTCGTTCCTCCGTTCGGCAGCTCAGAAGACATCAAGTCTGCACTTGTTTCCATAGAGCTGCGGATTGGCGAGGACAGCCGCAAGGAGGGTCCCGGGGCTTGCCAGGGCAAGCTCTGTACGGACACGGGCCGTAATAAGCGGCGCGTAAGCGTTGGCTTCCAGTTCATGCTCCTGCGTCCGATCATCCTCCGCCAGATGATCGACTTGATCAATGGTGAACATTCTATGCTCCCGAGCACCACGGGAGCTGACTTGAAATGTTTCGACTTCATTGATAACGACCGCCATTTTGACGGATGCCGCGACTGGATGTAAGTGTTCGCCACCCTATATCCGGATCACGCTACTGGTTTTCTCCCGCTTTCCTTATGTTTATTTTCGTCTTCTGTCGTTCCCACCTTTCCTCTTTCCTATCGCTTATTGTCTCCTTTCTCTCTTTCGCTTTCTCCCCTTTCATTTATCATATTTCTCTTCGCCTTGCTATGCCAAGCTTTTCCTCCCTTCAGCTTATATTCCTTTCTCTTTCCGTTTCTCTCGTGCTTTCTTTCTAACAACCGCCACAGCGCTCAAGCCTTCGTCCGGGCGCATGCCATAGACGTGGTGGACTGGAAAATTGCGGGCATTACCGGCCCCAGCGGGCAACAACTGCAGCACGTGAGTCTGCGTCCGAAACCTGGGGTCAAAGCAACGGTCATCGACTGGAATAACGCAGGCTTCCACGACGTCATTGGCAAGTACTTTGAGGAGCCATCGATCGACGGTGCTGGCAACATGGTCGTCCACTACCGTCATCTACCCCTCGAGGCCGGCCGCTTCTGGGCACGGGACTTTTCACGTTGTTTTAGCGATATAAAGCATCGCTATACGCTACCATACAAATCGGTCCCTCCCAGCGCAGCTCATACCCGAGCCCCCGCTACTGGCCGTGGTGGCGCCTCTGTGCCTCTTGCACATGGCGGTGCTGCGATTGATGGCCGCGGTGGTAGCGCTCTTCCAGCTGCGCGTGGTGGGGCTGCTTCCTCTGCCGGACGTGGCTGTGGTGGCAAAGCTCCTACTGCCGAGCGAGGTGGTCTTTCAGGACGCCGGTTGGGCTGAGGCTTGTGTCCAAGCCTAAGAATGCCGTGATATTAACCCGGTACGTATTTGCCATTCCCACTTCAACGGGAAAGAGACTAGGGGATACCGGGCTGTCAGAGCTTTGTAGCGCTGTCCGTACATTGGAGACGCTGGAGAATACCTAGGTTTGAATAGAAACGGGCATTCGCTATCATACTATCCTGTATTCGAAGGGTTGGACTTAGAAATGAGATGGCTGGCCGTGATTTCACTTCGGTCTGAGAATTGTTTCGACTACATAGTGAAGCAATTGTAACGTGGCTATGTGGGAGAAAGAAAAAATAAGGCAAAGGAAAACACGTGGATTCAATCTGTGCCGAAGTGCTAGTACCCTGAAAAGCTGAAAAGCGCTGACGTCACTCGTTACCTAGTCGTTACCTACCCCTGGGCTGATCATCTGATGTTGCCTGCACCTACGGTCCCGACACCCCAGGCCAACAAGCCCTCCCTCTTTCACCACCTACTTCCCATAGGTAAAGTCCAGAAACTCGGCCTTGTTCTGCCCGTTGACCTCGCGCAGCACGTCGGCCACGACGGGGGCGATGTACTTGGCCACGTAGGGCGACGCGCGCATCATGATGGGACCAAAGACCTTGACCTTGTCCAGGATCTTGGAGAAGATGCTCTTCCTGCGCGTCGCCGACTCGGTCTGAATGCACTCAACATACGTCTGCAGGCACGCCTCGGCCAGCAGCGCGCGGTGGCCCAGCGGGTCAAGCGCCGACGGCGGCGGCGGCGGCAGGGGCCGGCCCCCGCCGGCGGCCTCGGTGCCGGTGCCGCTGCCCAGCAGCAGCGGCAGGCCGATCTTGGCCACGTCAGCTATCACGGGTCCGGCCTTGCGGAAGGCGCTGCCGATGACGTCGCCGATGGTGGTCAGCGTGCTCCAGAACGACTCGACGGCGTCGCGGTCGGCCGTGTCGATGAGCCCCTTCATGAAGGCCTCCTCGTCCGCCGTCAGCGCGCGCCCGAAGCCCGTGTCCTTCTCGGCGTCGAGCGACTCACGCGTCGCGCGCACGCTGCCGCTGTCGGGCGGGCCGGCGATGGTCGAGAGCAGCAGCCGCATGCTGGGCTCGAGCGTGCCGCGCAGGATGCGCGGGCCGACGCGCGTGTAGAGGGGCTTCAGCGCGGTGACCTTGTTGCCCATCTTCTCGCGGTACGGCTTCTGGTCCTCGGGGGACAGCGAGAGGAAGTGCTGCAGCGCGCACTCGGCCAGGATGGACCGGCCCAGGATGCCGTCGTACGGCCGCGTGCAGCTGAGCGACTCGACGTTGGCCCCGCTGACGCTGTCAGCCGCGAGCCGCCCCGCGGTCGCGATGGCCGCCGACGAGAGGATTGAGAGGCGCGGGCCGGCCTCGGTGCCGAACGTCAGCGGCTGCGCCCAGTCGACGATGCTGGTCGCGGGGGCCTTAACGACCGTCTTGGCGCTGTTCATGACCGTGTCGAGTTCCGCGCCCACGGGGTCCGTGTCCGACTCGGTGGTCTCTTTGGTGCATTTCCACAGCCAGTCCGGCTTTCCTGCGGGGTGGCTGGAGCCGGGCGGGTTGTTTTGGTCATCGGTGAGGGCCTGGGCGACGAGGAAGTAGGCGTGGCAGCGGTTCCCGTAGTTTCCGTTGAACACGGACGCCGAATTGTACGAGTAGCCGCCGAGGACGTGCACTCCGATGACGTCGACAGCCTTCTCGCTGTCGAACACGGGGGAGCCCGAGTTTCCTTTTTTTTTCGGGGGGTCAGCACGGGGACGGAGACGAACTAAGGGACGGGGACTGCTGCTCTTTCTTACCGCCGTACGTGTCGATCTGATACTGCAGCATCTTCCGGTCTGCAGCAGCCAGGTCGTAGTCGGTCCGCCGGAACATCTCGTACAGGGACGCGCCTCTCTCTCCGTTCTGGCCTACGATGTCGCCCGGGTAGCCCACAACACCCAGGTTGACGCCCCGGCCGCTGAGAGGCGTCGCCTTCATGTTGTAGTACGTGCTGACTTCCTGCGCGGTAAAGGCGCGCTTGAGCTTGATGAAGGACAGATCGGCCGGCTCACTGCCGCTCTTGTTGATCCAGCCGTCCGTGGTGGCGACGGCCGCGCCGTAGCTGAAGGCCACCGAGTTCGTGCCGTATCCCACGTACGCCTTGGCCTGGATCAGCCGGCCCAGCCCGCGCGAGTAGTCGAAGGCGCAGTGGCCCGCAGTCACGACCACGTCGGCCGACACGAGGAAGCCCGTGGCGATGGCCCAGGTGGCTTCCTCGGGCGTCGCGTCGCCCGTGACCTGTCCGTCGTACAGGAGAAACAGCTTCACGATTCCTGTCCAGTGTCAGTGTCTCGCCAGTCAGTGCTGGTTTTGCGTCTCGGGAGAGTTCATAAGGGCATTGTCGCATACCGCGATATTTGCCGGTGGCGGTCGAGTAGTCGGCGCTGGCAACCGAGGCCCTTCCGTCGATGGTATTGACGACCGACTCCACGCCAGGCGGGTTGGCGTGGACCGAAAGCATGCTCTGGCTATACGCCGGAGTGGCGCTCTCGGTAGAGACATCCTTGCCGAAGTACCAGAAGTACACGTCCGTGTTCTCGGTCGTGGGTCCATTGGAGCCTGGCTTCTGCGCCCCGTCCTGCTGAGGCAGGTTCGGGCCGGCCTTGACGTCCGGATGCAGAACCCGAGGGTCGTTGATGAAGCCCGAAGACATGATGGTTGATGTTGGTCAAGAAATTGCAGAGTCAAAGTCAGACTGTGAAGAAGATGGCAGATGAGTAAGAGGTGTCCGGTCTGTCCAAATCCAAGTGCCCCTACGAAGGTGGGCATGAGGGTTGTTATATATCCGTAAGTCACTACTGCCTACCCTCCTTCCCGGAGAGCCCTTCGCCTTCTAAGATGAATCCGCTCTCCATCTTCCGAGACACTTAGTCCCATTACTCCGTGTCCTAGGCACTCTTGCCACCATTTCCGTGGCTATCGTCGGCTGCCCGAAGTCCTGTGATCTCTTGCATCGTGTCCCGTCTCGGTGTGGCATTCGGATGTGATATTGCCTTCTTGCAGTGTTTCACCGTGAGTCAATATTGGAGCGGTTGATGGCGGCATTGCTGCATTGCTCAGCCAGCCATATTCTGGCTTCCTCTGTGTGTACTCGCAACAGCTTCTTCAGCGCAGCGGGAAACGCACACGGGCACCTTGATGACCACAAAGCGAAGGTAACAGCGGGAGAAGATGGAGGGGACCAAAAGGTTAGACTTGCGCGGCCTCATAGTTTCCTCCTATACGTTCGCGAATCGTGGCATATCCGCGGGCCACCAACGACACACCCGCCGCAAGCCTCGCGGCGATCACAGTATCCCCTTTCGACTACTTCAGCGCATGCTGCCGTTCACGACAGTAACAATATTGGCCATCGCTTCGGCAGAGCGCTGGATTCGGATGTGTTGATCTTCACCGGCTGCACAAGTCCAGAGCTGAGCGCCGCATGATGATGCGCGCTTCAAAAGGGTGGGAGCCTCGGGGTGCTTCAGGCCCGGGCCGCAGAATTGTAACGTCAATGATGATCTGCGATGCTCGATAGGTAGGTGTTTTCGACTTCCCCTCTTTGTCGCGGCCATTCAGCTCGTGCAGCACGCTGTGATACCGTCTAGCGAAGCGTAGAGTCGCAACCGGGGAAAAGCCGTCGCAGCGCGGCCCAAATCAACAGCTGCCACTGCGGGACAATCATGAGACTCGATGTAGGATGACCGAGATGGAAGCTGCTTTCCATTCAAGAACGCCTGTCGTAACATGAGTGCTGTCTGTGTCCGAGCAGGCCGCTGTCCTAAAGCCTACGCGGAACAGGCACGTAGCACAACCACTCCCTACCACCGCCGGCCTGCACCTCATGGTCAAAGCTGCTGCCATCACACCCCCCTTCCAGTAGCCGGATCCCCTCCTCGAAAAGCCCAAGGTCAATTCCGTGCAGACCACCAATAGCGACAGCCGAGTTCCACGACCCTCCGGAGACGTGAACACCAACCACGGCAAAGTCCCGGTCTCTAACCACCGGAGCTCCCGAAAGCCCTGAGTTGTCCAACAACAACACGAAGCATGATCAGCTGAAATCTCGCAGAAAGGACCAGCGGGAAAGCAAAAAAGAAAGAAAGAAAAGAGGGGAAGCGGTAGCACATCCAACTTACCACCCTGTACATCACCTCGGTACCTCAGCAAGCCATCGGCCGTGTCTCCTACAACCGGCACCACCACCATTTCGTACATGCCGCCCCCGGGCATCCCGCCCACCCGCACATCAGCCGGGTAGCCCACGACGGTAAGGAGCTCGTCCGCGTCCGCACCGCCAAGCCCCAATGGACCACCGTAGGCAAAGGGGCGGACGTTCTCGAACGGCCGCTCGAGACACACCAAGGCCACGTTGTGCTTCGAGTAGTGGGTGGTGCCCAAGCGGTGGCCGTCGGTCCATTCCCGGGGCACGACGACCCGCTTGGCGGACCGAGTCTGCTGCTGCTGCTGCTCGGCACCATGAGAGCCGCCGAGGACGATGGCCTGGATGCTCGTGACGTGCTCGTCGTGGTCGTGGTCGTAAACGCAGTGCGCGGCCGTGACAATGATGTCGTTCTTGAGCAGCCAGCCCGTCGCTGTGGTCCAGGAGGGTGGCGAGGTTCTGCCGGAGCGGATGAATAGCTTTACAATTGCTTTTTGTTTTGATTTTTCGCCATGTTAGCGTTCTCGGCTTGTCTCCTGTTGTTTGTCTATTTAGATTGTGGTGTTCGGGGGCAGGAGGAGAGGACACACAGTGATACTTCCCCCGGACCTGACATCCGCCTCGCGTACCGGTTTCCGGGCGTCCGGCTGCTCGTCGGGGAAGAGAACGTCGACGACGCCTGACGTGCGGATTATCGGCTGGACGGAGCCCGGCGCAGGGAACGGCTGGTCCTCCTTTTGCACGTCCAGATTCCAGAAGGCAATGATGCCCTTGGGTGCGGATTCTGGCTGAGACGCCATTAGGTATGTAGAGGAGGTACCGTCTAGCTTGTAAAGGATGGGCAAGAGAGTTTGACTCAGTGTGGTTCGTCCAGTGGCTCCGCGGTCACCCCGATGTGGTGCTGCTTTACTGCTGCGGTGCTGGCTGAGAATGTTGGGCAAAGATGGCAAAGTCGGCGTGCACCCTTAATAAATCCCTTTGGCCACAGGTCGGTCCTTGGGCCTTCGCCAGAAGGACCCGAACGGGAACTCCACCCCACCGTTGCATGCATCATGTGTAACAGCGGCCTGCCGCCCTGCGCGATGTTGTCGCCTAGCGCGCGTGACAGCGTGACGGCGTGGCTTGCTAGTAGCCTAAGGTAAGGTAGGTAGCCTGCTTCTTCTGGATGGTGTAAGGGGGTTTGATTGGCCGGAGCAATTCGCAATAACGAACGAAATCACTTGGAAATGTGCAGGTATGTACAGTATTGTATTGTATAAGTACATGACGGCCCTGAAAAGATGGCTTGACTGTTAGGAGCTGGCTATAGCATAGTATGTACGAATATAATCGTATGCTTACTCACCGGGGAAAACCGAACGTTTGGCAACAATTCAGAAGTTCATCCGAGTTGCTATGTACTCGTTACTTTCTATGCGCGTTTTTATCGTTGTTGAGGTTTTAGCACTAATAGGGGTCTCCAGGTCGCGCGCTAACAAACAAAAGAAGTAACGTCGAGTTTAGCTCTGCTGAAAATAAGTAAAAGAAGACTAGATTGGAAACGAAGAAAGAGAAGATCAATAAAGGAAGATCAAGACGAAGACGATAAGGTGCCGTACCTGGGAGTACATCACGTTATTTTTCAATGAAGTTCAATCAAGCAAAGGCGATAAAAACAGCAATGGTTCACCGGGTAGCCTGAGGAAGAGGGGTACCATCACAGCTGAGGTGAGGGACATCGCGCGAGGGTTTTACTCCGAAAATCCGCATTGCGATCCTACATAGAATCGGAGGACAGGCCTTCGGCGGACCGACTGGCGAGCGTCCCCCCCGAAGCTGGTAGCCTCTATTTCCCAACGCCTGTCTAAAGCCCGCTAAGTAGTAGGTACTAGTAATAACGAATGTCTCTGTCCTCGCTACCAATGACCGGAACGCCCCCCCGGTTCCTCCGCATCAAGCAACCTTCGCACTTCCGCCACCACATGCCTGTGAATGCTGCTGTCCGCAGTGATGATCCCCCAATAAGCACTCAGATCGCGACCGCCATCGTACCTGATCGGGCGACCAGACATGTCGGTGATGATGCCCGGCCCAGACTCGGTATAGATCAATGGCGTGCCGACATGATCCCACATCGACCACTTTGCGCCGCGCTTGTTCGGCCAGCGAACCTGTGCAAAGTTCCGTGTGCCCAGCGCCATGGCGACATAGCGCATGTGCGACGAGTAGAGCTGCGTGGTCGACGCCCCGTACTCGCTCTCTCTGAGTCCCGCGAGCTTCTGCACCTTTTGCCACAGCGTCTTGGGGCTGTTCATGGAGTCGACAAAGTGCAGGTACCGGAGCGGGGTTCCTGAACTCGAAGTCCTCGGTTCCTTTCCATTGCTGCGATCGAGCTTGTACACGTCGCGGCTCAGCGCGCCGGGCCCCATCCGCCTGACAGTAGCGCCGCCGCCCCTCGAAGCAGCAAGCATCCAGCCGTACCCCTGCAGGTCCGCGTGCGAGTCCGACAACAGCCACGTGCCCTCCTTGCTCCGGGCCAGGTTGGGACAGGCCGTGACGCCCACCAGCTCGACCCCGTTCTGCACCAGCGCCAGCGCAATGGCGTACTGCCCGCCCTTCTTGAACATGCTGGTCCCGTCAACGGGATCCATCACCCAGTACCGCTTCCCCTCCTTCATAGTATCCTCGCGAGCCCCCGAGTCGATACAAGCCAGCATATCGTCGACGTTCCTCAGCTTGCCGAGCTTAGCCTCGGATGTTTCGTCGCTCAGCTGGGTGGTCCTGACCAGCCGCCAGACCTCGTCCAGCAGGGCGCGGTTCTTCGGATCGCGCAGCGCGTCGGCGCTCTCTTCACCCAGGAAGAGGTCGCCGGGGAAGGCCTTGATCAGACCCGAGATGAGGAGGGCCTGCGCGGCGAAGTCGGCGATGGTCACGGGGGAGTTGTCCTGCTTGTTGAGGGACGAGTTGGACGAGGAGGAGGAGAGCAGCTTGAGGACCCTCTTGGTGGCGAGCGAGGCGCGCTGCACGGCCAGCTCGGCGATGTTTACTTCGTGGGCGAGGTTGCCGGCGGGTCGTGGTCGAGATGACAGTTGCTGGTGGCTGGGTTCGGCGTTGGTCGGAACGGGACCGGGGCGTCCAACCCGGCGCTGGGGATCCTCGCGTGTGTAACGGTGAGAGGACATGGTGAGTAGTCAAAGAGGTTGAATAATGGATGCGAGTTGCTTGGGGACGGATGAGAGCGTCGTTGAGAATGTGAATCACCGTAGCGGAACGAAAGCAGCTATGGTATCGGGACTAATGTGAGAAAAGAAGATGGTGAAGGTTACTGACTTAATCTGTGTGGAAACAGCATCCAAAGAAAGAAAAATAAATAAATAAATAAAGAGGCGGTACTACCAGTAGTACCTGGGTGAGGGGATAAGAAAGGGAGTTTGGTAAATCAGATGTCGCGGAAGAACTGAGCTATGAACATTAAGGTGAGCTGGGGTGCTTTTATACCGAAGGGACAGAAGATGTGGCAATTCATAATTCATACCCTGTTGCATAGACCAGCGTACAGCGCAGCACAGTATGTTTGAACCACTGGTGGACCTAGGTGACCACTGCCGGCATCAGTCTCCTGCGAAGTCTCGTTCTCATGACCGACACCAGCCTGGTGACCTTCCTTCGTCCTCTAACAGGATTCGCTTGGCGCCCGATGGTCTTGATCGGCTCTTGACAGGCATCCCGGAGGAGCGAGAGGAAGTAGTCTGGCGTATGAGGACTGTATCAGGGCAACTGCGCTATGGATACCTGTGATGAAATATAAGGTTACTGACCATAAGGTACTCTGGTTGCAACAGGCAATTGGGATCCAGTGATTGTTATCACCTGCGCCATTGCCGGTCTGCTAACCTGTCCGGACTTGAAGTTGTTGGCCAACCCGTGCTATGCCTTGTTACATCCGTCGCGGCGTTCCTGCGGCGGGCCACGGTGGCCGTCTGTTTAGCTGCAGGATTTAAAACTCGCTGCGCCGCACCGAACCCTAAGTTGTGCTCCCCGTGGCCTCGACTCAACCTGCCCGGCCGTTTCATTTCGCCGCGGCATAGCGGAATCTCGAACGACTAGGTCGCTACAACCTCTCGGCGACACCGTTCTTCCAGCGGCACAGCCACAAGGCTTTTAAAATAACGCCAACATCCTTAAATACCATGTGCATCCCCAAGCTATCTGGTACGCTTTGTTTTAGCATTTAGAACAAGGTCCCCTCTTTGCTTGGGCCAATGGCCAAAAAGCTGGTAGGTCCAAGTAAGATTCACCATATACAAAGTTATCCAGCACCCGTCTGAAAATTATCAGGTCTTGGCTGTTTTTGCTCGGACGGGGAAACGTGCAACTAACATACCTGGTAACCACGACGGGCAATCAGGGTAATCATTCTGCTGTCCAGGAAAACTAGCGGCCCTTTCTTCTCAAGGTGTACCCAATTTCTCCATCAACCCATCCTACGTCTATCCGGCCAGGACGCCGTTCCCAAGTTCCGGCCGGGACATCCGCATTTGACCGAGGAGGCAGAAAAAGAAGGAAAATGGAAAAGATAGAAAACGCCAAAAGGTTTCCCGCTCATCTGCTACCTTGGTCCGTTTGTCAAAGGCAGGAGCCGGTACGGAGAATCCGGTTGCTTTGCTTCGAGGTCTAACTCTAACCAAAGTTCAAACTATCAATGCAGCGAACGATAACCGTGCAAGGAAGCTTTTGTATCCAAGTGCTTGGTGGCTGGAATGCGTCACGGTATCACGAATCTAACGCGACCAGACAGAAACCAAGGGTGGCCTCGGGAACGTAAGGACCACTGGCTCCGTTGCCCCGCGCCGTTAGTGGGTCTTCCGGTCGCGGTGGGTCCTCGGGGGTCGGAGGCCTGGAGTGGGGCCGTGTGGCATCCAGGTTCACACATATCCGGCCTAGCGTAAATCGACGATGGACTCAGCCTCCAACGTTGACGGCGCGGTAATCGGTTGGCTAGAAGGAGTGTCAGCCGCACGCTATATACATACAATACAGTAAAGTTTAGCGCTGGCTGTGCCCGCGACTTACATAGTGGGGGCGGAAGCTAACTCCGCAGGTTCAAACCCCCGTGGACGCACGGATCTTGATCTCGACAAGATCCGCCTGAAACGGTCGGAAATCGTGTGAACGTGACCAGCCTGGCAGGCACTCTGCATGCATGCTCAGCCCGCTAATAGCCTGTCCGCTTACCCGCCCAACGCAAGTTCAGTCGCAAGCTGTCGACTATCATGGTACCACCGTCACGAGCCGCGAGACTGCATATGGTGTTCAAGTCTGAGACGATCCACAATTGGGGTCCGCAACACCACCTGTGGCACGGATTAGTTCAGCTGCGAGTTTTGACCGAGAAACTCATGATAATATTAGTAGTAGGCATCCCTCACTCCGATCGCGATGCTCGTACTCCCAGCCGGACCTCCATCTTCTTAGTCGTTCGGAGCGCACCCAGCAGGTCATGGCGTCCTCCTTCTTCACCAACTCACCCGTCGCCGCTTTTGTGGTATGCATCGTCACCGCACCCATCTGCATCCTGGCAGCCATCCTCCGCTTCCTGGCCACCAGGAAGACCGGCCGCAAGCATAGCATTGAGGACTGGTGCGCCTACGCCGCCGTGGTGTTCCACCTGGTCTACATCTCAATCGCGCTTCACACCATCAACTTCCTGGGGTGGCGGGACGTCGTGACGATCCCGCTGCCCGACTTTCTCTACGCCGCCAAGGTAAACCCTTCCCCCCCCCCCCCCCCCCTTCCCCCCCGGGCTCCCGGACCCATACGTAATGGGACCAACTAGGAGTTCTGGTGCTGAAAACAGCCTCGGACTAGATATACTACGCCCTTCCCATACCCTTTGGCATCAACCAGCTGCTGACCAAGGCAAGCCTGCTGTTCTTCTACCACCGCATCTTTAGCATCCACCGCGTCTTTGCGCGCTGGATCTACGTGCTCGCGGTAGCCAACGTGGGCTGGTTCATCATGATGGTCGCGCTCTCCCTGTTTAGCTGCCGTCCCGTGAGCAAGGGCTGGGACATCTTCGCGCCCGGCACGTGCTTCGACTACAACTCGTCCACGGCCATCACCGAGACCATCAATGCGCTGCTGGACTTTGCCATCGCCATCCTCGGCGCCCTGATGGTCCGGACGCTCCAGGTGTCGCGCGCGACCAAGTGGAAGCTGGGTATCCTCTTCGCTATCGGGGGCCTGTAAGTGTGTTTCTGGTCTTGTCTTTTTTGCCTGGTGTTCTTGCCGCTGAATGCCAGGTTTGGAATACTCGCGCACAGTGCGGGCGTCGTAGCGTTTGTCATGATCGCACAGATATACACCTTCACAGGGAGTAAGTAGTAGTACTTTTACTCAATCCCCAATCCTATTTGACTCCACTAATGTGCACCGGCACCAAGTTATCAACTACATGCCGGCGCTCTGGGCGATCGTGCAGTCCACTTGCAGTGTCATCTGCTGCTGCGCCCCGATATACAAGTCCATCCTTCCAAAATGGGGACTGTTCAAGCGGCTCAGGGCATTCACCTCTCCTGCTGCCGGTTCCAGTTCTGCCGAGAAGCTTCACTCCAGTAGTAGTACCCTTACCTGGCCCAGGGCTGATCATTTCACGGCCTTGGGGAAGAGCGATGCTCGTGTCTCGCTTTCGACCAGCGCGCCGATGGCGCTGGGCGAGAACTTCGGTTGGCTGCAGCTGGATGACGGCAATACAACAATGCCGAGGGCGGCGGTCTGGGTCCAGGCGGGTTCGGGGACCAACGCCGAGAGGACGAGAGAGCGTGTCTATGAGCTGAATGGGATCAGTGTCCAGAGAACGGTGGAAGTCGTCTAAGATGCATAGATAAGAACAAGAAATCACGGTAGATCCTCAACACCCAGTTTGCCGTAAAGATTCACTTCCGGGTTAGTCAGGAAGGTATGTGAACTCCCATTGTCAGCATTATGCTACCCGACCACGACTCTGGGCCGCTGACCCGATCCTATCAAAAATGTCTTCGCTTGTCCTTCCTTATCTTCACGGAAATAGATTGCAGGCAATATTGGGAGGGGGTTTGAGTCCGGCACATAATTCGTCGACAGCTCAGACTTGCAAGCCGCCGCCTAAATCTGCCGCCCGACTTAATATCCAAAGCCATCCGGCGTAGTACCCTGGATATTGGCCACAGTTCGAGATCGGCGCTAGAACCACATACGAGAGCGGCTTCCGATCGGAAGCACCGGGCAACACCCATAAACCCCCCATGAGAACTTATTTGGCAGCTGAAGTCCAAAACCAACACCCAGCCAGGTTCCCTAATCTGACAACCGCCGGACTCAAGCTCCCCCAAACACTCCCCTTCTTCACCTGCAACATCCACAAGATGTTACCACAGTGGAGACCTCTCACCCTCAGCCTAGCAGGCATTCTCGTAAGCCAGGTATGGCTCGCCTCCAGCCAGGAAGTCGGGCCCTTCGACCCATCGACGGCACCCATCCCACCGATGCTGCGCTTCCAATGCTCGCAGCTGGTGGTCGAGCGCCTCGACCCGCTCGTCACGCCGGGGTCGATCCCCTCGCCGCACCTGCACCAGATCGTGGGCGGCAACTCGTTCAACGCGTCGATGGACCCGGCGACGCACGACCTCGTCGCCCAATCCTCCTGTACAAGCTGCACCTTCACCGAGGACTTCTCCAACTACTGGACGGCGGTGCTCTACTTCCGCGCGCGCAACGGCACCTACAAGCGCGTCGCGCAGAAGCCCAACGACGGGCTGCGCGGCAACGGCGGCATCACCGTCTACTACATCCCGCCGCTGGGGAAGAACAAGACGACCGCCTTCCGGCCGGGCTTCCGCATGCTGGTCGGTGACGCGGCACTTCGCGGGAACCCCACGGGCGGGAGGAAGTACGATCCGAAAGTGTGTCACCGGTGCATGCCGACAAAGGGCGACAACAACAACTTGAACTGTGCGGCGCCGGATAGCATCACCCTCCCTAAGAAGTTCTGCTCCGGTGGGATCAGGAGTGTGATCACCTTCCCGACGTGCTGGGACGGCGTGAACCTGGATTCGCCGGACCACAAGAGCCACATGGCCTATCCCGTCGAGGGCACGCAGTGGAACATGACGGATTTTGATGGCGGCGTGTGTCCGGACAGCCATCCCGTACGGGTGCCGCAGGTCATGTACGAGGTCATTTGGGATACCACGCCGTTCAATGACCCCGACTTGTGGCCCGAGGATAAGAACGAGCAGCCGTTTGTTTGGAGTACTGGGGATGAGTACGTTTCTCTCTCTATCTTTTTTCTTTCTTTTAGAGAGTAGCTGGCAAAGCTGATTGTGATTGTGAATGCAGAAACGGATACTCCCAGCATGGCGATTATGTATTCGGGTGGAAGGACGACGCCCTCCAGCGGGCGATGGACAACCGCTGCTTTGGCGACGTCTGCGAGAGCTTGACAACTCAGACCCCCGAGAAGGCCGCCGAGTGTGTCAAGAGCAGAACCGTGGAGGAGGAGATAGATGGATGTGAGTTGCCTTTTCGTTTCACCGTCTGCCTCTAGCGAGTTGAGAGCGTTGCTAACCTGACCACTTTGTGTTGTACAGGGCTGACGGAACTTCCGGGCATGGCGGGTATGAGGAAGTGATGGGTATCACGGAGGATGTTGTGCTGCAATCTTAGGTTATTGTAGGGTTAATCTACGAGAAAGCCGGTTGGTCTGCTTCCAGGAAATAGTCTCCCCTTCTTCTTCTGTACCGTTGCCAGCGTCGCAATAGTTCTGCCGCCCTGGGCTACCATCGACGCTGACGAAATAGCCGGCGAAGACCCTCTGTGGGTCCTGGAATATAGGAAACTGCGAAACTAGCCGCGAGAAGTCGAAGTCCAACTGTAGCTGGTCGCGCAATGCACAGTAGACAATGCCAATCGTAGCTGGGGTTACGACTGTCACCGCCGTCGGTGTAGTAGCCATAAGCCGTCTGATACAGGACAGCGTCATGAAGCCCTCCGCTGCAGCTTGGCATCGAAACTTGACTGTGCCGGGAAGAAGAAGGGGGTTGTGGCGGGACAAGGCAATCTGCTGGCGGATGTATCCCTCGTCATCCGGTGACAGTGGCTCGTGCCGTGGGTCCTGGCCGTTTGCGACACTCCTGATCTGCATCAGATAGACAAGGGCGGCATTGTAAAGCAAGATGTCTAGTGCCAGCCGCGGAGAGTCGAACTCCAAGCTGGCCTGCAGTATGAGCTCCATAAGAGGGGTCGATGTTATGTCGCCCTCCTCCATACCTTCATTGTGAACCTGACGAACGGAACCGGAGTTTGCGCACTGCCAATTCCACCGCCAGTCGTTCAAGGCAATGGACAATGCATCGATTTTTTCGAGGCAAGCGGCTCGGTTGGTTGGAACCACAACGGCCTCCGCAATGCCGGGGAGATCGACGAAGATGTCCATGAGACGGTCCTCAAATGTCTTGGGTGCCCGCTGCCATGGTATGGTCTTCCAGGGTGTCTCTTCGAGGAAGCAGCGGCTCTGTCGGCAAAGCGATTGGCAGAGCTATGTCATGTGAGATCATAACTCGGTGCATTACAGCGTGGGAACTACTTACAAGGAGTGCTCGGCACGATCTAAACAAATCAAGAAGCCTTTCGTCCTGGTACGTCTCAGGTCCACAGTGCTGTAGAATCCGTATGATGCCGACGTGATGGGGCGGTGCCCGTCCCATGATGTTGTTCATAACGAACTGCAAACAGTGTTACGATTTTACTATCCTAATCCGAACTAAAACTGATCATAGTAGTACTCACCTCATATATGCCCATTAGCACAATCGTGAAGCCAAGCTTTGCTAACTCGGCCTTTGGAGGCTGTCTGAGCAGAGACTGAAACTCAGTAAGGACCTGCCCGTACAGTTGCCGTCCCTTGGCTTGCAGGGCCTGGTCCCGACGGCCGAGGCCCATGTAGCCATAGGAGATGGCTCGGAAGCAGAGCTTGTTTATCGCGGGGAACTCATCATTCGTCGCTGCCAGCATGGCCGGGCGCCAAAATGGGGCCCAGTTGAAGGTGTTGAAAAAGTGAGACGCTGAGATCTCTTCCTCGAACACGCGAAAGTCGAGTTCTAGAGGCGGCCGGGATGCCAATTTCGCGAGGCTTGATGGCCGCTGGATGCTCACTAACCGCTGCGTCCCGTCAGTTTCTGACTGGACGCCAAAGGCGTGCACACGTAGAGGGAGCACATAGCCGCCGCAGGTGTGGCCAGATGCGGCACAGCGCTTGCATTCGGGCCGTGTCTTGTCTGTATGTGGAAGCCCTTGTCTTAACAAAACGAGGAAACATTCTCAAGGCTGGGTAACCCGCGTTACTCACCGCACTTGACGCGCCTCCTTCGGCATGTTTGGCAGTAGCCACTTGTGGGTTGGCGGCCCATGGTTTTGTGTTGTTCTGGAAAGCTTGTCTCGCCAAGCCTTGGAAACTCGATCCACGATTCCACTTGCTCGCTGCTCGGCCCGGTCTCGAGTCAGGTCACGCAGGGTCTATCTCGAGGTAAGTTGCTTCTTAAGGCAACTCATTGGAGGCTACGAGACAAATGGACACCTTGGAAGCATTTCAGATAGCTTATAGAATCTTCCCTAAGCAACGCTTTGTCATCCAAAGTGTAGTTGCCTCAGTCCCGGATTGTGGGGCGGCTGTTAGTAATTCCGACTGGTTGCCAAAGATCAGCCGGATGCTCAATCGTGTAGGGTTCGGTAAGTGTCACTGACAAATTACGAAATACAGCCAAAATTTGGAAATCTGTAATTTCCGAGAGACATTACAGCATTTATAAGTAAGGTAGGTCTATATAGATATAGAAGATCTTCAATTAGCTAACCTATTCGGCCCCTTATACAAAAGAGTAATAAACAATAGTCGTAATAGATTCTGGTTACTTTGGTGATGTTGTGTTAGTGGTGGGTAAAGTTCGGGTGTGTTGTTACGGTGTGGAAAGTTGGCTCGGCGCCTGAAAAAGGGCAGAAAGGGAAAGCTAAGATAACTCTAACCCGGGACTTATACCGCCTGTCTATCATTGAAAGTGAAATCTTGGCGGAAATGTCGTAAAACAGGGCTATTGAGAAAATACGTCTTTCCAAGAAAATGAGGAAATTACCGAGCCCTACAATCGTGATGCGAAGGAAGATGCGAAGTCCGATATAGCGAACTGCGGCGTGCGTAGCTTGGATACAAGTGCGATGCAATGTGATGCGATGGAGCGCACATGCTGGCACCATTGGTTTTACAAAGACCCACTTCGACGACGCGATGCCCGATCGGGAAGGTTTCGTCGAGGTGCATTTGACATAGTGATGATGACACAGGTCCGCAATTGATCCTTCGCTGGTCTTGACCTCAGGCTGTCATATGTCTACCTGGATTTCTAAGCCGCCAATATCGCGATGTTTGGGCCACTGGCATATAAAAGAAACCAGACTCTCTTCGGGTCCGAGGTTAAGGTTCAAAAGCACATTCGACCACTCACCAAGTTACACCGCGAACCCCCACTTCAATTAACTCAAAGTTAATAAACACGGTCTTCAGTTCAATTCGCAACATAGCGGATATATCACACTCAATACAATGGAGAACCTCCCGCCGGACCACTTCGTCACCAGGTGAGGCCCGGCCCTTCTTCGCAGCAATGAAAACCATCAAACCTGTATCTGACAAAACACAGCCTGCAGTTTACTAAGCATGTCTACCAAGACGTGTACCCGTCCATTGACCCCTCGAAGCCAGAACTGTCTCTGGCGGGTAAGGTTGTTATCATCACCGGTGCAAGCCGCGGTATAGGAGCCATGGTGAGCGCTTTCCGGGTTTTGATTGTTGGGGATGATGCATCTAACCATCCGCCCAGGGCATCGCTCCGGCATTCGCCAAAGCGGGAGCAAAGGGTCTTGTGCTGGTGGCCACCAATGCTGAGAAGTTGGCGGCGGTCGAGGCCAACCTCAAGACCATCAACCCCGAGGTCCAAATCCTATCGGTAGCGACGGACATCTCCGATGCATCGTCTGTGGCTGAGCTATTCGCAAAGATCAAAACTAAGTTCGGACATGCCGACGTCCTCATCAACAATGCTGCCATTCTTGCTGGCGGCGGCACCATCCACGAGGATGATCCCGCTCAGTGGTGGAAGAACTTTGTATGTCCCACATCCTGCCAGCATCCAGTTGTGATTTACCTTACAAAGCATTAGCTAACCACTGAATTCTACCCTGTATAGGAGGTCAACACCAAGGGCGCCTTCCTTCTGGCGCAGAACTTCATCAAGGCCCTCCCATCCCCGACCTCCACCCCAGCAACGATTGTGAACCTCATCACGGGCGCCGCATGGCTCGTGATCCCCTTCATGAATGGGTACAGCATCAGCAAGCTGGCCACGCTGCAGCTGACGACGCACCTCGCGGCTGCCTACCCCAACATCACGGCCATCTCGCTGCACCCGGGCCTCGTCGAGACTGACATGATGGACCCCGCCTTCAAGCGCTTCAACCACGACTCGCCGCATCTGGTGGGTGGCCTGACGGTGTGGCTATCGAGCGAGAAGGCCAAGTTCCTCTCGGGCAAGGCCATTGCGTCCAACTGGAGCGTTGATGACCTGGTCGAGAGGAAGGAGGAGATTCTAGCGGGAAACCTGTTGCAGGTTGATTTGAGGGGGAGGTTTGGGAAGGATCAGTTTGAATAGAAGTGGTACAACGTAGGCATGCAAGTAGTTTTAGGGATCACATATATAACGTTATATGCAACCCCATACTCTCTTGTCAGATCTGCCATTTCAATACTATGCCTCTGTCTCGGGCTTTGGGGGGGATATGCAACCATCTTCTTGGGCCACGTCCTATAGTAGCGGTGAAACGGTTCTAAATCTGCTCTGCCTGTCTCCTTCGAGAGGCGCTTCCAGTCGTTTGGCCAAAAAGACGATACAGGGATGCCCGAGGCCCGTTCGGTACGTTTTTATCACAATGACCCCACACTTGAGTTGCCATTGCAACCTACAATGACTGCGCCAGGACCTCTTCACCGTTTAGATCTTGAATCCTTGAGAACGTCGTACACTGGGTGCTGCGATTGAGGCCATTCTGGAGCAATCACGGGTCGACTGTCGCAGCGCCTCCAGTGAATCTGAAGGTATAGCACCTTTCACACTTCAAGTCAATTATATTTTCCGACCACAAATACTACCTATAACCGCTGCTTTTGAGTACGAGGCACCGCTTGGAGCGCCAACCTGTCTCAGTCTGGTATGAAGCTTGGCCTCCTTCCTCCCACGCTGCTGGCCGGCTGCCGGCATCTGTCTCGGTAGCTGCATTAGTCGGGCGCCTTGGCTTCCTCTAAGCTTTTTTAGACGAGGGTTCCAAGACGACAAAGTGGGCCGAAGAACAAGTCCCTCGCGATACCAGCAATTGTCTAGACTCTAGAGTGGCCAGAGCCGCCCTTCGAAATCGTCTCAGCGACCGCGTTCTGCAAGACAAATCAATCAGAGAGATGCGGAAGAGTTGAAGACCAACAATAATTCCGGCCTGACATGCCGCGACAGCGTCAGACTCTGTGCGTGCCCGGCCCCGGTCTTGAGCCAAGGCTAACGGTAGATGGAAAGTTAACGGGCCGATCGAAGGCGGCAATGTAACGTTGAACGTCACATTCTCGGTCCACTAAAAGACCGACCAAGTCGCCGGGATCTTCGGGATTTGGGACCGACTGCCTTCGACGTTCGGACGAACCTGCAGTGACGAGGAACTGATTCTGCGACTTCTTCTTCTCTTTCCCCAACAATTTCGTCCGAAATATTCGAGGATGCCTGTGAGAACAGACAGGTGGCGTCGCGGCGCGCACACTGACTTCTCGCTTCGGGAGTCCTTCTAGAAACATGTTCGATAGGCCAGGGGCATGATCCGGTCTGTTTCCCTGGTTGGACAGGTTAGCGTCAGCCGTCCGAACAAAACCTGAATTGTTCTCCGCAAAAGAGCAACAACCCACACCTCCGCAACATCCCCCCGCCACGAGCCCCCAGAAAAATGCGTGCAAAATGCAAAATTGGGTCCCTTATTGTAGAGTTTCCCCGGATATTGGGCGCTGATCCAAGTCGACCCCACGGGGTCGCATCGCGTCCACAAAATGCTATATCTGGTCCACTCCCCGCGTCCTCCTGCTCTCGCGTCCATTTGCCCTAACAAGTTCAATTCCTAACTCCTGATCCCGCCCTCCACGACAATGGATTCGCCAGAGAAGACGCAAGCACAGCAGTATGAGGCGGCAGGGACCACATTACGGACCATGGACCCTCAACGGCGGGTCGAGGTCGAGAAGAGCATGAAGCGCAAACTCGATGCGCGATGCTCCTTGTTCATCCTCCTCTACATCATGAACTACCTCGACCGCAACAACATCGCGTCGGCCCGCCTCAAGGGCCTGCAGAGCGACCTGAACCTCTCGTACAACCAATACGCGACCTGCCTCAGCATTCTGTACGTCGGCTACATCCTGATGCAGGTCCCTTCGAACATGGCGATCAACCTCGTCTCGCGGCCCTCCTGGTACATCGCGGCCTCGATGCTGCTCTGGGGGTTGATCTCCACCCTGTCCGGGATTGTGACGAACTTCGCGGGCATGGTCGTCATCCGGTTCTTTCTCGGTTTCATCGAGGCGGCCTTCCTTCCTGGTGCCCTGCTCATCCTGTCCAAATGGTACACGCGTCGCGAGCTCACTACGCGGAACGCGCTGCTGTTCTGCGGCAACCTCATCTCCAATGCATTCTCCGCCCTGGTCGGAGCCGGCGTGCTCTCCAACATGCAGGGCACCCTCGGCCACGCCGCGTGGCGCTGGCTGTTCTGGATCGAGGGTGCTGCGACTATGTTCATTGCCATCACGGCCGCTTTCATCCTCCCCGATCTGCCGCACAACTCGCGCGGCTTCACCGAGGAGGAGCGCTACGTGGCGCAGCTGCGCATGACTGAGGATGTCGGTGAGGCCGACAGCGACGAAGGCCAAGGCATCTTCCACGGCCTGCGTATGGCGCTCCAGGACGGCAAGGTGTACCTGATGATGTTCACCCTCACGGCCTATGTCGTCGGTCTCTCCTTCAATGCCTTCTTCCCAACCCTGACCGGCACGCTCGGCTTTAGCTACGTCCCGACGCTGCTCATGAGTGCGCCTCCATGGGCGTTTGCCTGCTTGGTCTCGTTGGTCAACGCGTGGCACTCGGATCGTACGCAAGAGAAGGTTGGTACTCCATGAATACTTCCCTCGGAGTTACTTTAGTCTAACCCATCCCCTCTAGTTCTGGCACATCACCGGCCCCATCTGCCTCGGCCTGATCGGCTTCATCATCAGCATGTCGACGCTCAACGTCGCCGCGCGCTACGTGGCGCTCTTCCTGCAAGCGAGCAGCTACGCCGGCTTCATCGTGTTCTACTCTTGGATCTCATCCTCGTTCCCGCGGCCGCCGGCCAAGCGCGCCGTGGCCATCGCCATGATCAACGCCTTCAGCCAGCTCGGCAACGTCGCGGGGTCGTACGTCTGGAATCTGACGGAGAACGGCTACCGAAAGAGCTACGGCATCGTCACGGCCATGTTCGGCATCACCATCGTCGGGTGTCTGGCCTTCAAGCTGGTGCTGGTGCGGGCGAATCGCAAGTTGGAAGCGGAGGAAAGCGCCGGTGGTGGGGCTGCGCTGCCGGCGGCGAGCGACGCGATCGATCCCGAGACGCAGAATAAGGGCTTTAGATATTTGGTATGATGTATGAACATGGATTTAAAGTGGGTATATAGGAAACGGTTAAGAAATGTTTGATCCGTAGTCTCGGGGTCTTGCCACATTTCTCGCTGTCTTTGCGTTATCGCTTGCTACACAAGGCTCCCCGTGTCTAACAAAGATGGACGCTTCAGCCCTGCACGAAGAGCTGAAACGAAGGAAAAAGCGCGACCTGGGTCTTCCCGACGTCCCACCCGCGGGCCGACTACTGAAACATGCCGCCGAGCAACTGAGGCGGCATCTGGTAGAGACTAATCGAAGCTGAGAAGGCACGCAAAAGCTCGATCAACAATAACACCCAGAGGGCCAGAGATCTTACCCCTGGCCGGTTGCTAAGGGGTGACTACATGTAAGTAGGACATGCTTCTCAGTCAGGTTAACCGATGCCCGGTTAGGTCATTGTGGCAAATGAGAGGGGAAAGGGTGAATGCAAAAGTAGGATGACACGATGAGCGTAGTTGCCATGTCGTCACCCTGTTTCTGAGGACCCTATGATGGAAAATACCGGGGTACAGAGGCAGCCTCTGTTATTTAACCCCCCCCCCCCCCGGCGATTTCCCGGCTGACAGTAACCTTAGCTCGGGGAAAGTTGCACCGGGTGGGGAAAGCTTTCTCTTGGCATTGAGGCAAGTGAAAGGGCAACGTTTGCTTGTGTGCCTGCTTGCTGGCTTATTATTGCTTACATGTTACCTAGGTATGTTGACATTGACAAGCAAGCCCCCAAGACCCCAACTCAGGCAACTTTCCCCGAAGTCCATGAGAGATTCAGAAAGCTGCCAGCTTTGCCCATCCACTCAAGCATCCCAGCCCAGCTGTCTTGTCCACAGCTCGTATCCATCAAAGCACCTATCGATATACCAACCATAATGGAGAAGAAACAAGGACAAGGGTGCTGGACATGCAAAGGTCAGTAGCTTTCTGGGTGGGTCGACAGATCGGCCCGTCGGGCAGAGAACATAGCTCGTAAGATCCAATGCGATAGGGTGTCACCCACATACGAACAATGCATCTGCGACAATCGAGCCTGTCAAGGACCTGGAGCACGCCTATCATGACCCAAAGAGAACGACGAGAAGCATGCCAGGACTGCGCCAGTGTCCTACACACCCGAAACGACGATGACACGCAACTCCCCGCGTCGTCACCACTACCAATTCATCAACATTGGTTGCCTAGACATCGATTTACACCGTTACCTGTCACGCCAGGCCACGGCCGAACCCCCCCTTTTCCTTGGGACTAAGCAAAGCATGCCCACAATATGGAGGCAGCCATCGACCAAGCAAAGACATGAAGAGTTGCTGTACTATTGTAAGTCAATTTCCAGATCACCGTGCGGCCGATTACTTGATGGGCTCACAGTAGCTACAGTCCATGATATCGCCTACCTCTCCCTGTTGAGCTTCAGCTCATCCAGCCCGCAACTGCGCAATCTCCTGATGCCCATGGCTTTGGTCGACCATGACACTGTGTCACGGCGTGCCTTTCTCTACGCCATGCTCGCGTTCTACTGCCTACACCGCAGTGGACTGCACCAGCAGACGATGCAGCTGAAGATTGCCGCCCTGCGCGCCCTGTCTGCATCGGGTAAAGAGGCCGTCCCCAGGCATGGAACCATCGGAGCTGTCCACCACGTGGCCGCGTGCATTCATAAAAGTATGCCCTGTATGCCAATAATTACCACAGCATGTGTCTCTACCTAGTTAAGCGTGCCTCACTGGTTCTACCCCTAGGAATGTACATGTCCCATGAGGTCAGAACCTGTTTCAGTATCCATACTTGGTACCACGCGACGAAAGGAAAGCACCCACATCCCGTTCTCGATGCTAGCCTTCTCCCACAGGTTGATGACGTTTTGCATGGCCACATCTGGCTTCGTGGGGCCGGGAAGCCGGGTATGGCCGCCTTGAACCTGGCCTCCATGGCCTTGACTGCTTCCAGCTGCTTGGGGGATGCTAAGGTCGGGGGAAAGCGGAAAAGTGGTTAATAGTAGTAGGTTCTAACTTCCAAAAAGCATTTTTGGCTAATGGAGGGGCATGCCGCATATGATATTTTTTCTCGTACCATTGTCAAAGTGGCCCACATCGACCATGCCCGGCCATATGCTGACGAACAAGACGCCGTCCTTCTTGTACTGGGCCGAGTACTTGGCCATCAGCACGTTCAGGCCGGCCGTGGTGAGGGCGTACAGAGGCGAGTTGGTCAGGCCTAGTCCGTTGAGCGAATTCAGGTCGGCCAGGCCGCTCAAGAAGGCGATGACCTTCTTGACGTCGCCCCTGAGGATGAGGGGCAGGAAGTAGCGGCAGAGCTGGATGTTGCCGGCGATGTTGGTCTGGTAGAGCTTGGCCAGCTTCTCCGAGACCATGTCGGCCTCCTCGGCCAGCTCGCCGATCGGGTCGTACGCATCCCACTGGGGCACGTAGCCTCCGTTGGCGATCAGGTAGTCCAGCTTCCCGCCGGTGATGGCGGCCCGTGTCGGCCGCGGCTTGGGACAGGGAGGCGTAGTCGTTGAGATTGCCGTGCAGGATGTGGATGTTGGTGGACTGCCTGGCCAGCTGCTGAGATACGGCTTTCTCGGTGGCAGCCTTGCCGCGCACGAGCCCGATGACGATGTATTGGCGGTTCTTCGAGAGGATGCGCAGCATCTCAAACTACGGAGTGGCGTATGGTACGCTACTTAGCTGCTGCGAGAGGCTGCGCTTTAACAATGGCAGCCAGCGGGAGAGACACTCACCTCCAGGCCTTTGGAGACATCAGTGATGACGTAGGAAGGCATCTTCGGTTTTGTGATACGTCGGCGCATGATCTATTGAACCTGGTAGTGGTTTGTTCACTGTCAAGCACAGGAACATGAACATTGGGCACATATAAGTACCAAATATGAGTAATTGGATTTTTAATTATTAAGGCAACGAATAGATTCCAATATGATCTTCTTTCGGTCATTCACTGGTCTTTTGTCACATTCTACCACATCCCACATGGCGTCTTGTTTCGCAGTTAGGTGCTGGAGGTGGGTCAATAATCTGAAACTGTCTGGCGTACCTGGTAGTCCGTACATCTATAGCCAGCTGCCCGCCTGGGCTGGACCTGGATCCGAATCCTATCGCCATTACTTGCTTCCGGTGGGGCGTTTACTTCGGCACACCTGCGGTCCTCACTCCTTCCGGGCATTGCTGGCGACTGGCGCCCTTACTCCGGTCAAGCTTTCATTAAACTCATTGTTATGCGTAACTTCAGTGAGTATCTTATTTCAGGCTCTTGGATGAGCTATCGAATCTGCTGCGGAAAGCACGATAAATCGTCCTCGGCGAGCCAAGAGAAGAGCGGTATGGGCATGGAACATTGTTGTGGCTTAAATATGCATGAGATGGCGCAATTGGCAATTGGTTAGATGTATCATGCCCTCTTCTGGAACAATAAAGTAGAACGTAAGTTTTAATCGCAATAGCTCCCATAGTTCCATCGCAATGGCTCCGGCAGTTCAATCTCAAGTGTCGTATCGCAAGACCTAGGAGCGCGGGAGCCACAGTGGTTGGCTATAGTGAGATCGTGGGTAATGAGACAGTTTGAGCTTTGCACCTCAGTAATAGGTGCCAAGAAGTCGGTTACGGTGCATCGACCATACGAATCGAAGATCGAAGGGCACTTGATTGTGATTTTTCGCGTGACGGCTCAAGAGAGTGTATGGATGGAGTAAGGGATCATTTGAGATAGCCAAGGGTTAAGGATACGCCGCCGTCCTCGGAGGCTCCGGGGAGTTGTTAACTTGTTGCTGTCCCGGTGATCAGGTAATACGAGTGTTGTTACTTGTAAGTTGTATGTATGTACTGTATGCGCTGTCCACTAGCATAACACTGCACCTTGGAGAGTTTCGTCTGGGTCAGACGTCATACTACACGACCTCGGACTCGATCTCTACTTCCATAGAACCGAGGAGTTGACGGCTTGTTTTTACATCATTGGGTCGTAGGCCCAGTGCTAAGTTGTACGGATGTCGTGTGAAATAAAGGAACCTGGTTCGGCAGTTTTGGTTGGACCCGCTGTGGGGCCGGATGTTCCCTTAAACGGCCGCCACATCCGGTCGAGGAGCAGCGCGCCAGATCGATGAAGTCATGGATCATGGATTCTGAGGAGATCGGACGCGCAACACGATAGCAATCGGGAATTGGGCACGCCGGGAGAAAGCTCATCGTACAGTTGAGTCCCTCAGACTCCGCAATGATGGCTTTCACTTGGAGTGACAATGTGTGACATCACATCGACGGAAGCTCATCAATCCGGGGATCGGAATGGGGGGGGCGATCCGGCGATGTCATGGACCACGCGCGTATAAGAAGCGTACCTGGACCGCTTTAGTTGGCTGAATTGGAAGTTCTGCAGACCCAAGCTTATCATCGGCCTCTCGTTTCACACAGTCGGCTGCTCCTTCCGGTCACTAGCTTCGAGGTTGCACACATGGCTGCCAAGGCGGCTCTCCAGGTTGCGGGCCTGCTTGCTCTGGTGAGCAACGTCCGCGCCGTGCCCGTGGTTTCGGAGCCCACGACCACGGTCTACTCGGAACCCACGAACCTTCCGTCACCGTACGCGATTTCGCACCACAATGTAACGTCGCATGGCCCGTACACCGGACCGCCGGCAACCACGACCGGTGCCCTTTCCACCAGCGTCATCGCGCCTTCCGTTGCCGCGGGGCCGCCTCCGCCGCAGATTGTTGCCTATCCCGCGGACGGAAAGCTGCACGGCGACCAGCCGATGCCCTTCACGCCCAGCGGCGGCATCGGCACCAACGGCTCCGAGCCAGTCTACAAAGTGGCTAGCGATTTCGACTACCAGTCGCTAGCACTTGCGCTCTATCACGAATGGATCGAGCTCGACCTCTTCCACTGGGGCCTCGCCACCTTCTCGGACGAGGAATGGGAGGCCTACGGCATCAACGCCGAGGACCGCTTCCTCCTGCAACACATGGCTGACCAGGAGATCGGCCACGCGTCCGTTCTCGCCAATATGCTCGGCCCAAGCGCGCCCAAGCAGTGCACTTACAACTATCCGGTCTCGAATGTCGCCGAGTTCATCGACTTCAACCAGAAGCTCACGCGCTGGGCCGAGGCCGGCGTCTACGGCTTCCTGAGCCACCTCAACTCTGGCCCTGCGGCCAGCATGCTCCTGCAGAGCATCACCATTGAAGCTCGCCAGCAGCTCATCTTCCGCCAGTTCGGTGGCCAGTTCCCCATGCCCGAATGGCACACTCCAGGCATTCCCCAGAGCTGGGCCTGGACTCTGCTGGCCCCGTACATCAGTTCATGCCCCTACAACCAGACCCGGCTCGTCTGGCAGAACTTCCCGGCACTGCACATCCTGAACCAGCCCAATGCCGCACGCATCAACGGCTCCGCCGTCTGGAACGAGACCACCGGCGGCTACGCCAACACCCTGTCCACCAAGGGCATTCCGCGAAACGAGCTGTGCGCCAATGCGACGGACGAGACCCTGGACTGCCGAGCCGCCATCTCCCAGAACCGCAGCATGCCGCTGTCCTACCCGGGCAGGCAGGTCTTCCTACAGTGGGATGAGCCCGGCAAGCTGGTCGGTCCCAACAACAGCTACGTCACCACGACCAACGTTAAGGAGCCCAAGTTCGCCGCCTGGCTCAGCCAGCTGAACGTCACCTACACGGCGCTGCAGGACATCAACCTGGACAACCGCACCGCGTACACCATTCAGCCCAACGTCTCGACCTGGAAGAATGATCCGGCCGTCAATGGCACCATGTTCATTGCGCTGACTGACACGGATCTGTTTGTCACGCCGTACAATGTCACCATGATCAACCCGCACGTTGCCGCTCTGGCTATGTACCAGGCTGGCTGAGCTCTTTTCGCATGTTTAATCTCATGTAAACAAAAGGGGGTGGTTTTGGAAGAGTTGGAAGGTGTGAGGATGGGACGATGTGATGTGTATGAAACTGGAAGTACTAGTAATTGTTATTCATTTTTCCTTGCCTCTGCCTATCACAGACTGCTGTACGAGTGTTCCTCCGTGACTCAAGGCCGAGTTAGCAGGCTTTAATGTGTACGCAACTGCTAGTACGTCGCGAGGTTCGCTCATCTCAACCCTACTTCCCCTCATCCACACAAGTTACTAAATGCCACAACACCGTTATAGACCAATCCTGCCACTGATGATCATCCCCGGCCATACAAAAGGCAACATCTTAACTATCGCGCCGTAGCAGTCTAGATAGCCCAACCCCCTTTTCACTTGTCATGTTGGCAGACACTATGTGAAAGAGCAAGCTGACCGACACTCCTCCGTTTGAACGGTTTATCACATTCGTTCCTGCTTGACGGTTCATTAAAGCCTAGTAACAAGCTAGCAGCCCAACCCATTGGGTGGTCAACCCATGCGCTAGATCTTTCTCGACTACGCCGATTCCTACGTAGGGCTCGCGCCCGCACTAGCTAACAGACACAAGTGCCGCTATTTCAGCAAGGGCCAGCCGGAGTGCATGTGCAAGTGTCATCGTGGCTGACTGAGACATTGGATCTTGCTGCCTTGTACCTTTAAAAATGCATCTCTGTGATGTGCTAGTGGCTTGATACAGACCATCACCCCAGGCAGTACTCCTTCTCAGGTTCCAACTTTCACCACGATGCACCTCCTGAAGGATTTACAAGTCCCCTCGCGCATTGAGGCACACATCTCATCGCATCCAGATCTCGCAGTCTACTTCCGCCTCATCGCCCATACCCCATCATCCGACTCCGAACCTCACTAACAGAAGCGGTTCTGCCGCACCCAGTTGCACATGACGGTTCCGACACAACTGCAGCATTTGCACGCCTATGACGGCAGTCAGCACAATCATCGCTGTATTCGTATTCGTCCGTGATATGAAAACCCCCAAGTCCGGGCTTTACCTTTCTCTTCCTATCTGCGTCGTCCGTCCCGTCAATGCACCCCAGGGTGCGAGCGCTCCACCGGAACTGGTTGTAGCAGGCCGTCGGGTTGACTACAGCGGCGCACTCGTCTGTTCGGAGCAGGTCCTGAGTGCATTCCGGGAAGTCTTGTTGGGCTAAGGCTAACCCCAAAATGAGGGTGAGGAAGCTGAGGGAGACAGTGAGCTTCATTGTGGTGCTGATGTCGACCGTGAAGGATAGAGATGAGAATTGCCTTAGGCATACGGGCCCAAGTACCGAGTTGCTGGGTATATCAACGGCCGGCTGGCCTGATACTGATGCGTATTTACCGAGTCCGGGTGTTGATGATCTGCCACACCCTTAGCGCGGAACGATATTAGGCGGAGACAGCCGCTTCCAATCGGCTGTTTGCCATTGATGAGCAGAGGAGAAATAAAGTTGGCAGACGTGCTAGACTATTAGCACCTCATGCCGGCAGAAGAGAAAGGTCGCCCGCTTGCCCGATACCGTGGTCACGCTGCCACGTAGAGATGGACTGAATTCACCACATCCGGTCAAGATCTCAATCCTGAAGAGGTTGGCCCTGGGCGTCACTCATATTGCCAAGCTTCTCATTATGCTTGGTCAAGCCAATAAAACAGTTTTCAAGCTTGGTGGAAGATGCAACGAGCCTCCTCAGTCCCATCCTGCAGGCTCACTTCGGAAGCGGATGGAGAGTAGATAATATGAACAAATGGAGAGCGGCTCGGATGCCGGCAAGGAGTACTATATTCGTCGACTAGGAGCCTTACACAGATTCTCGTCAGCTCTGCGCTCCGGGTGTGGCAGGCACCGGCATATGGTGGCTCAGAAAGGCACGGAGGTTCTAGGCTTTGACCATAAGTCTGCCACCTCGGTTCTTTCCCGACCCCTGGGTCCCTGTTGGCATCCTCCGAGAAACTCCAAGGTTGACTGCGACATTACCCAGGCGCAAAGATGAAGTGGAATGCGATTGCGGCCCTGGGGCTCGTCGCCCCTACTCAGGCACTGCTTCGCTTTGGCTGCGCCCGCCTGACGATCCAACGCCTGGATCCGCTGGTCACACCGGGCCAGAACCCGTCGCCACATCTTCACCAGATTATTGGGGGTGTATGGACTAAGACCCCCGTTTAACTATACGACGGTTTATCCAACTAACCCTCTCTCCCCAGAACTCGTTCAACGTGTCGATGTACCACCCGGAGCACGACCTCGTCAAACAGTCGACGTGCACCAGCTGCCAGTTCACCGAGGACTTCTCCAACTACTGGACGGCCGTGCTGTTCTTCCGCGCGCGCAACGGCACCTTCAAGCGGGTGCCCCAGATCGCGCAGGCGGGGATGGAGGGCACGCAGGGCGGGATGGTGGTGTACTACATGTCGGACGCGCTGTTCGACACGGCGCAGCGCTCGTCCGTGACGGCCTTCAAGCCCGGGTTCCGCATGCTGATCGGCGACGCGACCATCAAGACGCGCGACGACGCACGCGCCTTCCGGCAGCTGACCTACACGTGCATGGAGAACCAGGCGTCGCGCCAGCCCGAGTCGGTCGGCTTCCCCAAGACGCCGTGCAAACTGGGCATCATGGCCAACCACCGCTTCCCGACCTGCTGGGACGGCGTCAACCTCGACTCGCCCAACCACCGCGACCACGTCGCCTACCCGGAGACGGGCACCTTCGAGTCCGGCGGCCGGTGTCCCGCGACGCACCCGGTCAAGATCCCGCAGATCCTGCTGGAGACCGTCTGGGATACCTCCCAGTTCAATCGGAAGGAGGACTGGCCCGCCGACGGTAGCCAGCCGTTCGTGTGGTCGAACGGCGACAGCACCGGATACTCGAGCCACGCCGACTACGTCTTTGGCTGGAAGGACGACGCGCTGCAGCGGGCCATGGACGCGCACACGTACGTCTCGGCGCCCATGCTCAAGACGCAGAGCATCGCGCAGCAGAACCAGTGCCAGAGTACGGTCAGGAAGATGGTCAATGAGGATGTGGATGGCTGTAAGTGACAGCGTTTGCCCTGTATGTGTGTGTGCGGTGAGAAGAGCGTGCTGACGATTTTTGTTGTGATGCAGGGCTGAAGGAGTTGCCTGGTGGAAATGCCGTGTTTTAGGAGGTTTGGGATACTGAGATGTATTGGCACGGTGTGTGTCGGAGCAAGGATTGCGGCGGCTGACTGGGTTACTGGGTTTTGTAAGTCTGCTTTAGTTTCTTTTTGTATCGTCTTTTTACCACTGCTTGCTACTCTGAACGAAATGACCAACCATGTGCTACTATTGCATTGAAACCGCCCATGTAAATATATCGCCTCAACCACTGTCCCACCTACTCATCATAAAACACCAAGCACCGCACCTCGATGCTCTCCCTGGGCTTCGCCCCCTCAGGCGCCGCCGGATCCACAAACGCCGTATGCGGCGTGTATCCCGCGACGCCCTTCTTCCCGCCGGGCCTGCCCTCGCCCCAGCTATCAAAGCACTTGATCAACATGACCTCATCGGGCGTCATGTCCTTGACATAGTAAAACTTGTGTCGGTCACTCGGCACCACGCCATACGTCTCCCCCTTCACCTCATACCGCTGATTCGGATCCGGCGGCGCCTCCTTCCCCCTATCATCATCATCATCATCATTTTCACCGTCCCCATTCCTCATCGGATACAGCAAATCCACCTTCACCAAATCCCGCTCCTCGCTGGTCGTGCGCCAATCCACAAGCGCGAGCGGGAAATCCTGCGCCGCATGCCCAATCGGCCGCCACACATTCACAATCTGGTACCGCCTCCCCACCAGGCTTGCATACTCCTCTTCTTCTCCATCACTCCCAGCCTTGACATTGACAGCATGCCTCCGCACCCGCGCCTCGGCCGCGCGCGGCGTCTGGTCCACATGCACCTGGCGCACGGGCTGGCGCGGCGCGGCCGGGTCGTGCCGGCGGATGGTGTGGTCGAAGATGACGACGCGCGCGACGCCCGGACCCAGCTTGGACCGGAGCAGCGCCTCGACCTCGGCGTAGTACCCCTGCCGGATGGCGGCGTCGTCGGCGAAGAGCCTTTCGCGCGCCGGCGCGTGGTAGGCTGCGAAGCCGGCCACGTCGATGTCGGTGCCGAAGGAGCCCCGTTGGGACGACGGGTTGACGGATAGGCAGTCGCGGAAGCTGGTCACGCTGCGCCGGCGCCGGGTGAATGCGTAGGACGTGCCGCCGCCGTCGACTTTGGAGAAGGGTTTTGCGGTGGGGGAGATGGAGGCTGGGTCGAGGTAGAAGAAGTCGCCTGTGGTGGTCATTTTGGACTGAAGATTAGAGAGATGGGGTAAGAGCTGTCAGTGCGGTTCGTAAATATAGGGAGGTGCTGAGATGTGAATTGGGTGTCTTAGATTAACTTTCACGTCGCGGGAATACGGCGGCTTAATATTCACGGTGGACACACCCTCTATTATCTCAGCAAACGCGCCTTGTGAGTGACCATCTGCACCGGGAATTACTAAAGTCGGGAGGAGAAGTTGGCAGCGGGGGAAGCGGAGCTGGTGGGTAGCCAAGTGCAGCCAATCTGGGGATAGAAGGCGCTGGGCGTTACTTAATAAGCACGGTAATATGGGATATAAGTTATTCCATTCAGTCTTGACCTTGTCTTCAAGTATTTGCGAGATATTGGCCACGCAAAGTTGACGTCAACCGGGGGATGAGTGAGAAACCAGTCACGGAAGGACAAGTTTACCCAAAGCGAGAGAGTTAGGAAGAACACGGACACAACCAGAATCCAAAGTCCCGCTTCTACGGAAGTATTTGGCATCACATTTCTCGTGGCTGAATTAGAAACCAGCAGCTTTCTTCCCCCTGGTTACTAATGCGGAACCACAATGTTCGGGGCTGCCCGACTACCCTACAAAGTACACCCGACCCTACAACGTGATCAGCTATCAAAGATAGGGCTGTACGCCGCAATCTCCCTCCTCTCAAGCACATACACCAACCCCTTGGTCATAGCCTGGATGCTGACGACACAACCCGCCGCGGCTCCAAAACTCGGTATACAGCCGCAGCACAATGGGCAGCATAGCATATCCACCCTCCTGAAAACCGAGCGAGTCGAGCTGATATGTGAAGCCGATAAAGGCATGCCAGTCGGCTAGCGGGTGGCGTGTGGCGCTAGTTCCCTGGGTTGATTTCACCGTGGTGTGGGACAAGTGCAGGTGGATGGCGTGCGTGGCGAGGGGTTAGCCACGACGGGCACGCGGCGGAGAGAAGCAGCCAGGGGTGGATTGTTGCGAGCGTCAGCAGGAGGAGGAGGAGAAGCCAAAAGGCTGGGAGGCAGACCAGGAAACGGGCAATAGATGGTGTTTCCTGGGAGGCGAGGAAGAGGAGGGCCCAGAAGAGAACCAGGCCGAACCAGATGAGAACAAGGACGGCAATAGCAGTCGGCGAAGGCTGGAAATGGTGAGTGTAGAGTGCCCACTCTTCGTATCAATGTCACCCTTCTTCTTGACCATTTCGCCTATAATCTTAAATGAACCAGTCGCTGGCTTCGCTGGATTCGCTGACTCCGCTCGCTCGCTGCTCACCCCGCAGCATCCCTAGGATCCGCATGCCTGACCTCCTCGTTGTGCCTATCATCCTCCTCCGTCCGCTTTTCCTCTTGCTTAGTGAGCAATCGCTGCTGTTCCTCCGGCTGCCTTCCCTGCTCATCCTCTTCGCCCGCCATGGGATTCTTCGCATCCTCTGCAGCCCCCTTGACGATCTCACTCGGGTTGCTGGTCGGCGGTTGATCCGTTGGTTTCGTACTAACCTCCTCCACACTCGCCTTGCCCTCGTGGAACCAGCCGCCTCTCTCCCATTGACCAGGCTCGTACAAGCACTGCCTGCGGATATCCTTGTCGACGATGGCCGCCATGATCTTACTCAGGCGGTCGAAGGAGACTGGCTTGAGGATCCAGGCGTCGAAGCCGGCGTCAATGTAATGCTGGCGGTCTTTTTCCATCAACGAGGCCGACACGGCGACGATGGGGATGCGGCCACAGAGCGCGGCGCGCGGGGAGTAGATGTTGGTGTGGGTCCTTTCGTAGGAGCGGATCATCTTGGTGGAGGTTAGGCCGTCGACGATGGGCATCTGGTGGGCTGTTAGAGCGATGTACGGAAGGGATAATTATTAAAGAATGGTTACCTGCATGTCCATCAGGACCACGTCAAAGTCCTTGGGACGTTCGCCAAACGCAGATGCACATTCCTCGCCATTGACGGTAAGATCCACGGTGTGCTGCATCTTCTCTAACCGCTTCTTAAGGATTCGACTGTTGACTGGATCATCCTCTGCTACGAGAACGCGCATTCTGTCCGAGGTGAGCTTCTCAGGCTCAGGCGCAGGCGCAGGCGCGGGTGGAGGCGACAACTCCCCTGGTTCGTCGTGAACTTCGTCGAGAATCGAACCCATCGTCGATCGCTGCGTAGGCGATGTGGCATCGTCCGGCAGACGGATAGCCCTGAGAGGCTGAGAGGAGAATGCGATAGGCACCTCACCGGGTGTCTCGGTATCAAGACTTCTTTGGTGAGGCGGGATCACAACTCTGCCTTCCGCCATCTCAAGGCTCTTGGCCCTAGTCCGTGGAGGTGACCCAGGGTCCATGCTGTTGCCCTTGGTAAGAGCAGGTCTCAGTGATCGCGAACTAGGGCTGCTGTCCCTTCCTCCGTGTCCTCCTCTTCGCCTCTCGACCAGATGTGGCGCTTGAAGATCCTCGATAAGTCGGTCAACATCGTCCCGTGCGCTTTCTGTTGGGGACGAGGTCCTGCCACTCCTGAAGCTTCGCAAGCTAGTCTTGCTCTTCAAACTGTCGGCGCTCTGTCTCCTACCCGCAGCCGGGTGGTTGATCATCGTTCCATTCACCTGCGAAGCGCTGCCGCTCGAACCGTGCCGTGACGTGGTCGGAGATATCAAAGTTCGTTCACCGCCGGGTTGTATCAAGCTGCTCAATGACTTTGACCGTTCAGGATGTGGTGTGACACTCCCGGAGTCTGAGGTAGTATCTGCTGGTGGCAGTGACGGCATGTCCTCGTCATCTGGCAGATCGAATGGGAACTGTATGACAAATCGTGTGCCCTTTCCCTCTTCCGATCTGACTCTGAGTTGCCCGTTCATGTTGCGGATGATGCGCGCCACAACCGCGAGACCGAGACCGAGCGCTGTTTTGTCGTCGTTGGCCTTGATCTGCTTGGAGCCTGGCACTATAGCATCCTCCAACGCATTGATGGGCTCAGACTGGACTTGCTCGAGGTCGTAGAAGAGTTGATCTAGTCTTTTCGGGTTGATACCAACACCGGTATCCGTGACCGCGATTTCGACTTTCGCATGGTCTTTGCTGGGTCTCGACGCAACATAGGCTTCAATCTTGACACCACCCTGACTGGTATGTTGAATGGCATTCGCTGTGATGTTCGAGATGGCCTGTCTTACACGGCGCTGATCACCTATGCATGACTTGGGAAGGCCCTCGTGTTCGACAACCTCGTAGTCGATGTTCTTCCGCCGGGCGTCGCCGCGGAACATGTCTGTCGCCTCTTTGATGGTCTCGCTCAGCTTGAACGACTCTCCCTTGATCAAAGGGCCTCCTTCCTCTGTCTTCGTCAAATCCAAAAGATCGTTGATGACGTAGATGAGCGATTTCGATGCCGAGTGCGACCGAGCCAGGTTCTCTCGAGTCTCCGGATCCAAAGATCCTTCGAGGGCAATTTCAAGATAATTGATGATGGCGTTCAGCGGCGTTCGAACCTCATGAGCAGAGTTGGCGAGTAGCAGTCGCGTCAACTGACTGCTCTGCAACGCTGCCTCCTTCTGTCTCCAGACTTCGATGAACTTGCCGTACACGAGGCATAATACCGAAGCAGCTTCTATCTCTTCTTCAGTCCATTCGCGACATTTGCCACCTACGGTCTCCGACCATGTCTTGAAGCTCTTTCTCGGCTCAAGGTAACCTTCGGTGCCCTCCTTAATGAACTTCTCATACGGGTTACCGGCCCATTTGACTTCTCGCAGCTGGCCCTTCCGGAAGAAAACGATGAAATCGTTGCCACCGACAGTCAGAGGCACGATCAACATGCCCGCAACGGTGTGGAATCCAGGCTCGTATCGAAGATCGGGGAAATCTTGTGTGATGTCCGTCGATGTCGTTACCGACTGGATCTTGCGCATCCTCAGGTATTCCAGCAGAACCAAAGCTTCCTGAGAATTCTCCATGCGACCAAGAATCTTCGTCTCGCCTCTGATCGACAACAGACCAAAGTCGGCATCAAACAGCTTCAGCAGGTCGTCCGAGGATGCGATAATGTAACCGGAGGGATTGAGTTGGGTGGGCACGGTGTTGATAAGCTTCCTAGCTTGTAAGCGTGATGCGTACGAAAGTCGCTCAATATTCCGAGACGCGGAGTCGCCAACCAAGCGGCACATTTTCCTGATCGGGAACGAAACTCGCATGCCGTGAGCGCCGTAAGAGTGACACGCGATGAGTCCCCATAAATCATTGAAGGCATTGATGGAGATAGACATAGAAGAGCGGACCGCCATGTTCGCCAAGTACTTCAAATGGATGGGTGACATGGCGCGCAGATAGGAATGTGTGAGGTCAAGAGGTGTCTCCAGGTCCTCGGCAGTGCGGCAGACGAGGCGAGCTGTTTCTTGGTCGCGGTCGTAAAGCAGGCGGACTTTGTTGAGCTTGTAGAGCTCTCTGGCTTGTTTGGGGATGTCTGACGCAGGGAAGTTGAGCCCTTTGTACAGGTCTTTCGTGGCGCGAGGATCGACAAGCTCAGTAACGACTCGTCCGTTGAATGTCTGGTCAAACTGGTATATCATAACGCGGTGGAAGCCTGTCAGTTCCTTGACAACGCCCACTAAAACCTGGAGGAACTTTTCGAGCGTAGGTGCCGCTGCTAGCTGCTCTTGAACCTGAGACATGATATTGAAAACTTCCATAACAGCAGCCTCGCCTTTCCTCTTTCTCGCACTTCGCAGTACTCTGAGGGGCCGGCTCTTTATTTCAGTACTCTCGAGGTACTCCTCTTCGGTAGGGTTACTGGACAATGTGTCCTCGGGAAGTTCGGGCGCCATATCGTTCGGTGGCACCAGAGGAAACTGCGGGTCATCTTCAAGTTCGAATTCGCAGATGATCAGCCCAGGGTTAGCGTCATTGATGTGAACTGCACACCATAGCTTTCGTGCCCGGGACACCCCGGGTACCTTGATCGATATTGTGAAGACCTCAGGACCGTTGGTCAAAACATCGGAGTCTTCGTCTTTAATGAAGTCAATGTGATCGAGAAGGATGTCGGCTTGTTCTTCGGATAGGATGTCTGTGAAACTCTCCAATGCGAACAGCTCATTTGGTGTCCGCCCGACGAACCTCTTAGAGTTCTCAGAGACCACACGGACAAGGAGGCCACCGTTCCCTCCAGGGTCGTCCTGAAGCGCAATCAGAAGACCAAATCCCTGCACAGCCCCCGGTATGTGGATGGGTTCGTCCTCGCAACGCTGCAATGTCTCGCCTTCTCGACCTGTGATAACCATATGCCCTCCCTCGGTAACGACATGCTTGAAGCGCGGTGTTATTAAACTACCTATCTCGCCGACGCTGCTGAGAGTGCTTCGGACCGAGTCACCACCGGGGGACGGTGGCAGATCTGCCGCCTTGACCGACGGCGACCGGCTGCCTTCTCCCACCTCACTATTCCCTGGACTCGAAGATGTGATTTCCTTGAATAGTGACGCAGGCAACTGCGATTCTGGTTTGTCCGGGTTTTGTGGTGTGGGGTTGGTGTTCTGCCGTGTCGGTGGTAGTCCTCCTCCCCTGGGAGTGGTCGATGGCCGCCGGGTCTGACCTTGACTTTTGGAGACGCGTGATCGGTTCGATGCTGTAGACCCCGAGGGCCGTCGCGAGTCGATCGGCCGAGAATACTGGTGGAGGTTGTCGCCAGCATGTTGTCCAGTAGGCTTCGGTGTAGCTGTTGGGTTGGGGTCCACGGAGATGACACTCCGTATGGGGAACACACGGTCAAGCGCAGACGGACTCAACGCGGCCGCCGAGGGCGAGTATGGTCCCACATTGGTGTTGACGTTGGGGTGGGTAGGCAGCGGGACGTTGTCTGACTTCGAGTTGTCCCCAGCGAAGCCGGCCGTCTGTGTATGGGCCTCCGGCGCCGACAATGGATCGTGGTCGTTGGGCGATGGCGGCGCGGGGGAGGTCTGGCCCGCATCGCCGTGGGACAGGGAAGCAGAGAGTTCGGCGTCCTGGGGCTGCTGTGGTGGTTGAGACATGGAGCGCGACTCCGTGTGGAGCAGCGCGGGGTTCTTGGTCGTAGGGGAGGCGGTGGCGGGCCTGGCGAGGTCGAGGGTGGTGGTTTGCGCCCGCACAAGAATGTGTCACTACTCTGCTCAGGCGTCCACGGACGACGATAACGCGCTGCGAAGGCTGCCGGGGGCGCGAATACTGGTCGAGCTCGCAGGCTTTGTCGCGATACTGCTTCCCTTGGCGATATGCAGGGAACAGAAAATACTGGGTGGGGATGGGTGGCGGAGAGAGGGGCCTACATAGAAGCGGCTCCTGGGATTATCAACGTCATGTGCTGGGCTGCAGGGTCCAGGGCCCAGGGGGAACAGAACCCCCACTCTCAGTGGTTTTCGTACAAATGTGGAGCATTCGGAACTCTTTATACCTCGGTACAATAACAATACGGAGAGAACACTCGCAACCTAAATTTGACAGCATTTGAGTTTGTACCAGCCAAAGCTGCTCCGTCCCGCAATATCAAACGGGTGGACGAGTAATTCGCCCAAGACGTAGTCAAGATGGAAGTGTTGCCAGGTTTGCGCCTGAACAACGCCCCGGCTAAGCCAACGATGCGGCTGTGCACCCACCATCCGCACTCCACTGTGCTGCTGAGCTTATTTTGATCCCGCTCCTCGCTCTCGCATCGGGATCGTAACGCCAAGTCAAGTTTCGCCAATAGCACAGTCACCATGCCCGGAGTGAGAGGCGTACAATGCTGGGAATGCCGACGGCGACGGCTGGTCTGCGACTCCATCCGCCCTAGATGTCGCAAATGTCAGGTCAGGGGCGTGGACTGCCCGGGGTATAATGGCAAGAAGCCCCTGAAGTGGCTGCAGCCACAACAGGTAAACTCGAAGGGCCCAGAAAAAATGATCATGCCTCGCGCTCTCAAGTCAGCGAGCGAGCGAGAGATGACCGCCGTCTTTGAGGCCATTGAGTACTGTAAGATCGCCGCGTGTCGCCATGCGAGATGTGCGAATATGCTAATTCCGCCGTCCATAGACGACTTGCATATCGCCCCTGACTTGGTCGCCACAGGGGCCAGCGGACCGCTTAATCCGTACTGGATGCCCCATGCCGCCGCTCCATATCTTTCAACGTCCTGTGCCCAGAGCCTCGTATGCTCCGCACTCTGCCACCGAGTCCTGCAGTCCAGTGAGGCACCGCCGTCCGACCAGTTTGTTCTGGTCCGGCGACTCCAACGACATCGGGGTGAAGCCATCCGCGCTTTAACTGCCGACCTAGGCTTGCCGGAACAGCAAGCATCCGATATGACACTGGCCGCAGTGCTGTTTCTTCTCTTGGTAGAGGTTGGTAACCTGCAATCAGGACAAGAGATATTGTATTTTTGAATCTAATCCCGCCATCTCAGCTGCAATACTCCTTTGAGCCGCCTGACTGGCGACATCACACCAATGGAGCAAGTGCCGTGATGCAGTTAAAGGGCGGCTTGACAGCCCTAGTGCTGACTCGCCCTGACTTCCACCACTTGCTTCGATTCTATGCTCTGTACGCCAGGCAGGTCCCGCTACTCAAGACCCACCCGCTAACTCTGTCGCAATAGGATCGAGATTATGGGGAGTACAACTTCGCCTTACGTAGAACCCGTGTCATCAAGTACCCAGCTCGAGCTCATCAGCCTGCTTCCGGCCCTGTATGGGAACGGCATGTCAACCTGCTTCCCCTGTCCCCCGGATCTACTCGCCGAAGTTATCCGCGTCAACCACCTTCGCTCGACGTTTGAGTGCCCCGAGTCTATTCCCGTGGATACCCTACCGGCTGCCCCAGAAGAAGGCAAACAGTGGGTAGCCCTGGACATCATCCGGCGCGTTAGAGCCTTCCCAACCAGCAGGTGGGCCTGCGAGGTTGTCTCTGCCATCCCTCCGGACTTACTCGAATCGCAAGGCGGTCTCGGCGGATGGCACTCTATGGCTTGTATCTACCAGTCGGCCATCGCCATCTACTGCATCCGTGCTCTTCTGCACGACACGAGCGAATTGTCCATGGACGCAGTACGCGCACCGGGCAGCTACGCCCCTTCACAAGGTCGTCTTGCTACCTATGAGGCGCTGGCGTCGGCAAGGCGAACATGTGCCGCAGTCCTCGTCAGCCGGCTGCGCGAGATCTGCAGGTACAGCCAGCTGCGCAAGATGGTTCTGTGGCCCCTGGTAGTCGCGGGGATTGAGGCAGAAGAGGACACAACGAAACAATTCGTTGTTAGCGAACTCAGATGGATCAGTAATGCCCTCGGAACGGCTGCGCCCCTGGTAGCGAAGGACCTGTTGGTGAAGCGCGTGTGGAAGCTCGGGTTAGGGAAGGGGACCTGGGACACATTGTTCGACCAACCATATGTCTTCGTCATGTAAAGGACATGGCTTGCCTTCCTCGGCATGTATTCAAGAGACGCGTCGCAGCCCCAAGACCGCAGAATACTGTGAAGCCGAGACTCGACGACTTCGGGCTTGAGGCAGTCCGATGTGGACAGTGGAGTGCGTGCTTACCCACCCTGGCTCCCGCCCTCTCACCTGGACAGGCTGAAGCACGAGTCGCCTGGACTCCATCAGATCCAAAACGGAAAGATATCTACAGCCGATCCGCTCCCATCACCCTTTCTGACTGTCTAGGTGAGTTCCGGAGACATTTGGTCAGGGCACGACTACATAACGGAGAGCGCCGGCCGGCACTGCCACGTCAGGTGGGGCCGCCTCGATTTTGGTCTTGGCCTTCTTTCCTTCCGTTTTAGGAAGGATCCAGACATCGTGGCTCCACGCCGCAATATTCGATGCTCGGGACGACCACGGACTCGGCCATTAGCGACTGAAAACTGCAATAAGCTAGGCTTCTCGACGTCTTAGGATCGTCTCGAGGCAGATCTCGATGGTGTGCCATGTAAATCATCTCACGCCCGACTCACGGGACTCTAGAGACATAAAAGGGCGCTCTCCCCTCCTCGAACCTAGCATGACGGCCATGACCAAACACACCCCGACACATCATCAAACAGCATTTGTAAACCATGGCACCTCTTCTTGGACTGCTTCCTCTGTTACTTCTCGGATGGATCCCTTCCACCATTGCGGGCTCTCTCCGCCCGCGCATCTTGGCCGACACCAACAGAGATGGAGTAGTCACCCAGCTCGACGATGCCGACAAGCAGCGCTGGACAGCTCGCCGAGGAGCCATCTTCCTGCCCAACATTGGAGACTCATCCCACCGCTGTCCCATGGCCGACCTTACCGGCAAACCCCTCTCCAACCATGAGCTCTCCCGCTGCCACGACTCTTCCGGAGACCACCTGCTGCCGTCGAGCGCACAGTATGCTGCTCCGCTGCTTACGCTGCCACTTTCGGACGTCTCCGATGAGGCTGAAGGCTGCATCTACATCGAGCCGGCCCATGCCAGCAACCGAGTCCGTTTGTTTTGGAACGAGACCGACATGATGACGGGCTACTCGAGCGTCTGGGCCGTCGTTAACCGGCAGATCACCTTCAACGCCACGACTTTACGCAAGGGCATCTCTCTTGCTCTGGACGGACGCGAGCTCGTGACCGACTCGAAGGTTTGGGATGGCTCGATTAAGGTTGTGTTCGAGGTGACAGACGGCAACCGCACCGTTCGCGACTCCGTTGCCATGAAGCAGGCCCCCGTGCTGTTGCATCACCATCTGCAGCGGACCGAGGTCGTGCTCAGCAGCGCCGCTGGGGACAACCAAACCGTCGGATCGCGCTGGCAGGCTCACTTCCTCCGCGGCGTGGAGGATGCGGTGAGCGGCGACACGCCCATCGTGTTGTTTAACCAAAGCACGGACCGGACCGACATCTGGGCGCAGGACTTCCTCGAACCAGGCTACGCCAGCATGCCCGGCCCAGACGGACCCGTCTCGATCCGTGTACTTCTCCGTTCCGCCCAGTCCGGACGCGAGTCCGGGCGCCAGGTCTTCTCCCAGCTCCGCAGCGCTGGAATCGGCGGCTTCCAACCAGGTGCTGGCTCCGGCTTCGGCTGGGAAGAGATCAATTCCGGCGGCAACATCGAGACCATCCCACCCTATACCTCGCGCTCGGGCAAGCGCTGGCCAAACGGCCGCATCGTCATGGGCAACCACTTCGAGACACCCCCAGCCGAGTCTATGACCACCTTCCTGCGTAGCCAAGGCACCCAAACCCCGCTCTTCATCGAGGCCGGCTGGCTCGTAATCGGTCACGTCGACGAAATGGTGCAGTTCCTGCCCACCAACGCCACGAAGCTGGGCTTCACCATCGCCATCGCCGACACCGCCGCCGCCATTGACCTTCTTCGCACCGCCAACGCCTCCGGCCACGGCGACGTGCCCTTCCTCTCCTATACCGGCGATGCCACCCCAGACGAACTGACGCTCTTCCTCGACCCAGCCCTGCTCTTGCCCAACACAACCATCGCCACCGTCCTCGCCGACCCGACCTTCCACAAAACCCAAGCCTACGCACAGAAGTACCTAGACCAAAACTTGCGCACCCTCCTCCGCGAGGTGCCCCTCCAAGAGAAAGACATCCTCCGCGTCCCCACCCTCTTCAAGGACGCCACTTCGGACCCCTGGATCCACTTCCCCACGCCGGACGGCCTGCCGCCCAGGATCAGCACGCCGCGCGCGGGGGAGAAGCAGCTGAAGGCGATGGTGCCGCAGGCGCTGAACGGGCTGGTGCTGGGCAACGGGAAGTATGTCGCGCCGCAGCAATGGGGGCCTGTCGTCGAGGGAAGGGATATCTTTGCTGATTCGGTGGAGAAGATCTATGGCAGCGTGGGCATGCAGGTGAGGTGGGTGGATGATTATATGAGCCATCATGTTCGCGGCGGGGAGGTGCATTGTGGGACGAATGCGCTGAGGGAGATGGGCAAGTGGTGGGAGACGGAGTAGGCACCACCTTAGGTAGTATTGGTGGTTGAGGAGTAGGCGATGGAGGTGTGGAAGTCAATGAAGGGTGATCGGTGTGTGCATGGGGAGAAGTGAGGGAGAGGAAAGGGGTTGATTTTTCACTTCTCTTTTAACCTCATTTCTTTAGATTTGATCGTGGTTGGGATTTAATGGCAGTGTAGGTTGCAGTGGATATAGATAGAATTTGGTTGGAGATAGGGGTGGAGTACCAGTAGAAATACACGAGTTTGGATAGCTTCCAAGAGTCTAGATGAACTGGCGATCCTTGATGGGCGGACACAGCTTACCGTGCAGTCATCTACCGTCCTGCTCTTCTGTGTACCAGTACGTTCTGGGCCTTGTTAGTTTATGATCACTGCCCTGAGTATCAAAACGAGGGGAAGAGAGGTAGGAGTGTGTGTAAACGATTCTTATATTCATATACCAGAAGAACTGCTGGGTGCTTTCAGAACGCTGTTATTTCAATGGGGATCACCGCTGCCATGTGTCACGCTTTCCTCTTCCCCCATCTCATTTGGGATGCCACGGTTCACGTATATTGCCACATCACCAAAATTCTGGCTCTCGTGCTGTGGAAACGGCAGCTCAACATACTCATCCATCATCCGTATCACGCGTGGCGAAACCGGGTCCGGGTCACTAATCAAGTTCCGGCCTGTTAAGACTCGTTCTCTCATCAAGAAGATATTGCGAATGCCAGACTTACACCTATCCCTCGGCTAAAGTGCGGCCTGACCCTGAGTCCACCACTCTATTCCAAATGATGATGGCGGGCCCGGGGTCGGCGATGTCCGCTATGATCTGCCGTACTGGGATGCTCGGGTTGACAGAAATGACCACGCTTGCTTCGTCGATTTCGAGAAAGGCTGCAGGGTCTTCGACAACGGTGATGCCGTCTTCTTCGAGGACCCGCTTATCGAGTGGCGTGTAGAGCGGGTCCTGGGCATAGCATGGCATTCCAACCGTGCTCCTGCTGCTACTACTGCTATTGCTCTCACCCGGTGTCGTCGGATGCGCAGCACTCGCTGATAAATGATCTCGCAACGCCAGGGCCAAGGCGTGCTGGGCCATGCTGCGCCGGTAGGAGGAGTGATCGTTTGCCTTTGTCATGGTGCCGCAAGCGAGCGCAACAACCTTGCGGATGCCCACAGGGAGTACAGCGGAGGCGAGGGCGGCCTTGATGTATCCGAAGGCCTCATGGCCGAAATTTTCCTTCGCCGCTGCGAATCTCCGCTTCACCGTGTGGTAGTCCGCCTCCGGCCAGTCGGCCAAGAGCTCCTTCGTCTTTCGGTCCCGCCTTTCCGTTCTATGCCATACCATGACTGGTAGATAGGCATAGAGGCTGCCTTCAGGTAGGCTCAGAAGACGCTGTATGCTGCGGTAACCAAGAACCGGTACCTTGCTGTTCCGAGGTAAGAGTATGAAATTTTATGGGACGGAGAAAAGGAGCGCGTGGAAGTGGACGGCGGGTAACTGGCCAGGTGTGATACCTACGTTTTATAAATACCATCATGGTCAGGACGATGATCGGGAACTTCGATTTGATCTCTCTCTATAGGAAACCGGACGAGATGCCCATTGAGGTTGTGCACCAGGATTTCCTTGTACAGCATGACTTCATCGTCCAAGCAAATCCGCACGCTGTGAAGTTGAGTTCTCAAGCCCTGAAGTGCGTGTTTTGAGAAAAGAGTAGCACCGGTTTCGTAGCGGGTCTTGATCAGTTCCTGCTGCGTTGCCATTGTCGGGATCAAACCGGCAAGCGTGTATAAAATGTAATAGGAGCAAGATGAACAGCTTAGGTAAGGTAGGTAGGTTTGAATGTATGAGTGACGGGTTTCCGAGAGATCGAATTGGGAACTTCCAGGGTTTTGCGAGGCCATCTACCTAACGTCACATTTCTCACACTAAATTCCGTGTACGGGAGCCAGTTTCCGTGTGGGACTCTTACACCTTGAAGGGCCGGGAGTAGGTAAGAGCGAAGAAGCAGCGGTTCGTGGAATGGAAATAGCGGGCCGCAGCGTGGCGCTCTGGGCAAGCAAATTCAGAATTACACCTTCATTGGAAGTGCCTAGCGGGTAGTTACACACAAATCTTTGCATTTCCATTCTTGCAAGGCCAAAAGTCAGTCATTTCCCTGTGGTCACAAGAGAAGTGCCGCGTATTGGCGTCACTAGATGTTAGACTGTTGGTATGTACCGGTATGTATTGTATTGTATGTAGCAGTACAGTACGGATACCTCTTACAGGTTTAGCGCACTCAGAATCCGCCAAATGGTCAGCCCAAGCCATGCGAGGACCTTGTGCTAGGCACTCGCGTCGGCGATAACGTTAACTTGGCTAGCTTCTCCCTTCGAGACCTGAATCCCTGTCAACGGAAATTAGCTGCCAGAAATTGCCATGTGAATAAATAAGGGCCCCTTTTCTCCCAAGACGCGTCCGCCGGGAGCTCGCGGCCTCCGTCAACACACCACACCACACCGCAGTCCAACACCTCAACGGCTTATCAATGCACTATCCGGCTGCGCTCGTGGCCCTCGCGGCCCTCGTCGCGCCGTCGGCCGCCTCGCCCAACGGCTGGTCATCGCCAAAGTCGGCGCCCGATGGCCCCACCAAACTGGACGACTGCGGGTGCTGGCCGATCTACCAGGCAATGCTCAAGTGCCAAAAGCTCAAGGGGCCCAACAGCAACATCGACGACTGCGTCTGCATCCCCAATCCGGACGGGTGGTACACGTCGCTGAACGGCTGCCGGGCGTGCCTGTCGCCGGGGTCGTACGACGACAACGATTTCTTCGACAACCTGTCGCGCACCATCAGCCAGCTGTTCGTCTCGTGCACCAACGTGGGCGGCGGCATCAACAGCCCCGACGGCGAGAGCATCTGCGCGAGCAACTACTATTTCCAGGCGTGCGCGTCGCTCAGGACCGATGGGCAGCCCAGCTGGGCCAGCTACGAGGTCTTCAAGGACGGGACGGGAGGGAATGGGACATACGTCTTGGATATTGCCGAGTACGGCGCGAGTTCGTCGGCTGCTTCGAGTGCGACGACGGATACTGCTACGTCGACCACTGCGACAACCTCAGGTAGCACGACCGCTACCGGCGCCACCACCACCGATTCCACTACCGGGGGCTCAGAAACCACCGGCACGTCTGTCGCTTCCACTTCCACCACCGTGGTAGAAACAACTTCTGCACCGGCTGCCACGACGAGCAGCCCATCATCCGCCATGGGCTATGCAGGCTCTCGGTCGCAGGCTGGGCGTATCGTTGGTTTGGTGTTTGCGGTGGGGGTTGCAGTGGTGTTGGTGTGAGGCCTTGTCGATACGTCAGCGATCTAAGCTAGTTGTCGCCAACAATGTGTATTGTACAATATTTTGGATATTCTTGCATGATATTCTGAGGATATACCCTGTTCAAGTCATAGCGATTGATTCATTTACGCTACGAATGCAGATCTCTGAGTTCTATGGGGCCAAGAATCGGGCCGAACCCGCAACCACCAGTCGGAACCACACTCGACTCATCGGGTATGGTGTAGCGGTAACATCGTTGACTCTCACTGCAAAGCAGTGACTGCTCTCTCAACAGCCCCGGGTTCGACTCCCGGTATCCGAGACAACATCCCTTTTGCACCTGTCTCTAAGTTCGAAGGAGTTTCGAATGAGTTCTTAAAATGTGGGGTTCCTTTAGGGGGGTTATTCTTTCTTTCGTTTTTCTTTTTTATTTCCTTGTAACTAATTGTAGGTTACTATCTATCCTGTGCTCGAGTTCACCTCTATGAAAGATATCTATCCGCTGACAACGAGCAATGTAACAGTCCCTCCTTGCCTTGCACCCAAGGCCAATACAACAGTCCCCTTTCAAGCAGGAATCTTGATCTCACCACCCTCCAACACATACTCTGTCTCATACATGCACCGCCCTGCCGGACAGTTCGCATGGAACACCATTGCCAAACCACCCATTACGCCCGTAGCGCCTCCCGGCGCCTCCAATCCATAATCGCCCGCCTGCTTCCCAATGAGCTGCCCTTTCCTCGTGTACGGCCCCTGAATCCTCTCCGCCGTCGCATACTTCACATCATAATCCGGACTATTGAAGCAATGCGACGAGTAGAACAGCACAAACTTACCGCCAGCCCTCACCAAGCTGGGCGCCTCAACAAGCGGGCCATCCAGCTCCGGATCCCGATCCAGAATCGTCTCGGCCTCCCCGACAAGCGTGACCCCATCCGTCTCGTCCACCCGCTGCAGCCGCAACGGCGTCGGCACCCCGGGAGGATCGCCATTCCCGCACGGCCCGCCGGGGCCCTTGGCACTCCCGTCGACCTTGTACACCACCCACCTCGACCCGTCGCTCTCATCCCTGAACCCGGCCGCATCGATCGCCCCGCCTTCGTCCAGCGGACAGATCAGCGGCTCGGCTTGCGCGGTATACGGGCCGGTGATGTTCTCGGCCGTGGCCGCGCCGACGCAGTGATACGGCGAACCGCCGGCCACGAGACCCGAGTAGTACAGCACGAAGCGGTCGCTTTCCGAGAGGTACTGCACGTCGGGCGCCCAGATGCGCGGGGAGGTGGTGTCGACCCAGGATCCCGGGACGGGGAGCAGGTCGGTGGAAGGGAGATAGGTCCAGGGCCCCCTGGGGGAAGGGGCGGTCGCGACTTGGACGTGTTTGTTGTTTGCCTGTGTGGCGAAGGCGTACCAGGCTGAGGAGTGCGGGTCGTAGGTGATGGAGGGGTCGGCGAAGTCGAGGTTGCCGAGGGTCTCGTGTGGGCGGGCGAGGGCGTGGTCGGTGGTTGCTAGGAGGACGAGGGGGAGAGTGGTTATTGGGAGGTGCATCTTGGCGGTGGAGGGGAAGAGGCTCCGGCTGTTCTATTGTTGGATTGTGCTCTCGCCTGGCTGTCTTGGACCAGTTGCAAATATGGGGATTTGTGCCTGTGATGATGATGGGAGTTGCGATGTTTCGACACCACCGAACGTCAGAGACGGAGGTTCATGACTCGGACAGAGGCCGGTTTGGCGATCCAGCAACGGGTGATGCGCTCAAACTTATAGCGGTCGACCTGCGATACTCCTCCGGGATCCCATACTCGTGATCGCCGTGCCGTAAGAGGCGGTAGACCGCCTGCATGGCCACCATCGGGTTGTACGGCATGCGCCGGACAGCATTCTCCTCGCATAACTGGACATAAACCTGATGTTCGGTGCTTGTGAAGGATCACAAGCCTCCAGTGGTCCGAACCCATCTCCTTGGCAAGGTTGACACCGATTCGTGAGGTTCCCAGTTTCTGTGAGACCCTATCCGGAAGAAGGGCCACTCATCGCACAACACACTTCGGTCTCTGCCTCGCTCAGGCAGGTAGTAGCCTCTTTGTGTAACGACATCCAATCCGTATTGGGTCCTGTAAGATGCATGGCCTCAGCCAAAGCCCCGAAGGATTCAGCTCCCGATGACGTCCATGCTCCACCGAGTTGGCTTCGTCTGAATCAGCTGCCGATCATGTTGCCAAATCAGACATTTGTGAGACCCATAGATGCACGGGTCTCAAGTTTCTTTTGCGGTTGCGGTGTGCTTGATCAACGCAATGGGCGGTGGAAGCGATATCAGTGCGCAGAGTGCGCGGGCCTCGGAAGCAAGGTGAATAAGACAAAGACAAACGGTCCAAAAGCCCGTGTATGATGCGCCCACCGTGGTTGAGGTCGAGATTCCCGACGCCATGGAGATGGGCCTGTACGCGTCCCACCAATTCCCAAAGGGAATAACAGAAGTCAGTGATGTGCATCGAGTTATCGTAAGACGCCATCAAAGGCTTCCGTTATCGAGTCGGCAAAGCGTACCGTGGCTACCTACCTATTACGAATGCAGGACACTACTAGACATATTAGACTTTCAGCCTACTGGGTCTTGCGTAGTTTTGCTGTTAATTCCGGGTCTACTGCTAACCTGATGACCCCGCCCAAGCGTAAATTCCTGGCGCCTATTGACCTCATCTATAAGTTTACTAGAACGCTTCCGCTTCTGCGTAGGTGAGTAATCTCTGTGTATGCCCTACCCTCCGCCTACCACTAAACATCCGGGGTTAGCCCGTAGCGTTTAAAGTGTCCCCTGGGTTGTCCTTGACGACGTTAGCTACCGGTTATGCACGCTAATGAACCGTCCACAAAGTTCCGGATTAGACCCTAAGGTGTAGGGAGGGCGCTCGGGAGGTATAGGAACCTAACAATAGGGACGGACGACTATATTAGGAGTTAATAGCCATTAGGTAGGGTACTACCTACGTATCGTATACCTACTGCTATTCGCGTTACGTACACTGTTAAGATCCACCGTAGGTTTGGTTATGGCCCTTGTCCGGATTATTCGATCAAGGATTCAAGATTAGTATGCTACTACGAGTAGCGTTAGGGTGTACCACACCTGAAGCTACAATGAGAAACGCTGAACTCGCTTTTCCTCACGAGGTATGGTATGGGGTGAGTCGTGACGCAGTACAACAAGTGAGCTTTTACCCGTGACGCGGAGGTCTATAGATTCAGGGAAACTCCCAGCCTTTGTTTCCTTCCCGATGTTGTCCCCCTGAAGCTCCAAGCCAGCAGCACAGCCTCTCCAATCTCGATGAGCCTTGGTCTTAAGGTGCTCATATATGTGGGCCGCTGGAGACAAGACTGGCACAGGCACGTTGCTGCACAACAGCGTTAGAGAAAGTGGCAATGGAGTATCGTAGTAGGATGCAGCAAACGGGTGGGTAAAGGGCGGTGTTACCTCACAAGACACTTTATGAGAGCTTTTCGTCGATGGTGGCGTTATTTCGGTTTTCTTTTTTATTTTTTTTCTTTTTTTTAATTTTATTTTATTTTTTTTATTTTTATTTTTTTTTTTCTCTGTTTCTTGAGTCAATGTCTGTGCCACATCTGCAGAAGCGTCCTGCAAGGTGAGCAACTTGAACTCTACATTGCAGTACTACCTGAATATTTATCCGATTCGTAGATACCCCGAGGCCCGACTTATCGGTACCTAAGGTACCACCTTAGGTGTATTGCACCTTCCGCGCGCCTCAAAACTGCGGCATCGGCCCATCCAACCCCGCATCGAGAAGGCGACCTACTTCGAACGCCATCACAAAAGCCCACTTACATCCAGACACCCTCTCCAGCCCAGATACATAGCACTGCGCATTATGCTTTGCACAGTCTGCCGTAACTTGGATATTGACCGCATTCTCCGGCCAACCTCAAAGCCCAGAGCAGCGGGCGATCATCCATTCCATGACAAGCTCAGCACAATCCACGACTCTGCCTCCCAGGGTTGCGAGTTCTGCAGTCTCGTTGGCCGGGAATTACGAAGACGGTACAAGCCGGAAGAACGGAAGCGGTACTTTGAGTCTGAGGATACCTAGTACATCGGCCTCGGCTCCAAATACAAATACAAACCCCACTTCGCCGGCGAGTTGGACTTGTGGATCAGGAGCAAGATGTTGAAAGGTACCAACGGATTGACATGGTGTTCCATCTTGCTTTCCTTCACTCCCTGCATTCCCCGGAGTGATGTGGAGTGACGAACTGGGCGTCGGTAGGCATCCAGCCAGCTCCCTTTCTGGCCTTCTGCCGGTTCCGTTTGTTATTAAGTTCTGACTACTGTATTCACCGTGGCGATGCAGAGACGCTGCCAACATTGGCAGCAACTTTATCGAAGGTCGTCCTGCTTGCGTCGAGGTGAGATCAGATCGCTGCCATGGCCTCGCCGCAGCATGGCTCGGAATTTGCATGCGCGAACACGGCGGGCCCCTATCTTCCGGCTCGGGAAACCCCGACAAGAAAGAATACGTAGAAGAGTGGCCTGTCGCGACACAATTCAAACCAACGAGGACGATCAGCGTGGGAGGGAAGGATCCATTCCTCGAAGAGCACGGACGACACGAGGACGGCGAACAGTCGCAGCCGCTATCCTGGCCGGCTCTGAGTCACTGCTGGGGTGGGAATAACAACTTCATCCTGACCGCGGACAAACTGGGGGTCTGGAAACAAGCGGTCTCGCTGTCCTCGATGCCCAAAACATTCCAAGACGCTGTGGTTGTGACGGGACAGCTTGGGTTGAAACATCTGTGGATCGACTCGCTGTGCATCTTGCAGGATTCCAAAGCAGACTGGGCGCATGAGTCCGATAGGATGGCAAATGTCTACCGGTGCTCGACAGTTCATCTCGCGGCGCACACCTCCCGCCACAGCGACGACGGTTTCCTCAAGCCCCGGACACCTGTGGAGCACGTACCGCTCCCGTATTCGAGCACTCGGTTGGGCGTGTCCGGGACCATGCTGGTCCGACCGGCAATCAGCTCTTGGAGGCGCTCTCTGTTGTCCGGCGAGCACAGCGTACTTTCCACTCGAGGGTGGGTGCTCCAAGAGAGTCTGCTCTCCCCGCGGACGCTGCATTTTGGACACGAGCAGATGTTCTCGGAGTGTCCGAACATGCGTCTTGCGGAAGGTGACTTCTCGCCTACTACTATTTCCGACCCAGACGCCCACGACGTGGATCTCAGCGCAAGCAAACAGTTCGTGAATGCGATGGGCAACGGGACCCAGGCAGCTGTGACGACAGGCCAAGCCCGTGAGCTCTGGTATATGCGGTGGTATGAGATTGTTACCAACTACTCGCAGCGAACTCTCGGATACCCCTCGGACATTTTCCCCGCCCTTTCCGGCCTGGCCCAGACCATTGGCGCCCTTATTCCCGGGAATGAGTACATGGCAGGGCTGTTCAGAGGAGATGTCTGTCGTGGGCTGCTGTGGAAGCCGGCGGACGATTCGAAAGCTTCGAGAGCACACCCATACAGAGCGCCCAGTTGGTCATGGGCTTCTATCACGGCACCTGTCGAGTTTGAAATTCGCCCCAGCGAATACAGCCCGGAACTCATTCCCGAGCACGATCTTGCCGTGATAGGTGTCACGCTGCGCTCGCTTCACGACGCTGACCTCAGTAAAGGGATGTATGGGGAACTCATGAGCGCTACACTCGAGGTTGAATGGTTCTGGCGTGATGGTGCATCGTGGGAAAAGGTGAAGAAGAGTACTAAAGGTGGCGCTCAATGGGATTTCGTTGACGGTGGTGTTCTGGTCGAAGCCGATGTTGCCTTTGACATAGAGTCAGACACGTTCGATCCATCACTGACAAATGACTGGGCATTGCTCCAAGTCTCTTGTTGGAAGTTTTTAACAGGATTCTGCTCAGTTATTGAACTATATGCCCTTATTTTACGGCCAGTCGAAGGGGGCTCCGGGTGGTCGCTTCGAAGGGTTGGGTTATGCACGTTTCGTGCGATCGACGAGCCCTTGGAAAATGTTATGGGTATTCAGTGGGGACGGAAACAAGCTATCCTGATATACATAATTATGGAAACATGTGTGAGACGGTTTGGATTGGATCGAGGCAAGGATGGATGTGATATTGAAGGCATCTAGTTGAGTCTCTTACTGGATAGGTACTAGTTAGTGTATGAAGACATGACCTTTTCCCTTCTACTTTAACATTGGCTTGCAGGGCTACTGCAGTATCTGAGTTTTATTACCGGTGATACTATGAATAGGCACCGTTGCATCCTTGTCTAGTCCATGGGTACTATCTTGACAGCCAAAGCGACAATCGATCCATTTCATCGCCGTGAGGCCCCAACGGCGTGTTCGCCACGGGGTTCGAAAGTGACGGATTAAGATATAAGCAGCTCCTCATCTCGCCTTCCTCCCCGATCCAAAGCTCAGTCTTGCAACCTTTTGAAGGCTAAGGACCACAGACTGTCATAAAGCTTTTGGATCCCTTACTCTCCCTACAACGGTGTCTCCGGGTCGTCGACTCTAACTTGAACTGCAAGCAGAGCACCATCATGATTTGTCATTCTATATAGCTCCTTTGTCCTCTCTTTCTAACTGTTTACTTTGGATTTTCCGCTTTTGTTTGTCGTGTGTTTTCGGCTGGATCTGATGATGCCGAGACAGGCTTGCTTGACTTATATTACTAGTAGTCACCAGAAAATCGAAAAGAAAACAAAACCAAAAAAGCATGGACAATAGCACGTCAGCATTGTGTCGGTCGTACGACGCGCAACACCTTTCTCTGCCGCAAATGCTTTTGCTTTGGCGATTGCGTTGGCAAGCACTGGCGTAGTGCCCGAGTCGACCGGCCGAATTGCGCTCAAATCGATGTTTCTGGTCGACGGCGTCGTGGACAATGCCGGAATACTTCGGCTGCGTTGAGTATTGCTGGCCGTCTTCGCCGGCATCGGTGCTGTCCGATGAGCCATCCTTGCCGTGGTAGTACACAACGCTCTCTTCGGCGTCGAGCTTATCTTCTAGTACTCCTTTGCGGTGACTAGACCATATATATATAACCCTTCTATTATCCGGGAGAGGCCGTTGCGGTTGATCGACTCGGTGGCGAGCGATCTCACGGCATCGTGAGGGACAAGACGCGAGTCGTTGATGTGCTTCGCCTTGGATGAGATGGACAACGGCCTCTCGAAATCCTTGCACGCTGGACTGGTGCCGGCTTTTGGTGCACAGAATCAATGAGGCCCCGGCGCGCCGTCGGCAGGGGGAACAGGCCCACCTGGCCAAGGTGCGGGCGAAGGAACAGGTAGCGACCGCCGGGGGGCCGTCCGGCGGGCGTCGACTCTTGCGACGACACTCGCGGCGGCGCCTCCGCCGGCAATTTCGCAACGGCGGGGAGAAGGCACACATCTGCCACAAGGGCTCACGCAACGCGGCGGACGCGGCCCCTGGCGGCCCAAGATACAAGACAAGTCGACGGTGCGAGATGGGGGGACCACGACGGACATTCAAGACTCATCCCGCTGAACCGATCCGATCCCGAACCAAATGGATCCGAACGAGGGGTAGAATCTCTTATGAGTGGCGCCCGCATGACGTATTATATGGTTGGCAAGTGCCCGGGCCGGAAGCCCAGGCCCCCGTCGCGCCTCCCGCCGTTCCCCTCCGCGCGTCCGGCCGAACTGAACCCCAACAACCCGAAGCGAGCGAACAATACGAATCAAACGAGGGGATCCCTTGGCCCGGCTCCCGCATGACACAGTCTTGCAAAGGCCCAGGCGACAAGAGCGGTTGCGAAAAGGCGTTCATACCCAGAGATCATGGCTCGAACAAAGGGCTAATTCAGAGATGAGGGAGTCTCTTGGGAAGCTTCACCACAAGACGGTCGAGCGGAGCCACGACGATAAAAGAGCGCAAGGAGACGACGGGCAACCGGGTCCGGCTCGGCAAGACGGATTTGTGGATCACGGTCGAGAAGGACTACACCGTGTACGGCGACGAGTGCAAATTTGGTAGTGGGCCAGCAACATGGACTCTCAGTGGGCATGGTGGACTATTTGGAGGGTTGAGAAGATTAGGGACAACGGGATGGAAAAGAAGAGACATGGGGAGATAAGGGGAAAGACACAGAGAGGTGGAGGAAGGCAGAAATGAAAATAAAGAGAGATAAGGAGACTAGGAAGAATAGAGAGGGACAGGGGGATACCGGGGAACATGAAAAGACATGGAAAGATATGGAAAGACATTGGAAGAGAAAGATGAAGAGAGATGGAAAGAGATGGAAAGAAATGGACAGAATGGAGGAGATATAGAGAGATATGGGGAGACTTGGAAAGAGAGAGATGTGGAGGTCTGAAGACTTTGAAGAGTTGAAGAGCGGACTGATGGAAGATAGCAGTGTCTGAAGGATAGGTATGGAGGATGGACGGACACCTATGGGTATCTAGTCTTGGGATAGCTATTAGGTTTTAAAAAATCAAACTTGAAATAGAATTATTAAGAACATAATTATCATGGTCGCTATGCTTCTCGTACTCCGCCCTCTACTATACCGTGCCAAACTTGAACGATATAGTTGGTTATGTATTCCTTATGTAGTTAGTTACTACTAACGTTAGTATTTCCTATTTCCTGTTCAATCCAAGCCCCACAATTCTAGGTAATTCTCCTCTTTCGCGCCGATCTACAATGCCGCTTAGAACCAGGAGCTTAAATTTCCCATCAACGCCTAGTGGCCTCCCCCCTTTAAAGGAAACATCTCTTGCAGCACTCGCTACCGGAGATGAGTGATGCATGCCTTCATCGATATCACTCGGCCTGGAGAGCGGACTCTGGAGAGGTGATGAGGGGGTTGCACTCAAGGTGAGAGACCCCGCATGATCCAGGAACAACATCGGCCGGCAATTGTAGTGCCGGAATTGGAGAAAGCGTGATATACTACACTCAAGCGACGAAATGCTCGCGCACCAGGACTTCCTACACCGAGTACATGCGTGAGGGGGTGTTGATGAAGAAGCGCGGGAGTTGGGTTCCGTCCCGAGTGGGATCATGATTCATCATATCATGTACGGTACGGATTACTTGAGCAGCCAGCAAGCCCAGCACAGCCTCGCCTCTCACACTCTCACACTCTCTCCACCACTTCATTACCGAGACTTGAGTTATCTAGGTAGTGAGAAAAGCATTCATTATGTCAAGCACAATCACCGGAGCAACCTATCCCGATGCCGACTATGAAGCCGCGCACCAGGCGACGTACGAGCGGGCTCCGCGGCACCCCATCCAGCCTGTCCTCCCGCCGGGTGTCCGCGAAGCAGACTTTGCTCAGGCGATCCAGGAATTCATCGACGCAGTGGGAAAGGATGCAGTGTTTGTGAATGAGGGTTTGACCGATTACATCGACCCGTACGATATCCACGAGGCCGACGAGACCAAGCGCAAGGTGCCCAGCGCAGCCGTGTGGTGAGAACTTGAACCATTCTTCCCTTCCCTTTTCTACTAGTGATACTAGTACCTACTATAAGTTCCCACCACCCACCCACCTCCAATCACACATTACAGTATGGACTAAGGCATGCCCCTCAGCCCGCAATCAACCGAGCAGCTCCAAAAGGTCCTGCACATGGCCAACCGCTACGCCATCCCGCTCTGGACCTTCTCGCGCGGCAAGAACCTGGGCTACGGCGGGCCGGCACCGCGCGTCAACGGCTCGGTCGCGCTGGACCTGCACCGCATGAACCGCATCCTCGAGGTCAACGACGAGTTCCACTACGCCGTGGTCGAGCCCGGCGTGACCTTCATCGAGCTGTACAGGTACTGCGTCGAGCACGGGAAGAAGGTCTGGCCTTCCACCCCGAGCTTGGGGTGGGGCAGTGTTGTTGGTAATGTATGTATTTCTCTCTCTCTCTCCCATCTTGATGATACTAACCAAAAGATAAAACAAAACAAAAGACGCTCGACCGCGGGATGGGCTTCGGCATGAACTACGCGCACCACCAGTGCGTGTCCGGGATGGAAGTCATGCTGGCGGACGGCGACGTGGTGCGGACGGGCCAGTTTGGCATCAGCAACTCGCCGTCGGCCTTCCTGTCCAAGTTCACGTACGGCCCCTCGGTGGAGGGCTTGTTCGTGCAGAGCAATCTCGGCGTCGTCACCAAGCTGTCGCTGTGGCTGACGCCGCAGCCGCAGGCGTATATGGCCTGCACCTTCTCCATGCAGGAGTACGAGGGGCTGGAGGTCATGGTTGATGCCTTTGGCGAGATGAAGCGGAACGGCACCATCCACAGCTGCGTGTGGTTCACGAGCCTGATCGAGACGCTCTGTATCTCGGGCCGCCGCGAGGATTACTGGAAGGGCCCCGGGCCCGTGCCAGACTGGCGGCTGGAGGAGCTGCGCAAGGAGACCGGCTTCGGGCACTGGTACGCCCGCTGGGGGCTGTACGGGCCGCAGCGCATTGTGCAGGCGCAGTTTGACGAGATCAAGGCTGTCATGGAAGCGAGGGCGCCGACGGGGGAGATCAGGGGGGTGCTGTATGCGGCCGCCGCCGACGACGGCGGGCTGGACGCCGCGTCGGTGCCCAGTCCGCACGGCGAGATGTTTGTGGGCGTGCCGTCGCTGTGGAGTCTGCCGCTGATCAACTGGCCGATTCCGAAGGACCGCCCGGGGAAAGCGGCGCACGGTGATTACGCCCCCGTGATCCCGTCGTCGGGCAAGGCCGTGCTCGAGTGGATGAGGGTCAGCAAGCCGATCTGCGAGGCCAACGGCGTTGAGCTGATGGCCGACTTCTTCATGCACGAGCGCCACGTCGTGCTGATGAACATGTTCACCTGGGACCAGACGGATCCGGAGCAGAAGAGGAAGATGGAGAGGCTGTACTACGGCCTGTACCAGGAGGCCAAGAAGCGGGGATACGGCATGTATCGCGGACACGTCAATCACATGGGTGAGCCGCGTTGGGCCATTACCTACCATTTGTGCTAGTGCCTGTAGCTGACCGCATCGCAGACCTTATTGCCAACCTGAACGATTTCAACAACCACGCCTACAACCGGTTTGTCGAAAGGATCAAGGTGAGCATTCCCTTTTTTGTTGGTTGGGTTTGGGATTGCCGGCGCTGATGGATGTAAAAGGACGCTGTCGACCCAAATGGAATTCTCGCCCCTGGCAAGCAGGGCATCTGGCCGAATAGGTTCCGACATTTGAGGGAGACGCAGGAGCCAAAAGTCTAGAACGGTGTATTTGGTGAATTATTCAAGGCTATCGCGCATTAACGAAGTACGTCTATCAACGCCTGCCTAGGTGTGCTGGCAGGGTAGCATATCTACGAAATGGGAAACAAATCAACGACCCTCAAACATCCAGTGGCCGAAACGCAGAAAAGTATAGTAATGGCACCGCAAGCCCGGGTATTACGTACCATAACCTCCACCGACGCTCAGATATCCTTCTTCTTGCTCCCGAAAGTGAACTTCATCCCCTTCTCAACACTGCCCGTCACCAATCGCCACATATCCCCTGCCCAGTTACTACCGTTGATCCAGGGCGCCCTCCCCGCCTGCTTAGGCGTCCGGTCATACGCAGCAACCATGTACGTCGAGTTCAGCCCCACAGCAGGCTTGATCGGCAGCCCAGTCCGCTCGGTCGGGTCGATGTAGGGCGCCGCAGCGGTTGCCCCGGTCTTCTCCATGTGCTTGATCACTTTGATGAGCTGGCGTACCCGGACGTCGGCGCCGGGCGTCCAGGTGGCGGCCGTATAGCCCGTGATGAGTCCCGTGTTGGGCACGCCTTCGAGCATGACGCCGTTCCAAATGTAGCGGTTGGCGATGGTGTCGTTGATCGACACGCCGTCGACGGTAGCGGCCACGCCGGCGAGGAGGGCAAAGTAGAGGCCCGTGGCGGTGATGATGACGTCTGCTTCGAGGGTCTCGCCCGATTTCAGGAGAATACCCGTCTCCGTGACGGTGTCAATCGCGTCAGTCACGATGCGGGCGTTCGGCTGATGCAACGTCTTGAAGAAGTCTCCGCCGGGGCAGAAGCAGAGCCGCTGCTCGAAGGGGTTGTACCACGGGTTGAAGTGCTTGTTGACGTCGAATCCCTCCGGCAGCTGCTTCCGCATCTCGCTGACCAGGAAGCGCCTCCCCGCGCGGGGGAATGTCAGGAGGAAGCGGACAAACAGCGTCTCGATCACCATCCTGAGCCACCAGTTGACGCTTCTGGCCCAGCGCAAGGGGAGCAGCTTCGACCAGAAGGCGACTACACGATCCTTGAACGGCATGCTGAGGACATACGACGGGGTGCGTTGCAGCAGAGTTATGCTCTTTGCTGTTTTGGCAAGCGTCGGGAACAACGTCACGGCGGTCGCACCGGAGCCGATGACGACGAGCCTCTTCCCGGCGTAGTCGACGCTCTCGTCCCAGAATTGCGGGTGCACGACCTTGCCGCCAAACTTCTCAATGCCCGGGATCACCGCCGGCAGCGGCTTCTCATAACTGTAGTAGCCGCTGCCGTTGATGACCCACCACGCCTTGAACACCTTTCTCTCGATGTCCCCGCCAGGATGCGTCACCTCGACCTGCAACGTCCAGCGCTGCTCTGCACTGCTCCAGTTGGAAGCCACAATGCGGTGGCCGAAGCGTATCTTCTTGTCGATGCCCTCGGCGACGGCGCATTCTTCCATGTACTTCCTGATGGCGGGACCCCCGGCCACGTTGGTGTTGTGCGGCCATGGCCGCCAGGGAAAGCCGAATAGGGCCATGGAGCTGTCGGTGCGGACTCCCGGGTAGTTCCAGAAGGACCATGTCCCGCCAATCTCGCTGCGCGACTCGAGGATGCCATAGCTGCGGTGCGGGAGTTCGGTCTGCAACCGGTACGCCGAATTGATGCCGGTGAGACCGGCACCGACGATGATGATGTCGAGCGTTTCTGGTTCTGGCACCATCTTTGCAGATAGTCCGCAAAACTGAAATTGGTCGGGTGTTACACTGAGGAAAGAGAGACCCGCGGAGACGCACCTGTGAAACTTCCAAGATTTAAACTCAGCCGTTCCAGCCTCGGAATCGCGCCGACGTCCGTGTTGTCCACCGGGTTTGTCCCGAGCAGGGAAGTGGGGCTGACCGGTGGTGGAGCCACGAATCATAGTGATGAATATAATCTGTAAATTTGGAATTCGTACGTATAGTTACATACGTGAAATTCCCAGTGTATCCATGGTACTTACGATCCCTCCACAACACCAACTCCTTGGTGCGCTGCTCTGCTATCAACCGACTTTGAAATGCACATCATCATCAACAGCTGCATATGACAAGTCTTCTTCCATCAATTCATCACACGGCATTGTTTCTTCTTGGATCCCAAGCCTTTGCTGTTATCATGGCGATCGACATCCCGCCAGAACAACACGCTGCCCTCCTCAGTGTTACGATGTTCCCTTGTGAATATTACGACATGGGCCTATTCTGGAGGGCGGGCGAGACCCATGACCCGGTTTGGCTTTCCATGACCATGCCCTTCCCATTCCCGGCTAAAGCGTCACTTGGGAACCTCTCAGCCTTACCGACCGAGATCGTCGGGATGATCTGCTGCACCATGGACGTCCACTCCTTGTTCCGGTTCCGTCAAGTCAACCGACGTGCCCGCGCTATTGTCTCGGAGATCCCACAGTACCGCAAAATTACGACCTGTGCAATCGAGACATTTCATGCCCTGCTCTTCACCCGCATTGCCGCCCACTTCGATCTTTCTCAATTCTACGACACGTTCCGTGCTAGGGACTGCCACGTTTGCGGCTACTTTGGGAACCTCCTGTTCCTTCCCAACCTGCGGCGATGCTGCTACACTTGTCTCATGACGTCTAAGCAACTGCACGCTGCGAGTTTGTACGAGCTGTCGAACCTCTACCCATTATCAGAAGAAGAGTTGGGCCGCATCCTGCCAGTAGTCCACTCTGCCCCAGGAAGATACTTTGAGGATGATGGGGTGATGAGAACGCGCAGGAAAGTGGTCAGCGTGGTTGACTCCATGCGCACCTTGCATAAGCTCGGCATCAAGCAACGTGCAGAACCTCGACGTCGGTCTTTTAGGGACGTCATCAACTTCCCCGACCTAACGGCGCTCATGACGACAGTTCACTTTCCATATCTTGATCGCGCCACAGACACACTCGAGTTCGGCATGCTGTGCATTGGCTGTGGTAACGCTCTTAAGTACTGCAAAGTGGGAGACAGGCTGTGGGCTGAGCGACACCACACCTACACAACACAGCAGTTCCTCGAACACTTCCAATCCTGCCGTGAGGCTCAGGAGCTCTGGAGGACCCGTCGTGGGCGCACCGATTGCAGCAGCGGCTGATCTCGCCCGCCACATCTAGCTGAGAGAATGGACTTGGTTACACTCCTGCTGTGGCTGTGTAGTCACACACACACAGAGCTTTCAAGGTGTTTTCATAACTTATTGAACATGAGATGACTTTGTACGAACATGTACCTTGCGGATAGTGGGCGAGGTGGATCGTGGATGTAGGAATTCGGATGCTGTTTCTCGATTTGGAGAGAGAAATCGATTTCGTGGCTCATTAGCAGGCAGACAGGGTCTAATCTCAACAAGATCTGGCTGTGAAGAATGCGTTCACTCTTGGTACTCTCTCGTTGTTCACTCGCTTGAATCACCTTTGACAAGAAACAGATTCCAGGCGCTTTTATTGATCACAACAGGATGCTTGTCATCTCCATCTCCAGACGCCAAACAAACCCCCATACTCTGGCAAAGTCACACGAATCAACACAATGCGAAAAGCCACGTCACCAAGGCAGCTCCGCCCCTGTATACAACAGAAACCTCCCGGTATCCTTCACCCCAAGCCCCTCCAACACCTTCAACACCCCGCTGGCACTATCAGCCACCTCAACGACGGCATTCGGCCCCCCCATCTCAGTCTTGACATGCCCCGGATCAACCGCCACAACCACAACCTCCTTATACGCATCAATCCCCCTCAGCTGGCGCGCCTGGTGCACCGTCAGCATATTCAGCGCGGCCTTGCTGACGCTGTACGGCGTGATCTCGGCTTTGATGCTCCCGTCCCTCACCAGCGCCATGCTGGCGATGCCCGAGGAGACGTTGGCCACCTTGGCGCGCGGCGAGAGCAAGGGCAGGAGCGCCTGCAGGACCAGGGCCGGGCCGAGCACGTTACTGGCGATGTGGGACTGGAGCGCGGATGGGGTCAGCGACAGGGCGGTTTCCTCGCGGGAATGCAAGGTCGCTGCGTTGTTGATGAGCGTGTCGATGCGGATTTCCGCTGCCGGGTTGGATGGGTTGGCGTTGCGGATGCGGTCCGGCAGGGCGGCAATGGAGGCCGGGGAAGAGATGTCGCATTCTACGATGTGCACTTTTGTTTCGGGGTTCGGGACGGAGGATTGCACCGCGCGCAGGGCGGTGAGGTCGCTGTCGAGCTTTCGCACGACGGCGAAGATGGTGTTGCTTTGGGGAGGGACGGCGCGAGATAGCTGGCGGACGTATTCGAGGCCGATTCCGGTGCGTGCCCCGGTAATGACGTAGACTGGCATATTTATGGTGTGGTCTCCGCGAACTGTTGTGAAGGTGTCAGGTGTGCTCACTGAGCTGCGTTTCGAGGCTTGCGTCGATGATCATGGTAGCTGTTGCCCTCTATGGCGTGCTATATAACCTCTAAAGGGTGTAACTACATGGCAACATGTTCCTCCGCTGCTTACAGCCTAGGGCTCTTTTGTCCGGAGTTAATTGTTCGTCCATGCCAAGCTCCGTCGCTTAACGACCACGACTTCGACGAAGACTCCGTAAGAGTCAGTAACGTGCCAGCGACACTTCATGGTGCTGCCTTCGCCAAGAGAGCATGGTGAACAGGAGACTGCTTCAGTCGTTTCCATTGTCTTCGGCGCAGGTTGGTATCAAATTTGTCATCCACTTACACGGCTCAGTATCCCGGCCGTCCTAACGGGGACACCCGGGGAAAGCGGGCCGGTGCCGCCGGGCGGAGAGGCGACGTTTTGCCGGTTCGGAACCAATCCCCGGGACTAACACAATTGGGATTCGACGTCAACCCAAAAAGCTAATGTAAAGTAACAGGGTGGAGAACCAATTAATGCAGAGAACTTTGGGACAACGGAAGTGGGTGAATAGATCGATAGTCGGGATTAGCGCTGCATTGTGTAATATAACCCACGAAGTTCAGGTCTATACAGACTATAAGAATTTGCGGTACTTTACCACCACCAAGGTGCTAAACGGACGGCAAACTCGATAGGTAGAATTCCTCTCGGAATTCAACTTTAAAATCAACTATAAGAAAGGCTCGGAAAACGTATAAGCAGATGCGTTAAGCAGGAGGCCAGATCACTTCAGGAATAGCCAACCAGAAGCCTCGCCACCATTACTTTAACAATAGCCAGACGGTTCCCTATAGTACGCTCCCCAACCGATAGAAGATCTCGATGACGATACGCTTCCATAATAGGGTAAAGATCCCGACCTACAACCTCTATAACCGTTTAAAGAATACTACGCAGTCTTTAGGGAAGAACGGCTAGGAATAGACTTCCAGGACCGGAAGAGGAACGACATAGACGATAAGGCAGGCATCTCTTAGAGAGATGGAGCGTTATAGTACAATGGCAAGGCCTACGTCGCACTACAGGATCAAATAGAACTGATCAAGACGATCTACAAGTCGAAGCTTGGAGGATATATGGGAATCGCCAAAACAATCGCCAAGGTTCGGCAACACTACAACTTCCCAGGACTTAGGACCAGAGTCAAGAACATTATATATATATATATATTCTCCTACTCCGCTATGCCTCGCTATTTACAAGGCGTGCCGGACCCTCTACTGCTATGTACAAAGGAAAAACCGTACCGTTTAGGCCGGGTGAAAACCTTTGTCGGAAGTGATAGGAAAGACATAGTTCCAGTGATACACGCTGCTGCGAGTAAAGGAAAAAGGCCTTGGGAAGGCCTTGGGCCAACGGCTAGTAGGGTACTAGCCCGGCTAAGCCGTGGCCACGGGTATGGCTAGCCGGGCTCCCTAGCTTCTAGTTCCTCATCAAGGTTCCGAGCGAGCCTATATTCCCCTAGCCGGCCCGAGTCCATCAGCCAACCCAATACCTTCTTCAGAAGTCTTCGGTTCCGGTAGCCTAGGCCCTGTAAAACAAGGCTAAGATCCCGGTGGGTGCGTATTAGTTGTCTAGGCCAGGTTTTTGGTATAGGTGGTATAGAGCACCAAATCACGAGATGCTCCACTGTCTCTCGGGCTTCTCCGCATTCGCAATAGGGGGTAGGCTGGTTACGGGCCTTTTGTTTGAAAAGAAAGTCCCGTAGGCCTATAGCTCCTGTACGAGCCTGTACTAGTAGAGAGCTCTTGGCCTTTGTAAGGCCTTGGTGTTTCCGTAGGCTCCGGTTCGTAAAGAGGACTGTTGGTAGGCCTTCATCAGCTAGCCTAGTTGGCTGTCCCTGGACTTGGGTCTTCCATCTAGCCTCCCAGCCTCTTAATAGTGCCCAGTCATCCTGGGTCTTAGCTAATGGTGGGCCCAAGGCCTTAGCCTCGGCATTCCATTTGGCCACTATAGCCGATGCCTTTTCGGCATCTGTTAGCTTTTCTAGGCTCCAGGGCCGGCCCCGTAGCGACCGGAACCTTCGTTGAAGCTTGTTGCAGGCCCCTTGGATGATTTCCTTTGGTGGGCGTCTGGGAGCCTCTAGGCCTAGCCCGGCCTATAGGGTAGGCTTGTTGAGCCGGTCTTCGAGGTCGGCCAGCCTCTTGTTAAGGTAAAGGTCTAGGGGGGGGATCCAAGTTTCCGTCTCGAGGTTCCGTATAGGGGTAGCCTTATAGGCTCCGGCTACGATGCGTAGGCTTCGGTTCTGGGCCTTTGCTAGGTCCCTGGCTAGACCTTGTAGTGAGCCGTTGAGTGTTGTAGGCTTGTGGAAGCTGGATGCCCCATAGGCTATTGCACTGCGAATGCACTTGGTATAGGCCTCTCGAGCCCTGATTAGCCCCGGGCCCCAGGTCTTAGCTGCTATCCTTGATAGGGCAAAGTCTTAGGTTCTTAGCTTAGTGGCTATGCTAGCTCCGTGGGCCTTCTAAGAAAGCCTCCAGTCAAGCCAGACCCCTAGAAACCGGGCCGAAGCCGTTGGTTTGACTATAGTATAGTCATGAGAGTGGCTAGATTTGGCTAGTTGTAGTGGTTCAGACCACTGCTTTCGGCCTTTGTTGAAGTGAATCAGCTCTGACTTAGCCCCGTTGAATTCCATTCCGTAGAATCTAGCCCACTGTAGGCATGTAGCCCAGGCTTGTTCCAGTTGCCGGCAGTTAATATAGGGGTCCCTTCCAAAAGCTAGGAGGTTGGTGTTATCTGCAAATCCCACTAAGCTAACCAGAGGGTGCTTTTCCTTTAGTACTTTATATAGCGAGGCTATATATAGTATAAAGAGGACTGGTGATAGTGGTGATCCTTGTGGCACTCCAGCTTGGATGTTAATTTCCAGGGCAAGTTGGCCGTCGAATAAGAGTGTAGCCTTCCGGCCTGTTAGCCACGACTGTAGCCAACCTACAAGCCACTGCGGGAGCCCAAGGTCCCGGACCGTAGCCAGTAACCGGGTATGATTTACCCGGTCGAAGGCCCCTATTAGATCTAACTGCAATAGAGAGGCCGTAGCACGGTATCTCCAGGCCTCTTGGATCTGGGCCACCACAAGCCGTATGGCTAGGTCTGTTAACCTATGTTCTTGGTTGCCCATCTGTTCGTCGGGTAATAGGCCGTAGACTTCAGCTGCCTCCGTGATTCTTTTGGTAACCACTATTTCTACTACCTTGCCAATGGTAGGAAGGAGAGAAATAGGCCTGTAGCCTCCGGGGGTAAGATAGTCAGCTGGGGTTTTACCAGGCTTTGGAAGCACTATAACTATAGCTTCCTTTAGCCTGGCCGGTACCCATTGTAGTTCGAGGCATCTCTGAGTGAGTAGTGCGAGGATCTTATATAACGGCCTACCACAGACCTTCAATAAGCCTATAGGAATAAGGGAATAATACTCTCTCGGTCTATCTCTCTTGATTCGAACGTCTGCTTTATAGAGCAAATACTAGCTTATGGCCGGACGACTCGAAAATCGTAATTTTACGAAACGGTATTGATAACAAGCTTAAGATAAAACTCGATATACAGTTGGAACTCCCTATAAAATATAAAGAATTTATTAAGGCTCTATATAAGCTTAGTAGATATAGTAGCTCCGGATAAGGGAACTCTCTCGGCAACTTCGGAAAGCCCTTGGCGTCCTGGATCGGTAAACCAATAGACATTTCTATAATGGATATACGGAATAACGATATACTCCAGGTTTCGAGTATCCGAACAGGAGGCGCTATTCGGTTTGCGCCTAGCTCAACGCCTGTATAACGACAGGCCCGGCAGGAGGCTAGAGTCTGTATGCGATATGGCGACCTAGGCCACTAGGCATTGGACTGCCCTTATACACCTGCTTTATATGCTCTGAACAGTCTTGCTCGGCTTTTTAATCCGGTTTCTAAGACTTCTAGTTCTAATATATATATATAGTACTCTACAGCTATTGTGCCTGAGTACGATATATAATTCGACTTTAATTTTAGTCTTGTTTCAGCTCCTGGTTTTATTGACCTAGTTGGGGGTCTATGTTTTGGATCTTGGATTTAATAACCTAGTTGGGGGTCTATATTTTGGATCTTGCATCTAGTGACCTACTGAGGGGTCTTTGGTTTCTGTCTTTATGGACCTAGTCTAAGGCCGTGGATCTTGTTTCTGCTTGAGTTTTCGTTTTGGTGGACAGGGTCTCGTTTGGCATAGGGAAGTGTCACGGGATCACCTGACCTCTGGTCATGTGCCTCTGCTCCAGTATTTAAGGTCTGGTCGCACGCACACTGCTGTCATCTAGATCTTGCTCTCTCTCTGTCGCAATATCAATCTTGTATGTGCGAGCTGACCCGACCGGTACCCGTCACAGTGTTCCAGATACTATACAACCCTCGGGAAGCCGAATCGCAGTCAACCCTTATCAAGACTCGCATTGCGAACCATCAAAATAGCTCCCCGACTTCAATGTTGGCTGCTGTAGACCAGCTTGCTAAAAGCACAACGGCTGTGATGCACCAGGTGGCCCTCCTTCAGGCAGAGAACGCTTCGCTCCGCAAGGCCAACGAGGCACTAAGCAAGCGCCGGAGAGCTAAAAGAACACGCGTGTAGCTTGGAGGATCACTTACTATACAGGAGGCACAAGAGGTGGTAAGTCAGGGGGCTATAGGTGGGGAGGCAATGCAAGAAACACAGCTAGATAGTGGTGGTGCCGGGGTGGGTCGTACGAAGGTTCGGTGCTGTGGTGTGTGCGGCAAGCCTAGCCATAATGCCCGCACTTGCCAGGAGGATGTAGAAGGATCTGATTTATCTGTTTCTGATGTAATTATAGTTGGTTGCTAGTGTTGTTGTATTGTAATTGAAGATGGTGTTCGTAGGGTAGTAGGGAGTGCGGCGCTCGGTGATATGCGGCGCTCGCTGATAAGATA